CCTGACTTTGTAGATAATTCAGAAATAAGTCTAGATGATACTGATGGAAATGATATCACAGAATCAGTTAGAAGATCGCAGAGACTGGCAAGCAAACCGCGATATCATTATAAATACGCAAGGAGACATTCGACGTGTGGCGGATGTGGTGATTGACAATTTCTATCTCTGTATTGTTTAAATACTTACTGTTGATTGTTAATATTTCTTATATGAATTGAAATATAATTCCGCTAAATACAAATTCCTGAATTCCGTCCTCTGTGTTTTGTTTGGATTCTTGTAATTCGGTCATCTCGAAATACTAATACTACGATTACAATTAATTACAACACAAGTTATATTTTATACAAATGAGATATGAAACTTGATAAATAAGGAGTTTATACAACTTATCTGGTGCCTTGGTTGGCAGTAGGCTGGGAGAGTGCACTGAATGAAAGCACAACAGGAGAGCGAACCAGATGTGTCCATCAGAGTTAAAACTCAAAAGATGCAGAAGTGCCAAACGCGTGGGTGAGTGAGTTCAAACAAAAGTTCAAGGATTCAATGTGCACTACAGGCTAATCAGTAGTATACGGAGAACATTTTAGGCAGCAACACTTTGCGTAATTTTTTAGTCAGTGAACGACCGGTACTCAAGCCAGAGATAGGCTAGGTGGCCTCACCATACGTATGTGTATTTATCATTTCAGCTGCTCCCATGGAGACAGTAATGTCCGACTTACTACTAGACAGCTTAGCTAACATGTTACTGAATATCACTTAAAGAGGTTTAGTAAAGTATAAACATCATCCGGAGCTCCAGTTTGTCACGCTAAGTCGATAGTGGTAATTTTGTAGATATAAACTAAAGTATTCAAGGTGATTTATCGCATCCCACAGAATCTTCCGAATCGACTCCATATCCGTCTACTGTACATAGCTGGGGTGACTAACATCCGAACTATTAGGCCTAAACTATACATTCAAAAGAAGTTCGTACAACAATTATCCCTCCTTTGGCCTATTAAGACCTATTAAGAGACCAGATGTCACTACTATCGCTTACTTATGTTTTTCAATCCCTCTCTTATCTTCCATTAATCTTATCAAATCTTCATTAAAACAGCTTATTCACTTCTCTTACACCCTAGTATAACTCATTCGGACTATTTATTTTTCTTAGCCTTTATCGACTACCATGTCTGCCTGTGCATTTGTTTGATTAATCATGCTATTTTTCATTACTCTTTTTATGACACAGATCGTTACACTTTTTCATCCATTTTGTGTTAATAGAATTATTTTGATTGGACACTAGTAACTAGTGTAACGTTTCTAGTCCTTTCTTTGCTGCAGACTGAATTTTATCAGTTCAAGGCTTCCTGCCGATTGCCTCCAACCATCTAATATCATCAAATCAATGTGCACCGTGATGTCCAGCTACCTAGAATGGCGGCCATATTGCAAACCTGACTGATAAAATTCAGTTTGCACCAAGAAAAGAACTAGAAGCGTCACACTAGTTACTAGTGTCCAACCAAGATACCCACTACAGTCCTACAGGAGGTCAATCACGAGCCCGAATAGCTCAGTGGTAACGTCTCTGACTGCAGCACTGGGTATAGCGGTAAATGATTCCCCAAAATTATTGACCATAAGAATCATCAGTGAAGATTGGATGCTGACTCTTAGAGTTTAAGTCGACTTGTTTAGCTGAAGGCTTTCCGTCAAGCATCCCCGCCATTTGGTACTCCGTCGTGTCACTGTTGTGCACGATAACTAGCTAGCCTAGCTTCCGCTTTAATCCGCGATTTGGTTCCGAAATATATATCGTGATTCAGACAACGGATTATAGTCTTTTGCTTTGCCTTTGGTACGCGAGATTCAAATACGTTAGTTGTTGGGATAAGAGCTTGCGTTAATATACCCAGTACTGTTCTCGAACGTCTATACCGTCAACCTTTAAACGCGAGTTCGAATCTCAGAAGGGACATCAGTTTCTTCAAGGTTGCAGATACGCCTTGCTGACGAGTGCCAACTAGCACGAAACCTAGGTCCAAGGCTTCCTGTGGCCGATAGCCTCCAACCATCTAATAGAATTATTACCATTGTGACTAACTGCTCAATCTTGCTATCATATTGATAAATCACAATTATTGGTTTATATTTGATATTCATTTGTAAAGTTGTGCAAGTAGGAGTAAGGCAATATTGTTCCTTCACAACTGTCTTTCTAAAAATGAGAGTAGACAAAGGTTCAGATAACCTGTTTATATATTTTTAAATCTCGCCGATTTATATTTATTATTTACACTTGACAATCATCACAATATATGACAATAAAAACTGTAATCACAGAAAATTTAATTACTGACAGAAAGACTAAATGTTTTCCTATTTAAACAGGATCAAATACTAATAATTTGAAGTCATAAGTTAAATTTTGAAGAATTTTATTAATAATTGTTACCGTATGCCAGATCTAATAGCATTTACATCTAGAAAAGTCTGCATTTCTAATCCTTATTTTGTTTGAGTTTTCATTTTTATAATGCATTTTGATAATCATCGGTTTTCGTGGATATTTTTGTGTAAAAATAACGACTACTTACAAGTAGTCAAAAGATAAATTAAAAAAATCAAAAATGAATTTTTCGATCATTTTCAGCGTTATTTATGATTATCATAAATGAATCATCTGTCAACTTATAATACCTCCGTAAGTACCAGTTCCGTTTAAGAAGTCATATGGGGACTTGCTTTTTTGTCAGTAATGACTATCACAATGAGATCTAGATCAAAATGGAAGACAATAAACACAGCGATAAAGATAAGACGTACTCTGTGAATAAAGCAATATCTTTTGTAAACAGTTTTATTGTCATTCACCTTTGGTGACCTGTGGAGGAAATGCTGGTGCTTCTGGCTACTATATGATATCCATACATTTCCTATAATATTTTTCAAGTATTGTTTTGCAGGGATTTAGTTTAATGGGTTGGAGGATTTTATCTCAAGCTAACATCGGTTAGAAAACCCTTGGAAACCTGCGAGTACTGGACAGCTGTTTTACTGCATAGTTTGGGACTCTTAATCAGTACGCACCGACCAAAGTTCTAACCCAAGACCTTCTGATTGCAAGGTGAGTTCGTAGACCATTTAGCCATTGGAAACCGATCCAATCAACCAATCAAACAAAATCTCTACAAAACCAATACTTCAGAATTGATGTGATGCTCACCTGCGACTGGCCTAATCCAAGCACTTACCTGGGGTTCTAGTGGAAACCATGATCACCAGTGTACACTAAGTCAAGGGTACGTACAGTTACTCATTGAAGACACTGAGAAGTGGTTGTGCTATGTCGTAAATTGGCAGAAGTTAGAATTCACGGGATGGCCATTAGATCGCGTCTCAGTGGCTTAGTGGTCTACTAGCTCGCTAGCCTTGTAACCAGAAGGTCCTGGGTTCGAACCCTGGTGCTTACTGATGAAGAACCCCAGATTAGGACGAAACAGCTATTCAGTATTCTCAAGATTCCCCATTATAGACGAAAACATTTCTTCTAAACTTCAGTAAGTATATAAGTTTTATCTTATGCAAAATAGGAGACTGTTTTTAATGTACTAGTGACAATATTTTTGATGAGTTGAAAGCATTCAAGCTGTAGATGAGGGTATTCTATGAAAGGCTACTATTTTGATTTATTTGTGTTCTCTGAGCTGGCTGATTTAATTGAGAAGCATAAATTCTGTGATATATATGTTCAGGAGTTTTAATTATTTCTAATTTTGTAACGACAGAAAACAAAGACCAGGCAACGGATCGTTTATTGAGGAAATCAAGAGGTATTTATAGATTTATATGTGCATTATTTTCAGTGAAGAAAAAACGTCTCCTAATTGGTTGTTTTCTTGCTGAAGGTTATTCTGTTATTGCTTTTGCGGCCGTTTTTTCAGAAAATCAAGCCATGTATCTGTGAATCATATTTCCACACTTTAACTCCACTGTGATTAGCGGATGATTTTCTCAAGGTCGTGGTTTCTTATTGTTTTCCTCATGACCTTGACTACAGACGTGAACATTGACGTAAGTTGTTGTCTACAATTTTCGGCCAGCAGCCAGCTCACACCACAATTTAATCAAAGGCGACTAACAAAGCTCTGGGGATGCACATATTTTCCTATGTGAGAGATCGTTAGTTTGGTGTTGTACCTACATCCACAATCGGGCAGGATACCTTCATCAATTGTACAAAACAATAACGCTCGGCTTTTCAAATTCTATTGAGTTAAGTTATCTACTAGGTCACTAAGTCATAACAATCATCTCACTACACAACGAACATCATTCGTTAATTGGTTGAAAAGCAATTTTAAATTTCTCAGTTACTGATTTATACCAGACCAGAATGCTGAGTTGCAAAATAATGCTAGTGACCAACTATACTACCTGTTACTCTTCCTTCCGACAGAAAGGCTTAAAAATGGTTTGTTTTTCGAGTATGGCCATGGATTCATATCACCTAGACAACCACTATGGAAAACTAGGGAGCACTGGACAGCTGTTTCATCTGCCTATTTCGGGAATCATAGGCAGTTAGCACCCACTGAGGTCCTAGCCGAGGACTGGAGTCAGTTCCAGTGAGAAGTCGTGACCAGTTATGTCTATCCAGTCGGGAGTGAAGATGGATTTACCACCGGTGAAATTGGTTGGTGGTTGCGCTAAAATCCCGAATCGTTAGAAGCTGGATTTCAGCAGCCATTGAATCGGGTCCCAGTGGCTGAATAGTATACTGGCTAACTTGCCTTGTAGCCGGAAGGTCTTGAGTAAAAATCAATAAATCTTCATTTAAAAATCGATATGCGTTCAAATAACAATCGAAATGAAGTAATTATCCTACAAATACAAAGTAAACTTACTACTCATATATACACATGAATTTATCTGAAAAATGATTGCACAAATTCTAATTAAAAATCAGTATATTTCTGTCTAACTTCATAAAGGTAGTCTTATTCCTCGCTATTATGTTCAGCTTCTAAAATAGATAAGGTATGAGAGTAAGAGATCATTATTTGAAAGAAAAGCCATAGGCCTTAAAAACTCGACATATTTAAAAATAATACTAATATGATAGAGAAGATTTGTAGCTCAGGGGATAGTTTTGATGTGGTTTTGTTCTCTGAGCTGGATAGTTAGTTTGCGAAGCTTTCATCACCTTACTGGGTGACATCTTCAGCGCATACTTCAATTTGAAGTATGCGCTAAAGATGTCACCCAGTAAGGTGATGAAAGCTTCGCAAACTAACTATCCAGCTCAGAGAACAAAACCACATCAAAATTAAAAATAATACTATTTGAGGTTATATTTTACTGGATTAAAAAAAATCGAACGAGAAAAATTATACGCAATACAGTGGTGGAATTTTTCAGTAGCCCAAGTTTAAAGCAGGCAGCCTTATTTTGGACACTTGTTTCCATGCTCTTTCATATTAACATACTATTTCTCTATACATCTTTCATCTTACGTAATCCTAAGGAAGACTTACTAATCTTCACTCATCCCGCATTGTTACAATTTAGTTATTCGTCAAAATTTCTGAAATATTTTGATGACGTAAATAACGATAGCCGCAACTAGTTTTTATTCTTGTCTGACAGACCTACATTGGCCAAAGTGAACGTCCCCTTCGTCTTCGTATCCACACGAACATAAGCTAGCCGTCAAAAGACATGATATCTACTCCCTCATATCACTTCACTGCATACAGACGACCACGGACATCAATTCGACTGGGACAATCAGCGTTAAAATATTAGACAGAGGAAACAACAAGAATGCTAGAGAATTTTCAGAAACTTGACATTCCAGTAAATCATCAATCAATAAACACATCGAGATAGACAAAAGTTATCAACCGATAATAAAGAAACCTCACACACAATGAGTTAAAGTTCAAGTCAAAGAAACAATCAGTTCCAATAAAAGTAACCTAGAAGGTGTGAAAACACACATAAACAACCAATCACGTCCAAGATCACCAGGAGGAATGATTAATAAACTCGTGGAGAAATCTAAACACTCACTTCAACAGATTGAAGTATGCGCTGAAGATGTCGCCTAGTAGGACGATGAAAGCTTCGCAAATTAACTATCCAGCTCAGAGAACACAACCACCTCGAAATCATCCACCTGCGCTACAAATCTTCTCTATCGTATATATATATATATGCAGAAAAATGATTATTTGTGATTTCGACTGTACAGAAAAGTGAACGAATTCGGCGGCAAAAATAGACTCGTTTCTGGATTGTTTGTGGTATTCTTAGATGTAGGCGTGTACTAAGTTCAATTAATAGATCACAGTGTTCACTGGTATAATAGACACGAAGGGCAATAGATCACAGAGATTCTACAATAACAATAAGATGCTGATTTAGTCTCGTGAATAGACGGAAGTCATTTTCTATCTTCTGTTTTCCCAGAAAAAGGATCATCTTTGACGATAGAATACAAAGTTACTTATTTTTACATATAATTTCAGTTAAATACTGCATTTTCAACACCATTGTGAAATCAGTCACTTCTTCTATACGGATTAGAAACTTGACCAGCGTGTCACGAAAAGGATTTCCAACAGCCAGTTGCAGACTTTAATCAACAGCTGCCCACTCCACTGGCTCCATACTGAGGATCAAATGGCCAGCGAGAAGGAATAAGCTACAAGGAAGTCTGGCAAAGAACAAACTAACTAAGAGTCGATCGCTCAACAGATATATAGGAGAAGGTGGAGGTGGATCAGGTATACACTGAGGAGGCCGCCGAATGACATCGCACGCTGGGTTATCGCTCGACTGGAATCCAAATGGGAAGCGATGAGGGGGACGTCCTAGGGCGACATGGAGGAGATCGTCTGAGGAAGAGATGAAAGAGTTTAGTCAGTCGTGTGCTTAGTCATCTGAAGAGGACGGCAGAAAACAGAAGAAAGTGGAGATGTGTTGTTGAAGCCATCCCTATGTTCCACTCGGAACGCAAGGGAATAATAATAATAATAATGTAATCATGTTTGATAGTACCTGTGTTGGTATAATTTTGGAGTCATTGCGGGGGGGGGGAGAGGGCGTTTCATCCTAGTCACAATGGAATACATCATTCATCTTATCAAACATTAAGAAGTTCTTCGTTGGACTGAGGAACCTATAAACTATACGTATCCTAGATATCTCTTGGACTGTAAACTGGTACAGCCAACAAAGTAAGTTATGCCATAAATTTCAAATACTTATAAGTTACTTACAGGATGTTTCCGGTATTTCTTCAGTCCATTTATCTATCTATCTGTCATCATACACTTTTAAGTAATTACTAAGGGGTATGACAGGTGCTCAATACTCTTAAGTCGATTTGGAAATCCACAACAGTCAGTACACAGAACAAGATCGGAATTCTGTTTAACAGTTATATAAAGTTATCAGTGCTTGTAGACACTACAAAGAGTTTGTATACACGAGTTATTGAAAGCAATATCCAGTAGAGTACCCCAGAAAACTTTCATGAACACACCTATCTTTTCTGAATAGACACTGAAGAACAGGTGACCAGAAAGGTTGAGTAAAAAGGGACTGTGTATATCAACTTGAGTGTGTTTGTGGAAGCATATACATAGGTCGTACAGAAAGGCAACTGTCTACTCCCATGATGGAGCATTTGCCAAAATGGTTGAAAACAGCTAAGAGTGAAGTGCCAAAATCCTCAATGACAAAACATCTTGTGGATTATGGACATGATATCGATGCGGTCAAGTCATTCACCATTGTCAGCAGACAAAGAAACAAGAAGATGCTTGCAATTACAGAGGTTTGTGCAATTCAAGTTTATAAATCAGGTCTCTGTATACAAAAGGAGATCGTCGTGACTCTGGATCTACTATGGTAATACGTTTCACTTATTATTCTACCTCTTATTATTATTCTTGGTTCAGTTAAAACTATCCCTAATGACTAATTGTTTATCTAAGTGATGTAATTTAAGGGTGATGCATTTTATCTTAATGTTGATCTCTCATACTCTCTCTCTCTCCCAATTATCTATTTGAACATGACCTGGAAAACATTCGCACCTGTCTTTCTGCATGACTAATTCAATGTAGTTTGTTTGCTTATCAGTCTTATATCTCCCAATGTAATTTCAAAAGTATATATATATCCGTGTATGTAGAGTATTCAGCTGACGAGTTCTACCGAAATTTGATGAATTCATTAAATATCCTGCTTTATTAACCTGTTTGTTGCTTGTTTTAAAAAGGGACTGTGTCAACGGACCAGTCAGCAATCTATTGCTCAAAAATATATGCAGAAGGACAAGGAAGTGGATTATACACATACAGTGAGGTATTTAAATGAGGTCATCTCTTACACCAGATCCTGTAGAGTGAAATTAGGATAAGAAATGACCGACGGCCTGTGTGTGTGTCCGATGGTGACACGGAGGAGGTCATATAGGAAGGAAATGACTGTCTGTAGTCAATCGTGAAGTTGTCGATTACTGGTGTCAGAGATGTGCTTCTGAAGTTCTACGGCATAATCAATATTTAGCAAATGTAAGAGAAATAAAGAAAAAATGGTGAAGTTCACTAACCAGAGATTTGAACACGCAGCTGCTTTCTCAGTGTATATCCTTTATAATTTGTAAAGATACACTGGATGCGGAATTCACCTGACTTATCATAGACTGAAGGGACTTTCTTCCGTGGTTTGATTACTGGATGTATATCAGTATTGTCTATTTCAATGAGTGAATCATCTCCAGATAATAACTGCACATGTAGTGATCCTTCTTCATAGATTATAGAGCCTTGTTTTGTTACTATGGCACAAGTAATCTCATCTTTATCCCCAATGTATATAATTTGATTCTTTGGGAAAAATTCTATCCCATAATCTGGAATAAACAATTTAATGCAAGCAGGAATAACACTAGATTTAAAGTGTTGGTCCCCATTGGGATATAATTAATTTCAAAGTGAATTTTACGATGAAATGACACTAATTTTTAAGGTAGGAAAAATAATCCACATTTAAACATTTAGAAGACAAAAGGATTGAGCAAGCGCGTTTCTTTTCTTTCTTCTTACCGATAATCTGATTCACATAGTCCAGAAATGCTGTATTATTATTTAATTCCTAGAGGAACATAAGGCTTCAGCCACGCGTCTCCATTGCCTTCGGTTTTCTGCCAACTTTTTCACCTAGCTCCAAGTCTGTCCACATACTTTCATCTCCTCTTCACATGACCTCCTCCAAGTCACCCTCGCACCGACGACCAATTCGCCGCTTCCCTTTCGGGTTCCACTCGATCCACGGCTTGTCTAATGATGTCACTTGATGGCTTGTTTCCTCAGAGTATGGCCAATCCAATGCACCTCCATTTCTTCCTGCCTATTTGTTGCACAATCAATTCTTGCTGGGCTGGTTCGCTCCCAGAGATCCCTGTTGCTGATCTCTTCTGGTCATCTGATCTTGAGTAGTACTGAACGAAGACAGCTGTTGATGAGGGTCTGTAGTTTATTTGAGGTGCTCTTTATGACGCGCCAAGTCTCTGATCCGTATAGTAAGTAGTACTGACTTCACATTGGAGTTGAAAATCGGACCTTATTTTTGATGTGAGTGCTGTTGACCTGCACACAGACTTGAGAGTAATGAAAGCTTGTCTTGCTCTTCCGATTCTTGCTTTGACATCCTCGTTCGAGTTCGTCTACAGAACATATCCTTTGCATAATGTTCTTTGATAATTTGTAATTAGTTGTATTCCCTTGAGCTGGTTGGTTTAATGGCGAAGCTTTCACCGTCCTACTGGAAAACATCTTCAATGCAAGTTTTAGCACAAAATGAAAGCTTCCTAATCGAAGTAACCAGCTGACTGAACACAACTAATTGCAAATCATCCCCCTGAGCTAAAAATCTTCTCTATTATTCTTTGTTAATTCTGTGATACATGATTTAATCGAGTCAAATTAATTCAGTGTCTGGCGCCTGAGTGTTCTAACATTTGCTGGAACTCTGCCACGACGTAAGGACTTCTAATAAGATTCGGGATACCAGTTAATTTTACTGCAGTATAGAATGAAGTCCAAAGAATTTCTCGTTTTACTGAACCTTGAGGTGTACTTCAGATAATAATTGAGCACATTTAACGCACAGTGCTGCTCCAAAGATTTCAATATAGAAAAATCCCCACTTAGACATTCAGAAGGCAAAGGGATTCACCATAGTATTAGCTTGAAGTGTTGGTTTGCAGGGATTTCATTGATTTGAAAATTGATCAGTAAATAAATTCAGTCGCAGAAACACTGAAAACCAGGTAACGTTGAAGACATAGTCACAAAGTCAGGTTTTAGGATAAATGCTGATGGTGATACCTACTGGCGGCTGTGCGATAAATCGCATGTTTTCGGAAGTTATACTTTATGGCATGACTACTGGACTTGGCCTCAGTGGTTGAATGATCAATGAGCTAGCCTGGCAACCCGAGAATCCTAGGTTCGATCCCCAATGAAGTCATGGGCTCGTATTGATGAAGACTCCCGAAGTGGGGCGGAGCATCTATCCAGTACTCCATATTTTTCAATAGTTCATTTCGCGATCGGACTTAGAACCGGTATGATTTAGAGGAATAAGTGAAGACTAGCGAGTACTGAACGCCTGTTTCGTCCTAATTTGGAATCATTCAGATGTAAGCAAATAAGGATCTTCATATTCGTTAAATTGTCCAGTGTGTGAACGCACAACTTGATAAGAAATCTGTTGAAAAGACCATCTCTTCAGTGAATATTTTGTTTTTTAGTGTTGCAATTAGAATATTAGTTCTGATAGCTTCCTTGCGCTCTGATTTAAACATAGAGCTTCAAATTTTGGAGTTACATTAGCGCTGATGTTTCTTTTCTACTGGTAGCCTCAAGACCCACCTTACCTCTTTCCCAGGCTCGGTACTGACTAGCTGAGGTCTAGGAATGAGCTGGTTGAGAATCGAAAAATGGACATCCTACGCGACTGGCTAGTATTCTACCATAGATTGAATGAATGAACTAATTATTAAAGTGTTGGTTTGCAGAGATTTTACTTGATTTGACTGATCATAGGATTTCATCATGAGCTGCCATTGGTTAGGGAACCATTAGAAAACCAACAGGGATCACCGGATGACTGTTCCTTTGGCCCACTTTGGGACTCTTCAGCAGTACGCGCCAATCCCACCGCCAGGGTTCGAACCTAGGACCTCCCAGGTACACGGCGAGCTCTCTGGAGTGTATGGACTGGCTATTGCATAGGGTCGCAGCGACTTAATGGTCCACAAGCTCATCTTGTAATCAGAAGGTGCTAGGTTCGAACCCTGGCATTGAGTGAGCACTGTTGAAGAATCCCAATTCAGGTAGACGAAACAGCTGTTCCGTGCTGGATTTCATTTGTCCCCTAACCATTAACAACTCATGATGAGATCCTGTAACTAATCTAGTATTATTTTAAGAATGTGTTTCACGTTCAACTTACTTTCAATTGTCAAGTTTTTAATAAAACTGAACATTTTATTATCATTATCTTGATTGATAAAAATGCATTCAATTGTAACTTCCCCGTATGCATTGTAATATTTACTTCCATGTGGAGGTTCAATCAATACTTGACCATTTATTACATTCAGTGAAACTATATTCTTTAATCCATTGATGATATTCGCCTTCCAATAACCTTTAAGCCATGCATCAATGCCATAAAGTAAACCACATTGGAATTTATCACTTGAATCTATTGAGACAATTATATTTGAACTGTCGTATCCATTTAATGTTCCCGCCTTATCATGGGCTATAATTAAAATAAGTTTGATTATCGATTGAAAATAAAGGCATAGTTGACTGCTCATTAAAGTGAAATTTATTTTAAAAATGTTTACTTTATCGATTATATTACTTTAAATGATTACTTATTTGAAATTATTATTTATTGGTGTTTGTAACTTCCTAAAATAAATAATTTCAAATCATACTCACTGCACAAAGGGGTGGTTGTTGTAGGCCCAGTGGTCTGATAGACAAGACTTTGATATTTGAAGCATTGGGAAGTCGATTCCAGTTTCATTGGGAACAGGTAGATTCAACTTACTTGTTCTGGAATTCCATTGAAAGCCTGTAAAAAACCTGCTGACCTGGCGATATTCATTTGACTTTGAGACTGGCTTGAATAGCTTATTACTATCTTCATCATTAATTCGTTCCTCTGCATTCCGAGTGGAACATAGAGTATCAAGATAGAGTTTTGAATTTCCATAAGTAGTAGTGGTTTTTATTCTTATGGGGTTAGGTTGCTAGTCTCATGCTAGTCTCAAGCCCAACTTCCGTTTGTCGGGATTATGAGGGAGGTAAAGGTGTGTGCATCAGCTGAGAATCGAACCCCGGACGATGCGAGGCGTAGATGGCGAGCATTCTTCCACTGAACTACGGCCGCACAGCCAGGATAACTTAGTACTGTTAAAATACTACAGAATTAGTCGGCAACGGCTCATTAGTGTGAAGTGGCAATTTGGGGGACTACAGGACTCCCATAGAGAGTGGTCTCAAGCTTATCTACTTCCAAAATTTATCATCTAAAGTGAGTAGTTTCTTATTCCATTTTCAAACTGTCACTTTTATATTTCTCCATCTTGTTATTTTTGTTAGTTCTCAGAATTATTAAATTAACTGAACTGATTCTATTTTGGAACAAAATAGTTAGAGTGTACAATTGTGGTTTCAATAAATTCTTCCTTCTTCAGGCTCTACAATGATTAATCCATTAATTTAAGCATACAATACTCAGCCAGCTAGCCAGTTAAAGCAAATTAGAATCACACCAGAAATGTGTATTGTGGAACAAGTATAAGATGAGACGGGATGGAACAATAGTCAGTTAGTCTTGAATATGCATGATCAATGAGAACATGGGGCAAAATGAGATGAAGTAATTTAATTTAATTCTGTTTGTATATATATATATATATATATATATATAGTCAACAGAAAGGTACAGAATTCGAGAGTGAGTATAATCAGGGTGTGTGTGAGACAATATGAAAATAAATCAACGAATGGAGTGGTCTAGACATAAGTTCAAGGTTTAAAGGTAACAACTATAAGAATGAACTATAAGAATGATTATGAAATAATAACGATGATATGGTGTAAAATTAAAAGCACTATTGGTGAATGATTGTCAAATAATAATAATAATGAATATAATGAAGTGGAATGAACAGGATTTTGTAAATACGATAGCAAGTTAGAAAAGCACTACTTAAACCTAAGGTAATAAAATCATAAGAAAGGTCATGAAATCATAAAAGTCGAAAATGAACATTTGTCAATGAAACAGAGGAATAGAAGAAGGAAAAGAAAATTGTGAAAGGAATTTATAGCGTTAATGGAGGATTTGTTGGCTTTATTGTAGGCCAAGGTAAACATAGAGGTTGAACATACTTCTTCTGTATGCAGAGGGATGGTCTTCTGATATTAAATGCAACTGCTTCAGCTACTGATAGAAGGCGTAGTCGAGCTCCTCTAGATAAATTACTGGGAACACGGTAAATAACTGAGAATGCCTGGTCAAGTTTTATTGGGTGTCCAGTATCTACCAAGTGGGCTAAGACTGCACTATTTATGCCTTTGGTTACTCCTTTACTCAACCATACAGATACATGTTCACGTGCGCGCATGGATAAAGCCCTCTGAGTACGGCCAATTTAACTAGCTCCACATAAGTAGTTGAATTCGTAGATACACAATGATGAAGGCAACTTTTGGTAATTTATCTTTGACTTGCTGTTTGAGTATTGGTTTAGTTGAGAAACTGAGTACCAGTTCAGCTGCAGGAAATTTTCTCTCTCTACCGCTCTACGAAGTCTACATTTTAGAATGTCAGCTGCAATTTCCCCTTTGTAACTTAACTTAAGATACAAAGTTTTCTTGTTTACGGTATCCACCTTTACCCTGTCTCTAGGTATTGACATATACTTTTTTAGGAAGTTCTTTGGATGTCCATTTTTTTTCGCAGTGTAAGTTTCAGTTTACACAGTTCTTCCTGAATGCATTCCTCTGAGCATATTCGTTTTATTCTATAGCTAAGATACTTAACTAAGTTTCTTTTATGCTGAATCGGTGTGAAACTATGAAAATGGGTGTACTGACCCGTCCAAGTTTTCTTTCTAAATAATTTCCTTTGTAGATATCCGTCTGTCTTCATGGTAAGTAGGACGTCTAGGAAAGGTAAACTGTTATTGTCTTCTTCGTCTTCATATGTAAAATGAATAGTTTGGTGAACACCATTAACAGCATTCAGAAGCTCTTGTTTGTTAAGAATTCTATTACAAACAATAAAGGTATCACCTACGTATCAGTAATAATAATCAAGCCCTTTAATCGTGTCTCTGAGTGGACCTTTTCCCAGCTTACTCAGTAATAATAATATTGAAAATAATATCAATCACCATTAAATAATTGAATATATTCTGCAGGCCTGCTTCGATCACTAGACTACTTTCATATGCATCCAGCCCAATGAATTGACACTTCTCCGTTTTTTGTCCTTAGCTCACAACATCAACTTACACGAATTTTTGGTTAGTCTCCATCCTGCCAATGTTTACTTCACCAGAAGAAAACAAAGAAAGAATATTCCAAAAGGATTTAGTTATGTTTTAAAACAGAATGATGATGCATAGCACTACATACTGTAGAATAAATACTTTATGTGAAGACTGTATTCGTATAATATATATTTTGCATAATATTACACAGCTATGTCTAACTGACGATTCAGACTTTGAGTACTAGGTGAGTCGGAGGGAAAATCAATCGATGAGGTTGTAAAGTTACATCAATTGAGACAGATCATTAGGACATGTGTTACGCATGCCCAGTCATCGTATTCCTCGATGGCCAACGTTAGCTGACTGATGTGGGATCGATCCGGTTGGAAAAGTGCTAGTGGTTGTGGTCAAACGAAAACAATGACTTCATCAGTCAATCAAATCTATAACAGTTAGTTTAATCCAATCAATCAGCCAGACACGTAGGAAGGTATAGACTGGCTGGCTAGTTGGAGTCCTTGGGATGGCTGAAGACAGTTAGTGATCATGTAGACCAAAATCCTCGTTATCAATGACAGAGTAGATACATTTACCCTTTGTCACCTGCAATATCCAATAAAACTCCATTCTTCTTCTCTCACACTTCTGTTCATTATCTCTCTTTTGAACGTCTCTTCACTGTCTTCTCTTGCTTTGTGTGACACATGTACGGAGGGTAGGAACTGGATTTGGTGCACAATTGTGCATAGTTCTACGTTGGGACAAATCAGTCAGTCGATTGATGACTCTCAAGTAGGACGAAAAATAAGTGCTGGATTTCATCAACTAAATACAATTTGTTTATAGTTTCGATCGATTTTATCTTTCGTAATTTGTAAGATAAACTATAAAGAAGCTTGAACGCTAATATACATTTGTAGTAGTTATATTCTCCCTCATGTAGCCGTGTTAGTTAGGATAAGTTTGTTTTGGAGAGAATAAGATTGGGTTTGATCATATCAAAACCTAGTACCAATCTATCACATATCTGACTGTTCGTTTGACCTTTACTGGGTTCCTTGAGATGTTAAACAACCAATGACTAGAGACTATTGTTGGTGACATAGATACATTCGCTCTTTGTGATCTTCGCGATCCATTCAGCTGTCACTATTCTTCATGTAATTATTCTTTCTCCTTTAAATCTCTGTGTTTTTAAAGTTAATTTGTATTTCTCTTCTTTTTTCCACCGTTATATGTGTCATATGAAGTAAGATAACTTGACCTGATTCATTTTTGTATAGTGTTCTATGTTGAAATAATAGAGAAGATTTGTAACTCAGGTGGATGATTTGCAATTAATAGTGTTCTCTGAGCTGGTTGGTTTAGTTGCAGAACTTTCGTCGTCTTTCTGGACGAAATCTTCAGCGCACAAAGATCAAATACTCAATATTATACTAGCAATAATCCAATTACTCACTCACAAAAGAAACTGTGTGCAGACATTGTTTAGAAGAGTTCAAACACATTGTAGCACTCCAGAGTTGAAAAGAATGGAAGAAAAATACTTAAAAACGGTATTCAAGAAGAATGGTTATCCAAAAAATTTAATTAAAAAGTGTTTAATGTCGAATCAAAACACCAACAAAGAACCATCATCAAAGACCAAAAAGAAATTCATCCTACCATACACCAGAAATATCTCTGAAATAACAGCTAGAATACTGAAACCGTGTGATATAGATGTAGCACACAAACCAGTTTAATCGCTTAATTCGATATTATGCAAACCGAAAGACCCATCCAAGAGAAAAAGGAGATAAAATTAACACCATTTACAAAATAAATTACATGTATGAACTGTAACAGACATTACATCGGCTAAAGTGGGTATCCCCTTCGAATAGGAATCCAGGAACACAAATTAGCCGTAAAAAGACATGATATAAATTCTTTAGTATCAATGCATACAGACAATTATGGACATCAATTTGATTGGGATAATGTCAAAATCTTAGACAGAGGAAACACCAAAAATGCAGTCAGGGAATTCCTAGAAGCCTGGTACTCAAACGAAAATGCAATTAACAAACACGTTAATATAGACGAAATATACCAACTAATAAAAAGTGAATCATGTGACCAGAAAGTTTAAAATCCAAGTCAATAGAAAATGGTCAATACATATGTAAAGATGGTTACCGGGAGACGCAATTATATCACTCATGAAGAAATTTAAATCATTTCACTTTATCCTAAATACTGCGCTAAAGATTTCGTCCAGAAGGGGTGGACGACGAAAGCTCCACAACTTAACCAACCAGCTCAGAGAACACTAATAATTGCAAAAGTGTTCTATGTTCTTGATCAGTGGAGTCCACATGGTTGCGTGTCAGAAGTTAGAACTCATGGACTGGCCACTGAATCGGGTCCCAGTTGCTTGATGGTCAATGAGCTCGCTCATCTTGTAACCATGAGGTCTTGGGTTCGACCCCTGTCAGTGGGGTGTGTGTGTGTACCGTTGAAGAGTCCCAAACCTAGGCTGACAAAACCGCTGTCAAGTAGTGGTGTGTAAATTTTCTAACTGTTCTCTAAGCGATGCTAAGCTCATGATGAGATCCTGTATCCAGTAAAATTCGAGTTGCGGTAATTTTAAACATCATTTAGATGCTTCGCAATTTCTAGGGTCGTTTTATCAAGTCGGTTGCATAACTGACAACACATACTATTACAGCTGAGGATAGAAATGATATACCAGTGGATTTTTCTGCTGAGTTCAATGTATTCATCCCATGTCAAGATCTAAAGACTTCTCACGGAGTGTCAAGAATGCAAACGTTTGCATAGTACAATGTTCCGAAGAGGTGATAGCTTCACAAAAAACTTCAATTATCGCTTGACTATTATTTTCAGAGATCTCTAAATAACTATGAAATACACAGCATTCTGGCTAATCATGATAAAAACGGCATGGTTGGTGCAGCACATTCGTATACTTATGTATTCTGTATCTACGTCGGTGGCACAGTGGTTAGGACTCTCGCCAACCATGCACATTGTCCGAGGTTCGATCCCCTGCCTACGCACACCTGATATCTATAGTCGGCCTGCAAATTTGGGCTACCGATATCCATGCTGAAAATTCCATACTTGTACCAAAAATACAGTGTGGAATCAAGCTGTAATCAAAAAATAAAAATAAAATAGAATCCCCGTAAGCCAGTACTTAAATAATAATAATAACATCAACTATATACATACAAACTCACTTATTACACTGAATGACTTTACAAATGAAAATATAGTCTGATTACTCTCACTATGATTCAGTGTAAAACTACATTCGATCAGTACTTGACCAATAGTTGAATAAGTTGATAATCCACTCGGTGGTGTAATCTCTAGTTGATTATGACATTTTGTTATAGAGACTAGATTAGGTGTTCCACCGTCTAAAAGTTTAGCATTCCACTGGCCATTATATATTCCTGATTTCATATAATTAATTGGCAAGAAACCACATTGATATGTTTTAGATGTATTCAGTAGTACAGTTATATTTGACTCATTAATACCATTCAATGTACCAATTAAGATAGGATCTGTAGAAAGATATTTTTTGAAGAAGTGAAGGCGAATTAGGAACATTTAAAGTGGAAAAGAAAATTATGGTAGTAATTTATATTTTAAAATAATATATCTCCATTATGGATAAGATTTTATTACCTAGCCTGTCATGTGCTCTGATGGTGTTCTCGTGACTTTTGTTGCCAGATCTGCCAAGGGCGATGGGATAGTACGCGATCTAATGGTTGTGCACAAGGTTTGAAGAAGGCTGTGTGCTATATGCATGCGCCTCGCCCTGATAATGCTTTTCTGCGTCGGTGGTATAGTGGTTAGCACGCTCGCCGACCATGCACATGGTCCGGGGATCGATTCCCGGCCGGCGCACTCCTTTACCTCGCTAAGCCAGAAATAATCCTGGTAAAGAGGAAAGGTTGGGCATGAGGCTGGTTAGCAACCTCATCCTGTAAAATAAACACTGCTACAGAAACTTCAAGCCACTAGCTTGAAGCCCTATGTTCCACAGGGGAACGTGAAGGAAAAATTATTATTATTATTATTGATTAGTCACACAGTGTTGTTATGCAGCACTGTTAACTGATGACCACATTTCGAGCACAAACTATTGCTGCTCATAATCGGATCAAGGCACTACTCACACAACATTTTCCCTCATTTATATACATGTGTGGAATCGATATTGGATATTGGAATAAAGATCACTATTTGATAATGTACATTCAGAAATAAGAATATGAGTGCTACTCATCAATTACAATCAGATGGGAAATAAGCCGAGCGTTCTTATGGTCATAATAGGTAACTTCCTACAATGTTATAATTTATTGAATTGAAATAGAATTTGGAGATTATTTATTATTCAAATGTCTAATCATCAATTCCACACATGTATATAACTGAGGGAAAAGGTTGTGTGAGTAGTGCCTTTATATGACTATGAGTGGCAGTAATTTGTGCTCGAAACGTGGTCATCAGTTAATATTACTGTATAACAACACTGTGTGATTCATCAAAATAAAATCTTATCCATAATGGAGTTATACTCTACTCTACCACAGTGCCCAAGTTTTATACTTATATCAATAAAAGAATATATATTTAATATTGTGTTATTCATTCAGGCTTTTAGTTCCTAGTTGATATATATTATTACTATTGCTTCAAGGGGGTTCGCAAGGGGAAGTAGGGCCACGACAGCACATCTCCACACCGTCCTATTCCCCCCTCTCTCTCTGTGGTCCTCCTTACATGGATCAACGACTTCCATAATGTCTCATCTCCTCTTTGCATGATCACTGCTCTTTCACTCTCCGACTCACACCCAACTCGTCGTTTCCCATTCAAGTTCCACTCGAGAGATGGTCTTCATTGAGCGTGATGTCATTCGACAGTCTCTTCAATGACGTGTGTCTGATCCACCTGCATATTCCTCACCATATTTGTTGAGTAATAGGTTCTTGTCTGTTGGTTTGTTCCTAGAGTTCCTTGTTCAATGCTAATTCCTCCTGACCAGCCAGCCAGCCAGCTAGCCAGTCGTTTTGATCTTCAACATGGAACCACCAAAGATGGAAGCTGTTAATGAAGTTTTACACTTGCCTGAGGGAAATACCTTATGTGACGCGGAGTGCAAGTTTCTGACCCATACTGAACAACTGACTGACTGACTTAATATTGATGTTGAAAACGCGAATCGTGTTCTTTATACTTGCTGAGAGGAGAAGATTTTCAAGCCGATTTCAGAGTGATAAAGGTGTGTTTTGCCTTTCCGAATCTGATTTTGACATCTTCATCCGTCCCGCCTGTAGTTAGAACTACACTTTGTAGATAAGTGAAGGATGTGACCTCTTTCAAATTTCTCTCGTTGATAGGGACTGTTGCTGGTCGATATATCTACTTGAATTGACCAATTTCACCTGGAGTTGACGTATTTCTTAAGAGGTGTGTGGTTGCAATGCTAACATCAAATTCAATATTCCCCTTTAACTAGTCTTACTACCGGCTAAATGAGGTTAGGAATGCACTCAGATCATAAACAGAACTCGTTCCATATTCGTCAATGGCTAGCATTTCACCATTGAATCATCAATTTACAGCTTCACATAGGTAAAGTGTATATAGCTGATCATTTCGATGATTAACCCAATAGGAGATACCTTATAATATCACTGAAGAGGGCCAAATGAAATGCTTTTAGTTGAAATGGGTTATCGACAACAGACTTTCTCTTAAAACGACATATAATTGTCTCTGAACCATCTAATAAGTTGTCGGTATTAGGTAGTTGGAGGAAATCGGCTGGAAGACCAGTCTGACACTGGGTTTCATGGTTGTTGGCACTCATCAGTCAATCAGCAAGAAGTATCTGCAATCTTGATAGAAATTATGTCCATCCTGAGATTGAGACACTGATATTTATCCACATGATGTGTGTTTTGTTTTTGACAGTCTATTATATTTTGCTATGTGTATATGGATCGATATTCCATCATAACTGACATTATGCTTTTGTCTGTCCACTAACTAAATAAACAATGTATGACCTTGTTATCACATGACATTACAACCAATCATGTTAAGACTGGCTATTTATTGGTTCATGTGTATTAGCCATTTTCATATATACTTTTGTACTGTACACTTATTCATTCTTGTTCACACACGTTTCGTACATCTAAGTACCCTTCCACTCACACTCTTGTGTGACATTTATTTTCCTTGTCTGGAAAATACAAGTATCATCGTAAACCTGGTGGTCTTCTGATTTCCCTCTTTCCGCATCAGGACTATTAACTACTCGACGCGTACATAACATAATTGGCGACGGGGAAAACTCAAATAACTCACTCAGTAAATGTACATAACAAACACACATCAGTCGGTGCTGTAGTCAGAGACGTTACTAGTGAGCTATATAAGCTTGCTACTGACTTTCTGTAGGACTGGACTGGTTCCTGTGATTGGACATTAGTTAGTAACTAGTGCAATGCGACTAGTCCGTTCTTTGGTACAGACTGAATTATGTCAGTCAACAACGTTTACAACGTGGCCACCATGTCACTAGGTGACCCGTCATCACGATGTACTGTGAATTGTTGATATTAGATGGTTGGAAGCAATTGGCACGAGACTGTGGACCTTGTATGGATCACTTAGTGTGGTTGCCAAAATGCAATCTTAAATGATAGAATTTAGTCTGTACCAAACAAAGGACTAGACGCATGACACCAGTTAACTAGTGTGCAGACAAATTCATCTGAAGAATTGTAGACAGATAAATCAACGCCTTAGAAGCTCTTTCCAGCTGGGTGAATATCCTTCTATATTTGTAAAAATATATGAAAGCAACTGTAGATCTAAAGAAAATGAAATCACCAGAAATAACCCCTTCCCTGAATTACTTATATCGTTTTTCTCATGAATGCTTGACTGAGGATTAATCATGAATTGATGCATGTATGAAGACCCACAAGATTCATATTTTCTAAACTTATGTCATGTTAGTGTCTCCACAGCGTTTAGAGACACGGTGTACACTTCCTTGGAAGTAATCCCAACAGGTTACCATAGATTTTCATCAAAACTTGCATTCACCGCTCAATACTGAAGATCAGATGGTTGGCAAGATAAGAGGAGCTACAAAACAAAAACTCTAGCAGCAACCAACCTACCAGTAAATATGCAGTAAGAAATGGAGCCAAACTGGACACACAGAATACGCCAGTCATACCTTCGAGTGGGACCTGAATGAAGGGGTGAGTAATAAGTTTGGTATGGTGATAAAAGTATAAAACTTGGGCACTGTGGTAGAGTAGAGTATAACTCCATTATGGATAAGATTTTATTTTGATAAATCACACAGTGTTGTTATACAGTAGTATTAAATGATGACCACGTTTCGAGCACAAACTATTGCCACTCATAAACATATCAAGGCACTGCTCATACAACGTTTTCCTTCATCTATATAATACATGAGTGGAATCGACGATTAGACATTTGAATAAAACTCAATATGAGATAATGTACTTTCAGAAATAGTAATATGAGTGTTATTGATCAATTACAATCAGATGGGAAATAAGACGAGTGCTTTCACAGTCATAATAAGCTACTTGTTAGAATGTTTTGATGTACTTGAATCGAAATAGAATTTTAGGATTATTTATTATCCTCCTCTGATTTGACTAACTGATGGTAATAATATCTTCCATATCTCTGGTATTTGCATTGTGTCATTTCTGTTGCATGGGTTGGGTGTCGACTCGATGAACCAGGGAGGATTCAGTAATCAATCCCTCTCCCTCTCACCACCTACCTAGATTACTTTTTAGAATTTTAACCCTCTTCCACTCTTTTGTGTGGTTGTGTGTTAATATTTGAAGCGCAGTTGCTGAGCCTTTTTCTAAATTACTTATCTTCTCGGGGTCAACCATTTTTATCTTAGCTAAATTCTTATGTTCCGACAATCTGACTATCCCCGGCCCACTAGTTTGATCTATGTAGTTAACCTCATTCACAGTCATTGCAAGGTATTTTGTAAATTATGTTATTTTGTCTAATTGAGTCGACAGGGTCCTTTAACCTACAAAGCTTGTCGTACCTGAGTGAGTTAGTAGGTTTAAGTGCCACTCTAATTCCTACTCAATTAAGAATCCTACGTAGAGAAGGTCTCAAATTTCCCCTGCTTATATGGTATAACTTTAAATGCTTTATATTCACTCTTGTTTATGTTATCATTATTAGTTTCACCATTAATTTTATTTGGCTTTTGGCCTTTTCTGATCTTCCTATGGAATTTTTGGGATAGTTATTTAACATCCACGCCTCTTCTTCTATCTGTTTTTATTTCATCATTTAGGTCTTTTCTTGTGCTACTTAGTGCTACTGCTCGGTTTGTTAGACAGGCCTTAACTAAGCCTGCCATTACAGACAGATAACGGATGAGATGAGTTGAAGGGGTCTAAATATCTATTAGAATGAGTTGGTTTTCTGTACACACTAGTGTGCAGTTTGCCTTCTTCTATTCGTTTTATTTTACAATCTAACGTAGCTAATTCTCTTTGTTCATTTTCCGATTCATTTGTGAATTTTATTCCCTCTACTAGTAAGTTTATATGTGTCAAAAAGCTGAAAGAGATATGTTCCGTTTTTAACTCTGTAGTAAAAGTGTCATCCCCATATCTCCACCATATTTTTGGAGCAGGATTAAATGTATTAAGAGCACTATTCTCCCAGATGTCCATAAATATATCCGACACGATAAGGGATATTGTATATATATATATATTTGCCTTGGAATTTAAAGATAGTAGATGTCAGGCAGCATAACTGAATCCCTAAAATAATTTTTTCTTCAATAGACAGCTTTGTCCTATGATTGAGTTCAGGATCCGCAGTTACTACTACTGTACAACACTGTGTGATTTCTCAAAATGAAATCTTATCCATAATTGGGTATGGTGAGGTTTCTAGGGTGATATAAAGAAGGTCATTTAATAGGGTAATGAAAGAATCCGGACTGTTTTGAACCTGGCTAAATGGTAATTTCAAGGAACCACTCAGCGAATTTAGAATGTCCCAATCACATTCTGTTCTTTAATCCAAGTACAAGGAACAAACAATAACAACAAAAAAAACACTTTCCTTTATCACCAAAAAGAAACTTACCAGTTATACGTACTGTTTTTATAAATTTCATTTTTATTTCATGTAATTGATTGATTAAAGTACATTCAATTGTTGCATAACCTTTCATTGTATAAAATGGTGAACATTTTGGTGGTTTAATAATTACACGATCATTAGATAAATCTAATGATAAAATATTTTCTATATTTGATGAATTATTTATTATTTTCCCCCGCCAATAATAACATTGATAACCAAGGGGTCGTTTTAATTGACGACCACGATGTTGACTACATAACTCTAATGACGATGATAATGAAGAAGGAGGTGTGGAAGCCGATGAACGTAAAGAACTATCACATGGAATCTCTTCATTTGATCCAATCGGTACGGATATATTTGACTGTTGGACATCATAAACGAAGATACTTTCTACATTTGTATTATATTCTGAATAAACAATACAATATAAAAAGTCGAGATTATTTCAGGTTACGATTATATATATATATATATATATATATATATATATATATATATATTAAAACAATTAGTCCCTTTGCTAAATTTGACATGTCAAATTCTCCTTCCCGTAAAATCACCAAATGGATTACAGAGGTCCTTACGCCTGTAAGAGACTCATTATCAAATCATTCTGTAAAAAGTTCATTTGATCTTACAGAAATGCTAGACACCTTGAACATTAAGGAAAAGGTTATGTGTTCAATTGACATAGAATCTTTATTCACCAATGTTCCCCTTCATGAAACTGTTGATTTCATTTGCGATTACATCACAAGCAACGGCATAAACTTACCCATTCCCGTAACTTACATCAAAGACATAATCTTAATGTGTACAGAAAATATTAGATTCACATTCCAAGAAAAGGCATACAAACAAATCGATGGTGTTGCGATGGGGAGCCCTCTGGGGCCCCTGTTAGCAGATATATTTATGTCGAAATTAGAGAAACAAATGCAAGGTATGCTTGGAGGATTTATGCTGTATAAACGTTATGTAGATGATACTCTTATTATTGGTAATAATAGTAAATCTATTGAAAACTTCATTACTCTATTTAATCATATTCATCCAAATATTCGAGTGACTTCCGAACTAGAATCGAATAACAAACTCGGTTTCCTGGATATTACTATGACTAGGAGAAATGATGGAACGATTCAGCGCTCTATTTTTCGTAAACAAACATGGACTGGACAATATCTTCATTTTACCAGTTTTGTTCCTATCCAGTATAAACGTTCCCTAGTGAAATGTTTGTTCTCAAGGGCCCGAAAAATATGCACGAGTGACACACTGATGGATGAGCTTCGACATGTACATTCAGTTTTATTAGCTAATGGTTATCCGGAGAACTTTATCACTTGTCACAGTAAAGAAAAGCCACATCTCGAAAAGACCGCTTTTGTACCAAAGAAAGCCATCTTTATTAATCTACCATTCAAGGGCGACCAGATTATGCAGTTGACAGCTCAAAGACTTCGGTCAGCCATCAAACGCACATTCTACGCCGCATCTCTTTTTCTCACTTGCCGAACATTTTCGATCCCTGTTCCTACGATTAAAGGACGAAATTCTGTGGACTCTACTTCAAACTGTATCTACAAGTTCACCTGCAGCTGCGGTGACACCTATATAGGTAGAACCAACATAATGTTCCAATGTCGTCGAAAAGAACATATTCCAAAATGGCTAGTAAATCATATCGAAAATTCCAACGCGATTAATCTGAATAGAAATCCAGCATCATCCATTGCAAAACACTTATTAATGTCTGGTCACAAAATCAATATTAATGACTGTTTCACAATTATTTCACATAACTCTAATTCAAGGTTATTGAAGGTGATGGAAGCACTTTGGATTAATCACATACAGCCTAAACTGTGTGTACAAAAATCAATAGACTTCAATCTTCGCCTACCCTGGACTACATGACCTGTCTAAATATGATTGGTCATTAGTATGTACTTTTGTTTTTATTTAACTGAGTAATTGTCATGAACTTTATTTTATCATTGTTAACCATGTTAGTTGTAAAGCGGTTGTAAAGAAACTACGACATGATATCATCTCGCGAAATTTGTCTTCTTAATGCCTTATTCAAATATATATTTCGATAAAGAAAGGAAGACGAAATTTGCAGTATAAAATGATATCGTCATTCTATTTCACAGGTTCTCATCAGCTGCAGACTACCTGAAATTACAATGGTTTTATACATGATAATAACATACTTTAATGTTCGAGTGGTGGTAGAAAAGAGATACTATAAAATTGACGCATCTAAATGAAAGCATTACAATGTTTTTAGTTTAAGTTTTCATCATCAATTTATACGCTTTCAAAGTTGAAAAGAGGGGGAGGGGTAAAACAGAAAACAGAAAAAAATGATTAACAGAACAGTGTTAGCTTGTAGGTTCACATAGCAACTCAAGAAACAAAAGCGGTTACAGTTTATGGGATTAAGTTTTGTTCAGTGAGTTGAGATCACTGAATTAGATGGTTAATCAAAATCAAAATTCTGTTACCAAGGGAGTGAGAGGTTAATCACACTCTCTTTCTGTATGCATAAGTCTGGTTTAAGTCATTTGATTGCGATTGCTTCGGCAAATCGTAGTAAATTTGCTGTCCTTTGTCTTTTTAATATTTTGAAGGATTTAGAAATCTCTACGAGATGTTCGGTATCAACAATGTGTCTGGTAATTGCACTCTGGGAATATCTGCTTCCTTTCAGACACAAGTTTTTGGGAATATGTTCAGAAAACCGGATAGAAGCCCTTCTTTCCGTCCTTCCAATGTATATATATATTATATATATATATTATATATATATATATATATATATATATATCTGGATACTGAACGAGGAGTACTCTTTTCGATAACATCATCATCAGGCTCTACACTTATATATACATTATAGTGAATGAATGAACAACATTAATGTTGTTTAAATAACATCAAATCAATAATATCGATAGATTACAGTTCAACAGCATCAACATAACAATAAACTAAATGTCAGAAAAATTAGGAAAGATAATATTACAAATTCATGAATTTGTAGTTTCTACTGAAGGCCAGGGCAGTAGTGGTGGCTGGACTTGCTTATTTTGAACACAAAGTACTAGTTGTTTTACGAGTCCCCGCTGTTTGGAGCATGCGGTGCTTCGATGATTTTGGCAATTTATTTGGTACCTAGCAGATGATAGAGAAGGATTCTTCAATGCTGGCTGGCTTTGTAGCCGGTTTGCACTTGATGGTCTAATATCGAACTGTTGATAGTTTCTACTATACCTTTACTTAGTCATAATAGTAGATATTCCCGAGTACAAATAACCAAGTTCCTCGAGCAACGGCCAATATACCTCACTCTCTCCATTACAAGCATACATGAACTGGTAGATACAATTGGAGGTGGCTAGTTTGTCTAGAAACTTTATCTTTCAATCGAGGAATCACCATCGGCCGTGTGGAGAATAAGACGTTTAGTTCACCGGCAATAAAAGTTCCTCGAACTGATTTTCTCAACTTCTTCGTAATTACTTCAACTGATATATATATATATATATATATATATATATATATATAAATTGCAATCGTGTATATAAAGGTTTCTTGTTTACAGATAGTGAGTAGTCCTTTTCCGCTTTTTTTGTCATGTGTTTCTTGATAAATTTTTCGGGATAGCTATTTTCGATCAAAGTATCATCTACAATGCCTAATTCATCTTGAATTACTTCTTCTGAGAATAAAGCTCGAACTCTGTGGCTGAGGGTCTTTACTAAATTTCTTTTGTACTCGATGGGAATGAAGCTGTAAAAATGTGTATATTGTCCTGTCCAAATACTTTTACTATGCAAATTTCTTTTCATGCGTATATATATATATATATATATATATATATATATATATATATATATACTGGAAAACAGGAGCTTGTACTTCCAGGAAAACCGAAATACGTTAGAAACGCAAAGAAAGCTATTGTAACGACAGAAGACAGGGGGCTGACAACAGATGGTTTGTTGAGGAAATCAACAGATATTTATAGATTTTTATGTAGATTATTATTCATTATTATTAGCAGAGAAACAGCGTCTTCTGATTGGTCGTTTTCTCTCTTTGTGGCCGTTTTTTTAAAGGTAACACCCACGCAAAGTCCTTGTGCTTGTTTTCCTCATAACCAAGGTTTGGGAGGCAAAAATTGACGTAAATTGCTGTCTACCAATTTCGGCTAGCAGACAGGTCTCACCATACTAGTACTTCGTGCGGTACAATGACTCATTTTTGCATTATCACTTTTAGCTCAACACAGTTATGAGTAAAAAATTAGGGGAAGGGTGGGGTGGAAGATTTGTGTGTCAAATGTTAAGGCGAAATTCTAAAATTTCACTTCATTCTGAAACTACAAGATTACATTATATTCCCCAGAATGATAATAAAAGCCTTCTAATTAAACCACCCAGCTCAGAGAACGCAGCTACGCCGACAGATTACTGAATGCCTAATCTCCAAATCTAATATCTTATACATGACTTTAGTCGATTGAATATAAATACAGATTACGTAATCCATGAGGTGACGTATCGTTTCTTCTCCACAACTTCCTCATTGGATAACTTCAGTCTTACTACATTGCTTAGAAAGTCACCGAGTAAGCTTCATAACTAAACCGTCCAGTTCAGGGGAAACAGATACACTGAAATCATCCATCTGAGCCACAAATCCTTTTCATCATTTCTAGCAAATTTACCAACTTATTCTTCATAATTATCAGTATCTTACAAACTGCTGATTATGACATAATTTGTTGTTAACTTCTAAAATTTAGCCAGAGCTTTGCTGTTTCCCAAGCAGTGATGTTTATTTTATGGGGTATAGAGTTTCTAGGCTTATACCCGAATTTCCCTCTTTACCGGTCTTATAACCGCCATAGCGAGGTTTAGGAGTGCGTTCGTCGGCCGGAGATCGAACTCTAAACCAAATCCGACGTAGTTGGCAATCATTCTACCTCTGTACCACCAAAACATTCACATATCATAATATATTTGCTATGCTATTGAGGGTGGTACTTATTAAAAGCTATGCACAGATGTGCAGATATTCATAAAGAATTGATTTAAAAAATGGTGTATATTTCTTGCCGCTATAGGTTACTTGTCCAGTGACGCGCCATTTTTGCTGACATTCACGACGACATCTTTCATCACTGCTGATTATAGTGATAAGCAACTTCATAAAAACAGCATGTTTAAGTAGAATGATTGTCAAATTTATATGAACTTGATAACGAAATGTTACTTCCAACTGTGTATTCCAATACACATATACCTGTGGGAGCATTTATATTGAAAGAACAGAAATGAGGGCCTAGGTCAGGTTCTTCTAACTTTTTTCAAGGAGCTCGAGGTTAAGTTGGATACATAGTTCGAGCTCTGCAATCAGTAAAAACCTAATAGATACATGATACCGAGTACACGCCCTGAGATCATTCAAAACAATTAACAGACAAAACAACTCAAGTCTTCTTCGGTTTGCTGCCATAAAACGGCTGACTTCTGTTCGAAAAGGATATGTCGTCGGACTCCAGTTACCACGGTGATTCATTCTTCAGTAACTGTTTGGTTACTAATCTCATTAACTCATCTTTTCAACCCTTTTCATCCCGTTTGACTCCCATAAAAGATAATTCTTCTTGGCCTTATGGGTTCTAATTACCGTAATACATCACTATCGTTTCATTTGACCTCTTATATACCAAATTTTAATCCTTTATTATACAATTTTTGTTACCACCCTAGCAACAAATTTGCCAATTAATTTTTGAGAAACTTCTTTCTAACAAGACAAATATTCACAGTGTAATACTTGAGGTACTTCATCGTCCCAATGTTTTATCTAACCATGACGCTCTTACCACAAGCCTGTTTATTGATAGACAAAAGTATGCTAAAACTTTACACTGACTTATTGTGTGAAAGAGTGAGTGTAGGTTGTACGCAGGTGATGAGAAATCAAATACATCCATATTATTCTGCGCCAATGTTTGTTCTTTCTCCTTCTCAAATTTATGAAAGGGAATTTTTGCATGAAACAGTTTAATGTGTGATCAAGTTGTCAAAGAGTTAACTTCGACCAGTTTAAATATGATATCTATACATGGCTAGAGTCCCCAAGGTACTGCCAACCAACTGCTGAGGATTGTCAGTATTAATTATTCTTCCCTTGTGTTTCGAGTGAAACATAGGTTATTTAACAGCCTGTCTCCAATTTGTTCTATTTGGTGCCGGCCTTTTCAGTCGGGTCCACCATTGACCATAACCTATTGTCTACTCCTCTCACGATCTCCTCCACTTCACCCTTGGGCGACACAATTCAGCGCTTCACTTTGTGATTCCAATCGAGTGGTGGCCTGTTGAGTGATGTCATTCGACAGCCTCCTCCTCCTCCTCCTCAATGTATGCCCAATCCATTGCCATTTTTGCTCCTACATATTTACCGAGCGATCAGCTCTTGGTTCATCGCCAGAGTTTATAGTTGGTAATTGTTTATGATCAACCAACCATGTGATCTTCAGTATGTAGCCAACGAAGGCAGCTGATAATAAAAGTCTCTAACTTGTTGGAAACGGCTTTTTGGGACGCTCTGGCCAAGTTTCTGACCCGTATAGAAGAAGTGACTGACTCAGCTTTAGTGCTGAACAGAGTGCGAATTTTACTCTTTATGTTGAGTGCAGAAGATTTCCAAACTGGTTTCAAATTGGTGAAGGCGTATCTTGCCTTTCTGATTCTGGCTGGCTGGATGGCTCTGACATCTTCATCCATTCTGCTCTCCTGTAGTTGAAACCAATGCTTCCTAGATAAGTGAAGGAATTAACCCCTGGTAAATCTCTCCCACTGATGGTGATTGGTGCTGGTTGTTGTTGTTGGTGGTGGTGGTGGTTGGTTATCTTCGTCACCTCCATCTTATCTATGTTCACCATCTGGAGTCCTGTCTTCGCTGCTTCTTCAGCCAGTTTTTTTGGTTTTCACCTATAAGTCTTTGAGTTTGTGTGACATCAGAAGTATATCTGTGGTGAGAGCAGCCTGCTAGCCAATTGGTTGACATTAATCTACGTCAATGTCTAGGTCACTAATATGGGTCGTGAGAAAATATGAACAAGGCTGTTTCAACAACCAATCACAGCAAACTTAAACGTGGGCAAATGTGATTCGCAGATAGATGGCTCCACATTCCGAGGAACTCGAAAACAACCAATCAGAAGACTGCGTTTGTCTACTTGACTAGGCTATAATAATGTATGTGAAATTTATATAAATACGTGTTGATTTCCGTAATAAAACGATCTGTTGCCTGGCCCTTGTCTTCTGTTGTTATATATCATCTGAGAAATTCAGGTCTCCTAGAGTCTTCTCATTGGTCTAGCGTATTCCTGTCTTGTCACTCCTCACAGGCTGACTCATAATCCAGTCCACCACCACTAAAAGTATCATTGGTGATAATAGACAGCTCTGTATTAATCTTGTATTCACTTCAAAGTCTTCGTTAGTCTTTCCGTTTTGGATCACCTGACACTTGACATTGTCATAAAGCAAACTGTTGAATGAGGTTGATAAAGACTTGGGCACTAAACTCCACAATGTTGAAGCAGTTTCCAAATTACTTCTTGGTCAATGCTGTCAACGTAGAAGGTCTTTTTGAAGTCGATGAAGTTAAGGTACAGTTTTCACTGCTATTCTATGATTTATTCTGTAATGATGATGGTGATGATGATGCATAGGGTTGCAATTTGACCAGTACATAATTCGTCTTTCCTGAATCCAATCTGATTCATCGCTAACGTCTCAGACGCATTAGATTCTCATTGTTCTTTCGCACATTTCCATTTAGTACAGTTCCTTAGGATTCTCTTCTCTCTCTCACTAACCTTATCTATGAGTTTATCAGATGTGTCAGATTGAGCGTTTATACTTTTGTGCAAATCCTTTTTAGGTTGAAAATGGCAGTCAGTCGCTTTGAGTAGTATAATCAAATAAGTCAAATTCACAATATGCAAACTGGTTAACGGATTGCAATCTACACACAGAGTTCTAGTGGTAAAATTTCACCGTAGTTTCCTTAAGAAAGCAAGTTATTCAGATCACTACAAAATGTGATCGCCTTGACACCACTAAGTGGTAATCAGAAAAGCAAGCATATTCCTGTAAAACCATAGACTACTGATTGGTTGTTATGAGTAGTCTCGTACCACTCTAATACTATGGTGAGAGCTATCTGCCAGCCAAAATTGTAGACAACAATTTACGTCACCCTTTACTTCACGAATTGGGGTCATGAGAGAAAACGATAACAAAGCTTAATCTTAAGGAACTCACCCACCAATCACAGCAGAACTAACGTGTGCAAATATGATTTGCAGACATATGGCTTAATTTTCTGAGGAATGATCACAAGTAGTACAGAATAACCTTAAGTAAGAAAACAACCAATCAGAAGAGGTTGCTTCCTCGCTGACAATAATGTACATAAAAATCTATAAATATCTCTTGATTTTCTCAGTAAACGATTGTTGCCTGACCTTTATCATCTGTCGTCATAATACCAACCAGTAGTACTTGCTGGCAGGCCATATCGAGATAAACTAAACACTTGGGGCCAAGCTCATCTTTAGTAATGTAACCAGGTTGACTCAGCCTACAAAGCTGAATCAGTTCAAACACCAGATTTGTGGCCAGCTACTTATTCATTAATCAGTAGTATATAGTTTTATGCATAATTTATTTTACTCCATTATGTTCCCAGTTGAACATAGGTCTAGAAGCTAGAGGTTCGAAGTTTCGGTAGTAGTGGCGTTTGATTTTACGAGATTGGGTTGTCAGCTTCATGTCCAGCCCTCCCACTTTACCAGTCTGTTATCTGGCTTAGTGAGGCAAAGAAGGGCGTCGGCCGGGGACCGAATCCTGAACCACATCCGGCGTGATTGGCAAGTATTCTACCTTAGTGCACAAATTTATGCATAGAATCAAGTAAACTGAATCTGTTGAGGCTAGACAAACTGATTCAAACAAATGAAGTTACAACCTACCAGTAATATTAATAATTTTTGTATGTGAATGTAAATACTCTCCATCAGGTGAATTTCGCAGAATGCATAATACACGTATTTGACCTGGTAGTGAAAAGCTTCCTTTACCACGTTTTGGTGGAATAATAATTTGATTATTATCATGAGTTAAATTTACCGCAATGATATCACGTTTACCACCAGTAATATTAACTGCCCAAAATATTTTCAGCTCATTTAATTCTTCAAAACTTAATCCACCACACATTATTGGTCTTTTTGAATTAAGAAATACAGTAAAACTTTCATTTTCATTCATATTCATAAAAATTGGTGTATCATCACCTAGATGGGAGAAAAAAATGAAGAAATAAATGAAGTGTTAAGTTGAATAAACTCGTTTTCATGGAATGCTCCAAGTTAGGTCATGAATTCACATCTCTTAAAGAGATGATATATTCCTCACCCTCCTAGGTGAAGACACCGAAAAAATAAAGCAGAGTCTTCTCAACACCTTGATCAGCAATCTCTGAAAGTGTGGCAAGCGATTCGCCCCTGTCAAATGTAAGATTATGCTACAGGACAGCCTAGACAATATCGATCCCTAGCTTAAAGATAGGCAGGAGTTAAGTCGTATAGCGTGTTGACCACTTCACAGTTATTTGGGAAGTTGTATCAGCCAGCGCCAGCTGGTTGATTGCTGACAGAATCTCAGTACGGATATAGAAGGCTAATTTGGAATTCGCTATCGCTGGTGACTTGGTAGACGTGATATCCGGTTGGCTAGCTGTCTTTCATCATAGGTGTCTGCATTCTATCTCCCATGTTAGACGGTAGTTTAATAAGGTGAGTAATATTGAGGTTGGGTTTCGGTCGACTGCTAGGTAAGCAGGAGAGAAAGCTAGTCGATGAGGTTGTGAAGTCACATCAATGCTTAAGACATGTGTTACGCATGCCTAGTCTAGCTGTCGCCTTCCCCAACGGGAAATGTTGGCCACTGACAGAGAACCACTCAGGTCGGAAAAGAGCTAATGGTGGTCAGAGTAAAACATGGCTTCATCAGTCACTCAAATCCACAACAGTTAGATTAATCCAGCCATGTAGGATGTTGTAGACTGGCAGTCTGGATTCCTGCCAGACTGGTTGGAGTCCTTGGGATGGTAAGAATCAATGACAGATGGAAACTGCTGGTGATCATATGGCTCAAAATAGTTGTTGTCAGTGTTATCAAAGATGCATTCACTCTTTGTGATTTATCAGACATAGCCAATAGGACTGTAGTGTTCTTCCATATTAGTGTTCTTTTTCCCCCACACTTCTATTTATTATGTCTGTTTATTCTCTTTTCTTGCTAGTGTGCTACAAACAGGGAGGGCGGGAACTGGAACTGGTGTACATCTGTGCAAAAATCTACGATGAAACCAGTCAGTCAGTGCTACCGTCAGTAAATGTCATCATTGAGTATTTGTCCTTACATCCGACTTCGTGGAACTCACAAATTATCACTAGAACCGCAGACTACTTCATCCAGGTTAATATATTCAATATTTCAGGATCTGAAAACCTGTAGGAAAATAATTAATTAAATCAGAATTTCTTTAAGTGTTCCGGTAGTTCATCGACTCAGAATCAGTTGTTCAGTGTTCTAGCCCTAGTGGAATCATAAATACTGATTGCTGAATAATAGCTTCGGGCTAGGATTGAAGATCCAACTGAATAATCACCAACAAATTATATACTATGTGGTGAGAGCAGCCTGCTAGCCAATTGGTTGACATTAATCTACGTCAATGTCTAGGTCACTAATATGGGTCGTGAGAAAATATGAACAAGGCTGTTTCAACAACCAATCACAGCAAACTTAAACGTGGGCAAATATGATTCGCAGATAGATGGCTCCACTTTCCGAGGAACTCGAAAACAACCAATCAGAAGACTGCGTTTGTCTACTTGACTAGGCTATAATAATGTATGTGAAATTTATATAAATACGTGTTGATTTCCGTAATAAAACGATCTGTTGCCTAGCCCTTGTCTTCTGTTGTTACATCTACATAAGATTAACTATTAGTTGATTAGTCATATCATCAATGAATCTTTTGATAATTTGATCATAAGGTCAAACCACAGTGAAATTATCTGTACCGCTTACGCCTGTTTCACCCTATTTAGTTAGAAGAGTAAATATATATGTGTAAAATTTGGGCACTGTGGTAGTAAGTAATTCCATATTAGTTTGTTTATTAGATGTATCACACAGTGATTGAAACAGTACTATTCACTTTATGACAAGGTTTCGAACAAAATTTATTACTGTTCATAATCATTTCATCAATTATAATCACACAACTTCGAAACCTGAGTTTTATAGTTTTCTTTGTCCTCTCTTATATGTCGTAGGGGTAGTAGAATTTTCCACATATCTGGGACAGGTGTTGAATCATTCCTATTACATGTACTCTGTTCTCAGTTGATTCGATAAACAAAGCTTCCGTTATCAATCTCTCCCTCGACTCTGTGACATTAGATTTTAAAACTGTCACCTCATTCCATCCTCCTATTGTATGGTTGTGTGTAACTGCATGTATTGAGTGGTATAGCTGAACAATTTTCTAGATTTCTTATCTTATTCGGGTCAACCAATCTAGATTTTGCTAGGTTTTTGTGCTCGGCTAGTCTGGCTACCCCTGTTCTACTAGTTTGACCTATGTATTTTACCTGACAGGGTATTAGATAAACTAAATTGTTTTGTTTTAATGGTTCCACAGGAATGATCTTTTAACCGACAAAGCTTGTTTCTAATTGAGTTTGTGGGTTTGAATAAAAGTGCCATTCAGACTGTCCATAAACTGTCTAGCCTCTACCAGTGCATGATTCAAGCAACACCAACCAATGTCATCGTTGGCGAGTGTTTGTTCTCACGTCCGACCCAGTGGAACCCACTGGTCATTCCTTCTTATTAGAACTCCAGGCAATTTCATCCTCCTGAAACCAGCCAGTCACTAATGAGCATCAAATTGATTTTCAAGAGTTAATTTGTAAGGATTTTGATTCAAACTCAAGTTTGATCACGGATCGATATGAGTTAGAGAACCAACCAATAAAATATAACTCAATAACATTTGGACAGTGTTATTAGAAGACGGAGATTATGTGAAAAGGTATGTGATATATTTACGCTATACATTTCGAACAATCTGACCACTTATTTACTTGTCAAGTCAATATATGTGGAAAATTAAGTGCAGTTTAATTAAACAAAGTGACAACAACAAAAAAGGATTTAAGAATGATTAACACAACGTTTGGTAACCGAATCAAATGAGGATTACAAAGGTAGGTTAAGTGTAATAATAAATTGTTTTTGAATACACAAGGGGGGATTAAGTTTATGAATAGCTATAGCCTCGGTGTATTTCAATAAGTGCCCTTGACCGTCTTTATAGATGACCTTAAAGGCTGAGTTAACATCAGCCTTATGGTTCATCTCCATCAGATGGTGTTTAGCTATAGACGAAGTTGGTAGTCTGACACCTGTATCTATTGGTTTTTCACAATTTATTTGTTTTTCTAACCATTTCGGAATACGTTCTCCCGCCCTCACATGCAAAGCAAGATTACCTTTCCCTATATATGTTTGTCCACACGCACACGAAAATTGCCAAATAATGTGGGATGTGACATAATCAATTGTGCAGTTTTAAGGTTTGCAGTGGAGCATATTTTTGGATTTTTCAATAATTACAAGCCGGGCTGCATAATAGGTCTTACGGATGATCGAATTCAACCTTTGTCTCAAAATCCTACTATTTATTTCCCCGTTATACGATAATTTGATGAAGACATTTTTCTTAGGGGTGGTATGGATTGTAGGTTTAAAGACTAATTGACTTCTACACCTGTTTAAAATTTTTAAAGGATATCGGTTTTCAACAATATTTCACTTTCTTTCTCTATTACATCAGCTGTGCAAATAGATTATCTAAATTGAAGAGATGATGGTTCAATAAGACGATCAATCTACAGAAAGACTACTTGAACAGGGCAATACCTAAATTTTCACAACTTCTGTCCATTACAGTATAAATGAGGCTTGGTACAGAGCTTATGCTATAGAGAAAGAAAGTGAAATATTGATGGATACTCTCTTGTTGAAAACGGATATCCTTTAAAAATTTTAAAAAGGTGTAGAAGTCAGTTAGTCTCTAAACCTAGAATCTATACTACTGGCTTTGTGTATTCAAAAACAGTTGATTATTACTCTTAACCTACCTTAGTAATCCTTATTTGATTGGATTACCAAACGTTTGTGTTAATCGTTCTTAAATCTTTTATTTCACTTTGTTTAACTTAATTGCCCTTAATTTTCAATATATATCGACTTTAAAAGTAAATGTGTAAGGCATCAGACTGTTCGAAATGTACAGTGCAAATACATCACATACCTTTTCAGATCATCGCCGTCTTCTATTAACAATACTATCCAAATTTATGAAAGGGACTAATTGTTTCAATAACATTCAACACTAATTTCAGGAAAAACACAATGTAAACTTACGGAATACATTGATATATTTACTGAATTTATAAAATTCCCTGTTACTTTTAAACTCCTTATATATACATTCAACTTCAACAAAACCAGTGAGTAAATAGGTTTTATATCCCCTAGGCGGTGTAATTATTACACTATGATTAACTGTTTTCAATGCTATAATTTCTTTTCGACCATTGATAATTCGACCTGTCCAGTAACCATTAATTAATTTTTCAATATGCTTTGGTAATATACCACAGGCAAATTGTTCATTAGAATAAAAATGTAAATCAATATTTGAATTATCTATCCCATTCAATGTACCATCAATTTCACAATCTAAAAGATGATTAAAAGTGAATTAAATCAATTCATACTACTGAAACAGTATGAGTAGTTAAAACACATTAATATCAGTAAAAAGTTTGAGCATTGTGGATAAGATCAAAATAAAGTATAATTGTATTTTAATAGTTTACACACAATTCCAACAGTGGTGTGAACACGGGCAGTAATTTTGCTCGAAATATTACCAATAACAAAACTTATCATTGTGTGTAAACTATTAAAATATAATTATACTTTATTTGAGTTAAAACACATTTCATAAAGTTGAACTAAAGATCCAAAATTCTCTTTATCTAAAGTAATTCACTTGTTATGTGTAAACAGCATCACAGACTGTCCCTACCAGTTGCTTTACTTAACCTTCGATAATTTTGAGAAATTATTAGAATTATCGTCAACGTAACTTAATTCGTTCGCTAATTGTCCACCGAAGTAACTGAATTTCTCCCACCATCTAACATCAGCGTGATAATTCTTTAATTCAATGGTGCAAACACTTTTGATAGTCTTCGGAAAAATGACATTACCATTGAGTTAATAGGTGACTGATGACTGAATGTCACTTCAGCACTTCTGTCCAGATTAACTTTAAGCTGCAAAGATATAATCATAATTAAAGCTTTATTTCAGATAGTATGTGAGTATATAATACAGAAATTCTCAGAGTTTTTAGTTCAAAAATATTTCCTTCTCACACAGGATTTACGTTATGGTGAGCGCTACTGTTAAGGATTATCAGTAGTATATAAAGACACGTTCAGTGACATAAAAACATCAAATATCAGGGAGATACAGTCGATTTCAGAGAAAGCAAGTGGTACAGCGTTATGGAAATACATTGGAGACGTGAAAGGAACACAAAGAAATACAACATGAAATCCAGAAATACCACACCGTGAAGATCTGTGTAAATACTGCGTTGAAGATAAGGTGTACATTATTTGGCTATGTGAAGTAATAATCTGAAGTACATCATGTGTAGCGTAATAATTTCGCAAATGTGATGAAAGAGCCAGTTCTGTATGTCTATCAATCATCTCCTTCAAGAATTCCACAGCTTTTAGTTGGAAGCTAATTAAATATTCGCGCCAGTTCATGTAGTCATCTTTTAATATAATTACATGATTTAAACAATAAGAGACGCTAAAGAGTTTAGGCAGCATTTCGATGCATGGAAATCCCAGTAGCCCAGAAGTTAAAGCAGGTTACCCGGCCATGGATATTCGGAGAACGGGATAAACTAGAAAGTATTTGTGTTTATTTCAGTGGTGAAAACTATCCATAACAAGAAAGAATATCGATTAAGAAAGAAAAGAAGCACTTGTGTAAAGCACAGACATAATTAGTTGGGATTTCATTTCAAAATGAATAATAATAATAATAATAGTGAAATAATGATAATAATAACAGTACCAGTAAAATGAAGGACACCATTTGGTGTTAATATCAAGTCACATAGTCTTTCTGAATGAAGTTACACAACATTCTAGCGGCTCAAGTTGTCATACCTCGAAAAAGTGAACACATAAAAGAAAAGAAAATGAAAATAAATGAAATTATAATGTTTTACGAGTTGATCACGGATTGATATTAGTTAGAGAACCATTGAAAACTAGGGAGTACTGGACAGCTGCTGTTTCATCCTAGTTTGGGAGTCATCGGAAGTACACACCCACTGGGATTCGAACCCAGGACCTTCCGGTTACAAGGCAAGCTGGCTCGTATACCATTCAGCCACTGGGATCCGATTCAATGACCGGCCCATGAATTCTAATTTCTACCAATTCGTGATTTAGTGCGATCCCAACCATTGTCGTTGGTGGGACATCCATCCACACACGTGACATCTAACTGGACCTCACTGGTCACGACTTCTCACTAGAACTCAGGAAACTCCAACCTGTAGCAAGTCACTAGCGAGCATCAGATTAATTTTCTAAAGTTTGGTTTATAAGGGTTAGTTATGTTTTTACGAGTTGATCACGGACTGATATCATAAAAAATAAAACTAATCCTTACAAACCAAACTATAGAAAATTAATCTGATGCTTGCCAATGACTTGCTACAGGTTGGAGTTTCCTGAGTTCTAGTGAGAAGTCGTGACCAGTGAGGTCCAATTAGATGTCACGTGTGTGGATGGATGTCCCACCAACGACAATGGTTGGGATGGCACTAAATCACGAATTGGTAGAAATTAGAATTCATGAGCCGGTCATTGAATCGGATCCCAGTGGCTGAATGGTATACGAGCCAGCTTGCCTTGTAACCGGAAGGTCCTGGGTTCGAATCCCAGTGGGTGCGTACTTCCGATGATTCCCAAACTAGGATGAAACAGCGGCTATCCAGTACTCCCTAGTTTCCAAAGGTTCTCTAACTGATATCTATCCGTGATCAACTCGTGAAATTATAATGGTCAAAATACGTCCAGGAAAAGAGAATAATTAAGTAAAGAACAATGAGGATTTTCAAAATATATAAAGTGATAAGAGATAAATAAATCGGGATAATTGAAAATAATAATTAATTATGAGCTGCATCATCGAAATTCGCTCAACAACATTGCTTCTCAGAATGCAAAGCACACCATTAGATATACACCCTTTTCAGATGTCTGACACACACACACACAGTGAAAGAATCTGTGCATTGTTGCAGTGTTGGAGGCCTCTTAACTTGGTAAAGCCTGCGTTACACAACTCCTAGACATCAATCAATCAACCAATCAACGAAGACTATCAACCTTATCAATTGTCTTTACCTCTGTAGCTGAAACTTCTCCGCCATTATATCATAAATATACATATATAAGCATACATATTCAAATACAATATAACTTACCAGTTATTGTCACCTTCTTTGTAAACTCAAAGATTATACGTTTATCCTCAAAATTCCTTAGGATACATCTGACTTCAATTCTGCCAGTGTTATAATATACTTGATGATCTTTTGGTGGTGTTATAATTGTTCTATTTTCGTGAGTGCTTAAACTGATTAAATCATTTAAACCTGTTAGTATTTCTACCTCCCAATAACCATTTAACTGTTTCACTAACCGATTAGGTAATAATCCACATTCTGCTGTTTTATTTGTACCAACAGACCAATACAGATCTAGTGTATTCACTCCATTGAGTGTTCCATCCATACCACAGGCTAAAATGTTTAGACAAAAAAACAAAACATTGATTTCTATATATATATATATATATGTTTGATGATGGTTAAACGTGAAATGAGAATTTCGATATTCAAGGGAGATGCCTTGCGAAGATTTGACTGATTGGATACAGGATTTCATTATGAGCTGGCTGATATCGTTTAAAGAACCACTGTAGAAGCATCATTCAACTATCGGATAGCTAACTTTTTCATCAGGCTTGTTTGAGACTCTTCAGCAATGTGTACCCACCGCACTGCCAGGGTTTTAACCACTGGCACCCGACTCCTCAATGGCCAGTGCATGAATTTTAACTTCTCTCAATTCACAAGGTAGCGCGACAACTAGACAGTGTTCACGGTGAGGTGAGTGTTTGTCCTCAAGATAGGATTCGAACCGGTGACTTCTGAACTACTCGTAAAACAGTCTACTAGCTGACCAAGGAGACTCGACTGTTAACAAAGATGGCCATTCCACCGTAATGAGTACTGGGAATCACCATATGAGAAAAACTTAATATAAACAGTATTAGATGGTTGGAGGCAATCGGCCACAGAAAGCCTTGGACCTGGGTTTCGTGCCAGTTGGCACTCATCAGTCAGCAAGGCGTATCTGCAACCTTGAAGGGTTCGTGAGCCCAAAAAGCTCAGTGATAACGTCTCTGACTGCAGGAGGCACTAAGTGATGCGAGTTCGAATCTCAGAAGGGACATGAGTTCCTTCACAGTTGCAGGTATGCCTTGCTGACGAGTGCCAACTAGCACGAAACCTAGGTGGTGTAGCCGATTGCCTGCGACCATCTTATATCATCAAATCAATGTGCATTGTGATGACAAGCTACCTAGAATGGTGGCCACATTACAAACCTGACTGATAGTATTCAGTCTGCGCCAAAGATAGCCGGACTAGACACATCACGCTAGTTACTAGTGTTCAATCAAAATGATATAAACAGTGTTTTGAATTATATTAGGGTAATTTTTGCATTAGATTTTTTTGAATGTCTCTAGTGATACAATCAAAAGAATCTAGTTGGCACAATAGTTCCAGATCATCCTTAACCCCAACAGCAAGAGGGAGGAGGCGGGTTTATTCATGATTGTATCCACTTTGAAGAGTTTTAAACTAGGAGGGAAGCGCTGTCCAGTACTCTGGGTTTCGTAGTGGTTGAAAAAACGATGTCAGTCAACGAAATCAATCAGATTAGTAAAAATAACACAGCACTGGAATATTAATTAAGTAGTTGCTCAGATGTTGGAGAACACTAACCGGTGGCTTCTAATTCATCGGTTGAATAACCATCAGATTTGACAGTCTATAACTAACTTTTTTAAGATTTACTAAAAGTAAAGTTAGGTAGTCTGGGAATCAATAAAGTGGTTACCGACTGGATTCAAGACTTTCTAAAGGACAGAAGACAAAGAGTACGAGTTAACGGGGTTTTATCAACATGGGAATCGGTTAAGAGTGGCGTTCCTCAGGGTACAATTCTAGGCCAACTTCTTTTCCTGATTTATGTTAATGAGATTCCATCGGTAGTTAAGTCATCCTGCTTACTGTTTGCTGATGACATCAAGATATGGAGGGCTTTGCACGATGACAGTGATCAACTTGCTTTGCAGGAAGATTTAAACTTGTTAAGTGATTGGTGTAAGCACTGGGCCTTGGAGATTAACTTAAGCAAGAGTGTAGTTATGCATGTATCCCATAGTCACGTGCACAATTACTCAATGAATGGCATTACTCTCCCAGTGGTCACTGAGTACAAGGGCTTGGGAGTGGTTGTGCAGCATGACTTGAAAACAGCAACAAACTGTAGAACTGCAGCCACTAAGGGTTTTAGAATGTTATGGGCCATGCGCAAGGCTTTTGCGAACTTTGACGCTGATATATTTTGTATATTATATCCGACTTATATCAGACCTCATTTGGAATATGGGATCCAGGCAGCGAGCCCGTGTTTCAAATACAAAATAGACTTATTAGAAAGGGTGCAAAGAGTAGGAACTAAGCTAATAAAGGGTTTCTCAACCCTGTCATATGAGGAGAGGTTAAGTCGACTGGGTTTATTTCCACTGTCATACGGACGACTTAGGGGTGACCTAATACTAGCATACCGTATCCTAAGAAATGATTTTGGAGCTAATTTATCTGAATTATTTCTTCCTTCTAGCACCAACCAATTGCGAGGACATCACCTCAGGGTTCAAAACCACGGTCGAATCGTCTGCATCTGGAAATCCGTTTTTCGCATCGAATTGTGAACCATTGGAACTCCCTACCGGAACACGTCGTATCAGCGCCATCCGTTGATTTATTCAAGGCGAGATTGGGCCTCCTGTATGCAATAAATCGAAAGGATTAACACAGGCATATAGCCTACTATCCTAAATAAATTGTAAACTGTAAACTGTAAAATAAAGTATTCACTAAGATATACAGGCTGTATATATGTGGAGCAAGCAGATAATACTAAAATTATCGTTTAAAGTAATTTTCGAACTGAGACAACTGACGTACATTATTGTCACCACGAAGAGCTGGTCCGTTTACATGATGCTTGTAGCATAGATGGCACTGATGCTGTAACTAAGTCAAGTACAAAATCCCTTAGAATAATTTTATCCTCTTATCTTTCTTATCCAGTCATCCCAAATGACTGTCAGGTTTTTAAGAAAATGTTGTGTCCAACCACCTTCTACATTAGGAACTTAAGACAGTCAAGAATCACTCAGCTTCTGCTTTCACACTTCATTCACTCTTTCATTTTACGTATTAAACTTTACTGCTTCTCACCCCCCCCGCCGGCCTTATTCTTTTCTGGGCTACTCAAATAGGACTATGTCATATTGTGAGGGTAACAGAGGTTGTCAGTAGGAGAAGTGGTATGGTGTTTAATTAGTTTTTTACTTCTGTATTCGAAAGACACCTGGACTCATATGAGAATTGGTCTAAATCCATAGTGTCTATCTCTAAACATTTTCTCTGTACTAATCTCTCGCCGCCTTGCATCTTATCAGGTAGAAGCACTAGAAGCCATTACGCTAGATTATATGCTTGTACAACCAAGTATGGAAACTCAACCATATTCTATTTGCTCCGTTTCCTATTTGATATGGATAATGTTAAGTTGATTGCATGGAGGATTTCATCATGAGCTGACATCATTTAGAGAACCGATGAAAAAAACATCCTGAAAGTACTAGACAGCTATTTCGTTCTATTTTTAGGACTCTTCAGCAGCACGCACTCACCAACAGGGTTCGAACCCAGGACCTTCTGGTTACAAGGCGAGCTCGTGGACCATTGAGCTACTGGGACCCGATCCATTGGCCAGTCCATGAATTCTAAATTCTGCCAATCCACGACATAACGCGACCATTTCTCAATGTCTTCTTCGATGAGTTACAGCCTCATCTTCAACCTGCTCTACCCTATTGGTCACGGCTTACTAATAGAACCCCAAGTTAACTAACTGCCTGAATAGAACCAGTCACTAGTGAGCATCAGGTTAATTATCAAGTGGTTCTCTAACTGATGTCACCTCATGATGAAATCCTCCATGCAATCAAACCTACGAATTACTGTTTTATTAGCAAAGTTATCGACTCTTTTATTCTCTCCTATGTGTGATCTACGGTGACCCTATTTCAATTATTGTGTTACAATTTTAGTCATTAACATTGTTCTCATCATCATGATTTTATACTTTTTCTAATACATTTTCGACTTGTTTGTCACCGCTCATACTGAAAAAGCTGATATTATCAATTCTGGTTATGCAGACCTTTATCAACCAACAACTGTCTTCACTGGCTCTATACTGAAGATCAGATGGCCAGGCCTGAAAGAATCACCAACAAGAAACTATGGCTGCGAACAAACAAGACAAGAACCAATCGCCAGCCAACAAATATGCATTTGGAGAAAGTGGAGATGGATTGGACACTCGTGGCTGATGAGGCCGGTTGGTGACATCGGGCGTCAGCCCATTGCTCGAGTGGAACCAGGCCTAAAGGGAAGCGGCGAGTGGGACGTCAGTGCAAGGGTGACATTGAGGAGATCGTGTGAAGAGGAGTTGAAACAGTATGGACTAAACAGCATGGATGGAGGTGGAAAGTACAGCAGAAGGAAGACAGAAGTGGCAAGTGGAGACGTGCAGTTGAAGCCCTATGTTCCACTAGGAACCCAAGGGAACAACAATAATAATAATACCCTGTAAAGTAAATTCTTAGGTTTTGCTTTTGCTGTTGTCGAGTAAATCAGGTGGAATATATTTTAGCGAATGCTGACAATTTCACTCTGTTTCATCATAAGTACTGTTTTGGGATAAAACAAACTGTGAGATCTGTCTGCTAGCCAAAGTTGGTAGACACCAACTTACGTCAATGTTTGCGTCCAAAATTTTGGTCATCAGAAAAAATAATAGCAAAGCCTAACCTTGAGGAACTCAATAACCAATCACAGCAGACTTAGCGTGGGCGGATACGATTCGCAGATATATCACCGAACTGTCTAAGAAACGGCAACAAAGCGATGACAGAATAACCTTCAGCAAGGAAGACAACCAATCAGAAAACTTTGCCTCTCTGCTAACAATAACGAATAATCATGTATATAAAAATCTATAAATATCTGTTGGTTTTTTCAATAAACGATCTGTTACCTGGACCTTGTCTTCTGTCGTTACATTGTTATTATTATTATAATCTGTCAAAGGCAAGATCATGCTATACTAGTGGATGGTCAGAAAATATAAGCAATAATACTTTTCATCAGTGAATCAGATGGTGAGGACATATTTCCTACCAAAAATGTGCAGAAGGAAATGGGAGTGAACTAGACACTCACTGAACAGATACCTCCAAGTGACATTAGACCTGAACAAGGAGCGATAAAATCATCGAATGCTTGGGAGGGGTGAATAGCAGTCGCATAGTTAGTTGAAATTCGATAGCAGGAAACCGAATGCAAGATGCTTATGTAAAACCACATATCTCACTAGGAATCCCAAGAAAGAAGAATAATGATAAAAGTGAGCATTTCATATATTTGGTTCCTTTGATAAATTTCGATAGAGAAGGAAAGAAAGAAAGACCAGATTCGTAGGATGAAATGATATCATCATTCTATTTCACAGGTACTCATCAGCTAACTGCAAGCTACCTGAAATTACAATGGTTATAAATAATAACATTTCATACTTCAGTGTTTGAAAGGTAATATAGAAGATATTATAAGATGAACGTATCCGGAATATAAGTATTACAATTTATAGTTTAATTTACCATCAAACAATGAAAAAAGGGAGTTGAGGGAAGACAGAAAACATGAAAATCTAATAAACAGTGTTAGCTTGCATGTCAACATGGCAACTCGAGAAGATTAAAGTTCATCAAATTGAAAACTTGCTTACTGAGCTGAGCTCACTAGGGTCTATGACTGATTAATGTAATGAAAGTGATATGGTTACCAAGGGAGTGAAAGATTGACTACACTCTCTTTCTATGTGCATAAGTTTGGTCTGAAACACATGACTGCAATTGCTTCAGCAGTAAATCGTAATAGATTCGTTGTCCTTTGTATGTTTAATATTTCAAAGGATTTTGAAATGTCGACAAAATGATCCAAGGTATCCACAAGGTGTCTGGTAACTGCACTTTGTAAATATATCTGTTTCCTTTTAAGCAAACATTTCTTGGAATATGCTATGAAAACCGGATAGAAGCCCTTCTTTCTCTACTTCCAATGTACTTGCTGCCACAGGTGCACGTAAATTTATAAATGCAGTTGGAGGAAACATCAGCAGGGTACTTATCCACTTCGATTGGCTTATAGAGCATGTAGTACTGCTTAGTGTCACCAGATTGGCTGCAAGGAAGCATCTCTTTATTCCTCCTTTCATCCTCTTTTTTGAATCTTTTGCGATACTATCTCTCCTTTGTATGGCAGGCGAATGAGTCCTTTCTTCTTTTCAACTGTTGGATACTTCTCTTTCTCATCTCTTTCTTTGATGTACTTCAGGATAAATCCTTTTGGATACCCATTTTCCCATAAGGCATTTTTCAACAAAACTTAATTCTTCGTCCACCTTGTTAGGCGAACATAATTCCTGGATCTGTCGTACAGTATCCTTACGAATCCCCGCTTATAGCTTATAAGACAGGAGCTGTTTTATACTTAAACTAAAGCTAATTGTAACACTTATAATCCAGTGCCTTCATCTTATAATGCTTTCTCTATATTACCTTTCAAACAATGAAGTATGAAATGTTATTATTTATAACCATTATAATTTCAGGTAGTTTGCATTCAGCTGATGAGAATCTGTGAAATAGAATGATGATATCATTTTATCCTGCATATCAGGTCTTCCTTTCGCTATCAAAACAATGACCATTATTATTATAGTAGTGTGGTGAGGGTAGGCTGCTAGCCAATCGGTAGACATTAATTTACGTCAATGTTTATGTCCCCAATATTGGTCATGAGAAAATATGAACAAAGACTGATTCAACATCCAATCACAGCAGACTTTGCGTAGGTGGATACGATTAACATATTGATGACCTGACATTCAAGAAACAGTCACAAAGAGATGCAAGGTCAACTTTCTGTAAGAAACAACCAATCAGAAGACTGTGTATGTCTGCTTACAATAATCTATAATAATGTACATGAAAATATATAAATACGTGTTGATTTCCTTAATAAACGATCTGTTGCCTGGCCGTTGTCTTCTGTTATTACAGTATGATAACTTACCAATGATCTCTAAAGTTCTAGTAAATGAAAGAATTACTCTTTGGCTACTTCTTTCTATCAATGTGCATTCAATTGTCACGTGACCAGCTTCATGATAACCATAACTAGCATATTTTGGTTGAATATTAACTGTTTGACTGCATGAACTTAAAAATATCAGGATTCTGCATTATCTCTACCGTCAACCACCTTTGCTATCCAATAAGCATCATAATTACGGTCAGCATTTGTTGGTAAAGCACCACATTTAAATGTATCGTGTGAACCGATTGAAGTTGTAACATTGAATTCATCAATACCATTAAGAGTTCCTTTTATATTCATATCTAAAAGAAAAGGCATTATTCATATATACATATGTTTATTTATGAATACTTTCTTTGAGACAAAACAACAAGGAATAGAGGAATCTTGAGAAGAATTACCGTTATAAATTCCAGTGTCGAAATACTACCACGTCTGGAGTTAGAAGTGTTGTGTATTGCTGATCCGACCGATTGCTGCTACCTTGACATGGTGGTTGGGCTTGCACATCTCAATGAACCAACAAGCTACACTGGCTGGAACTAGTGTCCCTGTAGGTCCTACCATGCCAGGAAGGTTGTTAGGATAGCGATTAGACTAAAAGCAGTTACCGGCTTATGTAAGCTTTTTTTACACTATGCTGGGGCCTGTGGGTAAATTCGTACTGCTGAGGAACAGGGATGCAACAGCAATAAGGTGTTTCCCTAAGATGACCAGCATGCTAACTATGCTGTCTCCCTACTCTGGAGAGAAAGGGTTAGAAAAAATCGACCCCATTCGACTTATCCCACAGTGTTCCGTAACCGGCAGTAAGTTCACTAATACGGAACTAAACCAAGAAACCAGTTCATACAGGCCGTGTGTGACCGGCCAGCCTCAAGCAGTTGTCCCCTGGGCTTTGCGGTCACACAACACTAACTCTTTCTGTTTCTTGTTACGAAGAATCAATCAACTTCTACGGTGTGGGCAGACGGAAAGTAACAGCTGCCCACACACTTCCAAAAGCACACGAAGCCTTCTTGTATGTTGTTGGTAGTGGTCAGAAACGGGCTAACAACATTTCCTCCTGCTTGAAGTTCGTCAAATGCATTGCTGGTGAGTGGTGATATTCCTAATGAAACCTTCACTCATTACTATCATTTCAAACATGAGGGTACTGTGGCCACGACAGTCACTTTTCATGGAACGCGTATTAGTAGATATTTGTTGAATTTATTATTATTTTGAATTTCTTGTTGGCCAACTATACGAGGCAGAAATATCCCGTCTAAAAATTGTACTCAGTGTCAGTAGCTCACTATGGATGCAATAATTCTCACTGTAGAAATGCTAATTGTCATAAATTTGATAAGACTAGGCACATAAAGCCCGTCTCTAGATGTCCAAATACTTATACTACCTAGATTACCATGATTCTTCAGATCTGTTTTTTTAACAATAATAATAAAGCTTTATTTCAGATAGCATGTGAGTATAGAGTACATTCTCAGCGTATTTAGTTCAAGAATATTTCCTCTTGATACAGGACTTACATTGTGACGAGTGCTACTGATTAGATTTATCAGTAGTATGTAAACAAAGTTCATTAGCATAAAAACATCAATAGCAGAGATACATTTGATATCAGAGAAGACAAATGATACAGAGTTATGGAAATACATTGGAGATGTGAAAGCAACACAAAGAAACACAACATGAAGTCCGAAGTACCATAACACGAAGATCTGTGCAAATGGTGCAGTGAAGATAAGGTGTACATAATTTGGCTATATGCAGATACCTTGTCAAGTCTTCGCCATTCCCTGTTCCAACATGTAAAGCAATAATTTGAGGTACATCGTGTCACCCATTTTGTCGTATGTGAAGAAAGAATCAGTCTTTTACATTTTCCCTTCATTTCCTTCAAGAATCACATACTGTTTAGTTGGAAGTTAATTTAAATATTCGCGCCAGTTCATTTAATATAATTACACCATTTAAACAATAAGAAACGTATAAAAGTTTAGGCAGCATTTTGATGTATGGAAATTCCGGTAGCCCAGTGATTTAAGATGGTGTCTGTCTGGCAACATGCAGTCATTGTGGCATTTAACATTTCACCTTATACGAATCTTGACTACAAATTAAGGCAAGATGATGTCTTCTAATTTGATGATGGAAGTAGTGCTCTTATTATCGGTTTAGCAAGGTTAAGGTGTACAGCGGCTAGAGATCGAACCGCAAACCACATGAGGCGTGATTAACAAGCATTCTACTGCTGTACGACCGAAGCATTTAGAGACAGAGTGAAGAACAAAAATAAATAGAAAACTGAACTTCTGCTTAAAGATAAACAAATAGCGTACTATACAAAAATAAATCACCAGTGAATCATTCAACCAATAATGGGAAGGATCAAAGGATGAACGAAATAGAAGTCTTCTAGGCAGTCCTAGAGGAAGTCAAAAATGATAGCAGTAAACCGAATGGAATGGAATGCCTGCCTTCCTCATGGATGGCAAGAAATCAATAATAATAATGACAACAATTCACATTAAATTTCCTCCCCGAAATACAATGTTAAATGGCGACCTGCTTAAAACTTGGGCTAATGTAAACAATCCCAGTCAATATATTGTGTATAATTTCTCTTATCCAGTTTGTTTAAATCTAATAAAATATGACCTCTAATTGTATTGTTTACTTTGGAGGGTTTTCAAAACATTAACAATCTGCTGATTTGAATGTCTTCTGGATGACAACTTATCTCAATACATGAAATAACTGTTCCTTAGCTGCGTGATTGTGTCTCGAAATGTACTCGTGAACTCTTTATAATTGGCATTCAACAAAATGTCGTGTATTCCTCGAAGGAGACAAAGAAGAGATATCATAATGATGAATTGGTTTGCGCTTCGAGTTAGATGACACTGTGTCACACAATCAACGTTCGATTAGTCTTCTATTTGGAGATTCTGGACGAAGAGGAAATATTGTGCATTTATTGTATCAATGAAAATAAAACACGTAGTGTTCAGCGAAGAGTCTCTTTTCAGCGGAGGCGAATTCATTTTCATAGCTGTACAATCACAAATATGTATGTGTTATTTTGTATGTATGTGTACATTAAGTTTGTCAAACAAAAATAGACAATTGGTTATGGTTATTTTAACTAGACAGGTGAAGATTGGTTGTTGGAGTTATGTAATGTAGAATCAGCCAAGAAAATTAGGTGTTAATGAAATTAGGGTAGTGACAAAGATAATGAGTTGTCACAAACAATCGTTAAAAGAAGTTATGTAATAATTGAATAGTTTCATGAGTGACTTTTACTCAGGATGCACATAAGAACAAAGCAGATAATACGAAATTACGTAAGACTTCTAAATAAATACAAGAATTATAAGCAATTAAAGAACAGGCGAACCAACAAAATTAAGTCATCAAAAATCAAAAAATCTTGTCACTATGATAGTAGAAGTGGTTGAGTAATCTTCTTTTGTATGCACATCTCCGGTTTCTCTATGTGAATGGACGGCCAGAGCTTCAGCGATACAAAGAAGACGAAACCGTATTGTCTTTTGTAGGTTATTCTTGACTCTATGGATTACTTTGAAGCAGGAGGCATTTGACGAGATGGAATGATCAGTGTTAACCAGGTGTTTAATTATCACAATTATTATAGTGGTGCAACAATGTGTGCGATAACTGAACACCTGGTTAGCACTGATCATTCCATCTCAACAAACGCCTCCTGCTTCAAAGTAATCTACAGAGTCAAGAATTCGCCTTTGAAAAGAGACTCTTCGCTGAACACTATGTGTTTTGTTTTCATTAATGCCTGGATGGGGATTATCCATCAATATTGTATCAACATTGTTCAGAATAAAAGTATTTTACATTTATATATATATATATATATATATATATATATATATATATATATATATATATATATATATGTATATGTATATACTCACCGATAACACTGAATGTTTTGTTGAATCCAAATTCAATTTCATTTAATGTATACTTCATAAGGCATTCAATCACAACTTGACCTGTTTTCCTGTAGGTATCTTGTTGTTTTGGCGGTCTAATAATCACTTTCCCTGTACTCATATCTAAGTGTACAATATCTTTAGTAGTGCTGGTGACTATTCTACCACGCCAATATTGTTGTAGTGTTGAATTATTATCCTCTTTAGGTAGAATTCCACATTCAAATATTTTATTTGAGTTGACTTCTACAGTGATGTTTGATTCATCAATACCATTCAGTGTACCTTTTCTATGGGTAGCTGTAGTTTTTTTGTGAAGAGAGAGAAAGAGAGAGAGAGAGGGAGGGGGAGAAAAGAAATTAAAGCAAATCCAACGAATATACACATTTAACATAAACTCTATTTTTATTATTATTATTGTTGTTCCCTTGGGTTCCTAGTGGAATATAGGGCTTCAACTACACGTCTCCACTTGCCACTTCTCTCTTCCTTCTGCAGTACTTTTCACCTCCATCCATGCTGTTTAGTCCATACTGTTTCAACTCCTCTTCACACGATCTCCTCAATGTCACCCTTGCACTGACGTCCCACTCGCCGCTTCCCTTTCGGCCTGGTTCCACTCGAGCAATGGCCTGACGCTCGAACGATGTCACCCAGCGGCCTCCTCCTCAGCCGCGAGTGTCCAATCCATCTCCACTTTCTCCAACTGCATATTTGTTGGCTGGCGACTGGTTCTTGTTTTGTTATTGTTTGTTCCCATAATTGATTGTTGGTGATTCTTTCCGATCCGGCCATCTGATCTGCAGCATAGATCCAGAGAAGACAGTTGTTGGTTGATGAAGGTCTGCAACAGGCTGTTGGAAATATTCTTTGTGACCCACCCGCCAAGTTTCTGATCTGTATAGAAGAAGTGACTGACTTGACGTTTGTATTGAAAATCCTACTGAATTTTGTTGTTGATGCTGAGTGACGTGATGCTGATTTCCAGATTGGTTTCAGGTTGATGAATGTGATTCTCGTCTTCCCGATTCTCGCTCGATTTGACATCCTCGTTTGTTCCGACTGCGTGTAGTTGAGACGATGCTCCCTAGATGATAAGTGAATGAAGTAACCTCTATTGAATCCCTCCCGTCGATGGTGACTGGCGCTGGATGTTGCTGTTGTTGTTGGCTGGTTATTTTCTTAACCTCCGTCCTGTCCATGTTCATTTGGAGTCGTGTCTTCGCTGGCTGCTTCTTCGACCAGTTTATCGGTTTCGGCTCTGATTGATAATAATTTCCTAGAGAAATTTATAAGGTGATCTAAAGTGGTTAGAACACAGAGATTCAACCATTCTCCAACCCTCCGTTGAGAAAGACGTTTATATCGATCGACCTATCCTACATAGGTGATCATAGCAGCTTCGCAACTAGACAAAGGTTTTGAAGCTAAAGTCAAGAGGACTTTTTATGCAGATCACATTAGATCAGCATAGTTGAGAATATGAAGCCCATATATGCACCTAAGCAATCAGTAGGTACGAAAAATTATATCACAGCCCAGATTTTCTACCAATTTGAATGTACGCGTGGCCAGACACGCACACACACACAAGGAGAACTCACAGACCTTCTCAAGTAAGCGCTGGCTTCAAAGCATATTCCTAAATGGCCTCAAAAGTTAATGAAATCACCTGTGCCCATTAGTAGTGAGGGCAGACGACTTAGTTATTTTATCGCAAAACACATCATAGTGATTGGATATAAAATGGGTATTAGAACCTATCTGTAAAACGTGTTCGGTGCGTATACTAAAGTTTTTGGAACGCCTAACTGGCAATTAGGAAGTTTAAACCACTTCTATACGTTGAAATCAACAATTTCTTATTATAATGAATCTTCTTTGGCAAACTTTGTTTTGATACTAACCATGGTAGATGAACTGTTACCTTCCTTCTTCGGTTTTGCGATCTCCAATGTTATTTTGACCTTCAGTATGTCCTTTTAACTTGACTTAAGTCTGTTTTCTCACCCCTTCGCAACTTTTTATTATTTTCATTTGAATGTACGAGTGTTATCAGATTGTTGGAAATGTTCTGTACATACTACACAGTCCAGGTTAATTTCATTTTATTGTTTCACCAAAGTTTACTAAATTGTTGTTGTTAGATGTTTGGACACCTAACCTAGGTTTCTTTCTTTCTTATCCACACCTCTGCGTCATCTCCTACTCAATTATTTGTTATCTTCACTTGTACACCATCTGACCTGTATTGTATTGATTCATGCCTTGTTAACTTCTATAAGAACTGTGTATGACAAGTACTGGTGCTTGTGTGTATGTTTGTGTGATCAGAATGTCCGAAATGTGTTGTGCACGTATTTCAGATAAACTACGTCTTCCATCATGAGCTGACATTAGTTGGAGAACCATTGGAAATCCTGGGAGTACTGGACAGCTGTTTCGTACTAATTTGAGATTCTTCATCAGTACGCACTTGCCGACAGGGTCCGAACCTAGGACCTTCTGGTTACAAGGCGAGCCAGCTAGTCTACCATTCAGCCACTAGGACCTGATCGAACAGCCTATGAATTCTAACCCCTGCCAATTCATGACATAGCACGACCCCTAGAGTGTGAGGACAAATACTCACCGAAGACATTGGCTAGGGGTTACGCTATGTCGTGAATTGGCAGAATTTAGAATTCATGGGCCATTGGATCGGGTCCCAGTGGCTGAATGGTTCACGAGCTGGCTCGCCTTGTAACCGGGAGGTCCTGGGTTCGGACCCTGTCGGTAAGTGCGTACTGATGAAGAATCTCAAACTAGGACGAAACAGCTGTCTAGTACTCCCAGGTTTTCCAGTGGTTCTGTAACTGATGTCAGCTCGTAATGAAATCCTGTAACTAATTAAATCCCTACAAACCAACACTTGAAACCTACATCTTCTTGTTGTCTTGTCGAAATTCATCAAAGGGAACTAAATTGCTTTAAAAAAAAGTTATATCCCTATAAGCAAACTCTAGGGGAAAAACACACGTTTAACAAAAAATATATCCTACCTATAATATAAATATTTTTTATAGCAGAATGAACCAAAGTATTATTTGTTTTATTGTATAGTGTACACTGAACTTCAACATGACCCACATTCTCATAAACTGCTTTATCAAATGGTGGTCTAAATCGGGGTTTAGTATAATTATTATCATCAATAGCAATTATATCACTATCTCCGTTGATTATATCCACCTTCCAATAGGTATCATCGGTGTATAATTCATCAGCTGGAAGAAAATCACAACTACCTCGTGTAGATGAACCAGTATAAAAATACGTATCCTCTTTATTGTATACATTCAATAGAACTGGATTGTCTTTAACTGCAAAAATTAGAAATAAATTTGAAAAAACAAAATTAATAATCATAATAGTATAAAATGTCCAAGTTAAACTTTATTATTATCATTATTGCTTCCTTTAGTTCGTAGAGGAATATAAGGCTGCAGCCGCACGTCTCTATTGGTGTCGGTCCTCCGCCAACGTTTTCACATGGCTCCACGTTTGTTCACAGGCTTTAATCTCCTCTTCACATGACCTCCTCCATGTCACCCTTGCACTGACGACCAATTCGCCGTCGGGCTCCACTCGAGGGCTTGTCTAGTGATGTCATTCACTTGATGGTTTCTTAGAGTATGGCCAATCCACCTCCATTTCTTCCTGTCTATTTGTTTCACAATCGGTTCCTGGTTGGTTCGCTCCCAGAGATTTTTGTTGCTGATCTTTTCTGGCCGGCCATCTGATCTTGAGTATTGAGCGAAGACAACTGTTGATGAAGGTTTGTAGTTTGTTTGAGATGCTCTTTATGACGCGCTGGCCAAGTTTCTGATCCGTATAGTGAGTAGCACTAAATCACTTCACATTGGAGTTGAAAATCCGGATCTTATTTTCATGTTGAGTGATGTTGACCTCCACACAGACTCGAGAGAAATGAAAGTTTGCCTTGTTTTCCCGACCTTCGCATTCATATCCTAATCAGTTCCGTCCACGTGAAATTGAAACGATGCTTCTCAGGTAGGTAAAGGAGGTTGTTTCTTTCAGGTTCCTCCCATTTATGCTGATTGTTGTCTGTTGTTGTTGCTGTTGGCCAGGAACCTTCATCACCTACCTCTATTTTCTCTATGTTCACTTAGAGGCCTATCTTCTCTAGATGCTTCTTCTGCCAACTTGTCGATTTTCACTTGCATATCTTCCAGTTTGTGGGAAATCAGACATATATCATCGGCGAAGTCAAGATCCTCAAAGCCTTTTGCGAGTCCATTTTTATGCCTGTTTCCTCGTTGCACGCTGTCCGTCGCATTATCCAATCTACTGCAATCAGGAAGATCATTGGCGATAGTAAGCAGCCAGCCAGCCTTGTCTTACTCCCATCTTCACTTCGAAGGATTCCGTGAGTTTCCCGTTGTGGGTGATTACTTGGCATGCAGCATTGTCGTATAACTGTTGGATGACATGTATAATTATCGATGGCACACCGTAGTAGCGAAGTAGTTACCAAATCACCTCTCGATCACCGATGTCGTAGGCTTTTTCAAAGTCGATGCATTTGAGATGGAAAGGTGACTGTCATTCCAAGCTCTGTTCAATGATGATTCGTAGTGTCGCAATTTGATCGATACATGTCTTGTTTCTCCTGAATCCAGCTTGTTCCAGTCGAAGTTTTTCATCCACGTCGGCGTGTTTGATTCTCTCCAGGATGATGCGGTTTAGTATTTTGCTTGGGATGGACATGAGCATAATGCCATGCCAGTTCTTTGGCAGTTTGAAAAATTAGCCTTTCTTCCAATCCGCGGGTAACTTGCCCTCTTTTTACAACTTCTCCAGTAGTGGCATCATCAAGTCCGCTGTTGTCTCTGGTTGCATGATGCTGTGAGGATGTGTTTAAGTTTTCGAAAGATTTACTTACATGCACACAAACACGCACACACACACAAACATGCATACAATCATGCATCTATGAAGGTAGAAAAATTTACACAAAAAAAGTAAATGATTGAATACTTACGTATAACATTTATGAATCTATAATAGATTAATAGTGTTTTCCAAGGTTTTCGCTGAATTAAATAACACTGAACTCGTACCGATCCTAAATAATAAAAGCCGTTTGAATGTGGTGGAAGAAAGTATGTTTCGTTTTCATTTCTTGTTACTTTGACTACAGATGTTATACCGTCAATAGCTCTACCATACCAATAAGCATTCGCCTGCTTGGCTATGCCTGGATATAAATAACCGCATTTAATTTTATCTTTGGACAGGTAAAGGACATCTACGTCACCGGTAGTTTTATCATCTAATGAACCGTAATCACCATCTGATTTTTAAAAAAAGAAATAGAATGGGGGTAATTCACTCTAATGAAAGAGGTAGAAGTCAGATATAACTAAAAATAAATCCTGATGATATATTAGGTAGTTGGAAGGCAATTGGCCACAGGAAGCCTTGGACACCGTCTAGGTGTCGTGCTAGTTGGCACTCGCCAGTAGTCAGCAAGGCGTATCTGTAACTGCTTAGAAGGAACTCATGTCCCTTCTGAGATTCGAACCCGCGTCACCCAATGGATGCTGCAGTCAGAGACGTTACCACTGAGCAATTCAGATTCGCCATTGACCTCCTGTAGGACTGTAATCGATATTTTGACTGAACTAAATTCTATCTGTAAGTCTGCACCAAAGAAAAGACTAGATACGTCACACTAGTTACTAGTGTCTGATTAGAAAAACCCTATTTAGATGTTTAGTGGATAAAAGGATTGGGCGAAGGAATATTTTACTTTTCAACTGGATCCTTGACTATGGCTCTGATACATATATATATATATATATATATATATATATATATAAGAGATAGCTTCCTTATGTAGCGTAAAGGAACCAGTTGTGTAACAAATATGTACGCAGAGATAGAGATGGATTGGTTGGCCATACTTTGAGAAAACAAACCCTTAAGTGAGTGACATCAAACGGCAGGCCATCGCTCGAGTGGAACGCGAGTGAGAAACAGCCAGTTAGTCGGTCGTCAGTGCGAGGGTGACATGGAGTTGAAGGAAGTCACGTGAATAGGGGAGATAAAAGTATGTGGGCAGAAGTGGAGCCAGGTGAAAACATAGGTGTAGAACCGAACGTCGCAATGAAGACGTGCGACTGAAGCCTTGTGTTCTTCTAGGAATTAAAGGAGATAATAATGACAATAATAGAAGCTATGGCTTCCGTAAAATTTACGATACACCCTAAACACACCTTTAATAAACCAGTTGATACTACACCTAACTCAGGTCCAAAAAAGTCGAAAAATTTAAAAATTTCAAAAACGCTACTAAATGATAGAGGAATGCGTGAAACGTGTTTTGGTATATGTGACCATGGGATTTTGAGCTTGTTTATGCCTAAAAGTGCCCAGCCAGGCTGTCATGCTTATAACCCTAAAAGCCTATAGTAAACAAAGCATAGGCTATATAGGCGATATGAGCGTGGGTTAAACGGTTCTCATGACTCACTTATATGACTAAGTATAGTTTTCTGTAGTCTTGGTAGACGTATAGAGGCTATTTACATGCTAAATTGGTTGGCAGGGATAACGATTTCATTGAATTTGATGGCTCCTAGCTTCGTTAAAGGGGTCTATTTTCCCTATAGCGTCGCTATGCTTGCTATTTTGCATATAATAATACGTTTGGCTAGTCTTGTATGCGAGATGAGTTCTATTAGGCTTGTCTATGCAGTGCGCAACTGATTGACTCGATCAATGATCGGCGTAATAGTGCTTTCCTATTCATTACTATGTATAATAACGATGCGAATGGTCCATCGAGGGAGAGGGCTCTCGAGTGGTTGCACCACAGGATGATCCTGAATGCCGGTCTCGTCTCGCAAGAGGCAAGGATGGATGCAAACCAATACCTAGTCAATAGGTGTATCACTGTGTGAATAAACTGGCTGATTTTGCCAATAGTCATACGCTTGTCTCAGAGATTAAGCCATGCATGTCCAAGTACATACCTTAAAAATCAATGTTTACATTGATTTTTTGCCCTGTATCTACAATATATTTCACAGGGTAAGTATTAGTCCGTCTGTCTTCACTCTTAAAGGGGTTAAGTGATTTGCTGCACTTTTGAAGCGATTTAATCGAGAAGACAGACAATCTGCCCCTTCTATTGCGAAATATATTAGTAGTGGCTTTATTCTGAAGTGTTTGCATAACGTACACAATTTTCAGCGGAGTTTATTCCATGATATTTTCTCTTTGTCCTGGATCTCCAAATAAAAGACTAACCGACCAACAGTAGATCGTGTGACACAGTTCTATCTTACCCGAAAAGTGAACCGATCCATTATTATAATATCTCTTCTCGCCTCCTTCGAGAAATATACGACAACATACTGTTGAATGCCAATTACGAAAAGTTCAGAAGTAAATTTTGCGAATTAAGGACACCACTGAGGAACTGTCATCTCATGTATTAGGATAAGCTGCCATTCACCTGGATTATGTTTCTTCTCATTGTTTAGTAGAAGTTTGAGTACCAGCAGATTGTAAATGTTTTAAATACTCCCCAGTGTAGACAATAATACTAGACATCACATTCTACTAGATTTAAGCTGACTGAATAGAAGAAATTGTATGAAATTTGCTTCGATGGTACAGCGGTAGCACAATCGCCAACCACGCTTCATGCATTTCGGGGTTCGATCTCCGACCGATACACTCTTAAACCTCGCTAAGCCAGTAATAAGACTGGTAAAGAGAGAAGGTTGGACATGATGAGGCTAGAGACCCCTTCGAGTAAAAATAAATACCAATGCTATCGAAACTTCAAGCCACTAGCTTAAAGAAGACCTATGTTCCTCTGGAAACGTAAAAGATAAAAAAAGCAATAGGTTGATAGAGGCTTCCAGTAACCCAAGGGTTTTAGTAGGCCACCTTATTTTAGACACTTGTGTCTGAATGTTCATTCATATTAACATCCTATTTATCCGGACGTCTTTCATATTACGTAACTCTAGTTTAGGCTTACTAATGCTCACCTCCACCACCCGTTACAATTTTTTCGATCTCCCTTGAAGAAAAATTTCTTTTCGACGACGTCACCATCAACTAGGAGGCTATAATACATTCGTGTGTCTATAAGAAATCGATAGGAAAGTTCCAGAATAATTTCCAGTCAAGGGTCAGATTAATAAGAATTAAAATTAGGAATTACAGTGCCATAATAAACAGGTGGGGGGGGTGGACGGATAAAACTCAAACAAAGTAGCATCATAATTACTGAGGAGATTGACATTGATTGTGCAATTGGGGGTTAGAAATGTAGAAATAACAAAAATAGACAGGATGTTTGGATAACAAAATCTAGTGGGATCATAACTAATGTGACGAATAATTCTATTATGGATAAGATTTTATTTTGATAAATCAGACAGTGTTGTACAGTAATATTAACTGATGACGTTTCGAGCACAAACTGTTGTTCATAATCATATCATATGACAGCTTACTAACTTTCACAGTTGGCTACCCCTATACCCCCAAGCGAAACCTGATCCGTTCACTCAGCTACAGAGTTCGCAGAATTTGCACCCCGGACACCATAGAAGATGAAATGGACAATCTCAAGAGAATCCTCGTAGAGAATTGTTATTCAGAAGGATTTCTTGCAAAATCTATGAATCTAGACCACAAAAGCCGCCCATGCTTAGAGTCCCGAAGAAACTATTCTACATGAACCTTCAATTCAATGGAGATTTATCTGCGGAAACACAAAAAATCGACTGTCCCGCCCACTTAAGAAGACCTTCTTCGCAGCTGAACTGCGATTAACCTTCTCCACAAAACCTATGATTCATGTGAACGTGAAGGATAAGCTACCACTGCTGGCCTCATCAGTGTGTATTCATCAATTCACCTGTTCGTGTGAAGCCAGGTATGCCGGCCTTACCAGCGTTTGCTATCCGAACGTATCACCAAACACTCACCAACATGGTTTCATAAAGGAGAAAAACGATGTCCCCTCAGCTTCATCTTAGAACATCTGATAGAATCTGGACAACAAGCTAAACGGTACAAACAAACTTCAAAGAAGTCTATAGAGTGAGAAGGGTCTTTGTAAAGGTGTACGAATCAGACTTCTTCAAACTATAGAAGCAATGAAAATTCACTCGCTAAGCTCTGAACTCTGAATACAGAAGAAGTTCGTTCAATCACTACACTTGCAATGGACGTAATTGATCTTATTACCGGACACGTAAATTCCACCTAATCTTTTTTTCTCTCTCTTCACTAGCATTATTTTGTCTTCTCAACTGTAATATTTTACATTTTCAACCTTCTTGTTCTTTACCCTCACCCGATTTCATTTCTACAGCTCACTACCACTGTCACTGACTTGACCAACGCTCAATTTCTAGTCATTCATTTATGTTACGTCATCCAATTTATTTCCTCAATTTCAGTTCTAATTTAAATGGCATTATTCTCTACCCCACCTCTACTTAGTATCTACCTGTAATTACCTCTGTGTTGTTTTCCTGACCTAAGTTGAAACATTTTAGTCAATTATATTGCGTCGTCATCTAACTTACTAACTCAATCTTACTTTAGTTGCTGACGAATTAACCTTGTTTTATATTAGATCATTCTTGTAATACTTGATCAACTATCTAAACTTGACAAACCTCATGTACATGCACACAAATAATTATATATAAATGCGATTGTACAGCTATGTGAATGAAATCGTCAAAAAGAGTCTCTTTACTGGACGTCTTCTCTTTCTCGGTATCAGTCAAAACTCTTAGTAGCTACTGGATGTGTATTCCGAATCTGTAATGAGATTGCACCACGTCGTTGTGAAGTAGCTGTTTATCTATGACACTAGTTGACTGACGCCAATCGATAGGATTTAGAATTCGCGAAATATTGAATTCACAGCCAATAGCTGATTGGTCAACAGGATGGCCAAGTAACCTGAAAGGTCTGGGTTCCATACCCAGAGGTGGAGTGATGTTGTGTACTGCTAAATAGCTTCAAAGTAGGATGAAACAATCTCATGCAGTAATCTGTGGCTTTCAGTGACCTCTCTAGCTGGGCTTTTTGATTCGTTTAAGTTCCCAGCGCCTATCACCATCAACAGAGGGATTCGATAGAGGTTACTTCATTCACTTATCATCTAGGGAGCATTGTCTCAACTACACGCAGTCGGAACAAACGAGGATGTCAAATCGAGCGAGAATCGGGAAGACGAGAATCACATTCATCAACCTGAAACCAATCTGGAAATCAGCATCACGTCACTCAGCATCAACAACAAAATTCAGTAGGATTTTCAATACAAACGTCAAGTCAGTCAGCTCTTCTATACAGATCAGAAACTTGGCGGGTGGGTCACAAACAATATTTTTAACAGCCTGTTGCAGACGTTCATCAACCAACAACTGTCTTCGCTGGCTCTATACTGAAGATCAGATGGCCGGATCGGAAAGAATCACCAACAAAAACTATGGGAACAAACAATAACAAAACAAGAACCAATCGCCAGCCAACAAATATGCAGTTGGAGAAAGTGGAGATGGATTGGACACTCACTGAGGAGGAGGCCACTGGATGAATCGTGCGCGCGTCAGGCCATTAACCGATTGGAATCAGGCCGAAAGGGAAACGGTGAGTGGGACGTCAGTGCGAAGGTGACATGGGGGAGATCGTATGAAGAGGAATTGATCAGTATAGACTATCTCATGGATGCAGGTGGAAAGTACAGCAGAAGACAGAAGTGGCAAGTGGAGACGTGTAGTTGAAGCCCTATGTTCCACTAGGAACCTGAGGGAACAATAATAATGATAAGTTCCTATTGGTGGAACATAATGCTTCGGGGCTAGGACTATGAATTTTCGGTAGTGTTAGGGTATATTATGCCTAACCTTCACTCTTTACCAGTCTTAATACTGACTTAGTGAGATTTAAGTGTGCGTCTGCTGAGGACTGAACCCGTAATCATATTAGGCATGGTTGGCGAGCATTTTACCGTTGGGCTACGACGCACCCCTCAAACTGGTGTTAAGTGTTCTTGGAAGCGGAAAACCTCATGAATCTTATAATAAGAGAAAAAATAATTTCCTCATCAACTTACATGTTACATGTATCATTTTCTTGAATGTATACATCAATCGATTATTGTAAGTAAAGCTACATTCCACTTCAACACTGGATTTTCCATCTTTTTTTGTTTCGATGACAGCATCAATGATTGGAGAAATTTTTGTCTTTGAATCAATTGATAAGATGTTTTTATTACCTTTGGTTATTTTTGCTTTCCATTTACCTTTTAGTTGAGTATTAAGATGTGTTGGTAGGAAACCGCATTGTAAAGTGTTCTTGGATAACCAGAATATATAAACATCTGTATAACTGTCTATGCCATTCAGTGTACCTGTAATATTGCAGCCTGTTTTTCACCCGCACATTAATTAATTAATTAATTAATTATGGATGAACAAGACAAGAAAAGTAAAATATGAGAATAAAAGTTTATTCATATTATGAACTGTGATCAAGATTTGATCATATTAGTTACACAATAAATCTGGCGTCTAGTAAGGAGTGAATTTCACGATCATATATATAACTGAAGATGAAAAAACTATTATTTGTATAAAATTTGAACTTTTTTATTGATTGGTAAGACCCAAATGCTCAGACGTTGTTGACATGTTGGCTTTATGTCCAAATTCTACGATGAGTTTTGAGGATTTAACTTGAAGTAAATTAATAAATGGTGATAAATCGTCTCAACTACAGGCGGATAGAACTGACGAGGATATCAAAGCAAGAATCGGAAAAGCAAGACAAGCTTGCATTACTCACGTCAAGTCTGTGTGGAGGTCAACAGCACTACTCAGCATGAAAATGAAAATAAGATCCGAACTTTCAACTCCAATGTGAAGTCAGTCAGTGCTACTTACTATACGGATCAGAGACTTGGCCAGCGCGTCATGAAGAGCACCTCAAACAAACTACACACCTTCATCAACAGCTGTCTTCGTTCAATACTACTCAAGGTGAGATGGCCGGCCAGAAAATATCAGCAGCATATATCTCTGGAAGTAAACCAACCCAGCAGGAACCTATTGTGAAACAAATAAGCAGGAAGAAATAGAGGTGGATTGGCCATACTCTGAGAAAACCATCAAGTGATTGGAACTCGAAAGGGAAACGGCCAATCGGTCGTCAGTGCGAGGGTGACATGGAGTGGAGAAGCTCATGTGAAGAGGAGATGGAAGCATGTGGACAGACCTGGAGCTAGGTGAAAAGTCTAACAGAGAACCAAACGCAATGGAGACGCGCAGTTGAAGGCCTATGTTTTTTCTAAGAATTAAAAGAAATAATAAAAATCAATACAATCCAAGATAATTCGGGTTTTGTCCTACTTGATACTGAATCGTCATCCGGATGTATCTGCATTCCCCAGAGTTGAGGGCTTGAACCCAGTACCCACCTTTTCAAACACAAGACAATGTGTGTGTCCCCCTGGTGCCCATTTCAGGGTGATTAAAAGTACACCGACACCGGGTGGAGGCTCACCATTGCACCTCGGTGGCTTGAATCTCGCGAAAATGATGGCTGTTGCGGCCTAAATAGTATAGTGGATACTGTTATGGCGTTTTAAATCATAGGCACTGACTTTGGGCCTCAGTGGGAACACCGCCAATGACTCACTGACGGCGGGGTTGGTGCAGCCACATCCAGCTGATGAATCAGTCTCAAGTAGGACCAAACGTGCGTTATCCTGGATTCCACTGCCAGTCACCATCCACAAAAATTACTTAACGTGAAATATGTATATGTGCAATATTGAATATACGTGTTCATAAGGGAACATTGGCAAATCATACGTTAGCCTTTATGCAGGAAGATTTGGACAGTCGGGAAATTAGATTATATATTATTATTATATCCTTTAATTCCTAGAGGAACATAGGGCTTCAGCTGCACGTCTCCTTTGCCTTCGGTTTTCTGCCAACTTTTTCACCTAGCTCCAAGTCTGCCCACACGCTTTCATCTCCTCTTCACATGACCTCCTCCAAGTCACCCTTGCACTGACGACCAACTGGCCGCTCCCTTTCGGGTTCCGCTCAAGCATTGGCTTGTCTAGTAATGTCATTTGGTGATTTCCTCAGAGTATGGCCAATCCACCTCTATTTCTTCTCGCATATTTGCTGCACAATCGGTTCCTGCTGGGTTGGTTTACTTCCAGAGATATCTGCTGCTGATATTTTCTGGCCGGCCATCTCACCTTGAGTAGTATTGAACGAAGACAGCTGTTGATGAAGGTGTGTAGTTTGTTTGAGGTGCTCTTCATGACGCGCTGGCCAAGTCTCTGATCCGTATAGTAAGTAGCACTGACTGACTTCACATTGGAGTTGAAAGTTCGGATCTTATTTTCATTTTCATGCTGAGTAGTGCTGTTGACCTCCACACAGACTTGACTGAGTAATGCAAGCTTGTCTTGCTTTTCCGATTCTTGTTTTGATATCCTCGTCAGTTCTATCCGCGTGTAGTTGAAACGATGCTTCCCAGGTAGGTAAACGAGGTTGTTTCTTTCAGGTTCCTCGTATTTATGCTGATTGTTGTCTGTTGTTGTTGTTGTTGTTGCTGTTGGTGTTGGCCAGGCATTTTCATCACCTCTGTTTTCTCTATGTTCACCTGGAATCTTATCTTCGCTGGATGCTTCTTCTGCCAACTTGTTGCTTTTCACTTGCATATCTTCCAGTTTGTGGGAAATCAGGCATATATCATTGGCGAAGTCCAGATCCTCCAACTTTTTGTGCCAGTGCCTGTTTCCTCATAGATTATATATGATAAATGTTTTTATTACTTTTATTCCCTAGCGTTCCGAATGAAAGGTAGGGCTTCAAGTAACAGCTTCGAAGCCGCAATAGCAGTGATGTTTATTACTACGGGGTGGGGTTGTTATTCAATTGCTCAACCTTCTCTTTTCACCGGATTAACTACCGGCAGGTCTAGGAGTGCGTCATTTGGGGAATATGATACGTTAGTGATCCATAGCCATTTTTTTACTTAATAATCAGGACTTGCCATGCATCGGTTAACATCACACCTTCACGCCTGTTTAAGCTTCTGGGTATCACCCATATATGTAGGGATTCTGCAATCGACTTTTCTTTATACGAACCAGAATCTTTCTGTAGAACTTTGGTCCTTTCAAAGTCACTTTCTATTGATTGCAGTGCAATCACCGATTTTTTGTTTTCTACATTTATTACCTCTGTAGAGGTCGTTAGAAGACAATTAGACGTTTTTAATGCTCGTTTACTCTTCTTTTTAACCTGTCTGGAAGTTTCTCCTACATATACATCAGTGTTACAGTTCTCAGAACTTATCTGGTAGATGCGCTTTTGTTGGTTGTTTTCTCCACTTTATCTTTAACCTTCACTAATGATCGGTTATATGTTACTGAAAGCTTACTCTCATGTTCACATGTCAGCTCCTTACAGCGACGCTTTGATGATGCCTAAGGATTAACATAATGTTGTTTAGTGAATGGTAGTCCTCGAGGCCGTAAAAACCAATGGTTGGAAACAATCGGTGATATTGCTCAAAATCGTTCTCAATGGCTGGCGCAGATGCATCCACTCCTTGTGAACTATGATTTCGAATGAAACTATATCGTTCTTCGTTATTACTATTCCATTGTCTCACACCTATGTTTACGGTCCCTATTATGCATTTCTTCTACTTTCTTCTCTTGCTTTGTGTGCTACATGGAGGGAGTGTGGCGACTTGAACTGCCGCACATTTGTGCAAATTTCTATGTCAAAAACAGACAGACAGACATTAGTGAATGGTTGGGATCAGCAATGGAATCCAAGATGCACACATAGTCTCAAGTTACTAGAGGTGGCCCCACGGCCCAAGTCTCTTGGTGTGTAACGTTTAGGATTCTTGGGAAGAACACTACCACTCACTGATAATCATAGGTGCATCTAGATGACAAGTCCTGAATATGGACGAAACGTGATCTCTGGATTTCACTAGTAGTTAGAGTACATCAAATAACAGAATCCTATCGTGCTGGTTATACTGTATGAATGCACTAAAAAAAATAAACACTGAAGTGAATGAATCAAACTTGCATTTCGCATACTGGTTAGCCATGTGCAATCGACACAGTTCAGTAGTGAAACAATCCACCGTAGTTTCTTTTGGAAACCAAGTTATTCAGATCACCACAATATATGTGTGATTTGCCTTCTTGAAACAACATATGGTGATCAAGAAAGCAGGAGTATCCGTTTTGAGTTAGACGTTTTTCTGTACGTGTATATATATCGAGGTGACTAAAGATGAGTTTTTTTTGCCTTTTCCTGTTTTTGCACTCTTTCTCCCTCAAAAGACCACAATTAAACTAGTATGGCTTCCAAAAAGGCGGGCGGTCAACGATTATCTACTAGAAAATTGCAGATAATAATAATAATAAATAAAACATCCTAACCCTAATAAGCTATTGCACCATTTTGCAAACGGTACTTAAAGACGAGGTCATGATCAAAATTTGCACCCCACTATCTGAACAGTATTCATAATAGCTCTTCGCTGAGACTAGGGCCCATTATCCAACGAATAGTATGCTTTCAGGGTCACTGATGTACCAATACTCCTGCATCGTGCTTATTGTTTTTAGCCCTTCCAATCTAACTTCGTTATCGGTAGCTATTTCTGTGAAATCCAGTCTTATAATCACTATTAATATTATTATTACTGTCACGCATTACTTGTGTTCCCAGTGGAACACAGGTCTGTCTGTCTGCTTTCGACATAGAAATTTGCACCGACGTTCAGCAGTTCAATTCGCCACACTCTCTCCATGTAGCATACAAAGCAAGAGAAGAAAGTAGAAGAAATGCATAATAGGGACCGTAAACATAGGTGTGAGACAATGGAATAGTAATAACGAAGAACGATATAGTTTCATTGGAAATCATAGTTTACAAGGAGTGGATGTATCTGCACCAGTCATGGAGAACGATTTTGAGCCATGTCACCGATTGTTTCCAACCATTGGTTTTTACCGTCCAGCAGACCCCAACCAGCCTACAGGTCTACATCTTATTACGTGGCTGGCTTAAACTAACTGTTGTGGATTTCATCGACTGGTGTATCCATGTTTTGGTTTGGCTCCCGCTAGCTCTTTTCCAGCCTGACCCTATGTCAGCTAACATTTCCCGTCGGGGAAGGCGATGACTAGGCCACGCATGTGTAGCACATGTCCTAACCATCTCAGTCGATGTAATTTCCCAACCTCGTCGATTCGTTTTCCCTGCTTACCTAGCACTCGACCTATGCCTAACCTCAATATTGCTCACCTTATTATACCATTCTACACAGGAGATTGAACACAGGCACCTATGATCAAAGACAACTAGCCAGGCTCTTCATGTCCTCCACTCTCAATGGCCACATCTCACAGCCGTAAAGGAGGACGGAGCGGACTGCTGAGCAGTATACCCGCTCTTTAGTCGACAGCCAGATATCACGTCTGAGCCAGAGACGGCGTAAGCTGGCATATGCGAAACTAGCCCTCTGTATCCGTGCTGAGATTTCGTCAGAGATCAACCCGTTGGGACTGGCTGATGGTACTTCTCAAATAAGTGAAGAGGTCAACGCGCTCTACCAATTCACTCCCTATTTCTAAACTAGGAGTCACAGGTACATCCTCATTGCACCTGGCTCGATACTATTGGTTTCATCCGGCCTCATCAGTGGCTTACACGCTTTCTTCTCATCCTCCTCGCATGATCTTCTCTACGTCAGCCTCAGACCAGCGCCTAACTCTTTTGCTCCTAATTTATAAAATTGAGTAACTTCTTTAGTCTATAGAAAGCACAGTTAACACTACATAGGAAAACTATACATGTATGCGAGAATCAATCCTCTTTAACTTACCATTCACCTCGAAAGTTTTATTAAAAGCAAATATCACCTGATTATTATCATATCGTTTAAGAATACATTCAATTTCTACTACACCTTCAACATAAAACACATCACTATTATTTGTTGGTTGAATTAAAGCTTGTCCATTGCATAATTTGATAGATATCATTTCTTTTTACCATTCACAACACGTGCATACCAATAACCAATAGTTAAGAATTCATTAGTATTAGTATTTGGTAATATACCACATTTAATTATATCACTGGAACCGACTGGTACAGTAACATCAGAGTCGGTAAGACCGTTCAACGAACCAGTATAACCAGCATCTATGAAAAACAATAAAAGGCAAAATGGAAAGGGGAATTTAATATTACTACTTTTTCAAACTTCTATTATTAAGTAGTATACCGATGAAGTTGGAAAAAAATATAGAAAAATTGGGAACTATCCACGAAACTGCATCACCTGAAAATAACAGCTCTGATAGAAGCAGAGAGTGGATAGTCTATAATCCGACACAATGGTTGGGGTCGCGCTAAAATCACAAACTGGTAGAAGTTAGAATTCATGAGCCATATAATTGGGTCCAGTGGCTGAATGGTATACGAGCCAGCTTGCCTTCTAACCGGAAGGTCCTGGGTTCGAACCGTGGTGGTGTATGCGTACTGCCGATGATTCTTAAACTAGTTGGGATGAAACAGCTGTCCAGTACTCCCTGGCTGGTTTTCAATGGTTCTCTAGCTGATATCAATTCGTGATCAACTCGTAAAAAAATGAAATAAAATAAAGGACGGAAATAACAAGAGAATAGTTAAAAGAAGGCCACTAAAAGTATTTGGAACTCTGAGGATGGTAGATAGTGACAGATATTACCACCCTACTATGATAAATTTTGACTAATTTCAACGGATTTCCGGAGGTTGGTGATTAAGGAGGTAATTTGAGAATTAGACGCTTACTGAGATCAAACTGACAACAAAGATCGTTAAATATATATATAATTCAGACTATGTAACAAACTGTGTCATACCTTAGATAACTGAAAGATAATTGAAATTTGCATTTTGAAACTCTAAGGTGAACTTATATCATTGTGTCGTGCTCAGTGAATAGGTAAAGAGACTTCGTCTCTATCGATATGTCATCTCCTAGTACGGAGTCATCGACAGCGTCAAAGGCTTTGCCTTAATTTTCAAGAGTTAGTTTGTGGGGATCTTTTTTTAATAATAATTTGCTTTATTCCAAAACAGTACTTGTGATACAAAATGGAATTCTTAGCATTTTACTACAGTATTGCATCCAGTTTGTACATTATCAATAAATAAAATTCTACACAGATTAAGGAAATCTCAATTGATTATGACATCAACATATTGCGCATGTCGGTAGTAAAGCCGAAAATTGAACAAAGTGTTTGAAGGTGTTAGAAAAGTAGATGGTAGCATATTTACTGGCGTAAGCAGAAGAAAGAAACAAAGCTGCACATAACAGAGAAAAAAAGAGAGAAAGAAAAGGAAAAGAAAGAAAGAAAACGTTGTACCTAAAATGATACGAGTTGGGAAGACGAGATCCAGTTGTTCTACTGACTATTAAATAAATTATAAGTTTCACGCCCAATGCTTTCTTTATCGCACAGAACACGAGCTAAGTAGGATATAGTTGAGATTTTGTACTTGCTAGTGCGAGCATATAGTTTTCTATATAGGCGTCTGGTTTTGCCCGATGAGATACAAGGGGAGAGTTGTGAATAAAGAGGGTGGTGTGAGTTAGATAGAATGGATTTAGCCCATTTTTCACACGAGTGCATGTGCCTGTCAACCAGAATATCAACAAGCTAGTTAAGTGCCACGTAGCTTACCCTGCTGACAACCTTTACCATCCTGCATAATAAGGTATAGTCCTTCTTCAGTAGCCCAGGGAAAACTAAGGGGGAATAATAGAGAATAATAGGCAGAATGCGAGAGTTAACGAATCGTAGGAGGAAGGGTTGGGTTGAGTTATACCAGAATGTCTTAACTTCTTGATGTAGAAGGTAAGACTGAATATTTTCTTCAAAATCATCAAGATATGAGACAACCAGGGAGGAAAGATCAGCAGATAGAATGACGCCTAGGTATTTAATTTCCAACTTGGTTTCTATTTCAGTGCCATCTATGTTGCACACCTCGTGAGTGCTAACCACCAGTTTGTTTAGGTCAGATTTGATTTGTTTAGAGGTAAACCACAGACTGACATCAGTTAGAGAACTACTGAAAACCAGGGAGTACTACTAGACAGTTGTTTCGTTAGCTTAGTTTTAGAATCATCGTAATTACCAACCAACTGGAGTTCGAACCTAGGACCTTTGGGTTACAAGTCAAGGTCGTAGACCATTCAGCCACAGGCATCCAACTCAATGGCTAACACATGAATTTGAACATCTACTAATTTGTGATTTTAGCGTGACTGGCACTAGCCAATGTGTCATCGCTGGCGAGTATCTATCCTCACTTCCGATTGATTGGTTACCACTGGTCACACGACTTCTCATTAGAACTCCAGTCAACTTCATGCTGTAGTCAGTCACTAGCCTGCGTCAGACTAATTTTCAGAAGTTGGTTTTTAGGGATTTATCTTGTCATAAGTTTGTCCACAGATTGATGTCAGTTAGGGAACCCCTGGAAACCACGGAGTACTAGGCGTCCTGACTTGTAACCGGAGTGTTTCGGGTTTGAACTCCAGAAGGTACCAATGAGTCCGAAACCAGGCTGATGAAACAGGTGTCCAGTATTCCATGTTTATCAAATGTCCTTAACTGATATCAATCCGTGGTCATGCTCTGCTTTGTATTCTATTGGCCTGCTTGAATCACTGTACTGCTTGAATTTTCATCCGCCATCATGCATCACTTTTACTTCACTTCTTGTTACTTTCGGAAGTGAATTGACCCATGCAACAATCTATGTAGTCATAAGTATTTAAAGCTTGCTCTCAATCAGTTGCTGTACAGAGCCTAAAGGGAATACAAGAAAAACTGAAAAAAGAGAAGAATAAACTTCAGTACCAAAGAAAACGAAGTATGTAAATCTGGACTTCAGAGTAGAATGAACGGCAGATATCCTAAAGGGGAGATGGAGAATCTCTGGTAACTTAAAGAAAACCTTCCCTGCAGCAACAATAAGAGTAATATTCTCCGGCCGTTCGCCACTATGAAGCACTGTGAAGGACAAACTTCTGTATATAACCAATTCAATGTGCATATGTCAATTCACCTACTCCTGAGGAGATTTGTACATAGATCATTCTATGCTGATCCTTTAAGAGCGTGTTAGAGAACATTACTCAGAATGGTTGCAAAGAGAAGGCACTGATTTAATCATGGGTACAACATTTGAGCACCTCGTCAACACCTGTCACAGCATCTCAACTAACTTACCACTCAAAATCATTTACAAAGTAAACAAAAATCTACTAACGTCGGTGTATTTCTAACCTCTTTGTACCGCAGAGGTCCTCGCCATGTGCATCGGAGAACCGGAACTATCCGTCCAAAAGAAACTAACCATTTCTCATGAATCTAGTTATATTCGACTGCTCAGTTTTCGTTGTTTCTTTTTTTTGCTTTTTTCATTTCAATTCGCTTCCATGCTCATCTCATTCATAAATGTATTCGTTATTACTTTGTTTCTTCACCTTCCCAGGGAAATATATAGGACTTAAAGCAAGGGCTTTGAATTCTCGGTAGCAGGGGTATTTACTTTATACGGGATGGCGTTGCTAGCCTCATGCCCTCTTTACCAATCTTATTACTGACTTAGTGAGGTTTAGGGATGTGTCTTCCGTGAATCGAATCCCAGACAACATAAGGCCTGGTTGGCGAGTGTTCCAACGCTGTGCCAACGACGCACCACACATGTATTGATTAAATACTCTTTTCTTATCCTATATAATTTTGTTTCTAAGCTCCTTGTTATCTACATTCACACCTTTGTACTTGGAATTAAGTGACAATCGTATCTATGTAAACACTTATGTATTTATAAGTGTGATTGTACAGTTGCTTTTGTGAAAGGAATTGCCAAAAAGATAGTCGTCTTCGCTGAACTTCTTGTACTTTTTTCATGTTAATCAGTTGTCAAAAACCACTAGGAAATATATTTCCCATTCCTGTGAGTTCCCTTGTGTAGAGCACAAGGCTTCAAGTCTTTTTTAAAGATTTTTCTTTTCCTTTCCTGGCTTACAGCCGGCTAGCGAAGACGGTAAGATTTAGGTGTATCGGCTAGTAACTGAGCATAGACAATGTGTTGTGACTGGCAAGCGTGTGTTCTATCATTAAACCATTGGAGCAAAAATGGATAATTAACCATGTGCGTCGGTGGCACAGCTGTTAGGACGCTCACCAAGCACTCATATGGTCCGGGGTTCGATCCCCCACCAACGCACACTTTATATCAATTGTCTACATGCTAAATTTAGGCTAACGATATCACATGCTGTAAATGCCATAGTTGTACAGAAAATACGGTGTGGAATCAAGCTATAATCAAAATAAAATAAGATGCGTTATTCAACTTACCAACAATATGTATAGTTTTTGTAAACATAAATTGTATATCATGTTTCATATTCACAAATGTACACTTCACGTCAACACTACCTTTAATATCATAGACTGAACTACATTTTCTTGGTTTAATTTTCACCTTATCATTATTATTATTATTATCATGAATTAATGATACTGCATCGATTTGTCCATGCACTAAAGAACCTGTCCAATAACCTTGAATATTTTGATCATTCATTAAAATACCACATTGAAATGTTTTACTTGTGCCTAACTTTACAGTCACATCTTTGTTGTCTATACCGTTTAGTGTGCCTTTCAGTTGAGTTTCTGTAAAAGAAGAATCGGGAGAGAAAAAAAAAGAGGGTAATGTGATAAAATTATCTATGAATATGTAATTAATATGCGTTAAGTCACTCAAGTGGTTTCAATTGCAGAATAACTGAAAACTAGGGAGTACTAGACGAAGGGTTTTGTCCGAGTTTGGCACTCATCAGTAGTATGCACTCATGACACCAATGTGAAATAAACACAAAATCTTCAGGTTACAGGTTACAAATTGTCCGATGACTCAACCAGTGAGACGACTTTTGTTAACGCATGAATTTTAACTTCTGTCAATTTGGGAGTCATCTGATGCTCGCTAGTAACCTGCTACAGGACAGAGTTTCCTAGAGTTCTAGTGAGACGTTGTGACCAGTGAGGTCCATCCAGTCAGGTGTGAGGGTGGAGTTCCCACGGATGACATTAGTAGGTGGTCGCGCTAAAATCACAAATGAGTAGAAGTTAGAATTCATGGGCTGGCCATTGGATCGGGTCCAGTGGTTCAGTGGTATACGAGCTCGCCCTGTAACCGGAAGGTCCTGGGTTCGAACCCTGGTTGTCGGAGCGTACTACCGATGATTCCAAAACTAGGATGAAGCAGCTGCCCAGGACCCCTAGTTTTCCATGGTTCTCTAACTATAACCAGTCGCTGGTAAGAATTTTAGACCCGGGTGGGATCTGATAAGTTGGGTGTGAGGAGAGATACTTGCCGATAGCAAACAATCTGGTGGTGGCCCAATATATACGTGTATCACAAATAAAGAGAAGTCAGAATTCATGAGCTATTAGATTTTGTCCCAGTGACATAATAGTTAACGCGGTCACTCTACAACTGGAGATTCTAAGAGTGTTCCACGGTGAATTCATGGCTGCATACTGCTGAAGAGACTCGAGCTAGAGGTGACAGCTATCTAGTGCCAGTGGAATGAAATAATTTATTTTGGAAGAAAATCAAAGAACCTATACTTTGAGAATATTTTCTCATGGCTCAGAGATGAAACCAACATTCAGCAGAGTCCATGGTAGAGTAAGAGCGGACTCCGCTAAACTATCACAAATATGACTGTTAGACAGGCTTATCTGTATAAATGGCTAACCGTAAAACGTCGGTAGTAATATTTTTACTGATGCTGTGTATCCTCAGAAGAATAAAACAGGCCTCTGTAAAACACTTAAATATGCTAAATTTGTCTATCTCAAAGGCTGAATGGTCTATGAGCTTGCCTTGCAACCGGAAGTTCCTTCTTTCGAACCTCGGTGGTGAAGTGGGTGCGTAGTGCTGTAGAATCTCAGGCTAGGCTGGTGAAACAGCTGTCCAGTACTCCAGTGTTGGCTTTCAATGATTCCCTAATTGATATCTGATATGTATCCATATATATATATATATATGTGTATGGTGGTCTCTCTTTCTGTTTGCTCACTTAGTCTGTGACCATTTCACTTTGATGAACCTGTCTCCTTTAACAATGTATATTCCCCTTATATTATATATAATATGAGTGTTTGTTGACAGTCCGTTGCTTGGTGACATATATCCATATTATATGTGTGGTCGTTGACATGTCTGCTATATTTTGCTATGTATATATGGATCGATACTCCATTATAATTAGCCATTCATGTTAAGACTGTCTATTGATTTTTTCACACACTTGTCTGGACATTCATATATATTTCGCTCTCACAATCTTGTGTGACACTTTGGTGTGATACCACTTATTGCTTCTCCTTGTGTTTGGAAAATAGAAGTATCATCGCAAACCTAGTGGTCTTCTGATTTCCGCCTTTCTTGCGTCAGGACTATTAAATTCTCGACCAGTACATAGCAATAATTTAGCGACGAGTACATAACAATATCCATACGTGATCAAACTTGAGAAACAAATCAAATCCCTGCAATACTTAAGTCTCCTAAATTTGTCTGTTCCAGAAACAATAAATTCTAAATTTTATGCAGGAAGACGAATCGGTTCAATCATCGCTTCCACCTACTTATCAGTTGAGGTAAAAGCAATATGATTGTCTTCTTCAAAAATATTTGTCAAGTGGTAGTATCAAAATACCAGATGACCATTTTAGCAGTTTAGTCGGAGTCTTTTGCAAAGCAGAAATGATCTGAAGTAAAACATAGTGAAAAACAAAATTCTGATAGTTATCTCTAGATGGTTAGAGGCAGTCGGAAGGAAGCCATGCCTCACCTACATTTCGTGTTTCTTGGCACTCAGCAGTTAGTCACCAAAGGCGTTGAAGGAACTGATGTTCCTCCTGAGATTAGAATCCGCACTCAAGAGAGGGAGAGTCCTCTTTGGTTGAACACTAGTTAGTAACTACTGTAATGTATCTAGTCTTTTGTTTTTAGTGCAGACTGAATTCTATCAATCAGTCAAGTTTACAATGTTGCCACGGTGCCAGTAGGTAGCTTACTGCCATAGTGCACTCAGAATTCTTGATATTACATAGTTGGAGGTAGTCGACAGGAGGCTTTGGACCTAGTTTTGATGCTTGTCAAAAAGATTTTAATCAAACGAGTAAGCGAGCGAATCTTTTTTGTTCCTTGACGTTTCCAGTGGAGCATAGGGCTTCAAGCTATATCTTTGAAGTTTCTGTAGCAATGGTGTTTTATTTTGCGAGATGAGAATGATAGCTTCATGCTTAGCCTTCCCGCTTTACCAGTATTACTACTAGCCTAGCGGGGTAAAGAAGTGCACCGGTCGGGGATCTAACCTCATGCCACATGAGGCGTGGTTCGCGAGCATTCTACCGCTGTAACACTGACGTGAATCAATACGTCATATTTAGTTGCTATACCCAATTAAACAATCTGTTAGAAATCCACGTATCATCTAACGGATCCTTATCCTTGATTTACTGTTTAATTTATGTGAGGTATAAATTACATTGTGAATTTGATGTAACCAACATAGAATGTGGTCAATACACGAATTTTCATAGTTTGGTCCTTTTGAGAAGAAATAGAAACTTGATCCACTTTTTATCCCGTGGAGCTGGTTATATTGACCGCACAAAGCACACACTTTCAAACGCATCTCTGAACATTTTCCGGCATAGTTAGCGAAATGGCAATGCGAGACATTTGCTAGCTCAATTCTCGAGCACTTGGTGAACTAAAGCCACGTAGCTGCACCAGAATCGCCTTTCAAGATTGTCTACAAGGTGAGGCCAAATGGTAAATGGAGGTTCATGTTTTGGCGTTTGTGCATGGTGGAAGCGTTCTCAGTTCGTCAATACAACCTCGAACTGTGTATACATAAAAATATTTTTCAGTCTCTTATTCCAGCATGGTCTTAACCTCTTAATTAGTCGTTCCCTGTGAATTTTTGTTTTTATTTACTGTGATTAATTTGCTTTTATTTTAATATTCAATTCATATGTTCCTTTTATACGTTTTCTCGCCATCTTCACACGTGTTAAATGGGCACTTAAGCACCTTTCTTTTCATTCAATAGCAATTTTAACCTTATCAAATTTTTAACGCTTTTTTCCTTTATTCCGTTGAGTATTACGTAATTTAAAACCTTTATTTTTACTTTTGAGTAATTATATCAGATATATCAAACCCTGTTACTCAGTAATGAACCACTTTACCCTTTTATTATTATTGCTCCCTTGGGTTCCTAGTGGAACATAGGGCTTCAACTGCACGTCTCCATTTTTTCTGTCTTCTGCTATACTTTTCGCCTGCATCCATGTTAATCCATATTCTTTCAACTCCTCTTCACGCGATCTCCTCCATGTCACACTTGGACGTCCCACACGCCGCTTCCCTTTCGGGTTCCACTCGAGGGCTTGGCGCGATGTCACCCAGCGGTCTCCTCAGCGAGTGTCCGATCCATCTCACTTTCTCCTGCATATTTGTTGGGCGATTGGTTCTTGTTTGTTGTTCCCATATTTCTTGTTGGTGATTCTTTCCGGCCATCTGATTGATCTTCAGTATTGAGCGAAGACAGTTGTTAATAAACCTTTTGAAATATTCTTTGTGACCCCAAGTTTCTGATCCGTATAGAAGAACTGACTGACTTACGTTTGTATTGAAAATCCGACTGAATTTGTTGCTGATGCTGGCTGAGTGACGAAGATTTCCAGATTGATTTCAGGTTGATGAATGTGTTTCTCGCCTTCCGATTCTCGATTTGACATCCTCGTCCGCTCCTCCTGTAGTTGAGACAATGCTCCCTAGATAAGTGAATGAAGTAACCTCTTTCAAATCTCCGTTGATGGTGATTGGTGGATGTTGTTGCTTGTTGGTTGGTTATTTTCAAACTTCCGTCTTGTCTATGTTCACTTGGAGTCCTGTCTTCGCCGGCTGCTTCTTCCACCAGTTTTTCGGTTTTCGCTTGTAAGTCTTCGATTTTGTGTGACATCAAACATAAATCATCCACGCGCGAAATCCAGGTCTTCTAGGTTTTCCGGTCCGAATTCCTGTCTTCTCGTTTTTTCTGACGCATAATCCAGTCAGTCTACCACAATTAGGAATATCATTGGTGATAGTGAGCACCTTGTCTGACTCCTGTTTTTACTCCAAATGTCTCGCTGAGTTTCATTGGGATCACTTGACATGTGCCGTTGTCGTAGAGCTGTTGAATAATTGATGAATATTTGGGGTACGCCGTAGTGCTCGACTAATTTCCAAATTACTTCACGATCAACGCTGTCGAAGGCCTTCTCAAAGTCTATAAAGTTACCCTTTGGGTAAATATAAATACGACTGTGTACAGCCTATGAAGATGATTTCGTCGATAAAGAAAATTTTCTTCTCTTGATATCTATTCAAACTGGTGCTTCGAATACTCCATCTATACATAGCTGAATAATTGGCTACTTGGAATCTGAAACTGGATCTCTGTGTTTGTAAAGCACTACATAGATTCACTCGCCCTACCGTGACCAGAGTAATGTTCTAACTATAATTTTGCTTCATTTTGTTATGTAAGTTTACTATACTTATTATCATCCTCCTTATTTCATTATCACTCCATCTCTTTTTATTCCTTCGCGTTCCCAGTGGAACATAGGGCTTCAAGCTAGAGGTTTGAAGTTTCTGTAGTAGTGATGGTGTTTAATTTTACGGAATGAGGTTGATAGCCTCATGCTCAACCTTCCCACTCTGCCAGTATTATTACTGACTTGGCGAGGTAAAGGAGTTCATCGGCTGGGGATCGAACCTCAGTCTACATGTGTGGTGGGCGAGCGTCCTAACCGCTATGCTGCCGACGCACATTACCACTCTATTATCTTTTACTAATAAAATCTCATTTCCGTACAGATTTCATAAAGACACTTTTTCATCTTTCGACTAGTTCTTGTCCACTCTACACACTTATCACATCATCCCGAATTCTGTCCCCTATTTCCAATTCCCAATAGGTCATCTCCTTCTAGATTACACCTAACACTATGTAATATATTTTCTAAGAAAAATTTTACCAGTATCCGACTGAGTCTTTGTATTCTTTATTAGGTATAATAGGATATCAATCTGATGCACACTGACGACTGACCTTATTCAAGTAGGTCATTACCTGGGTTCTATTGAGACGTCGTGGCCAATGGGGTTCACCCGGTCGGATAATCAGACAAATACTTGTCAGTAATGAAACTGGCTAATGGCGGTCATGCTATATCGTGCGATATTTGACAAAAGTTGAAAGACGTGGGCTGCTTGCCATCAAGGAGTCGGGTCCCAGTGGCTGAATAGTCCATGAGACCGCCTTGCAACCAAAACGTCCTTGGTTCTAACCCCAGGGTGGGTGGGTACACACTCCTAAAGAGCCCCAAACTAGGCTGACTAGAAAGCTGTCCAGTACTTCAATGTGTGGAGGCCGAAAAATATCAAATTATATACTCATTATAAAATAGCGAAAATAATGAATTCGCTGTGCATCAAGGACTTGACCTAGTTAAGCGTGCAGTACAGACAATACAATTTCCTTTCTCCAGCTTCTTGTTTTTCACTATTGCCAATCATCTCCGGATTGTACCTGATCCGTACATTCACATTCGAATCCTTTGCTTCAATCGCCTTTTCTCTCAGCAAGTACCCTTGTGCTGTTGGCATACTGTTAGGTGGATTGCGGAACTACATACCAAAAATGACTATTTCATTACGACAATTCTGTTCGTCTTTATTTGAACATTTTCGGGGCAGTTATAACTCACCAAGTAACTGTATTTTATATGTATATTAATTTGTGTGAACTGAATTCCTCTCTACATACATGCACACATGTTTGAATTTTTTTTTGAATGAATCGTCACTATTTATGTCTTCGTTTTCTTATGACTCAATATGGGAACCATACCGTTCATTATAATATCTGTCTGTCTGTTTTCCACATAGAACTTTACACCGATGTTCAGCAGCTCGAGTCGCCACACTCCCTCCATGTAGCACACAAAGCAAGAGAAGAAAGTACAAGAAATGCATATTAGAGACAGCAAACAGAGGTGTGAGACAAAGGAATAGTAATATCGAAAAACGATATAGTTTCATTTGAAATCATAAGTCCCAAGGAGTGGATGTATCTGCACCAGTCATGGAGAACGATTTTAAGCCATATCATCAATTGTTTCCAGCCATTGATTTTTAACGTTCCGAGGACCTCAGCCAGGATGTCTTCACCTTCCTACGTCACTGGCTTGAACTAGCTGTTGTGGATTTCACTAACTGGTGCCATGTTTTGGTTTGACCGCCGCTAGCTCTTTTCCTACCTGACCCTATGTCAGCTTACATTGCCCGTCGAGGAAGGCGATGACTAGGCATTCATACGTAGCAAATGTCCTAACCATCTGAATCGGTGTAACTTCACAGCCTCGTCGATTGATTTCCCCTCCCACCCACCTAGCACTCAACTGATGCCTCACCTCAATACTGTTCACCTTATTATACCACTTCACACGGGAGATAGACCTCAGGCACCTATGATCAAAGACAGCTAGCCAGGCTTTTCATGTCTTTCACTCACAATGGCCACATCTCACAGCCATACAGGAAGACGGAGCGGACTGCTGAGCAGTATACCCACCCTTTGGTCGATACCCAGATATCACGTCTGCGCCAGAGACGGCGTAATCTGGTATATGCGAGACTAGCCCTCTGTATCCGCGCTGAGATTTCGTCGGAGGTGAACTCGTTGGGGCTGATGGTACTTCCCAAATAAATGAGGCGGTCAACGTGCTCCATATTTCTAAACTAGTCCAGCCTTGTAACATCATTTCATTATAATGAAACTTGAATAATTAAAAAGAGAAAAAAAAATAACCGCTTAATTTCAACTCTGAAATAAATTGAAACTTACTTAAAATACTGATAGTCTTAACACTGGATAAAACAACTCTCCCATTATCAATAGCATCGATAAATTTACAATCGATAAACACTTTACCAGATTTTGTATATATACGACTTCCAGATGGTGGTTGAATAATCTGATCATTATGCAGGCGATCAGTATTCCCATTCGCCTCAATGTCTTCCTCAACCACTGAGATAATATCTTTATCTCCATCGACTATTTTAGCTATCCAATAGCCATTATAATAAGTTTTAAGAAAATTGTCTAATTTATAATAACATTTAAATTTTGTACTAGAACCAATGTAGGCAGTCATTTCATTTGTATATTCTATATCCAACTTTTCATAATGCATTTCTGGATAAAGACGAATAGAATGTGAACATCAATGTGTATGTGAAGTGCAATTATGAATTAATGTTAGTAAAAATACTGTTTAGCGTCGGTGGTACAGAGGTTAGGACGCTCAACGACCATGCACCTGGTCAAGGGTTCGATCATCGGCCACAACGCACTCCTTAACCTCGCTGAGCCAGAAATAATGCTGGCAAAGAGGAAAGGTTGGGCATAAGGCTAGCAACCCCATCCTGTGAAATAAACACTGCTAGAGAAACTTCAAGCCACTACTTTGAAACCCTATGTTCCACTGGGGAACGTGAAGGGAAAAAAAGATTGTTTTGAGTATTGTGTAATAGATCAAATGAATTATAATTATCACTGGCAAATGGCCCTATTCACGCAGTTATGGGAGGTATCAGTGGGAAGCCGTGACCACTAAGGTACAGCAGGTCGAAGGTGACGGCAGTTACTCATCGAAGAAGGCAGTGCTAAGTGGCCTCGCTATTTCATGAATTGGCAGAATTTAGAATTCATGGTCCATTGAACTAGGCCGCAGTGTCTGAACGGTCCACGAGCTCGCCTTGTGCCGATGAAGAGTCCCAAACTAGGACGAAACACCTTTCCAGTACTTCAGTGTTGGTCTTCCAATGGTTCTCTAACCTATGTCAGCTCATGATGAAATCTTGCAACCAATTATAATTATATTTCAATGCTTTACGCACAATGATAAGTTTTTTTGTTTTTGGTGATATTTCGAGCAAAATTACTGTCCATGATAACACACCATCTGTTGCAGTCGTTTTTTTTAATTCACACATTTTTGAATTGTACTCACAGACACGTATAGATCTCTTTTTTGTGTAGCGAGAATTGAAATCCATGATGAATCACCCTTCTTACATGTATTCGGCGTGAACGTAATGAACAGTAGATTCTATAGTTTTGGTTTGTAAGGGTTAGTTATGTTTTTACGAGTTGATCATTGATCACTGATATCAATCCGTGATCAACTCGTAAAAGCATAACTAACCCTTATAAACCAAAACTCTGAAAATTAATCTGATGTTCGCTAATGACTTGCTACAGCATGGAGTTTCCTGAATTCTAGTGAGAAGTCGTGACCAGTGAGGTCCAATTAGGCGTCATGTGTGTGGGTGAATGTCCCATCAACGACAGTGGAAGGGGTCACGCTAAATCACGAATTGGTAGAAGTTAGAATTCATGCGCACTGACCATTGAATCGCGTCCCAGTGGCTGAATGGTGCGTACTGACGATGATTCCCAAACTGGGATGAAAAAGCAGCTGTCCAGTACTCCCTGGCTGGTTTTCAATGATTCTCTAACTGATATCAATCCGTGATCAACTCGTAAAAACAGTAGATTCTATTATAAGTCTCTCTTTCCATTTGTTCAGATTAGATTTCAGAGCCGAAGTGTTGTGTCAATCAATAATATGGTTTATGTCCTATGCATGTGTAGCTATAGAGGAATTTTTTGCTAAATTGTTGTCAGCTTGTATTCCTTCCTGTTGGATGACTTTCAGTTAGGGTGTTTATGTTCATTCACTCTTATTTTGAGTGATTTGGATGTTTGACCCACACATTTAGTCGGACGCTCGGCAGAAGATATTTTGTAAATCATATTATTTTTATCCATCATTTTTATTGGATGTTTCAGTTGATTCATTTTTATTAGCATTCAATTGGTGGATGGTGGCTAGCATTGGAATCCAGGATGCGCATTTCGTCCTATTTGGGACTCTTCAGCTGGATGTACCTGTAATTTTCAGTGAGTGATGATGTTCCCACGAGGCTGGAACCCAGTAACCATAGTTTCGAACGCCAAAGCGTTATCCACTAGACCACTTGGGCCACGATTCATTTTTATTTCTAATAAGATCCCAATATTTGTGAGGTCTCTTTGAAGTGGCTCGGATATACCTTTTTTCCGTGGCACTGTTGTAACAAGAGAAGACAAGGGCCAGGAAACAGATCCTTTATAAAGGAAATCAACATGTATTTATATATTTTCATGTACATTATTATAGATTATTCAAGTAGACAAGCACACTCTTCTGAGTGGTTGTTTCTCACAGTAAGTTGACCTTGCATTTCTTTGTGACTGTTTCTTGAATGTCAGGTCATCTATATGCTAATTGTATCCGCCTACGCGAAGTCTGTTGTGATTGGTTGTTGAATCAGTCTTTTTCATATTTTTCTCACGACCAATATTGGGGACATAAACATTGACGTAAATTAATGTCTACCAATTTGGCTAGCAGCCTGCTCTCACCACACTGTTACCGTTTTTTTGTAGTCCTCTTTCTTCTCATTCTCTGTTTTTACTCTCTTTCTCTTCTTCTTTATACTATCTATGATAAATTTTTTTGGGTAGTCATCGTCGAGTAACATTTTGAATAAGACGTTTATTTCTTTTCGTTGGTCATCATCTGGTGTTGTTGTAAGTCGCCTGCGTATTCTGTCTGCAAGACCTTGTAATGACCCGCGTTTTACCGTGAGCGGATGGGCTGAATGAAGAATGATGAGCGAAGAATCTCCCAGAATGTGTAGTTTTTTCTATATAGTGTCGTTTTTTAAATTTTTATTATATTTGTAATTATTAATATCATTATTTAGTATATATAGTAATTGTTCATTATGTAAAAAATTAGAACAATCACCCTTATTCCTTACAACCGGTTCTCTTTATTAGTTTGAACAAAGAGAGAATGAACATATTTGTAGGCCCCCTTTTATTTCGTGAATTTTCTTCAACTACCTGCATCCTAAACAATATCAATATATAAGTTTCAAAATCTTCCAACATACCTATCTCACAGTCACATCAAATTATAGATAGAAAGTATAGACAAAGTAATTTCAAGAATGAATTAAATAGACAAATTATTCAGTGTTGAAAGACTAACTATTGATGATTTAATTAGACAAGGGAGAAGGGTAGATTTCTCTTGAAATCTTCATTAACCTAATCCAACAGCTGGCTATATGACACTGCCACGTGTCAGATGATCCACAGCGGTCTGGCTGCCTACTATAACCGATTATGGATATTCCCAAATGTGGTCGACTGGATTATGTGGAAGACCATATTTGTAGAGTGAGAAAACAGGAAAACGTCGGAGCGGGAATAAAACTGTTGAAGATCTGGATGTTGGGGATGATTTATGTCTAGTGTCACACAAACTCGAAGACCTACGGGTGAATACCAACAAACTGGCAGAAGAGGCTGGCAATGAAGACAAGACTCAAGGTGAGCATGCAGCAGACAAATATGATGAAGATAGCCAGTCTACAACACTAATAACAACAACAACAACAAGCACTAACCACTATCAAGAGGATAAATTTGAGAAAGGTTACTTCCTGCACCTATCACCTAGAGAGTATCGTTTGGACTGCAGGCGGAAGGGATGAAGATGCCAAAGCCAGCCATGATCGATGTGGCAAGGTAGCCCTCATCACTCTGAAATCGGTTTGGAAATCTTCTGCATTCAGCTAGCATGTAGAACAAGATTCGGGTTTTTTAACACAATTTTGAAGTTATTTTTGCTGTATGGGTCGGATACTTGGTGGAAGCGTCAAGAAAAGCATCTCCAATAGGCTGCAGAATTTTTTTCAACAACTGCCCTTGATCGATATTGAACATCAAATGGACAGAATTAATTAGCACCCAGAAACTCTGGTAATGAAAGAATCAGCCAGGAATCTAATGTCCAACAAATGCAGATGGATTGGGCACACGCCACTGAGGCGACAGTCAGAATATATCGCTTGCCAAGCTATTGGTAGATTGGAACCCGAATGGAAAACGACGTGTTGGACGTCGGTTCGAGAGATTACATGGAGATAGTTTGAAGAGGAGCTGAAAGCTAATATGCAATCGTGGGATCAGCTGAAGATACTTACAGAGAATGGGGCAAAGTGTAGATGTGATGATAAAGTCCCTTGTTCCACTCAGAACTTAGAGGAATAATGATAAAAACGGTGCTAAGAAAATATGAACCAAGCTGGAAAAAGTAACACCAATTAGTGAAGTCCTTAACTATTGGTTCAACCTCGCCTAGATTACTAGCTCTCTAGTTTTATAGCCGTTCCGAAGCTCGTGTGAGAATAAACCCCCACCTCAACTTTATAGACTTCGAGAAGGCCTTCGACAGCGTTGACCGCGAAGTAATTTGGAAATTAGTCGAGCACTACGGCGTACCCCAAATATTCATCAAGCTTATTCAACAGCTCTACGACAACGGCGGCACATGTCAAGTGATCAACAACGGAAAACTCAGCGAGACATTTGGAGTAAAAACAGGAGTCAGACAAGGGTGCTTACTATCACCAATGATATTCCTAATTGTGGTAGACTGACTGGATTATGCGTCAGAAAGTGGGAAACGAGAAGACAGGAATATCCTGGACCGACGTGAAGAACCTAGAAGACCTGGATTTCGCGCGTGGATGATTTATGTTTGATGTCACACAAAATCGAAGACTTACAAGCGAAAACCGAAAAACTGGTCGAAGAAGCAGCCGGCGAAGACAGGACTCCAAGTGAACATAGACACGACGGAGGTCATGAAAATAACCAACCAACAGCAACAACAACAACAGCAACATCCACCGCCAATCACCATCAACGGGAAGGATTTGAAAGAGGTTACTTCATTCACTTATCTAGGGAGAATTGTCTCAACTACAGGAAGTCGGAGTGGACGAGGATGCCAAATCAAGAATCTGGAGGGCGAAAAGCACATTCATCATCAAACCTGAAACCAATCTAGAAATCTGCGTCACCCAGCATCAAAAACAAATTCGGTCGGATTTTCAATACAAACAACGTCAAGTCAGTCACTTCTTCTATACGGATCAGAAACTTGGCGGGTGGGTCACAAAGAATATTTCCAATAGCCTGTTGCAGACCTTCATCAACCAGCAACTGTCTTCACTCTATACTGAAAACCAGATGGCCAGGCCGGAAAGAATCACCAACAAGAAACTATGGGAAGGAACAAACAAAACAAGAACCAGTCAATCGCCAACCAACAAATATGCAGGAGAAGGTGGAGATGGATCGGACACTCGCTGATGAGACCGCTGGGTGACATCGCGCGTCAAGCCCTCGAGTGGAACCCGAAAGGGAAGCGGCGAGTGGGTCACCAGTGCAAGGGTGACATGGACGAGATCGTGTGAAGAGGAGTTGAAACAGTATGGACTAACATGGATGCGGGTGAAAAGTACAGCAGAAGGAAGACAGAAGTAGCAAGTGGAGACGTGCAGTTGAAGCCCTATGTTCGACTAGGAACCCAAGGGAATAATAATAATAATTAACTATTGGTTTAGAATCTGCCTGATCTGTGTGTCTCTAACACCTTACTTAGTGTCTGACACTTAACGAGAAATTCTGACATTCAGAAAGCTGAATAATTATGTAATAAATGACAAGACTTCCAGAGATCATAAAGTTAAACAAAACAAACCAGATGCGTCGGTGGCACAGTGGTTAGGACTCTCGCCGACCATGCACATGGTTTGAGGTTCAAGCCCCCGCCGACGCACACCTGATATGTATGGTCGGCCTGCAAAATTTGGGCTACCGATATCCATGCTGAAAATTCCATACTTGTACCAAAAATACAGTGTGGAATCAAGCTGTAAATCAAAAATTAAAATTAATTAAAATTATGCATAATAAAACGGTAGAGCACTTACTATAAACTGTTAAAAACTTTCTAAAACTGTAGATGCTGTGATTACGACTTGTACTCCTCAATGAACATTCCAGTTGTATTGTCCCTGTAACAGTGTATGCATTACTGAATAATGGTGGTTTTATATAAGTTTGATTATTTTCTCTCACTATGGATATAGTATCATTTGACCCACTGATTATTTCAGCTATCCAATAACCATTGAATTTCTCTTCAATATTTGGTAGTATACCACATTTATATGTTCTACTTGAACCATATCGAATAACTAAATTTGAATCATCAATACCATTCAATGTTCCACGTATATTACAAGCTATCGTGTAATCATTACAAGAATGTAAATTTGAACGATATATGTATATATATACGTAAAAATATACATTAACTTAGGTAAAATGTAAAAGAAAGAGGGATCATTCAGCCTGTTATTGCAGAAATGGCTGATTAATATAAGCACTTCCCTTCCAGTCAGTAGGTCCTCGGTTCGAATCCTGCTACTTGATTTGCTTCACCCTGAGTAACTGGGTAGAACCATTGACCATAACACAATAAATTCAACTCCTAGTCTAGAAGATGGAAGATCTTTTCCCGGAGCTGAGTTTAAAAACAATTAAAGTGTCAAATATATGAAATGTTGTCTATGATAAAGGTTTGATACCATACAATGTGAAAACCTCTCCGGTCATTAGTGAAACCACATAATCTTCGTGACTGAAACCTTTGTGACTACGTTTAATCCAATAGGATCGATGTCATTATACCGACTGATTACGTAAAAGAACTGTTTCTACGATGCATCTTCAACGTAAGTAGATGGAGTAGCAATGGGTTCTTGCCTAGGACCTCTCCAGGCCTAATTCTTCATGGCTAGCCTAGAAAGTAAATTACTTATCGTCAACTATCGACAACTTCCATCTCCACGACAGATACATCGATGATACTTTTATCATTCGCGATAATTGTGATATAACGCCCACCCAAACATCGACTTCACTCTGGAAGTTGAGTCTAACTCAATGTTTCATTTCCTCGACGTTCAACTACGAAGAAATGCAGATAACTTGCTAAGAAGATCCATCTACAAAAAGCCCACATGGAACAGACAGTTTATTAACTTTCAAAGTTGTCCAAGCAGAAAGAGAAACCTAATCTTCTCTGTTTCCTCGAGGGTCTGGATGATATTGCATTGAAGAGTCAAAAGACGAAGAATTACAAATTCTCCGAGGGACCTTCATAGAAAATTGATTCTCATCCAGATTCATCTACAAGAATCTGAAACCAAGGAAAATACCTGAAAAGGCCTAAGTTGCCCTCAAAAAGATGCAGATATTGAACCTCGAATTTAAAAGTGATACTGAAGCAGACATTCTCCGCAGACAGCATTTGAAGACTCTCAGTAAAACATACTTCACCGCCAGCCAACGAATGACATTCTCCTCTGATCTAACCTACCAAAAGGAGTGAAATCAAGACATCGAGGAATAGCTGAGGCACTGGCGATCCAAAAACTCAAGTCTACTCAATGTGTCCAAAATAAATACGTTCAACCATTATCCCTACCGTGGCCATCATAAAAAGTCAGTCTCACCAATAATGGTTATCCTATTACCATTCTTGTCCAAGCTTCCCGTTTATTTCTCGTATATTTACCTTTAAAATCCCTACCTGCATTATTAGTATTAGTTACTGTTTTTATTTTTAAATGTCCGAACCTCCAACCTATTTCATCAATACTACATCTCTAACCCATAATTATACAAAATGAATAGCTTTCTAGTAATTATAATCCTATTTTTGTGCTTTTCTACCCGGTCTTCCTGATTACTACACTTTGTAATTTTATGAATTTGACCTTTGGCCGGAAACAATTCTGGAACTTTCTCACACATGTAATATGAATACATGAATGTACAGCCTGGTTGACGATGGCTTCATCGAAAAGAAAATTTTCTTCGCTGCAACCATCTTTTTAATAATTCCGTAATCTGAAGTTACAAAGAGATATACATTCAGTTGTAACTAGTACCACTCAAACTATTTATCCCTACGACTTTAAAATAAAGCCAATAAAATCGGAAAGCATAAGTAGAATAGAAGACAAATTATCCATAGACGTTTCCATATAGATGCAGAACGTAGGACCTAGGCTATATGCTTACTGACACTTGTCAAAAAGCCTCCTGTTTGTCACCTCTAACCACCTAACAACCATGATGGCCAGCCACATAGCATGGTGTCCATATTGCAAACTTGACTGATGGAGTTCAGTATGTATCAGTGAAAAGACTAAACACATGACACTTTAACCCAGTTATAGTTCATATACATATTATGTACAATGTACTTACTATATGCTACAATTCTATACTATATACTGTAACGACAGAAGAAAAGGGTCAGGCAATAAATCGTTTATTGAGAAAATCAAGGGGTATTTATAGATTTTTATGTGTATTATTATTAACGTTGTTGCTGTCAGATAAGCACCATCTTCTGATTGGTTGTTTTCTTGTTGGAGGTTATTCTCTACTGCTTGTGACCGGTTCTTAGAAAGTTAAGCCATATATCGGCGAATCGTATTTCCACACTTTAACTCCGCTGTGATTGGCGGGTGATTTTCTCAAACTTAAGCTTTGTTATTGCTTTTTCCCACTACCCTGATTTGGGACGTGAACATTGATGTAAACTGTTGTCTACAATTTTGGCTAGCAGACAGCTCTAACCACAATACAACTATTCTATGTACTAATAAGTAGCAATACATTTTCATCTGTACGACCGGAGGGATTCTATTGATTTCCAGATAGATTTTTTAGCAAACAAACATCACTTGAAGTGGCGTTGAAGACCAGGAAGTACTCAACACCTGTTTCACTCTAGTTTTATACTCTTCAGTAGCACACATCCATAGTCATGTCATCAATCACATCCAGAGACTGAATGACCTACATCCTAGCCTTATAAGCTAAAGGCTTTAAGTGTAATTCCCTGTGAAATCATCAGTACTCACTGCCTAATAGTTCCGAAACCCGAAAAAAACAGGTGTTTTTTGGGGGGGGTATTTCAGTAGCTTTGTAAGTAACTCGTGGAGAAATCTAAAAGCCCACTTTAGTAAATTGAAGTATGCACTGAAGATGTCACCTAGTAGGATGATGAAAGCTTCGTAAATCAACTATCCAGGTCCGAGAACACAACCACATCAAAATCATCCACCTGAGCTACAAATCTTCTCTATCATATCTAAGGCGATGTTGTGTACAATTTAAAACTATTAATTAATGTAGAAATTACTAAGTTTACATACGTTGGTGGTTTAGCGGTATATTTCTCGCCAACCACGCATCAGGTGGCTCAGGGTTCGATTCCCTGATGACATAATCCAAAATCTTTCTAAGCCAATAAAGAGGGGATACTGGGTGTGAAGCTAGCATCCCCACCCCGTAAAAATAAAAATCACTGCTGTTAGGACTTGAGAGCTCTACTCTAAAGCCCTTATGGAACGTAAAGTAATAAAGCAAAGCAAAAGTAAAGTTACTAAATTTACAGAAGAAGTCAATTAATGAAGACAAATTAATCACTCAATAAAATGAAACTTACATGATACACTGATATCAGTAATCATTTTAAAAATTACATAATTATTTGATTTAGCTATAAAGGAACAAGTTAATCGAACATGGCCTTGATTATCATAAACTTTACTACCATTTGGTGGATTAATGAATACTTGTCCATTTTGACGACTTAAAGAAAGAATTTTATTCGACCGATCGGTTATAGAACCATTCCAGTAACCGTTTACTTGGGTATCAACACTTCCAGGTAGTAGAGAACAATTTAATCGTGTATTTGATCCCAAAGGAAGAAGAATATGTGATGAATCATCTATGCCATTCAATGTTCCCTTATAATCACAACCTGTAATAAATAAGAGATTAAAACGAAGGAAAGATTTGTTGTTTATTTTACGGTTATTTATATTTCAAGTTCATATACATAATAAAATTATATTTCTAAAATTTCAGAGAAATTGAATTGATTAATTCCAACGTTTTGTTTGGTAAACTGGACCGGACTTCTTCAGGGAAATTAATAGAAATTAGCTTAACAGAGGTTTATATGTATAAAAGGTACATCTCTTGTTTTGAAACTTTGTCCAATCAAAAAAAGAGATGTTCTTTTTATATAGAAACCTCTGTAATGTTAATTTCGATTAATTTCCCTGAAGAAGTCAGGACCAGATTGCCGAACGAAAAACTGGAATTAATAATTTCGATCGCACTGAGATTTCACAAATATAATTTTATAAATGTCTACTTCTCACTCATCGCTTAATTATTTTGCAACTATCCCGTCAAATTTGATGTGGCTTCGTTCTCTGAGCTGGTTGGTTAATTTGCGAAGCTTTCATCACCCTGCTGGGTGACATCTTCAGCGCATACCTCAATTTGAAGTGGGCTTTTGGATTTCTCCACGAGTTTATTAATCATCTCTCCTGGTGGGTGACCTTGGACGTGACTGGTTGTTTTTGTGTGTTTTCACACCTTCTAGGTTCCTTGTATTGGAACTGACTGTTTCTTTGACTTGAACTTTGACCCTTTGTGTGTGAAGTTTCCTTCTTATTGGTTGATAAATTTAGTCTATCTCTATGTGTCTATTGATTGATGATTCACTGGAATGTCAAGCTTCTAAAAATTCTCTAGAATTCTTGTTGTTTCCTCTGTCTAGTATTTGAACGTTGGTTGTCCCAGTCGAATTGATGTCCGTGGTTGTCTGTGTGTATTGATATGAGGGAGTGGATATCATGTCTTTTGACGGCTAGCTTATGTTCGTGGATACGAAGACGAAGGGGGCGTCCACTTTGGCCGATGTAGTGTTTTTCGCAGTTGTTACAATTTGTTTTGTAGATGGTGTTGGTTTTATCTTCTTTCGCTGTTGAGTCTTCTGGTTGACATAGAATTGAGTGCAGCGACTTTGTTGGTTTGTGTACGACGTCAATTCCTAAAGGTTCGAAGAGTCTTGTAGTGATTTCTGAGATATCCTTTATGTATGGTTAGGCGATTTTCTTTGTGCTTTCCTCGGTGGCTTTTGCTTTGGTAGGTTGGCTTGTAGGTATATGTTTTTTGATGAAATTCCGTGGATATCCATTCTTTTGGAAGACATCCATGAGATACTTTTCTTCAATTTTCCTTAAGGTGGGAGTGCTGCAGTGAGTCCTTGCTCTCTTGAATAGTGTTTGTGTGCAATTCCTTTTGTGTGTTATTGGGTTGTTGCTGTTGTAATTTAGGATTTGGTCTGTGTGAGTTGATTTCCTATAAACTTGAGTTTCTAACTCCCCTGTGGTTATTCGCTTGACTAAGACGTCAAAAAATGGTATTTTGTTCTCGGATTCCTCTTCTCTTGTGAATTTGATGTTGTTGAAGACGTTGTTTATTAAGTTGTGAGTTTTATCTAACTCGTTTCTTTTGATTATTACAAATGTGTCGTCGACGTAGCATATCTGAATCTTGGGTTTGATCTTTGATAGAATTATGTTTTCGAGTCTTTGCATCACTGCTTCTGCAATCAAACATGATATTGGAGATCCCATGGACGTGACTTGTTACAACATGGAGTTTTCTGAAGTTCTAGTGGGAAATCGTGATCACTGATGTCCATCCAGTCGAGAGTGAGGAGTGAACTTTCCGCTGATGACATTAGTTGGTGGTCACGCCAAATGCATCACGAATTGATAGAAGTTAGAATTCATGGTCAGATCATGGAATCGGTTCCCAGTGGCTGAATAGTTTACGAGCTAACTTACCTTTGAAACCGGAAGCTTCTGGATCCGAAACCTATCATTGGGATGGATGCGTACTGCAGATGACTCCCAAACTAGGATGAAACACCTTTCCAGTACTCCCTGGTTTCCAATAGTTCCCTTTATTATTTATTGTTATTATATCCTTTATTTCCGAGAGGAACAAAGGGCTTCACCTGCGCATCTCCATTGCCTTCGGTTTTCTGCAAAATTTTTCACCCCACTCCAAGTCTGCCCACATGCTCTCATCTCCTCTTCACATGACCTCCTCCAAGTCATCCTTGCACTGACGACCAACTCGCCACTTTCCTTTCGGGTTCCACTCGAGCGATGACGTGGCGTTTGCTGTCACTTGATGGTTTCCTCAGTGTATGGCCAATCCACCTCCATTTCCTCCTACCTATTTGTTTCACAATCGGTTCCTGATTGGTTCACTCCCGGAGATCCCTGTTGCTGATCATTTCTGGCCAGCAATCTGACCTTGAGTATTGAGCAAAGACAGCTGTTGATGAAGGTGTGTAGTTTGTTTGAGGTGCTCTTCATGACGCGCTGGCCAAGTCTCTGATCCGTATAGTAGCACTGACTTCACATTGGAGTTGAAAGTTCGGATCTTATTTTTCATGCTGAGTGCTGTTGACCTCCACACAGACTTGAGAGTAATGCAAGCTTGTCTTGCTTTTCCGATTCTTGCTTTGATATCCTCGTCAGTTCCACCTGTAGTTGAAACGATGCTTCCCAGGTAGGTAGGTGAAGGAGGTTGTTTCTTTCAGGTTCCTCACATTTATGCTGATTGTTGTCTGTTGTTGTTGTTGCTGTTGGTGTTGGCCAGGAATCTTCATCACCACTGTTTTATCTTTGTTCACTTGAAGTCCTGTCTTTGATGCTTCTTCTGCCAGCTTGTTGATTTCCACTTGCATATCTTCTAGTTTGTGGGAGATCAGACATATATCATCGGCGAAATCCAGATCCTCCAAGTCTTTTGTGTCAGTCCATTTTATGCCTGTTCCCTCGTTGGTTGCCGTTGTCTGTCGCATTATCCAATCGATTGCAATCAGGAAGATCATTGGCGACAGTAGACAGGCTTGCCTCACTACCGTCCTCACTTCAAAGGCTTTCGTAAGTTTCCCGTTGTGGGTTACTCGGCATGCAGCATTGTCGTATAACTGTTGGATGACATGTATAATTATCGATGGGACCCTGTAGTAGCGAATTAGTTGCCAAATCACCTCTCGATCGACGCTGTCGAAGGCCTTTTTAAAGTCGATGAAGTTGAGATAGAGATGTCACTGCCATTCCAAACTTTGTTCAATGATGATCCATAGAGTGGCGATTTGATCAATACATGACTTGTTTCTCCTGAATCCAGCTTGTTCCGGTCTGAGTTTTTCATCCAAGTTGGCTTGTTTGATTCTCTCCAGGATGATGCGCCTTATATATTTTGCTTGGAATGGACATGGATAGTTCCCTTTCTAATATCAATCCGTGGTCAAACTAGTATAAACAAATCACACCCTTACAAATCAAACTCTTGAAAATGTCTACTTCTCACTTGGCGGCCAATTATTTTTGCGAACTCTATTGAGTTAAATCTTGATCACAGCACATATGAATCATAACCTCTTTAAAAGATAATCTAGCATATTTTACCTTAATCGCAAACGTTAAAACGAAAGGCAAAACAAAAACAAGAATACAACTTCTATTGGCTTACTTGTAATAGTTACAGTCCGATTAAACTCATAAATGTTATAATTCTTCTTTCTAGCATGTTGTAGGATGCATTGAAATATAAATTCGCCTTCTTTTAAATAGACTCCGTGCTTAGCTAGCGGTTGAATATAAGTTTGTCCATTTTTCTGTATATTGACTGCAACTAAATCTTTTGATCCACTGATAATTTTTCCTGTCCATTTAGCTACCAGACGTGATTCAAAACTAGCCGGTAGTAGACCACATCTCAGCGTTTTATTTGTACCAATGATTAATTTCACATCCTTATCATCAATACCATTCAGGGTACCTTTAATGCTACCTAATTAATGTAGATTGAAGTTTTAGAGAAATTATTTCTAGTTATAATTAGATAATAAATAATTCAAATTATTAAAAGAAGGAGTGCTTGAATAAACCTTTTATGTATACGTATATATATATATATATATATAAAACAAACAAAGTCCGTTGATATAAGTATTAAACTTGGGCACTGTGCTAGTAGAGTATAACTCCGTTATAGATAAGATTTTATTTTAATAAATCACACAGTGTTGTACAGTTGTATTAACTGATGACGTTTCGAGCACAAACTATTGCCACTCATAATCATATCAAGTTACTCACTCACACAACTTTCCTTCATTTATATACATGTGTAGAATCGATTAGATATTGGATTAAAAATCAATGTGAGATAATGTTCATTCAGAAATAATAGTACGAGTGTTGTTGATCAATTGCAATTAGATGGTAAAAACGGACGAGTGTTTCTTACAGTCATAATAAGCTACTTGTTAGAATGTTGTGCTGTGTTTGAATTGAAATAGAATTTTAAGATTATTTATTATCCTCTTCTGATTTGACTGATGGCAATAATACGAGTGTTATTGATCAACTATAATCAGATGGGAAATACAACGAGTCTGAACGCAAGAAACCAAACTTTGCCTTCTTCTATATTATAGCCAACAAAACCTCCTTGAGACACGCTCCAACACGAGTCCTAACACTGTGCCACCGACGCCACACAGCAAGTGGTAAGAATAATATGTGGTGGCTTGTGTTGCGCTACCGACTACCAACCACTAGGGATGACGGTTTTCAATCCTGTTCTACTTATTAATGTTCGGACAACCAAGCAGCATTATTAGCAGCTTTCATTGATATAAGTATTAAACTTGGGCACTGTGCTAGTAGAGTATAACTCCGTTATAGATAAGATTTTATTTTAATAAATCACACAGTGTTGTACAGTTGTATTAACTGATGACGTTTCGAGCACAAACTATTGCCACTCATAATCATATCAAGTTACTCACTCACACAACTTTCCTTCATTTATATACATGTGTAGAATCGATTAGATATTGGATTAAAAATCAATGTGAGATAATGTTCATTCAGAAATAATAGTACGAGTGTTGTTGATCAATTGCAATTAGATGGTAAAAACGGACGAGTGTTTCTTACAGTCATAATAAGCTACTTGTTAGAATGTTGTGCTGTGTTTGAATTGAAATAGAATTTTAAGATTATTTATTATCCTCTTCTGATTTGACTGACTGGTGGTAATAATATCTTCCATATCTCTGGTATTTGCATTCAGTTATTTCTGTTGCATGTGTTGGGTGTAGACTCGATAAATAAGGATTCCATAGTCAACCTCTCTCTCCAATTAGCTATATTACTTTTTAGAATCTTAACTCTCTCCCACCCAATTGTGTGGTTGTATGTTAATGCATGCAGTGCCATTGCTGAGCTGTTTTTTTCTAAATTACTTATCTTGTAGGGGTCAACCATCCTTACCTTAACTGAATTCTTATGTTCTGACAATCTGACTACCCATGACCTACTAGTTTGAAACTAGTAATGATAAATAAGAGAGAATATAAGTCATCCACTGTTATGCCATATAAGGAAAGGACATCTGAGGCCCTACGTAGGATTCTCAATAAAGCAGGAATTAGGGTGGCATTCAAACCTACAAACTCACTCAGAGACAAGCTCTGCAGGCTAGAAGACCCGGGGGATCCAATTAAACAAAATAATATAATTTACAGAATACCCTGCAATGACTGTGAGGTCAACTACATAGGTCAAACTAGTAGATCGGGGATAGTCAGATTGTTGGAGCATAAGAATTTAGCTAAGGTAAGAATGATTGACTCCGAGAGGATAAATAATTTAGAAAATAACCCACGCAATAGGGTGGGAGAAGGTTAAGATTCTAAGAAGTAATCTGTGTAGGTGGAGAGAGAGATTGATTACTGAAACCTGGTTCATTGAGTCACACCCAACACATGCAACAGAAATGACTGAATGCAAATACCAGAGATATGGAAGATATTATTACCGCCAGTCAGTCAAATCAGAAGAGAATAATAAATAATCTCAAAATTCTATTTGAGTTCAGGTACATCACAACATTCTAAAAAGTTACTTATTTATTTTACTGTAAAAGCACTCGTCTTATTTCCCATCTGATTGTATTTCATCAATAACACTCATATTATTATTATTTCTGAATGTACATTATCTCATATTGATTTTTATTCCAATATCTAGTCAATTCGACACGTGTATATAAATGAAGGGAAAATGTTGTGTGAGTAGTGCCTTGATATGATTATGAGTAGCAATAATTTGTGCTGAAAACGTGGTTATCAGTTAATATTACTGTACAACAACACTGTGTGATTTATCAAAATGAAAATCTTATCCATAATGGAATTATACTCTACGCAAACACAGTGCCCAAGTTTTATACTTATATTCCTACAAAAATCAATACTTGAAAATTAATCTGATGCTCACTAGCGACTGGCCTTTTTCAGGCAGTTACCTAGGGATCTAGTAAGAAACCGTGACTAGTAGAGTACAGCAAGTTGAAAGCGAGGAAGTAACTCATCGAAGAGGATATTGCGAAGTGGTCGCAGTATGTCGTGAATTGGCAGAAGTTAGAATACATGGGCTGGCTGACCATTGGATTGGATCCCAGTGAGTGACTTGTTGGTCTACAAGCTCGCTCGCCTCATAACCAGAAGGCTTTGGGTTCAAACCTCAGCGTGGTGGGTGCGTACTGATGAGGAGTCCCAAATTAGACTGATGAAACAGTTGTCCAATACTCCAGTGGTGGCTTTCCAATGTTCCTCTAACTAATGTCGGCTCATGATAAAATCCTCCAACTAATATATACAAAAATCTGGTTTTCCTATTTCGACGATCAAAGGCAGTTGACCAACTATGTTTGTTTTAACCAGTTCACCTGCTCCCTTGGCACTCAGTATATATTCGTCGTTCAACGTGCGTTTTAGTCTAAGAGTGTTCAAAAACACTATTCTGCGTGACTACGAACAGTTGGAAGTGAGACTGCAAGGAGTCCAATAAGTGTACATTTGGTCGAGACTGACCACTTTATCTCTATAACTTCCTCCTTTAAAATTATCCATAGGGAGAAAAATGACCTAACCGACTCATCTATATTGTTGAAGCTCGAATCATCGAAATAGAAAACCTAGTCCTTTGTTTACAAAGAAAAATTATTCAACCAATTCTTCTTCAAACATGGTCTTAATCAGTCCTACTCATTTTTCGTTTTGTTTTATTCAGTTTGTATACCCTTCCCTTATTATTTCAGTTGTTATTGTTAATCTCACTTTAAACAATTTTTGGTATCCTCTCAATGGTTACCTTGGTGTTGGTGGTGAAAATCCGAATTTTTGTGTTTATGTCAGTAGAGTTCAAAAGATTTCCCAAGTGATTTCAGAGTAACAGAGGTCTGACTGTCTTGACTTTCTGACCCTGACTAATTTTGACATTCCCATTCGTGACGACTGTCTGTAGTTGAGACGAAGCTTCCTAGGTAGATAGAAGAAGTAGCATCTTTCAAACTTCTCGCATTGATAGTGACTGGTGTTGGTTGTTATTGTTGGTAGTAGTTGGTTCACTTTATTACCTTCTTCTTCTTCTTCTGAATGTTCCCTTGAAGTCCTGTCTTTTCTGGTAGCCTCTTCTGCCAGTTTGTTGGTTTTTGCCTAGAAGTCTTCCACTTTGTGTGACATTAAAAGTAAATCATCCACGAAATCCAGAGCTTTTGAGTTTTCTCTTCAATACAGCCTATTTTTCGTCTGCTTTCCCCTAAAGTTCCCAAAATAATCCCTTCCACCACAACTAAGAATGTCATTGATAATAATAATCAGCTTTGTCTTATTCCTGTATTCACCTCAAAAGCTTCTTTGAGTTTACTGGAGCCTGGTATCGTCCTATAGTTGTTGAGTTGGACTGATAAAGCTTTAGGTTACTACACGCTGTAGTGTTGATTTAATTCCCAAATAACTTCTTGGTCAGCACTATCGAAGATCTGATCAAATTCGATGAAATCGAGGTAGCCGTTTTAACTGCCATTCTATTCTTTGTTCGATGATAATGCGTAGAATCTCAATTTGATCCGCACATGATTTGTCTTTCCTGAATCCACATTGTTCTGATTGGAGTACTGTACTTGGTGTATCGTTTATTCTCTCCAGGATGACGTAAGTTATTATCATATTTGGCATTGATAAGAGCATGATTCTTGAATTTATTTAATTCAATATAATTCTTTTGAAATGTTGTCTTCTCACAGTTGTCCCTCAGTTGCGTAATGCTTTAATCCCCTATCAGTCGCATTACTTATTCACCCAACCCTTTTGAGAGTAAACATTTCATGAACTATTTCACAGGGTACACAACCAATTTTAATATATGTGTAAAATTTGGGCACCGTGGTAGTATATAATTCCATATTAATTTGTTTATTAGATGGAAACATGAGACAATAAAACAGTATTATTATTTACCGGATGACGACGTCTTTCGAACACAATTTATTACTGTTCATAATCATATCGCCAATTATAACCACACAACTCCGAAACTTTCGTTTTATAGTCTTCTTCGTTCTCTCTTATTTCTCGTCGTAGGTGTAGTAGAATTTTCCAGATATCTGGGTGACAGGTGTTGAATCATTCCTATTACATGTATTGACTCCCAGTTGATTCGATAAACAAAGCTTCCGTTGTTATCAATCTCTCTGTCCACCCTGTTATGTTGGATTTTGAAACTGTCATCTTATCCTGTCATCCTATATTGTATGGTTGTGTGTAATTGCATGCAGTGCTATAGCTGAACTATTTTCTAGATTTTTTATCTTGTCAAAGTTGACTAAGCTAGATTTTGCTGGGTTTTTATGCTCTGCTAATCTGACTGATCCCATTCTACTACGTTGATTTGACAGTCACATGAACAAGTAACATGAAGTTACTTGTCTCATGATGACGTGTTTTAACTCTACTCGGGAATGTCGATTTGGAGACACCTTCATTTAAAAAAGAGAGGACGTTCAGCGAAGAGACTCTTTTTTCGGAAAATTTATTCACATGGTTGTACAATCGCATTTACATATAAATATTTGTGTGTGTGTGTACATAAGTTCTGTCAAGTTTAGATAATTGATCAGGTAATACAAGAATGATCTAATATAGAAACAAGGTTAATTAGACAACAACTGGTGTAAGATTGAGTTTGTAAGTTAGATGACGTCATGTAATTGACTAAAGTGTTTCGACTTAGGTCAGGATAACAACAGAGGTAATTGCAGGCAGAGACTAAGTAGAAGTGGGGTATATAGTAATGCCATTTAAATTAAGACTAAAATTGAGCAATTAAGTTGGATGCCGTGACATAAATGACTAGAAATTCAACGTTGGTCAAGTCAGTAACAGTAGTAATGAGGTGTAGAAATGAAATCGGGTTGGGGTAGAGAACAGGAAGGTTGAAAGTGTAAAATATCACAATTGAAAAGACAAAATAATACTAATGTCAGGTATCAAGGTAGATTACGTCCATTGCAAGTGTAGTGATTGAACGAACTTCTTCTGTATGCAGAGTACAGGGCTTAGCAAGTGAATTATCATTGCTTCTATAGTTTGAAGTAGTTTGACTCGTACACTTTTAGGAAGACTGCTTCGTATTCTGTAGACGACTTTGAAGCTTGTTTGCGCTGTTGAGCTTGGTGTCAGGAATCTGTCAGATGTTCTAAGATAGAGCTGTCGGGGGGGATCGTTTTTTCCTTTGTAAAACCATGCTGGTAAGTGTTCAGTGATACATTTGGATAGAGAATGCTGGGCACGGCATTTGTATGAATAATAATGGTAATGACAATCTAAACTGCTATGCATTAGGCTACTAAGCCATTCATTATTATTATAATTATTGTTCCCTTGGGTTCCTAGTGGAACATAGGCCTTCAACTACACGTCTCCACTTCCTTCTGCTGTACTTTCCACCTGCATCCATGCTGGTTAGTCCATACTGTTTCAACTCCTCTTCACACGATGTCCCCCATGTCACCCCTGCATTGACGATCCACTCGTCGCTTCCCTTTCGGCCTGGTTCCACTCGAGCAATGGCCTGACGCGCGATGTCACCCAGCGGCGGCCTCCTCAGCCGCGAGTGTCCAATCCATCTTCACTTTCTCCAACTGCATATTTGTTGGCTGGCGATTGGTTCTTGTTTTGTTTCTTCCCATAGTTTTTTGTTGGTGATTATTTCCGGCCCGGCCATCTGATCTTCAGTATAGATACAGCAAAGAGAGTACAGTTGTTGATAAAGGTTTACAACAGGCTGTTGGAAATATTCTTTTTGACCCGCCAAGTTTCACCTTGAGTCCTATCTTTGCCGGCTGCTTCTTCGACCAGTTTAAAGGTTTTCGCTTGTAAGTCTTCGATTTCGTGTGACATCAAACATAAATCATCTACGCGCGAAATCCATGTCTTCCAGGTTCTTTACGTTGTCCCAGGATATCCCTGTCTGCTCGTTTCCCATCGTCTGATGCATAATCCAGTCCACCACAATTAGGAATATCATTGGTGATAATAGGCAGACAGCTTTGTCTGACTACTGTGTTTACTCCAAACGCCTAGCTGAGTTTTCCGTTGTGGATTACTTGACATGTGGCGTTGTCGTACAGCTGTTGAATAATGTTGATGAATATTTGGAGTACGCCGTAGTACTCAAGTAGTTTCCAAATTACTTCGCGATCAACGCTGTCTGTCGAAGGCCTTCTCAGTCTATAAAGTTGAGGTATAGGTTTGATTGCCATTCCATGCTTTGTTCTGTGATGATGATGCGTAGAGTTGCGATTTGGTCAGTACATGATTTGCCTTTCCTGAATCCAGCTTGTTCTGGTGGGGTGGAATCCTGTATCCGGTGCGTCCTTTATTCTCTCCAGGATGATGCGACTCAGGATTTTACTTGGCGTCGACAGGAGCATGATTCTTCGCCAGTTCTTGCGGAGTCCTAAGTCACCCTTCTTTAGTAATTTCACGAGGTAACCTTTCCTCCAGTCAGTAAGCACCTTTCCCTCCTTCCAGACCTTTTGCAATAATGGAGTCAGCATATCTGCTGTAGTGTCTGGGTCCGGTTTTAGTGCTTCAGGAGGTAATCCATCTGGTTCAGCTGCTTTTACAGTTTTCAGAGGCTTGATTGCATTCAAGACTTCAGCTCTCGTTGGAGGATTGGTTTCAACTTGCAGTTGTGTACGTGCTGTTGTTGGTATTTCTGGACGGGTTGCAGGTGATGGTCGGTTCAAGAGTCCTTTGAAGTGATCCGCCCATTGTTTAATCTGTCTTTCTTCTTTGGTGGTCGGGTTCCCTTGGCTGTCTTTTAAAGCCATTCATAGCCAAACTTATTTATGATTATACCTTGGCGCATAATGTCTGTATTATATATGTATATATAGTCCAACCTTTAGCCTCAGATTCTCATTGAATACACCCAACAAGTTAATTCCAGTAAAATACCATGTTCTTAAAACACACACACACACAAATAGAACAAAACTAAGTGAAAAAACAAATAACTTACTAACCTGTAATTGTTATAGTTTTATTAAATTCAAAAACTATCTGTTTATTACTTGTATACCTATAAATACATTCAATCTTAGCATATCCATTAAACATATAGAATGGTTGTCGAACTGGTGGCTTTATTAGCATATGCTTTGAAACTTTCTCCAAATATATGAAATCTTCAATGTCACCATCAACTATACGTGCTGTCCAATAGCCTTTTATAGCATCTTCACTTTGATATGGTAACATACCACAACTGAATGTCTCATTTGAACCAACTGATATGATAATTTCTTTATCATCAAGTCCATTCAATGTCCCAATTGCATTATCTATGAATAAAATTTTAAAACAAAACAATATTGAATTACTAAGTTGGGTAAAGTTAAACTTTAAGCACCATTAACTACAACCAATCAGCGAATGACTTCGAACGCACCAATCACGTGAAGGAGGCATTTTTGTGTATGGAATACACATATATATGAAATAATTCATAAAAAATGTAGAAAAGTGTTACAGAGGATACTTGAACTAACCTTAATGTCGCCTTTATTAGCTTTACCTAACCCTAACTTGTCCTTGGCTTAAAAGCGTAACTTAATCTTTCCAAAACCTAACCTGGAATTTGCCAAATATCCCATTTAATAACATAACACTTCGATGAGCATATTTTATACATGATGACAACATTATTTGCCAGGTTTCACTACCTTGCTCAGTGATTGTTTCAGAGTCATTGCTGCGGTCGCACTTCATTGGTAGTTAGCGGTGTTTAAAGTTTAACTTCACCCTTGGTCAAATGGGAAAAAAACAACTAAAGAAGTAACAAAATTTCTGCATAAAGTTTCTTATAGATATTGTGCTACTGACAATATTTATCAGTAGTATATTAAGAAACATTCATCGTGACACACGAAGCATATCAAATAGCGAAGAAATGGATTTGATGTCATTGCGAGAGGAAATGAACTAGCCAGTATTGCTGCAAAACATGGGAGACACTGAAAGAAGCCAAAGGAACACAGTATGAAGGAGCAGCAGAATAAGCTCAGCACCAAAGGTCTGTGCCACTTTGTGTGATCTAGTAGATAGTGGACACCACATCGAAATAGATGAGTCATTTACGGTTGTATATTGAGTGAATACCAAACAATCTGCCTAAAGGCACAAGATTACATCTCTTAGCTTTAACGGAAGCTATAGAGATTAATAAGAGAAAACCTGACCTATGTGTGCAAAAGAAGCACATTGATCCTCATTGTTTACCCTGGCTCACATAATTGTCCATATTTTCATGTCATATTATGCCTTCTTATTCCCTTTCACCTAGTTAATTTTACTCCATCATTATTACCTCTATTATGTGTCAACTTTTTGCAATTTACACTAAGCAGCTTTGTATGTCTCTAGTATTTTATTACAGTTCACAATTTAACCTCTTTATTTTATCACTACACACTCTTGATATATCTCAACCCTTGCTTGAACTTACATCCAGTATGCTTCGTTTTTTCGGCAATTGTTTGTATGTAATTTGTGCTAATCATATTTCCCTCACACCACTGAATATAACTCATGCCCTCCCCCCCCCACCATCCTCAACGGGACTTACATTCTGTTGACTATAACTACATTAGTATGTCACCCATTTGTCTCTTCATACTTTATCTTATGTTCTGAATGACTGCCCATTTTTTTTAATCTGAATTAGTTGGATAATATTTAATGACGAACTATCACTCCGTATTATACATGTACCACAGTACAAACAGTTTCCGATATACTTTTCACATGTCTTTAATGGCTAGTTGTATTATAGTATTTATGGATTTATAACTGTAGTAGTGCCTGAGGAGGAATTTATCGGAAATAATTCTTCGCTCACTTAGTCATAATAGTAGATATTCTCGGGTATGAAAAACCAAGATCGTAGAGAAACGGTAAATATACCTCGCTCCACTACAAACGCAGTTGAACTGGTAGATACATTTTGAAGTGGCTAGTCTTGGTACTTCATCCTTCAGTCTAGGAATCGCTGTCGGTCGTGAGAATAAGACGTGTAGTTCACCAGTTCTCTGAACTGATTTTCCTAATTTCTTCTTAATTATTTCATCTGGTATATCGCCCTCGAATTGCAGTTGTATATATAAAGCCCTCTTGTTTACGGAAAGTGAATAGTCCTTTTCTACTTTCTTACTGATATATTTTCTGATGAATTTGTCAGGATAACTGTTTTCAACCAATGTATCATATACAATCCTTAATTCATCTTCAGTTACCTCTTCTAAGCATATAACTTTTAGCCTGGTGCTGAGGGTCTTTACTAAATTTTTGTACTGGATAGGAGTGAAGCTATGAAAATGTGTATATTGTTCTGTCCATGTACTTTTTCTATACAAATTTCTCTTAATACTAACTACCATCTGGTTTTCTTGTGAGGAGGACATCCAGGAAGGCAATTCTGTTTTGGGGATTCCTCTTCACAAGTGAATTTTATAGCCGAATGTAATTCATTGAACTCACTAGTTTTTTTTACTCCTATCCGAATCATTATCACAAAGAATGAAGGTGTCATCCATAAGTTGGCAATTGAATGAGAACTTTCTGATAAGGTTGTTCAGAGGTCCATTTTCTAGTTTACTTGGAAAGAAATCTGCCAAAATAGGACTTAATCGGGAGCCTACCTCTACTCCGTCTACTTGTGTGTAAAGTGTGCCATCAAATTTAAAATTTATATTCATGGTACATTTCAATTACAATTCTTTAAGGATTTCCTTTTGGATGTTAGTATTTATCGACTGGTGATACACTTGTTCATAGATTTAGTTAACCATTTAGTTAACCATTTTTACTGGAGGTACATTTGTGAATGAAGGTGTTATGTCCAAAGATATCTCAGTTTTATCCTGGATATTAATATCTTTGATTTTGTCTACGAATTCAAGTATATCCTAGACGCTATGCTTCATTATCTGTCCTTGAAAAGGTTTGACAATATTTATTAACCATTTAGCTAGAACATGGTAGGGAGAATTTTGCAAATAAAGTATTGGTCATAACTGTACCCCCACTTTATGTACTTTAAGCAGGCCATTAAATCTTGGCTTGTAAATGCCCACTGGGCTGATTTCTCTATATAAACTTTTAGGAAATATCTGTTCCTCTCTTAGTTTCTTCAAACGTCTGGTTAGTTCGTTTTCTGTTTTGTTATCGAAATCTTTCTTTTTCTCAAGTTTTTAAAATTTCAGTGTGTCTTTCAGGATGTCATTCGTCTTTTTAATATAGCCACTTGTATCGTGGCGGACTACTCCTGATCATTCACCAGGCTTTTCAATAATCAGTCTTTCGCTATTTATCAGTTTCTGTAGTTCTTCTATGTGCTCCGTTGTCGAGATGTTTCTGTACTAACAACAGCAATCCACTAGACTGGATTTGAAGTGTTCTAGTTCCAGGGTGGATGATGGAACTAGATCACTTTGTTTGACTAAATAGAATTTTAAATTTCGTATCAGTATCTAAGTGGTTTACTCGTTTCTGTCTATCACAAAATCTAAGGCAAAGAGAAAGAACTGATAGAAAACACATCTACAACATAATACACTTGACAGGGACGAATTACACGTCAACATACTCAGAGTTTTACTCCCAGTGTTCAGGAAACTCAAATGGGATATTATAATGACCAGCGGAGATAACAAATTTCTGACTGCTCAGCATTATTAATGACTGATGGATGAGATGTAGGTCCCTACGATTGTATATCATAAAGGCCGTCTACAAACTAACTCACTATCATGGTTCACTTTTCAAATAACCGTTAAATAGTTGAGAGTAGTCGACAGCACGCCTTCAACTAAAGGTTCAGGCTTTTAACCACTTCATACATTTATTCCCCTTAATGAATTTGAACAATGCAAGAACTACAGTTTTAGCAGAATAAAATGGTACCATCTTTTATTTCGTTTCCTTCTCGTCAGCTGCTTACATGGCAAAGACATTATTAAATATATCTACAACAACAATTTTAACATACTTGCACAGAGTTCAGTTTAAACAAAAATCAATCGATCAATATACGCATACACTAAAAATATATACATATATAAATATGCAATATTAACCACTATTCCGAACAATAATAATCAAACACAATGGAAACTTTTAGCATTTCACATTCGGAGGAAAGAGAGGTGAAATTATCCAGTTACCAGGGCAAAGAAAGGCTGATAACCGCTTCTTTCTGGACGCATAAATCAGGTTTCATGCGCTTGATGGAAATGGCTTCAGCAAACTTAAGGAGAATGGAGCTATTTTGCTTATTGATAATTTTGAACGATTTTTCAACGTCCACCTCATGACCCGTGTCGAGAAGATGCCTGGTGATGGTGAACAAAGCGATTCTGCAATCGCTAAGCGATTAGTGCTCTCTTTCAGAAGTCCGAACTCGTGTCGCCCAGTGATACAGTTAAAACACGTTAACACTGAGTCATTAGGACCCTTTACTTTAATGACACCACATATTAGCTTATAGACTGATTTCGTAAAACACTTAGAACTTACCAACGCTCATTTTTAACCTGTTCTGAACTCAACAAATTCAAATACTTACCTAAGATAGAAAAAGTTTTATTGAATGAAAAAATTTTTTGACCACTAACAGGATCAGTAAAAGTACATTCAATGATAATTTTTCCACCAGTTATATAAACCGGATATTTTGTTGGAGGTTTAATAAATACTTCTGTTCTTTTGCCTTGTTTATTTGTTTCAAATTTTACAAGATCTCTTCGACCACTAAGAATTTTAGCACTCCATACACCTGGAAAATCTGATGGTGGTAGATAACCACAACGGAAAGTTTTATCCGAGCCAGCAAATACTTCAATATCTTCACCATCATTCCCATTCAATGTTCCAATGGTATCAACTGAAATGAAAAAGTAAAACAAAAAGACAAAAAATGCATTGAAACCATTGAAAGTTGATTCAGTGAGGTGGAATGTAGAAATGCACTTGAGCCTTGATTTATGTTAAATAATGTAACTTTTTATTTCATCTAATGTGAAAGGAGATAGTGTGGTCTGATTTCGTTGTTGTAACTGTGAAGATACATAATAACTCCTTGTAAAACTTTCGACACCACTAATAACCAATCAGCAAACGACTTTGAACGGACCAATCACATTAAAGAAGCACTTACGATTAATGGAGACGTATATTTATAGAAAAAAGCATAAAACTGTTACAGAGGATACCTTTCCCTAACATATGAGAGAAACATCTCCCAGTTAAGCATCGGACTGTCAATAGAAATGTTACACCGCATTCTGTACATATATACATCTAAATGACTATAAATGAGATTCTTCTAAGATCCATTTATAGCCCTTATCCTATTTTTCAACCTGCCCCAAAATCCTTCAATAGAATTGGTATGTGTCCTCGTAACGGGATCCACAAAATCACTTGAATGGTTAACTCTATGATGAGTATATCGCAGAGATGACAGGGAATTGTAACCGTTCCATTTGTCCGTGTGTATTATTGATCCCCGTTTTACAAGTCTCGTTATAATAGGTATGAAAGTGGTTGCTTTTCTGTCTGCTATCCTTTCGAAAAATCCCTTTTGGAGGGAGGTGTCATACAAACCTATTACCCAAATATTGTTCGCTCACTGGCGAACATGGCTGCACTTCTTTTTCACCAACACAGTTTCATCGACGTGCGCAACAACGTCTTCTCCACCCAACAGAGGATTGATTTTCTCCATTTTCCAAGAAGCAAATCTCTGCAATGCTGATACCATTGAGCTGTTGAGACGAGGTTATTCTTCGTCTCGGCAGCTGCGGCTCTCACTGGCTTCAAGATCCAGTAGTTGCAGATATACAAAATTTGCGTCAAAGAGAGGTGTGACCTTGCAAAAAAAGTTCCTACGAAATATTAAAACTATCAGCTTACCCTCTCTAGTGTTAACTCACTTCAAGCATAATGCACAGCGATGGACAAATCCATCGTTTGACCTACTATAGCTTTTAAATGTCATGACACCACCACATGAACAAGTTCTCTCCTTCTGGAGCAACCCTAAATCCAGGCAATACTGGAAAACACTGTCCTCCTCGAATTGCAACTGTAACCTTGTTAGGGCACATACTTGAACGTTTGTGAATCTCATTGGATAATTCGACGTCGTTCGCTGATTGGTAGTTAGTGGTGCTTAAAGGTTAAATTGGCCATTTATACATATGTCAACCAGATACCTGTTGTGTTTAGATTTGAAAGTGTTGTTTCAGTTATTTCGGATGCTCTACCACTCTTCGGATACACATAGACGCTGCTAGATTGAATCAATTTGTGATTCAATCAATCTCTAATGTTCTGAGTGCAATATAGGGCTTCAGCAACATGTCTACAATTTGTTCCATTTTCTGCAATTCGCTTCGTCTGAACCCACGATTGCCCATATTCTCTCACCCCTCCTCATTCGATCTCCTCAATGTCAGCCTTGGACGACCCACTCGTCACTTCCCAATCCAGTTTCACTCGAGTGATGACATGGATTAAGCTGTACCATCTCATGGCGTAGAGACTGAGGTATTACCGCCAACCAACTTCCATCGTTCTCTCTCCAAGTCAGAGTTCCATAGGCGTTCACTCGAAATCCATATTTCCGTTTGAGTAGAGCGTAGTCAGCTCCTTAACCGCCGTAGGTTGATTCAAGTTGGTTCCGTTAGTGATCACCTGTATAATTGTATTCAGGGTAAGGTCTCATTTCTGACTGCGGAGAAGTCTCAGTGGTTCTTGTTCCAGTGCATGCAATCCGTAAATAATCTTCGGCAACTCAGCTTAGTGTTTCTGGTCTAGATAAAAACATCGGCTAGTATAATTTCTTTGCCAAGGACGTGTGAGATCATGGAGTCATACTCCTGCAAGTGAGACATCCACCGCAAGAGTTTTCGTCATGGGTGTCTCGCGGTCCTCAGAAACTGTGACGGCTTGCGATCAGTTTCGATGTGGAACCGTTGGTCGAGTATATATGATCTTCATTTGTCCACCGCCTATACCATTGCCAAACATTCTTCTTCTATCGCAGAATACTTCTGTTCTGTATTTGTTAAAACGCAGGTGGCATATTCGACAACGCCTTCACCCTGTCTAAGTACTGCTTCTATGCCACAGTCACTCGCACCTGTACACATTGTGAAGTGTTTACTGGGTACAGGCAGTCTTAGCGTCCTCTTCTTGTGATCTAAAAGCCGTTTAATACTGTCTAATATCTTCTGGGAATTTCGCGATCAAACAAACTTTGACTGCTGCCATCTCGTTGAAGGTTTTCATGAATCGATTATAAAATGCTGCTCTCCCCAGGAACTGCCTGAGATTCCTGTTGGAATTCGGGGCCGTAATGGTCTTTGTCAACAATTTTTTTCCGGAAGTTGTTTTATTTCACCATTGTCTGCTTTATGACCCAACAGCCTAACACTCCGTCTGGTTACTGAGATTTGGTTTTGTTATTACACAGTTCAAGCTCTTTGATGTGTTTTAACACGGCTTCGACATGCTTCACGTGTTTGCTTTCGTTTTAACTGTAGATGACAAGATCATAACCGTACACTTCTACATTCTTCAGATTTCGAAGTAACGGCATCATCAGTGGTCTCAAAGTAAACGGTGCACCTACTAGTCCTAATGGTATGCGTATGAACCAATATTGCCTCTGTCTTACAATGAACGCCGTCTTAACTCTGTCACTCTGTTTTATTGTTATCTGCAAATATCTTGACCGGAGATAAAGCACTTCAGACGAATTCGCGTTTTGTAGACGATCCAGGGTCTCTACGAAAGTTTGCATGGCACACGGTCTGAGCTCTTCCATGTTGTTTCACTGTTAAAATCAACCCAGAATCTGTACTTCCCGTTTGCTTTCTTCATTAAAACGACTGCAGAGTTACATGAGCTGTCTGCTTCTTCACCAATTTGATCCTGTAACATCTCCTTCACTTGTTGCTCGACTTCGCCTTCTAGTTGACATGGGACGCGTCCTGTTGTGGATGGTGCAATTTTTGCGACCGATCAGGGCGATTTCATGCTCAACCTTTTCACAGTAAGCGTAGGCATCCCCATCTGCAACGAACAGATGATCGTATTCTTCAGTCATATTCTGTGCTTTTGAGGCAGTAACGCCTGCTGTCTCGCTTTTCTCATACATGCTGATAGGTCCGTACTTCGTTACCACTGCCTTTTTTATCGTGTTAACCAACGCACCAACCTATGGCAGAAAACCAGCGCCAAGTATTGTTTGCCGTCACTCGGGCACAACAATGAATGGGGAAATAACTTCGTGATTGGTAATAAAAAAACTAAAATTTGACGTGCCAGTAATGCAGTAATGCTTGACACGTGTTCACCTACGGTTTTAACTGTTATTGAACACGGTATGACGCTCTGACGTAGCTTCCGATAAATTAGTGAGACTGCCCCTGTATCTATCAGACATAAAACTTCTTGGCTATTCACTCGCAACTTAGAATACATCGCTCCCATCTCAATATCCCCCACTACTTCTAGTCGGATGGAAGAAAAAGAACACACATTATACTGTCTGAAATTGCTTCCTCTCCTTATTTCTGGGCGGTGCCTCGTCAAGTGGCCTGCATTACTATATTCAAAACATCGGTCTTTCCGGGCACTCATTCGTATTGCCGCTATTTAACGCTGCAAATCTTCCACTTTCTGTTTCAATTCGCTCAATTTTGGTGGCTTTATTTCTGCTACTGTTGTGATCAACAGCTGCCTGGTCACCTTCGCCAGCTCACCGATGCTCAGTGTAAGCCAGTTTTAGTTGCTTAGAAATGTGATCTGGGACACTTTCGACTATCTGGAACACCAGTAACTGCAACTCCTACCCACTCAGTGTAGGGAGAGCACGACGTGGTAAATTCTTCAGCTTCACCACTAACTCTAGCGGCTTTCTATCCGGTCTCAGCTTCGGGGCACATGAATGCCGCATCGCCAAATGACGATCCGTCGAACTCCTACGACAATCTTCCAGCCACCAGCTCTAACGCCTCTGTCTTACCTATACACTCCACACTGTCATACGCTGCTTCACAGTGACGTCTCACAAGAAGCTCGAAATTTTCTTCCCTCGAAAGTAACAGGCCACGGGATCTCATTACCTGAAAGCAGCGACACCAATCGAAACCGTAGGTATCTCTGTATAGCCAAATTATTTCCCCTTATCTTCAAGTCACCATTTGCACAGATATTCGTGCTATAGTAAATCTGGACTCTGGACTTCACCTTGTGTTTCTTTGTGTTCCTGTCACTTTTCTCGTGTATCTCCACAACACTGTATCATTTACCTTCTCTGAAATCTAATGTATCTCTCTGCTATTTGATGTTTTTTATGTTAATAAAGTTGTTTATATATACTACTGATAAATCTTGTCAGTAGCACTCTCCACAATTAGACATAAATCATACGCAAAATAACGATATCTCTTAGGATCTTCTCATAGGTCCAATCTATTGCAGTCCCCCCAATCCCCAATCAAAAAAAAGAAGAATGGACGGGGAGTAGTGTGAATACGAACCCACCATCATCACAATTAAAACTCTAAATCTCAAGCTTGAAGCCTTATGCAGCAGTGGGACAGAAAAGAAATGCATAAAACAAATAAAAAAGATAAATAAATAACAGACTTACAGGTTGTTGTTAGCATATTGTCAGTGTATGGTGTTTTCACCTTCTTTCTCTTCTTATTCTTCATAAATCTGTCTGACAAAATTGAAGCTATTTTCTCTTGTTTTTCATTTATTTGTTTATTTATTTATTTTCGAAAGTATAAAAATAAAAAAAAAAAAAAAAATAAATTTATGGTAATTTCATCTAATTAATTAACTGAATAATAGATTGATAAGCCAGTAATCGATGATGTCGGAGATGTCGCATCTTAGTTTTCGACTAATGTTGCTGCTGTTGTTATGTAGAGGTGATAATTTGATTTGACAACCTTTAACACCCTATTGAGAGTGTAAGACATGAAAAGATTAGCTGTCTTCGATCATAGGTGCCTGCGTCCTATCTCACGTGTGAAGTTGTCAAATAAAGTGAGCAATATTGAGGTTAGGATTCGGTCGGATGCTAGGTAAGGAGAGGAAATCAATCGACGAAGCTATGAAATTACATCGACTGAGATGGTTAGGACATGTGTTACGGATGCCTAGTCATCGCCTTCCTCGACAATGGGCAATGTGAGGTGACATAGAGTCAGGCTGGAAAAGAGCTAGCAGTGGTCAAACTAAAACATGGTACCAGTCAATGAAGTCCACAATAGTTAGTTCAAGCCTGCCACGTAGGAAGATGTAGACTTCCCGACTGGTTGGGATCCTCGGGACGGTAAAAACCCGTGGAGGTTGGAGACAATTGATGATATGGATCGAAATCGTTCTCAATGGCTGGTGCAAATGCATCCACTCCTTGTGACTTATGATTTCCAATGAAACTATATTGTTCTTTGTTATTACTATTCCTTTGTCTCACACCTCTGTTTACTGTCTTTATTATGCATTTCCTCTACTTTCTTCTCTTGCTTTGTATGCTACAATGGAGTATGGCGACTCCAACTACTGCACATCGAAGCAAAATTCTATGTCGAAAACAGACAGACAGACAACACACAGCCAAACAAACACACATAACCACATCTTAAATGCCTTACAGCGCGATGTCCACCTTTGTAAACGCAATTAAATTAGTCTATTTGACCAATGAACTAACATAATATTGTGCGTTATAAGTGTGCATTTATATATATATGATGTATTTTCGAGCGATACATTTGTTTTTACTGCTACAGGCAACTCTGTCTTCGGCTTTTTTCCTAGCTCAGTGAAGCGGAAAGTATCTGTATTAGAACAGTTTTGTTTTCAGTGAGTATTCCCTGGGAAATTACCTAACAGTCTTCAATCTTCTTATTTTACTATACATTGGTTCAATTGATCACTACATTGACAGCCAAATATCAATTCTGCTGTAAATTGATACTGAAATAAATGATGAAGAGAAGATTTTGTATCAGACTTAGACGGATGTTTCTTGTGATCAAAGTTCATTGTAATAGACAAACGGTTTGGAAAACTCCTCCTCAACGATTGTTTCAACTAAATTTGTAAACACCATCGGCTGAAAGCACCAAACCACCTAAATATCTTGTTACTTGGCATTCAGCAGTCAGCAAGGCGTATCCGAAGCCTTGAAGGAACTCATGTCCCTTCTGAGATTTGAACTGACAGAATTTAGTCTATACCAAATAAAGGAATAAAAGACACACTACACTAGTTACTAATTAGTGTCCAATCGAAGTAACTCCTGTAAACCAAATATATGAATACACTTTAATAAGCAAAAATTATCTTGTCACTACTACTACATACATACCTAATACACGAAAGTGTACATTTTGTACAGTTTCAATAAATCCCTCCTTGTAAGCACTTTTGATCCATACTTGTAGCATTAATCTGCCTGGTTTACGATATTGTCTAAATAATGGTGTAATCATTAGTTGGCCATCAAAACCAATTTGATTAATGTACACGTCAAGATCAGGTGTTACTTGTAGGATTGTATATGACCAATTAACAGGTTTTACTGTTTCATTATTCCTAACATATAAATGATAAATGACTGATGTATTGGTTTCAAGTTGTACCATGTAGACTTTTGGTCGTATTTCAAGAGGAGCTGTAGATAAATTGAGAAAAAAAGAGTAGAAAAAAAACAGTGGACAACAATAAGCTCCAGGGAACAGGAGTGCTCCAAGATAATGTGCTCTCTCTCACTCACTCGTACATATATGGCCTACTTCTCTGCCTCATAACCCGAAGGTCTTGTGTCCAAACCCAAATGGATAAGGACCTCTGAAGACTCCCAAACTAGGCTGACGAAAGGGCTGTCTGGAAGTACATCACTTCTGATCTTCCAATCGTTCTGCAACTGGCATCACCTCGTAATCAATCCTGTCGGAAATCAAATCCCTGCAAACCAACACTCCAAGCAAATGTTTATTTAATCCTTTACATTCTAAGGCCTTCAAGTCTCCAGCTTTCAGGGTTCAGTAGCGATGAGGTTTTTTCTATGAGTAACGATCGTCAGACTGACTCTCAAACCTCCTTTTTCTTCCAGGTTTACTGTCAGCTAGTAACCAAAGCGAGATATGGGAATGCGTTGGTTGAAACTCAGTTCCAGACCACTTGATTGGCATGCAAACATTCTACTCTTGAACCATCAGTAATTTTAAAAAATTTTCCCTCTGTATTCTGATGTAAAGTGCATACTGGCAAGTTATTAGGGGCTAAGAACTCCTAATGAGGTCTAGTGCATGGAAGGTAGAAGGCTTACTTTTAATTAATTGGTTACTGAAACACTGGATATCATCACTGGGAATCCACGAACCTATTTTCAATTCTTTAGGACACACATCAACAAAGCGCATCTTAATCTTGAAAGGATTGATTTTCTTTTAGAAATTTCAACCTAACTTGTAATGTTCTGAAGACTAAGAGAGTTTACCCTTATGTGGCCTTCAGGTGGCAAGGACTGATTGTGTTCACTTCATACAGTAGGATATCTCACGTCTATGGATCAGAGGTAGAACGCTTGCTAATCACGCCTCACATAGTCAGTGGTTTGACCTTCAACCGACGCACTCCTATGCTCAGCTGAGCAGGAAGCAAGGTAGGCAAAGTGGGGAGGTTGGAATCGAGGCTAGCAATCCGACCGTATGAAAAAATGCAACCACTGCTGCTGAAACTTCAAAGCTCTAGCTTGAGGCTCAATGTTTCACTCAGAAAAAAACTGACTTCTTCACAAAATGAAGAATATAAATTTTTTCTTATTTAATTCATTTTACAATTGGCTTTTAATCTTTTGTCACCTAGTAACTATAAGTTCCTAGGTTCGATTCCTGATGATGAGGTGTTAACCCCCAAGTTGTTGGAAAATTTCTAACTCAGTGAGATATAATTCATCAGTTGTACAAATCAGACATTAACTATCTAATATCATCAAATCAATGTGCACCGTGATGGCGAGCCACCTAGAGTGGTGGCCATATTGCAAACCTGATTGACGGATAGAATTCAGTCTGCACCAAAGAAAGGACTAGACGCGTCAGACTAGTTACTAGTGTCCAATCAAAGTACCCACTACAGTCCTAGAGAAGGTCAATTGCGAGCCTGAATAGCTCAGTGGTAACGCCTCTGACTGCTGGTGGCACTGGGTGACGCGTGTTCGAATCTCAGAAGGGACATGAGTTCCATCAATGTTGCAGATACGCCTTGCTGATGAGTGCCAACTAGCACGAAACCCAGGTCCAAGGCTTCCTGCAGATGGCCTCCAGCTATCTGATATGCTTTCGTATGTGTTTAGCGACTCTCCAGCTGATGTTTATCTAATAAGGAACCTACCTTGCTATTGAATAATAAATACAACTGAGTGGACGAAATATTCAGTAGAATCCAACGAATATACACTAAAGACACACGTGATGAAGAAGAAAGAAAGTTGACACAAACTCTGGTTGATAACAATTATCCACACAAGTTCATCAGGAGATATAAAGTATTCATAACACCAAGACCCACTCTCCAACTCGCCCCTTAGAAAGACGTGTACATCAAGCTACCCTATATGGGACATCAAAACAGCTTGATAACTAGACAAAGACTGAATGCTGTTGTTAAAAAGACTTTCAATGCAGCTTATATCATAATAATAAAGAATTTAAAGCCAATATATCTATCTAAGCCCTTCGAACATGCGAAAAATGACGTAACATCCCACTGTATTTACCAATTTGAATGTACCTGTGGACAGACATAGGGAAAACTCATCGATCTCTGCAGGTAAGGATTTCAGAGCATATTTATAAATGGCTCCAGAAACAAACAGAATCTTCAGAACCCGTTAATGGTAAAAACAGAGACCTAGCTCCTTTATTGCGAGACATGTTATACAGACAGCACATTAAATTGACGTTAACACATCTTTTAAACCTATCTATAAAAGGTGTTTGGGGCGTATCCTAAAGTTTGTGGAAGCCCTAGCTGGCAATTAGAAAAATCAAGCCACCTTCATACGTTCAAAACAACAATTTGTCATCACAATAAACCACCTTCCTTGGTAAACTTTGTTTTGATACCAGTTAGAGGAGATGTACTATTACCTCTACTATTTGGTTTAGTGGTCTTCATTGTTATTTTGACCTTCAGTATGTCCTTTTAACTTGACCTAACTTGTCTATTTTCTCACTTCTCAACTCCTTATTAGTTTCATACATATTCCTATGATAAGTCCGTGTGTGATCAGATTGTTCGAAATGTGTTGCGCAAATACAACGTTACACGATTCAAACAAATTATGTCTGCTTATTGCTTTATATAAATTCATAAAGGGAACAAATTGTTTTAAATTATAAGAAAAAGAAGACGTAAGCAGCAAAGAAAATTTTCTTTTCGATGATTAATTTTAATAAGCTGCCGTACAATCATAATTATATATTTAACAAAGAAATCATAAGACGACCAATCAGGTACTGGTAAAATTTCTCCTCGAAAAACGTATAACGTAATGTAACATGTAACCAAGGTGGGGAGATCAACTGGACTCGCAGAGTCTTCAAGTGTTGGTTTTGTAGGGATTTTGTTTGATTGCATGGAGGATTTAATCATGAGCTGACATCAGTTAGAGAACCACTGGAAAACCACTGGGAGTACTGGACAGCTGTTTCGTCCTAGTTTGGGACTCTTCAGCAGTATGCACCCACCCATCAGGGTTCGAACCCAGGACCTTCTGGTTACAAGGTGAGCTCGCAGACCATTGAGCCACTGGGACCCAATCCAATGGTTCTTGAATCCTAACCTCTGCCAATTCACGACATAGCGCGACCACTTTGCAATGTCTTCTTCGATGAGTTACTGCCTCATGTAGAACCTGCTCTACCTTACCGGTCACAAGTCGAAGATGAGGCAGTAACTCATCGAAGAAGACATTGCGAAGTGGTCGCGCTATGTCGTGAATTGGCAGAGGTTAGGATTCAAGAACCATTGGATCGGGTCCCAGTGGCTCAATGGTCTACGAGCTCACCTTGTAACCAGAAGGTCCTGGGTTCGAACCCTGATGGGTGGGTGCGTACTGCTGATGAGTTCCAAACTAGCCTGACGAAACAGTTGTCCAGTACTCCCAGCTGGTTTTCCAATGGTTCTCTAACTGATGTCAGCTCATGATTAAATCCTCCATGCACTCACAGAGTCCTTCAGTATCGTACAAAGGGACCTCGAATATTCAATCTGTACATTGCTGAATCATTGAACATTCGGAATCTGAAACTGGACTTTACTACCATTCCGTGGCCAGAGTAACGGTCTGACTATAATTTTACTCCCTTTCATTATTGTATAAGTTTCCTATTATATTATTATTTATTATTATTATTAATGTTTATTAATACAGATTTTATCAAAACACCTTATCGTCCCTTCAATAGTTCTTATCAACACTACGCAACCGTATTGATTATCCCTTTTTCTACACTTATTACTTTCCATTTAGTCACCCTTTCCAGACTACACCTTACAATACGTAATATGATTTCAAAGACAAATCTTGCGAGTATCTGATTGGTCGTCTTATGATTTCCTTGTTAAATAATCATTGCAACTGTACGGCTTATGACAGCTGAGTGAATCAGTTGAAGGTTGAAGGATTTCATCATGAGCTGACATGGGTTAGAGAACCTAGGTTGGAAAACCTAGGAGTACTGAACAACTGTTCTGCCTGCCTAGTTTGGAACTCTCTTCACAGTACGCGTCCACCAGCGTCCGAACCCAGGACCTTCTGATTACAAGGAGAGCTAGCTCATAGACCATTAAACCACTGGGATCCAATCCAATTACTAGCCGATGAATTCCAACTTCAGCTAGTTCATGATATAGTGCAACTGACATTAGCCAATATCATCGCTGGCGAGTATCTGTTCTCAGGCCAGACTGGATAGAACCCATTGGTCACAAATTCCCAGTAGAACCCAGGTTGATTGATATTCAAGTGTTAGTTTGCAGGGATCCGATTTGTTTCAAGATTTCATCATGGACCACTGAAATGAGTCGCAGTGGATTCGTGATCTACTGGCTACCTCGCTTTGTAACTTGAAGGTGCTTTTTATGAAACGTGCCAGTGGGATGGTTGCGTATTGCTGAAGAGTCCCAAACTATACTGATGAAACAATTGACTGTTCAGGTTTCCCATTGGTTCTCTAACCGATGTCAGCTCATGATCAAATCCTCTAACCAATCACATAAAATCGATATTAAGGACTGAAAAATAATTTATTAGAAAGGCTATTTGCAATGACTTACACTCATAAATAAGATTTAATGATTCTCTGTACACCTGCTCATTGATTTCAAGGATACACTCATACAATATTGTATCTGTATTAGTAGACAAATTCTTTGGAATTAATTGATTCCCTTGAATATTGAATAATTTGTGCGTATCTTTAATACGAATAAAATAAATGCTGTAATTGTTGTTCACTGTTGAATACATCCAGTTATCTAGGATACACTGAAGTTTTGGTAATTGAATTGTATCTATCCTTCGTATATTAGGTATTATGCTAAGCTTGATATGAGGAGCTGAGAGAATAACAAACACAGTGGAAGAACATTGTTGAGAAAATTATAATCTCTTTATACATGTATAAAACATTATTTAATGCAGTTTATCTGCTCCTGTGGAGTGAACCAGTTAGTTGCATAGGCTGTACAATTAGGCGTGTGTTTCTCGTCGAATTTCCGAACATCACCCTGCATAGTGGTTGGTTGGTTGGTTAAGCAAAGGACAAACAAAATGTATTCACAAAGCGCTATTCTACCTCACTCATCTTGTGGATACAGAACACAAGATTAACGTTAAGCCATGCTTTCAGGGTCATTTACCACATACCACCGAATCCTAATTTTGCCTTAAGAATCTGTTTACTAAATATTGCTGAAACTGGCTGTTGGGATCCATATTAACAGGCGTAATTTTTGCATCCAAAAGAAGAAGTTATTATTATTATTATTGTATCCTTTAATTCCTAGAGGAACATAGGGCTTCAGCTACGCACCTCCATTGCCTTCTGTTTTCTGACAACTTTTTCACCCCGCTCCAGGTCTGTCTGCTTAGTTTAGACATTAGCCTTATCCTGCTGGCCATCTAGGTTTGAATGATCCCCAATTTTTGTAGAATTTTCCTAATTTTAGTTGATATTCTATTCGCTACTATATCTTTATTATTATTATTTAGGCATCTTTAATGAACTGTGGTAATTCCATTGTGACCTTAACTTTACAAATCGATATTATTTAAAAAACACACTAATATTGTTATTGACTACTAATCTAGAATATTCTATGTATATAAACATAGAGTTATATAATTGTATAGTCAGAAGAGGAGATCATGCGAGGAGGAGATGAAAGCATGTGGACAGACCTGGAGCATGGTGAAAAAGTTGTCAGAAAACCGAAGGCAATGGAGGTGCGCAGCTGAAGCCCTATGTTCCTCTAGGAACTAAAGGATACAATAATAATAATAATAGTCAGAAGAGGAACATATCGAAAGGGGGATATTCTTTGCTCAATTATTTTGTGTTTTCAAGTGATGGTTTGTAGGGATTTGATTGGTTTTGAGGATTTCATCATGAGCTGACATTAGTTAGAGAATCATTGGAAAACCAGCTAGGAGCACTGGACAGCTGTTTCGTCAGGCTAGTTTGGGACTCTTCATCAGTACACACCCACCGGGATTCGAACCCAGGACCTTTCGGTTACAAGGCGAGCTCGTATACCATTAAGCCACTGGGACCCGATCCAATGGTCCTTGAATTCTAACTTCTGCCAACTCACGACATAGCGCAAACGCTAGCCAATGTCTTCGGCGAGTATTTGTCCTCACACCTGACCGGCTGCACCCTACTGGTCACGACTTCCCACTGGAACCCAGGTAACTACCTACCTGAATAGGGCCAGTCGCCAGTGAGCATCTCATTGGTATTCAAGTGATGGTTTGTATTTTGTGTTTTATTATTCAAAATAATCAACGATAACGGAATTTAATGAAGTACATTCGACTATGGAATTCACGTGTGAAGAGGAATCCCCGAAAAAGGATTGCTTTTCTAGATGTCCTCCTTACAAGAAAACCAGATGTAGGTTTGTATAAAGAGAAATTTGCACAGAAAAAGTACATTTAAAGAACAATATATACATTTTCATAGCTTCGTTGCTCTCTCCAGTACAACATAAATTTAGTAAAGACCCTCAGCACCAGGCTAAAAGCCATATACTTAGAAGAGGTAACTGAAGATGAATTAACGATTGTATATGATACATTGGTTATCCAAATAAATTCATCAGAAAAGACTAAGAAAGTTGAAAAGGACTACTCACTATTCGTAAACAAGTAGCCTTTATGTATACGACTGCAATTCAACGGTGATATATCAGGTGAAATAATTACAAAGAAATTAAGAAAATCAGTTCAGAGAATTTTAAATGCTGTCAAACTACACATCTTATTCTCTACACGACCGATGGTGATTCCCCAATTGAAAGATGAAGTACCTAGACTGACTAGCTATTCCTGATTGAATCTACCGTTTCAATTGCACTTGTAGTGGAGCGACTTATATTAGCCATCGCTCTAGGAACTTGATTTTTCGTGCTCGCCCGTAAACATCTCCCAGTATGACTAAGTAAAAGTGTAGTGAAAACTATCAGCAATTCGATATTGGCCAGGTGGATAACGCTTATGTGTCTAAAATGATGGATGCCCGGTTCAACTCTCTGTGGAGACACTATCACTCACTCGGGATTGTGGATGCATCGAGCCGACAAACCTCATGCAGGATGAAGCGCGCGTCTTTCATTCTACTGCTAGTTACCATCTACCGAATAAAACAATCTCTATAGGTATTGTGTTTATCAATGAAACTACTGCTATTCTTACTTATTTTCGCTAGATTTTACTTTCTTCTATAATAACGTGTGCTATTTGTGGCATCCTTTTATACGCTTTTCCAAAGTGTAGGGACATACCTAACACACTTCTGGTGCAAATTCTTCATTATTTTTTTTCATGTATCGACTAAGATAGGCGTTTTTTTCTTCACAACGTAAAAGAATGTTTAAAAAATTTTTTAGAGGTTTAAATTTTATATTATTAATTTTTTTAATTTAAAAAAATTAATTGTGGTTGATATTAAAGTGGAACCAGGATGTAAAAAAAAAACGCGTGGATTGAAAGTTGGGGGGGGTTGATTAAACACTATCGCTCACTGGCAATGAAGCTACACCCAGATGATAAGTCTTAAACGGGACGAAGCGCTCACTGTCCTGGATTCCACTCTTCGTCAAAAACCCCTCAAATTAATTCGGGTTAATCACTCAAACATCGTTGAAGCACCCGCACAAGGAGGAGCAGACGTATCGACCTGAAGCTGAGCACTTCGCTCCGGTCATCAACCAAAGAGAAAGTCTAAACTGAATTAAAATTTCTAAAACATTGTTGAATAAGATCGGTTACTTTTTAACAAAACCATTAATCTTACCGTCGGAATTTTGTCGACTAAACTTAGCATGAAGTTTAGTTTCTTTGAAATGATGAACACACTGATATGTTCCTTTACTGCGTTCCATACTATATGGCCATGTAATTTGTTCAGAAAAAATGTCAGAGACATCATATCCATCGATTAAACTCACTGTAGACCAAGTATTTGGTGAAAATTGTTTTCCGATTGAACACTGTCCACTGGTAGGAAATAACATTTTTGGACGATCTATTTTTTTTTAATGATACGGGATAAATTTTGAAAAATACGTGTAAGATGGAACAGTGATTTATGTAGGTATAATAGAGAAAATTTGCAGTTGGATGATTTTGATGTAGTTGTGTACTCTGAGCTGGATGGTTTATTTGTGAAGCTTTCATTACCCTACTGATCTGTACCAATACAAGTAGCCTGGAGTATGTTAAAACACACAAAAGCAACCAATCACATTCAGGGTCAGCAGGAGAAATAACTTAAAAACTCGTGAAGTATGCGCTGAAGATGTTGCCTAGTAAGTAGGGCAATCAAAGCTTCGCAAATAAACCATCCATCAGCTCAGAGAACAAAATCACATCAAAAAGAGAAGTATGTGTAACTCTATAAAATGCATTTAATAGATCAATTCTCTTGAAGCGGATGTAGATAACTGCGCGTAAGTCAGTTTTCAATGTAAAAAGCTGCACAAAAGTGCAGTGGTTCAAGTTGTCAGAGCGAAATTCATAGAAACTATAACAAATTGAAATTTGTATGAAAGAAAAAAATAATTACATGAAGAATAGTGAGGACTTGGTGAATTTACGAGTCGATGGAGGTTGAATGCATCTGCACTACTGAGAAAGATTTTGAGCCCAGTCATTAACATTTTTAAGCCAAGGTTGATAGCTTCAAGCCATTCGTTACTATAGTCTTGGAGAGCTTACCTCACCAGTGGTTTAAACCAATAGTAAATAAATTCTTGTGGATTGATGTCATCTTTTGATCTGACCACACATAACTCATTTCCATTTCATTCCTGTGTGAGCTAACATTGCTCAATCAGGAATGCAGAGGCTCAGTATGCGTAACACCTGCTCTAGTCATCTCAATCGGTGAAGCTTCAGAGCCTCACCGACCCTTTAATACTACTCATCATATTACACCACTTAACGCTGCAGTTAGAACACAAAAACCTTTGGTCACATGGAGCTCGCCTGTCAGTATCTTAAACTTCTAGTAGCTACGCCTCACAGGCGTGAAGAAGGACGGATGGTACACACGTCCCTTGATCTATGGCCGGAAATTACACTTAAGACAGCAGTGATGTAAGTTGGCGAAGGCCACACGAGCAATTTGCATCTTTCCTGAGATTTTGACAGCAAACCGTTGATTTCGGCTGATGCAATTTCCTGAACTATTGAAGTAATCAACATCTTCAACCATTTCACTTCTTACCTTTTGACCACAGGCCTGTGCATATCTTACGTCCGACTGTTGGTGGGGATGGTAGCTGTATGCGGAACACAACAAGATTTACGATCAGAGCGTAGAGAAGACTGCACTTTGCCAGCGTCTTCAGCTAGAAGAACTTTATTTTCTGTATACTCTAAATGAACGAGATACTTACCTGGTAACTTTTCAATCCGCAAGTCACTAAATTTGATTTGAGTCTAATCCATTGATAAACCCTTGATGAAATTTTAAAAATTGGTGGAGAGCCTGCTGGTGTTGACTGATTTGCTTCTCCCGAGCAAAGAATGGTTTACGCATTTTACCTGAACCTAGTCAAGCTAACTTCCCTATAATTAGTACAGGAGGACTACCTTTATTCTTATAAATTGAGATCATCAATGATTTACACCGATCCAACGGGAGTTATCTCTGATTCCTTTACATTACCTGTAACAACAGAAGACAACGGCCGGCAACAGATCGTTTTATTACGGAAATCAGCACATATTTATATATACTTCATGTATATTATTATAGCTTATTCAAGCAGACAAACACAGTCTTCTGATTGGTTGTTTCTGGTTTCTCGGAAAATTAGGCCATATATTTGCGAATCTTATTTGCCCACGTTAAGTTTGCTGTGATTGGTTATCGAATCAGCCTTGTTCATATTTTCTCACGGCCAATATTAGTGACCTAGACATTGACGTAAATTAATGTCTACCAATTGGCTAGCAGCCTGCTCTCACCACATACCTATTGAATTAGTTAACCTAGTTATGAACTCATCGCTACGATACTTAAGCACCTCTAGAATTACTCTGTCAAACTTCGCTTTATTGTCTCTTCTCAGACTACAGAGAGCTCTTGCAACGTGAGTTATAGTTGAGTGATGCTGGATGCTAGGTAACTCTGGCGTGGCTATAAGCCATCTGAACCGCTCCTAAAAGTGTTTCCTTCAAAATTTCAGATGTCTACCCTGAGAGGTAATTAAAGTACCGTTCTTCACAGAAATAGTATCGCTTATTATTGCTTATTATAATCTGTTTCCATAATGATGTCACTTAATATAGCCGATATTTTTTCATCTACCCCGCTCTTATGCCCATCACTGATCACTTTTGTTGTGGATTCTTTTACTAAGCCAACATATGAGTAGCTTTCGCCTCTCATCATTTTCCAGAACCATCGGAATCAGTCGGCTTACGTCTATCAGTTTGGGTGGGACAGGGTAAAAAAGAACTGTGTCACACGATCTACCATTGGTCAATTATTCTCTTATTTGAAGATCCTGAATGAGAAAATATCATGCCATAAACTCCACTGAAACTTATGTACACTATATAAACGTTATTTAAGGATAAATCTATTACCATTACTTTATTATTATTTTTTTAATTTTTATTGCAGCTTGATTCCACACCGTATTTTTGGTACAAGTATGGAATTTTCAGCATGCGATATCCGTAGCCCAAATTTAGCAGGCCGACCACTGATATAAGGTGTGCGTCGGCAGGTGATCGAACTCCTAACCATGTGCATAATCGGTGAGAGTCATAACCGCTGTGCCACCGACGTACAATTATTATTACTATTAAAACTTGGATTTACCTAGTTAGGATGAATGCAAGGTTGGAGGAAATTGAAAAGTATACAAATCATGATGCGATATTAACCCAATGACTACTGGTCTCAGCCATTCATTGAAGTATAAATTACCTGGTTGTTATACACATTACCTCTGGAAATTGTGGTTAGCAAGTCAAAAATGCATAGTCATCTAGAAACGACTTCATTCTTTGCTTTTACTATATACTGCACTTCTACACTAAGTTTATCTTATCTCATTTGGTGTTGAGCCACTCTACTCTCATTAAGTACTTAATTGTACCTTTCCTTGTCTTCCCTTTAATTATTTTGAACATGCTTTGTGGAGATATAAAGTGCGATGATCTGAAAAGCTACTTAGTAATGCTAAATATTTTATCGTTAACGTCTATTTTTCAGTTTTTTTGACCGAATAAAATAAATGTTACTAATCATAACAGGCACCAGTCCTTGAACAAAAGCATAAATTTTGAATGCAATCAAGTTAATGAAGTCTGGGAAGGCATCAAGACTGGACGGAATTCCGCAGATATGTTCACGTCACGAATGTGAAAAGTTATGAAGGAAGGAAATATATCCTCTGATCAGAAAAAAGAGAAACTTAGGCCTCTTAAAGAAGTGCCGCTGAATCATGCTATTTTCCGCACCGATTAAAATACTAAGTCACGTCATTCCGGAGAGAATAAAACCTGCTCTAGATGTTGAACTCCACCAATCGGAACAAGCTAAAGTCAATAAAGGTAAATAGTGTGTTGGTCAAATCGCAAATCTACGCATCGTCATCGAACAAAGCATAAAATGGCATTCAAATCTCCCTCCACCTCAATTTCATCGACTGTACCGAGAGCGAAGTAATTTGGAAACTACTTCCACAATATGGCTTCCCTCCAAAATCTTTACTACCACTATTCAACATCTATGTGACATTTTCACATGTCAGGTGATCCACAATGGAAAACTAAGCGAAGACTTTGAAGTGGATGCAGGAGTAAGACAAGTCCGGCTGTCTACTATGACCGATGATGATATTCCTAATTGTGGTGGACTGAATTATGTGGGAGACCACATGTGGGAAGTGAGAAGACAGTAATACGACGGACCAATGAGAAGGCTCTAGAAGAACTGGATTTCGCGTGTGGACCATTTATATTTAATGACACACAAACTGAAAGACTTACTCGCGAAAACCAACAAACTGATGGAAGAAGCAGCAAAGACATGACTTCATGTGAACTACAGAAGATGAAGGCGATGAAGATAACCAACCAGCCAACAGCGACAACAAACGGTACAAATCACCACCACTGGAGGAATCTGAAAGAGGCCACTTCTTTTACTTATCTGACCAGGAAACGTCATTTCAACTACAGGCGGACAACACGGATGAAATTTCAAAGCCAGAATAGGTAAAGTATAATATGCCTTCAGCACACTGAAATCGGTTTGGAAATCTTCTTTACTCAGCCGGTATAAGGAACAAGAAGGGGGTTTTCAACACCAGTGTTTAATCAATCAGTCACCTCCTATATATATAGGTGAGAAACGTGGCCAGCGCGTCACGAAAAGCGTTTCCAGCAGCCTACTGGGGACTTTTATCAATAACTGCCCCTTCATTGGTTCCATATTTAGGATCATTCGGCCAGTTAGAAAGATTCGGCAAAAAAAAACTATGGAAAGGAACCAACCATGAAGCTACTGACCAACAAATACGCAGAAGGAGATGAAGATGGATCGGGTGCACGCCAATGGTGATACCGTTGAGTGACACCACCCTCAGTTCAAGCCATCTTTCCAGTGGAACCTGAATAGGAAATGACTGGTTGTGTGTTATTCTGAAGATCACATGAAGCAGATAGTGTGACAATGAGATCAGAAATTATGGGCGATCGTGAAGTCAGATGAAGAGGACCACAGAAAATAGAACAAAGGGGATATGCGCTGGTGAGGCCCTATGTTGAGCACGGAACCCAAGAGAACAATAATTATAATAATTGCCATAAGAGTAAAGGAAATGGTAAAACTTACAAATAGTTGCATATATATTATCTTCAGCACAACATCATTAACTTACCTATAATTCGTATTTCATGCTCTGTTGATGCAACATATGAAGATTCAAACAATTCCAAGTGTAGAACAATTTTCTGTATACTTTTATCCATTTGATTTCTGCTGGCTGATGAAGGTATAGTTAGCTTTATACTACTTATTTCAGTAGTCATACTACTATTATTCTCTGTGTTGCTATTCTTACCGTCCATGTATATCTGTTGATAAACCATATTACCATTATGTAATATAGTAATATTAGCATGACTCATGATAGCATAAATTAAATCATCAGATAGTTGATCACGTGGTTGTAAAATCACGTTCAAAGTGATAGATTCTCCAGTGAATAAAAATCGTCTCATAGGTTCAACAGACAAAGATATCCGGGGATGTATAGCTGCCCAGTTTGGTTCAAATAAAGAAATAAGAACAAAAATAACGAAAATATAAGCTAATCTTTCTGATTCCAGTGCATATTAGAAAAAAAAGTGAAATTTAAGAATGCACACACTTAAAAAAATGAAGCAAGATTTTCAGGAAAAGTTCACCGCTGTGGACCCAAACACAGTTGATCATTTCTGTGCTTGTTTGCCAGTTTATTTGCTTCTGTAAGATTTAGGTATATTGGTAGTTCAAAACCGCCCTTGTCCAAAAGAGTGTTAGAACACTATGTTTTGAGCCTACAAAAAGGTGGAAGTGGATCAACAATCCGGTTGATGGAGATCACATTATCTCTACAACCTCTTATTATTCTCAGATCATATCCCAGTGGCTTAATGATCTCCGAACTCGCCTTGTAACCAGAAGGTCCTGAGTCGTTCCCCTGTGGATGGTGCGTACTGATGGAGAGTCACAAGCTAGACGGACGAAGCAGCTGTCCATTACTCCCAAGTCTTCCAATCGTTCTCTAACCGATATCAGTTCATGATGAAGTCCCCTTCCTTTAAAGTTATCTATAATAATGTAAAAATGACCTTCTAAGACCAATGGTTGTCTAACCCATCTGTACTGTTGAAGCTCTAAACACCGAAATAGAAAAGCCGGACGTCTGTATGTAAAGTAATTTGTCCAACCACTGCTTTTTACACGGTCTTAATCAGTCTATACCGAACTATTATAATCCTCATATCAACCTCAGCCGTACTAATTTTCTGTTCTGTTTATTCACTCAGAATATCCATCGATTGTTATCACTATTTATACGTTTGAATACGACATGATATCAGTTAGAGAAACAAAGAAAGCAATAGATTACTGGACAGCTGTATCGTCTGAGTTTGTAACCCATCACTACCACGCATCTGATGGCTTTCGAATCCAGGAGCTTCTGGTTACAAGACCAGTCTTTAGATTATTCAGCCACCGGAGATCCGAGATTTCAGGTATTATCTCAGTTGTCACCTTCATCCATGTCTAAAAGCTAAAGGTAACTATTTTAAGGAGTTATCGCGCACTGGCATGAGCCCTTTGTTTTCGCCCCTGTTTGCGTTCCTGGGTTCTTACTGGCTGTTAATACTTTTAACGTATCACTGAATTACTGCATTTTAGGGCCATTCTAACTGAATATATTTAAGGTTTCTATCTAGCATTTGGAATGTTGTGTGAGACAGTAAAAGCTCTCTTATCTCTCTCTCTCCAGTCTTTACATGGTGGCGGTGTTATCATCGTTGTTGCCGTCGACGTATTATAAGGAGATATCAATCAGCCCATTAAATTAATTTTGCTCACAGCCTGCTAGGTCGTAGTTCCAGTCATAAGTAGTGCTATGCGTCTAGTCGTTTGTTTGATGCAGACTGAATTCTTCAGTCAATTTTACAAAGTGGCCACTATGCCACTAGGTGGCTTGTCATGACGTTGGACTGTGGATTGTTGGTATTAGATGCTTGGAGGTAATTGGAATGAAGCCCTCCTACCTGACCTAGGTTCCGTGCTTGTTGGCGATTACCATACAGTCGGTAAGGTGTATACGCAGTCCGTAAAGAACTCATGTCCCTTTTGAGACGTGAACCTGTGTCACTCAGTCCTACAGAAGGTCAATCATGAGCCCCAATAGCTCAGAAGTGAGTCTTTGATTGCAGCGATGGGTGGCACAAGTTCGAATCTCGGAAGGGTCATGAGTACCCTAAGGATTACAGATGCGCCTTGCTAAATGATGAGTGCTAACAATCACGAAACCTAGGTCAAGTGGGGTTCCCTGCCGACTGCCCCCAACCATCTAATATCAATCGAATGCCCTGAAAATATAATGTCGACCAGATATATCCACCAGTGAATCAGTTGAATATAAAATACTGGTCAAACATATTCAGCAGCCAGCCACACAGTCCAAATGAAATTACATAAATAAGTTGGTCATCTAATGAAAATCAATAAACATGTTTGCTGCTGGATATTACTTAAAATATTTTCAAATCATTATTTCAAGTTTGATCACAGATTCATGTCAGTTAGAAAACCTTTGAAAACTAGCATTCGAGTACTGGACACATAGCTGTTTAACCAACCTAGTTCCTGCAGTATTCATCCACTCTGCTGAAAGGGTTTGCAACCACAACCTTCTGGCTACAAGTCAAGCTCGCAGACCATGCAGTCACCTGGACTCGACTTCTTAATGGCCAGGCCATGAATTCTAGCTTCTACAAATTCATGATTTTAATGCAACTGGCATCAGCAAATTTCATCGCTGTCGAGTATTTGTCCTCACCCACGACTACCTGAAGGATCCCAGTGGTCACGACCTTTCACTAGAAATGGAGGCAATGTCGTTCTGTAGTCAGTCAGTGGCAAATATCAGAATCATTTTTTGATGAGTTGCCTGGAGTTATAGTGAGAAGTCATGACCAATGGGGTCCATCAGTCGGGAGTGACGAAGAATACCCGCTACAGATGACACATTGTCTGGCGCCAGTCGCTCCAAAAGTAGTTATAGGCTGGCTATTGAGGAGTTGGGTTCCAGTGGCTGGATGATCTATGAGCTAGCTTGACTTGCATCCGGAAGGTCTGAGTTTGAGCCCAGGTGGAGTAAATGCGTACTACGGATGAGTCCCAAATTAAGCTGAAGAAAGAGGTGTTCAGTACTCAAGTATTGGATTTCAATGGTTCTCAGGTTAACTACACAAACAGGATTAATATATGTGTAAAACTTGGCACTGTGGTAGTAGGTAGTTCCATATTAGTTTGTTTATTAGATGTATCACACAGTCAGTGAAACAGTATTATTTACTGAATGACAAGGTTTCGAAACAATTTATTGCTCATAATCACATCGCCAATTATAATCACACGACTTCGAAACTTGAATTTAATAGTTTTATTTGTTCTCTCCTAACTGTCATCGTAGGGGTATTAGAATTTTCCAAATATCTGATGGACAGGTGCTGAATCATTCATATTACATGTATTTGCAGTTCATTCGGTAAACAAAGCTTCTGTTATCAATCTCTCCTCCATCCTGTTACATTCGATTTTAAAATTGTCATCCTATCCCATCCTATCGTATGGTTGTGTGTAATTGCATGTTATGAGTGCTAAAGCTAAACTATTCTCTAGATTTCTTATCTAATTCGGGTCAAGCAATCTATATGTTGCTGGGTTTTTATGTTCGGCTAGTCTGACTGCCCCTGTTCTACTAGTTTGACCTATGTATTTGACCTGACAATCATTCAAGCAGGGCATTAGATAAACAAAATTGTTTTGTTTTAAAGGCTCTACAGGACTGATCCTTTAGCCGACAAAGCTTGTTTCTAATTGAGTTTGTGGTTGGTTTGAATGCCAGCCACTTTTATTCCTGCCTTGTTAAGAATTCTGCGTAAGGTGGCTTCCGAGGTACCTTCCTTGTATGGAATTACTACTGATGATTTAGATTCCTTATTGTTGGTGTCGTCATTAATAATATTATTATTATCACCACTATTATCATTATTAGAAGCAAGCTTTGTCAATTAAAGGATCATTCCTGTAGAGCCTTTAAAACAAAACAATTTTGTTTATCTAATGCCCTGCTTGAATGATTGTCAGGTCAAATACATAGATCGAACTAGTAGAACAGGGGCAGTCAGACTAGCCGAACATAAAAACCCAGCAACATATAGATTGCTTGACTCGAATTAGATAAGAAATCTAGAGAATAGTTCAGCTTTAGCACTCATAACATGCAATTACATACAACCACACAATAGGATGGGATAGGATGACAATTTTAAAATCGAATGTAACAGGATGGAGGGAGAGATTGGTAACAGAAGCTTTGTTTACCGAATGAACTGCAAATACATGTAATATGAATGATTCAGCACCTGTCTCAGATATCTGGAAAATTCTACTACCCCTACGACGACAATTAGGAGAGAACAAATAAAACTATTAAATTCAAGTTTCGAAGTCGTGTGATTACAATTGATATGAATAAACGAAATGAAAAGTGCCACAATAACAGTCTGTACTCATCTGCTTAAAATTTAAAGATGATAAATAGTTTGCGCTGAGATAACCAAAAGATAGATGACTTGTCATATAGAGAACTTACGTAATAGAATATTTTTATATTCTATATAAGATATTAATATATTTTCATAGAATGCATAACATCTAGCGAGTATAACACCATAACATTTATTCTGTGGTATGATTTTTAAGTGTCTACCAGTAGTATGAATACATTTCATTGGACCATGTAAGATATCCCAGTATAATAGAGGAGTAAAAGAATTACTTCCATTCAATGAACAAGTGATCTTTGTAGGTGTTGTCAAATAGGTGATTTTTGTATCACCTTTGAGTTGTAATACCATTGGATGAACTATGAAAAGAATGAATGAATAAATGAATGAATGAATAATTAAATAACAATAGTAATTAATTGATAAAATCAATAAAAGTATCAAATCTTGCTGTATTTTACTAGAAAATTTATGCTCAACCCCTTACAGATCAGTTCATGAACTTACTTATCCTGTAACAAAAGACAAGGGTCAGGCAACAGATCGTTTATTAAGGAAATCAACACATATTTATAGATTTTCATGTACATTATTATATCTTATTCAAGCAAACAAACACACACTTCTGATTGGTTGTTTCTCACAGAAAGTTGACCTTGCATCTCTTTGTGACTGTTTCTTGAATGTCAGGTCATCTATGTGTTAACTGTATCCGCCTACGCTGTCTGCTCTGACTGATTGTTGAATCAGTCTTGTTCATATTTTCTCACGACCAATATTTGCAACATGAACACTGACGTAAATTAATGTCTATCAACTTTGGCTAGCAGCCTGCTCTCACCACAATACCTCACTTGATTCTGTAGTGAAATTTTGAAACCGAGTTGGTTAGTATTATCATGGCATATAGACGTCTTGAACTGCCTGATGCTTGTGCATATTACCAAGATTTTAGAATTGAAGAATTACTTCCACTACTGCAACACAAAAACTACTCCCACTAGATAAATAGGAAAGAATTTAAGGCATCCACAGTAGTTTTACCTTATAAAGAGGGGACACCTGAGACCCTAACCCGCATAGGATTCTCACTAAAGCAGGAATTAGGGCGACATTCAAACCTACAAACTCACTCAGACAGGACAAGCTGTGTAGGCTAGAAGACCCGGTGTACCCAATTAAATAAAATAATATAAGTTTCAAAATACCTTGCAGTGACTATGACTGAGGTCAACTACATAGGTCAAACCAGTAGTAGATCAGGAGTAGTGAGATTATCAGAACATAAGAATTTAGTAGTTAAGGTTAGAATGATTGATCCCACTAAGATAAGGAATTTATAAAAACACTCAGCAATTGTACTGCATTCATTAATACACAACCACACAATAGGATGGGTGGGACAGAGTCAAAATTCTAAAGAGTAATATAGGTAAGTGTAGAGAACGAGAGAGATTGATTACTTACTGAATACTGGTTCATCGAGTTTACATCCAAAACATGCAATAGAAGTGCCTCAACGCAAATACCAGAGTTATGGAAGATAATATCATCAACAGTTAAATCAGAGGATAATAAATAATGTTAAAATGCATTCAATTCATGTTATGACATTATAACAAGTTACTTATTTTTACGATATAAACATTTTATTTCTCATCTCATTGTATTTGACTGATGACACTAATATTATTTCCGAATGTACTTTTGTTGTGAGAGCTGTCTGCTGGCCAAAATTAGTAGACACCAATTAATGCCAATGCTTGTGTCCCAAATCTTGGTCATGAGGAAAAACAATAACAAAACCTAACCTTGATGAACTCAACAACCAATCACAGTAGACTTAGCACATACGATTCGCAGATATATCAGCGGAATTTCGAATAAACTCAACAAAGACATTGCAGAATAACCTTGAGCAGGAAAACAACCAATCAGAAGACGTTACCTCTCTGCTAACCACAACGAATAATAATGTACATAAAAATCTATAAATATCTGTTGATATTCTCAATAAACGATCTGTTGCCTAGCCCTTATCTTGTGGCGTTACGCTTTATCTTATATTGATTTTATTCAAATGTCTAATCAATTTTTACTCATGTATATAAATGAAGCAAGAAAGTCCTATGAGTAGTGCCCTGATATGATTATGAGCAATGATGAATTAGGCTTGAAACGTTGTCATGAGTAAATATTACAGTGTAACACTGTAGCAAAATTTAAGATCGTCATTTTCCTTCTAATTAGCAGTCTTCATCCGGATAACATTTCACTGTTTGAAACGGCAAAATCCGTAGGTTCGAATCTCGCTGAGAACATCCACCCCCTTATAAGGGTGTAGGTACATCGATCTGACGACTATTAGATTCTACGAGAAACGCGGATCACGGATTCCAGTGTTAGCTGCTAGTAGTAAGCTAATAGCTAAGGGCAGAATGATTGACGCCACGAAGATAAATAGTTTGAGGAAATCTCACAGATTGCAATGTATGCATTCACAAGCAATCATACAATACAGTGGGAAAGACCTATAGTTCTCAAGAGTAATATAAGTAGATGGGAGGTGAAGAGATTGATCACTGAATCTTCCTTCATCGAATCTACACACACCAAACAGGAGCTGTAGGAATGAATCAATACCAATGCCATAGATATGGAAAATATTACTACCAATAAAATGAAATAATAAGGAATGATGCAGTTGTATCAACGAAATTTAAATGTTGTATATCTTGTTATTGACTATAAGCGGTAAACTGTACTTGAAACTTCATAAATAAATAATGCTGTATCTCAAGCAGCTTTTGTCAAACAATTTACTCTATGATAGAATTTTACTCTACTACACTGCCCAAGTTCTTCTTTTGCATGATTGTTGTAGTAATAATCACATTATTCCAAACAATAATAATCATAGATTTTTTTAAAAATTTTTTATTACAGCTTGATTCCACACCGTATTTTTGCTACAGGTATGGAATTTTCAGCATGTGATATCGGTAGGCCAAATTTTGCAGGTCGATCATAGATATCAGGTGTGCGTCGGCAGGGGATCGAACCCCGGAGAGATTCCTAACCACTGTACCACTGACGCACATAGAGAATGGAATTTTCAGCGTTTTTATACACATTGCTACAATTTGGCTCCTATCATAAATATTTAGATACATTATATTTAAAATAGTAATATTAATAATAGTGATAAAACCACAAAATCCTGAAGGTTGACAGAAACATAATGAATTATAAATAGATAACATCAAAGACAATACATGTATTGAATAATCTCTACTTATACTTTGCAGTCCAGTCACTGATTGAACTGTTTATGAATCCTTTTCTGATCTCTGACTCTCTTCACACAAAACCCGTGCTAAATATACTATGGTTGAATCCTTATATTTCGTAGTAGCGTAACAAAAGAAGATAAGGGCCATGCAACAGATCGTTTATTTGGGAAATCAACAGATATTTATAGATTTTCATGTACATTATTATAGATTATTGTTAGCATACAAACACAGTCTTCTGATTGGTTGTTTCTCGCAAAAAGTTAATCTTTCATCGCTTTGTGGCCGTTTATTGAAGTTCAGATCGTCTCGATGCAAATCGCATCCGCTACGCAAAGTCTGCTGTGATTGGTCATTGGATCAGTCTTGTTTTTATTTTTCTCACGACCAATATATTGGGGACGTAAACATTGACGTAAATTACTGTCTACCAATTTTTGGCTAACAGCCAGCTCTCATCACAGTAGTACGAGCATGCATTCCTATGAAGTTTCTTTAGTTCCACTCCCCGAAGAGATACAAGGAACTAGTTACCAATCGCAAAGAGGATATCTGGTATCAAACAAGATAACTTCAGCCAACTGCCTGCAGGAGTTGAAATGCCTATCAACCAACAATGTGCATCGGTGGCACAGCGGTAGAGTGCTCTCCAACCACGTACATGGTCCGGGGTCCGATCGCTGGCCATTGGATGCACTCCTTACCTCGTTAAGGCAGTAATAAGACTAGTAAAGACGGAAGGTGGGGCATGAGGCCGGCTGGCAACCCCATCCAGTAAAAATAAACACCACTGCCACCAAAACTTCAAGCCTCTATTTTGAACCCGCCCTGTGTTTCACTGGGAATGTAGAGGAATAAAAAACAAAAAAATCAACCAACAAGAATGTCAATTAGTTAAATGAAAGGCACACTACCAAGCCTACTTACAGCCTTCAGTGTTCTCCAAAATATTACATAGTCCCTTTTTGAGAAGTCTAGGGAAGAATGTTTCGTTACTTTTATTTATTTGTTATTTTTTGTATTATTATATTCCTTTGCGTTTCAAGTGTAACATAAGGATTCAAGCTTCATCTCTGAAGTTTCACTGGCAATCAGTCTAGTTTTCCGGGGGTGGGGTTATTAATGTCAAGTCCAACCTTCCTCTGTTAACCTGGCTTAATACTGGTTGAGCGAGATTTAAGGTTGCTTAGGCAGGGGATCGGACTTTGACCACATGTGTGGCTGACAAGCATCCTACCGCTGCACAACCACCGACGCATAAAGCCTGTCAGAAGCAGGAAATGAACCTGCGCGGGAAATTCTATTGGATTTACAGTCACTACTAAGTTTAGTAATTTGTAGCGGAAAGATGCCGTCATGATTCCTTACAAAAGTCCCTCACAATTAAAGTGTTAATGAGTAGAACACATCATATTTTTTCCACAAAAATTTTAACCTACCCGATACAATAGATTTAAACTGAGCATATCCTATTTGTATATTTGTTGTATTATCTAGCAATCGACAAGTGAATATCCAAATCTCTTGCCTTCGTATATTCAGCCGATGCAAATGAACATGTGCTTCATTACGTAGACCATAATGATGTTTATAATAGATTGGATAGATAGTGAAGTTATTTAATTCAATAATAAAAGTATAATTTGTAAATGTTTCAATAGCTGGTGCAATGCACCTTAGTATGGGTTGATCTCCTTTATAGATAACATTGTATTGAGGAGTAAATATCGGGGTAATATTTGCTAAAACAATAGAAGAAGATAGAAAGCTTTATGAAACTGATAAAGTAAAAGACACCAACTAAGATCATCTGAGTTAGTCTTGGGTTGATAGACTGATCTTGATGTTTGTAGGTAATGGCCGTAGGTGAGACAAAAATTTTGGCTGCGGTAGGATTCGAGCCAGAGGAAGGCAAATTACTAGTCCGGAGCTCTACAAGGTGAACCACGAGACCCAACCGAAAACCAACCAATAGTTACTGTGATCATTACGTGTGATATTCAGCTGAAAGTTAAATTAACGACACGTAACTGTCAGTTTGTCATCACCTCACTTGCAAAGTTAAACCTTCCGTTAGCAATCTTAATCATACCCCAACTTCAGTCCGCCAGTCTGAGACATTATCAGATAACAACTTCCTGGTGTCCTTACATTTCAGTATGATTAAGACTGATGGATGGATACTGAAATGGTCAGTTAGTGTAATGATAAACAGGCAATGACGTATCATTCATTCATATGATATCTGAGGATTACTCAGGAAGACTGCAGTGAAATAATGAACTGCTTATCAGTTGAGTCTTATTTGTCTCTTGGCAGAGCTCCGCACTGACTGTTTGGCTCCCGTTGGTTCTAACCTTCTTCGACCGAGGCTTTTAATTCACCTTCAGTCATCGCCAGTGCACAAATGAATATGTTATATGCTAACAGTTCATTAAACCGACTAAGTGAGGTTTAGGAGTTTGTCGGCTATGGGTCGAACATTGGACCAAGTGTCTGCTTAACAAGCACTCTCCTGCTGAACCACCGATGTACTTGGACATTGTCCACTAGGCCCATTTGAGGGTAATAAACTCCCTACTATACGTTTTTGTAATACTCCACGAATAGATAATCGAAGCAATTCATAAAATTAATCGAGCACAGAATGACTGATCCTCCAAGTTCAGTTTGTTTATTTTTATTTCTGTGATTCACACAAGATCCGCTCGAACAAGTGTGATCTGAAGGAACAACAACTGAGAGTAAGTAGAATACTAAATAACCTGCTTTTCATTTGAATTTGATTGGTCAAGTAGGTTAAACTGTGAAGGACTGCATTTTTGAAACGACAGAGGAAGCATGCTGGAAATGAGAGACCAGATAGTTTCTCTTCATATTCCAGCAAATAAACGAATTATGCTGTCAAGCATATAAAAGCACCTCACAGATACATCGTCATTGGTCTTCCAATTAAAGACGATCAGCCAGCCAACTAGACGTTTTCACTGATTTGACATTACCGTGTGTTGGTTTTGTATTGAACAGCTTTCTTTCATAGAACACTCTTTACTAGTGTCATGTGTCTAGTTCTTTATTTGCTGTGGACTGAATTCAACAAGTCAGGCTTGCAGTGTGGCCACCAACGCTAGGTGCTAATTTCTCTGACTGCAGCACTGGATAACACAGGCTCGAATTTCAGAAGGCATATCGATTCCCTCAAGATTGCAGTTACACCTTGCTGATTAACCCTAAAAATCATGAAACCTAGATCAGGCTGGGCTTTCGGTCGATTGCCTCCAACCATCTAATAAGAACTGCTTTATTAATACCTACTGCTTAAGAGTTAATCTAACTGGTTTATTATCAGTGATTGTGAACACCTGCATGTGCTATGTAAGCCACATGTAGCCCAAATTCAAGGTACTTTAACTGACTCCTGTTGTAAAGGTAGAAGACGAAGACTTGATAAAAAAATTGCCTATTATTTGTTTGGTATCTCTGTTTAGTGACATTATGTACACCCTATCTTCAACACTCCCTTTGCACATGTCTTCCATGTTGTGCTACTTCTGCGCTTCCTTCCTATTGTGTTTCTTTGTGTTCCTTTCACATCTCCCATGAATCTCCGCAACGCTGTATCATTTGCTTTCACTGACATCAAATCTATCTCCCCGCTGTTTAATGTTTTTATCCCGATGAATATCTCTTTTTATATATATACTACTAATAAACCGTATCAGTAGCACACACCACAAGCGTCCATCTATCAAATAGTTTTGAATGGAGCCGCTCTAATCTTCTTGCTTCTACCCCTTCCTGTTGTGCCTTGGTCCTGGCTTCCCTTCCAAACTGAATCCATTTCTGCAGTCGGCTGAAACTAACCCTTTTAGCACGGATGGCAGACAATTTGGTATCTTCGAAAAGACCAAACAAATTAGACATCACTGACTTTCTGCACAGCAGATACTGCTGAGCTGTAGAATTACAAGTCACTTTCGAAGTTCTGGGTAGACAAGACGTTGAAAAAGCAATTTACGGACCAACAGTTCATCGTTCTTCCGGTAAAAACAGATTTCAAGGAGAGCAACAGTTTGAGGCCTGTATCTGTACGGTTTCTTATAGCTGCTAGCAGCTGGTGCGCTTTTACATGGCTAACTGCTTTCATAGGGCCTTCACAACAGAAGATTTGTGAACAGTGTGCCTTGTACGACCCATAGCGAAACACTGAGAGACTATTGCCTAAAAGTAAATCTAACTGGTTTTTTCATCAGCGATTGTGAACATTCGTATATGCCATGTAAACCGTATGTAGCCCGAATTCAAGATACTTTAAATGACTGCTATTATATCGAAACCCACTTCTAAGCGGAACAACATCATCATTTCATACAAATACATCACTTAGAATGGTGAGACGTTGGATTAGCACTCCGTCTCACATTATTATGCTGACGTTCATTTTATCAAACATTCGACAGTCTTAGACAATCTCGTGTATCACAAATTCTAAAATCTTTCTTCACTTTGGAATATGAGTTGGAAACATAATTCCCACAGAAGATACTCATGTACTGATAAGAATTTTTCATTAGTTACAGTCAAGTACAATTTTTACGCCTCTTATTTCTTAAGCAACGTTTTCACACTCACGGTTTTAGCCGAAATTATATCACCCAGACAACCTACCTGAATTTGAATCCTTTTTCCTGTTTGTTTTTTCAATTTTCTAGTCATTGTAAAATAGTAAATGCTTCATTGCTGTCGTCTTCTTGACAGTGCAATGACTAGCTAAAACACACAGACCTAACTTTCTACATGTTATTTTTACATGTCTGTTTATACTTCTCTTACCCCACTTATTGATTTATGACCTGATTTCCTCTCACCCTAGTTATGACCTTTGGAATCCTATTGGTTGTTCACTGTCCTAATTCATTAATGACATTAGTGCTTCTCAAGGTCATTTTAAACGTATATATGTATACAAGCTCTGTCAACTATTTTTGGACTGTTGTTTTGAGACAGTATAAAGGTCTCTTACCAAAGTCCAGTAATTTTTTCTGTGTTTGCGCGTGAGCTATGTTACTCTCATTGTTGTCATTGACGAACAATTAGGAGATATTAGCCAGCATATTAAGTTAGTATTCGCTCAGAGACTACGGAGTCTGTGTTCTGGTCATAACACCAGCAGTCAATTCACTAAGTGACTGTAACATATTCATTTACAATGAATACTATCATTTGACTAGTATCTGATTTTCCTTTGAGTTTGTCCTCCATGTACTAAATATACCACGAAACAATAAGCTTCTCAAGAACCTTTAAAGCACAGATATTCACTCAGTTTACAGAAAAAATCAAAATTTTTAAAAATTTTTGGCAGGGACAGTAAGGTAGAATAACAATCCGATACGTGGCTCTAAATGAGCTTCAAATATTTCATCCCCAACGGAGAATATCCAATAATGGAATTAAGAAGAAATAAGAGATATCTGACAGTTGGGGATCTTACGATGAACAGTAGCTCGGCGGCTATACTGTGCAATAATCTCCTTGTCTAAATAAATCTATGAACACATGTAAGTCTGTTCTCTTCCACAGCCTGGGCAGTCTGGCCACAAGTTAAGAGTGAACCGGGCGTTTTCAAGAGGCCACTGCAGACTTTTCTCAACAGCTGACTTCTATAGTTCCATAATGGAGATCAAGCGGCTAGGCGGCTAGACAGAAGAAGCATCAAGAAGCTTTGGGAACAAACCAACAGGTGTGAACCTATTGATCAACAAATATTTCGAAGAAAATTGAGATGGATCTAACACACGTCACTGAGGAGATCGTCAAATGACATCGCTCAACACTTCATCTCTAGAGTGGAATCTGAATGAGAAGTAACGAGTTGGGCTAGGATCCGAGAATGACAAAGGGGAGATCATGTGGAGAGGAGGAGATTACATCATAAAATAATAATAATGATGATAAATAATTACTTACTCAGCAATGTTAACTCAACATTTAACATCAAATCACTTTGCGTATGTTTACAAAAGAATTTAGATTGATCTAAATGTTTTCCGAAAATTGTACAATTATGCTTGTGATCACATGTAAATATTGGAGAACGTAAATCTGTAGGATCTGGTAATAATTCCATAGAATTGCCATAATTATCAATACACTTTGGAAATAAATTATACGTTATATATCTAATATTTGGATGTAATATTAAATATGGATCATCTAAAGAAAATAAATAGAAACAGAATCAAGTTTTACGATAGAGAAATAAAGACCAGATTTGCAGTATAAAATGATCTCATCATTCAATTTCACAGGTTCTCATTAGCTGCAAACCACCTGAAAATGCAATGGTTATCAATAATAACATTTCATACTTCATTGTTTGAATAGTAATAGAGAAAACATTATAAGGTGAAGACATCATCAATTTATATACTATCAAACTATGAAAAAGAAAAAATGGGCTGTGAGAGAAGACAGAAAATAGAAAAATCTAATAAACAGTGTCAACATGGCAATTCAAGAAGGTCAAAGTTCATCAAATTGAAAACTTGCTTAGTGAGCCGAGCTCACTAGTGTGTATGACTAATCAGTGAAATGAAAGTATTACGGTTACCAAGGAAGCGAGTGAGAGATTAACTACACCCTCTTTCTGTGTGCATAAGTGTGATCTGAAACGTTTGATTGCAATTGCTTCAGCGGTAAATCGTAATAGATTCTCTATCCTTTGTATGTTTAATGTTTCGAAGGATTTGGAAATCACGACAAAATAACCTGTATCCACCAGGTGTCTGGTAATTGCATTTTGTAAATATATCTGCTTCCTTTTAAGCATGAGTTTCTCGAAATATGCTCTGGAAACCGGATTGAAGCCCTTCTTTCTGTCCTTCCGATGTACTTGCTGCCGCAGGTACACGTAAATTTTTGGGAAATACATACTTGAGAAGTATTAAAATGCTTATTTTAATAAATTACAAGTAAACCACCGAAAAACCATAGGAAGACTGGCCTGGGAGAGTAAGGAACTCACTACATCACTACTTATTTCGATGGTTGTATCAGCCCTGATAGACTAATTGCTAGCGAAATGGCAGCAGAGATACAAAACAAACTCGTTTGACATCTGTTAACTTCATTCATCTCCGCTGTTGATGTGATGGCCGTCTTTCCGTCGAACGACATTTTCTGATTCATTTAGAGCTATCTTTTACCATCATCATTGATTGTCTTGACTCGTTTTAACATTATTATTGTTCATATTATTAGCATTACTACTGTGGTGAGAGCTGTCTGTTAGCCAAAATTGGTGGGCAGTAATTTACGTCAATGTCTATATCCCCAATATTGGTCGTGAGAAAAATAGGAACAAAGGCTTTGAGTAGGCGGATACAGTTAACATATAGATGATTTGACATTCAAGAAACACTCACAAAGAGATGCAAGGCTAACTTTCTGTGAGAAATAACCAATCAGAAGACTATGTTTTTCTGCTAACAATAGTCTATAATAATCTACATGAAATATATAAATATGTGTTGATTTCCTCAATAAACGATCTGTTGCCTGGCCGTTGTCTCTTGTTGATTCACTACTACTATTATTATCAATATTATTGAATTCTTAATTCTTGATATATTCAAGTCCTTTCACTTACTGATAACTAATTGTTTTATTTAAGTGATGTAATGCATTTCATCTTAATTTTATGTCACTCCCTGTATGTAAAGTATCCAGCTGAGGAGAAGTTCCACCAAAATTCGATGAATTCATTCAGTCCTGCTCGATTAACAACACTTTTGTTACTTTTTAAGAATAGAGAGAGCTGACATTGGTTAGAGAATCATTGGAAAACCCACCAGGGAGTACTGGACATCCGTTTCGTCTCAGTTTAGGACTCTTCGGCAGTACTCACTCACCGGGGTTCGAACCAAGGACCTTCTGGTTACAAGGCGAGCGAGCTCATTTACCATTAAGCCACTGGGACCCTATCCAATGGCCAGTGCATGAATTCTAACTTCTGTTAATTCACGATATAGCGCGACCACTAGCCAATGTCTTCGGCGAGTATTTGTCCTCACACCCAACCTGCTGTAACTTACTGGTCGCAACTTCCCACTGGAACCCCAGGTAACTACCTACTTGAATAGGGCAAGTCGCTGGTGAGCATCTCATTGATTGGCTTGATTTGATTCGATCGGTTACAGGAATAGAGAGAGTCACATCAAAATATACCAGTCAATCCACTTACTTACCAACAAGACTTCTCTCAGTCACAACAATTATCTTCGAGTGTCTATCAGACAGTGTACATATATACTTAAAAAACCAGAGATTATCAGATTCTTTAGTCAAAGCAGAGTATATATAAATTGTATCTTTGATGATAGGATATTTAATACCAGATATATATTCTATGTGATAGTCATCAATAGGTATCAGATTTCGAAGTGTTTCATTTCTCATTTGACATTTTACTAAACCACTCCAATGCTTATAGAGTCGATTGTTATGCGGAGAATTTTCTTCATAAACAAATTCGAGAAGATCATCTCCTGAAATAAAGAAAATAAGAGGAGGATGATGAAGAGTTGAACAAAGATGGAAGACGAATAATCAATCAGTAGACACTGAAAAATGGTCTCTACGTAAAAATGCACTTACAAATGAAATGGAAATGAACATTGTGATAGTGATTCAATTGGAATAGGCGGTTATCAAATGACAAAGTTTGAATATCAGTGTCTATCACTGATTATTAAATAGAATGAAGTCGCGCGCCAGACCCTAGAGTGGAATCCCAATGAGAAGCGACGAGTAGGTCATCAGTGCGAGGGTGATATAGAGGAGATAGTGTCAGGAGGAGATGAGAGAGTTTGGGCAATCGTGGACCTAGCTGAATAGTTCGGTGGAAAATATAACAGAGTGGTGTTTTGTTGAGGCCCTGTATTTCACATGGAACCCAGGGGAATAGTAATATAAATCTTATATTCCTTTGAACTAATGTCTACTTCAGAGGACGATGCCTTCGTTTCCCAGTCGGACTCCAAATGAGGTTCTGTTTGGTGCTCTATATCACTCAACAGTCTTCCTCATATGTGTCAGATCCATCTACATTCCCTTCGGAATATCTAGCTATTGGGTAATAGGTTCTTGGTTGGTTGATTACCAGAGATCTCCGTTACTTATCATTTCTTGCCAACTGATCGTCACTATCGAACAAGAGAAGACAGTTGTTGATAAAAGTTCGAAGCCGGTTTGAAATCCATTTAGTGGCACGACAAGTGTCTGAATCATATATATATATATATATTAAAAGTCAATCTGAGCGAAGAATATTATTTTCAATAATCTCTCTTCAGGTTCTTACAATAATAAAATATAATATTTGTTGTCGTTACAATAAAGGCCAGTTATACGGTGTATACATTTTTAACGTAGAATAACAGATTAGTTAGGCGGTGTGAAAACAAATAGTCGTATTTGTGTGACAAACGTGCTCTGGGCCGAAATCGATTACAAAATATTGTATAATGTAGGACAATGGTAGTGGTGATTAGTCATAATAGATTTGTAGATTGTTGGGTAGGAAAATTGACAAGTCAGTTCAAGGTTATAAAAGGTGTCAAGCGGATAAGTGGCTAGTACAAAGTGACCTGTATTAAACAGGAGATAGTAAGACTGCAATGAGAGGTTCATTATGAAATAACGAATATGTCAAATCAAACAGGTGAAGGCATATATTAGGGAAAACAGATAATATGACTAATAATAAGTCCAGATAGTATAAATGAAAAATTTGATAGTATTGAGGGAATGTGCGTCGGTGGCACAGTGGTTAGGACTCTCGCCGATCATGCACATGGTCCGGGGTTCGAGCCCGCACCGACGCACACCTGATATCTATGGTCGGCCTGCAAAATTTGGGCTACCGATATCCATGCTGAAAATTCCATACTTGTACCGAAAATACAGTGTGGAATCAAGCTTTAAATCAAAAAAATAATAAAAAAAAATGTTTCCATGAAGGGCATAAATTATAACGAATAATAATAAAAACCGTAATAATAATTCATAATATGGGAATATTTCACGCCATTAAATCTTATATATGTATATATATACTCAATTACTGAAGGACACAACCACAAAAGACACCTTCACTTATCTAGGGAGCATTGTCTCAACTACAGGAAGTCGGAATAGACGAGGGTGCCAAATCGAGCGAGAATCGGGAAGGCGAAAAATACATTCATCAACCTGAAATCAATCTGGAAATCTTCGTCACTCAGCCAGCATCAACAACAAAATTCGGATTTTCAATACAAACGTCAATTCAGTCAGCTCTTTTATACGGTTCAGAAATTTGGCGGGTGGGTCACAAAGAATATTTCCAACAGCCTGTTGCAGACCTTTATTAACAACTGTCTTCGCTCAATACTGAAGATCAAATGGCCGGAAAGAATCACCAACAAGGAATTATGGGAACAAACAAAGCAAGAACCAATCGCCCAAGAAATATGCAGGAGAAAGTGGAGATGGATCGGACACTCGCTCGCTGAGGAGACCGCTGGGTGATATCGCGCGCCAAGCCCTCGAGTGAAACCCGAAAGTGAAGCGGCGTGTGGGACGTCCAAGGGTGACATGGAGGCGATCGTGTGAAGAGGAGTTGAAACAGCATGGACTAACATGGATGCAGGCGAAAAGTATAGCAGAAGACAGAAGAAAATGGAGACGTGCAGTTGAAGCCCTATGTTCCACTAGGAACCCAAGGGAGCAATAATAATAATAATAAAATAATATGTATATATATAAGAACTGATGTGACATCAGTGTTAAAAATCTGACTGTCGTTCAGTATGCTGAACGCAACAGATATGCAGACTGATTTCAGGTCTGTCTTGCCTTTCCCCTCCTCCTTCTTCTTTCCTCCTTCGATGCCGCTTGTAGGTGTCACCATGCTGTTCCAGACAAATGACTTCCTTTAAACCTTGCCTAGTTTATTAGTTCACTAGTCTATTAGCTGTTCCTAAGCCTAGAAAAACACAGAAATGTTTTGTCATTCGGCTAGCGCCCCTGCGTCCGGACATCAACTCTCAATCGTTATGGAAACTTGAGTGTACATATAAAAAAATAGAGTTACTGCTTACTTCGATTATGTCTAGATATCAAACATTAAAAAAAAAACATTTTCAATGTCTTATTACTAGTCTCTAGTAATCATTCGTTTGTTGAAAGCTAACAATGAAATCTGAGATGTATGTTTTATCTTATCCAGGACTCATCATCTGGCTGGACTCACTTGCACCAGAGCAAGGGTTAATTGGTTATTAGTTTGAGACCCAAATCAATATTAATAATTTAGTGAACATTTTCAATAAATCAAAATAAAAGAATAAATGCGTGTGATATTTATTCGGAGTAAAAAGTTCGTCTATAAAGAGAAAACGTCTACATCTCTTAAAACACCTTAATCCGAACATCTTACTACTTCTTTGATTATATCATAAACTGATCCAATCAACTTGAAACAACTTTAAATAAACCCCTGACGTTTTATCTTCTTATTTATAAATAAGAATTTAGTTTACACAAGCTCTCTTCGAGTATAATCCTACAGTTCAGATTGATGAGCTGTCATCAGCTGGAGAACCACCAACATCGGTTACATCTGATTCGTCTAATTTCGGTGAACAGTAAAGATAAGCATTCAAACTTGAAAGTTTTTCTTCACAAATATAAGCAATTTAAAACAATTAGCTCCCTTTATGAATTTAGATAAAGCAATAAGAAGACGTAATTTGTCTGAATCGTATGTGATGTGTATTTGCGCAACACATTTCGAACAATCTGGTCACACACACACACACGGACTTGTCATGTGGAATCAATAAAGAGGTAAGAGGTGAGAAAATAGACAAGTTAGATAAAGTTAAAAGGATATATTGATGGTGAAAATAACAATGAAGATCACTCATTAAACCAAATAACAGAGGTAATAGTACCTCTGTCCTAACTGGTTTCAAAATAAAGTTTACCAAAGAAGGTGGTTTACTGTGATGACGAATTGTTGCTTAGAATGCATTAAGGTGGTTTGAACTTCCTAATTGCCATCTAGCGTTTCCACAAACTTTAGGATACGCCCTAAACACTTTGTATAGATAGGTTTAAAAGACATTCAAACATCAATTTCATGTGCTCTCTGTATAATATGTTTCGCAATAGAGGAGGTAGGTCTCATGTTCTCATCAATAATGGGTTCTGAGGATTCTATTTGCTGTATTTACCACTTCTAATGTACGTGTGGTCTTACATTCATAGGGAGGATTCATTGATCTCTTCAAGTAAGGGCTGGCTTCAGAGGATATTCCTAAATGGATCCAGAAGCAAACAGAATCCACAGAACCCATTAATGAAGAGAACAGGAGACCTACGTCCTCTATTGCGAAACATATTATACAGAGAGCACATGAAATCGATGTTTGAATGTCTTTTAAACCTATCTATACAAAGTGTTTAGGGCGTATCCTAAAGTTTGTGGAAACGCTAGATGGCAATTAGGAAGTTCAAACCACCTTAATGCATTCTAAGCAACAATTCGTCATCACAGTAAACCACCTTCTTTGGTAAACTTTATTTTGAAACCAGTTAGGACAGAGGTACTATTACCTCTGTTATTTGGTTTAATGAGTGAGTTCCATTGTTATTTTCGCTTTCAATATATTCTTTTAACTTGATCTAACTTGTCTGTTTTCTCACCACTTAACTCTTTATAAATATCACAGAGATATATTCCTATGACACGTTCGTGGAGTATGATCAGATTGTTCGAAATGCTTTGAGTAAATACAGCATTACACAGATGATTCAGACAAATTACGTCTTTTTATTGCTTTGTCTAAATATGAGCAAATTTAAGCTGTAAAGTGGCATAATAAGGTGAGCAACATTGAAGTTAGGCGTCGAGTTCTAGGTAAACAGGGGAAATCAATCGACGAAGTCGTGAAGTTACAAAGACTGAGATGGTTAGGACATGTGTTACTTATGCGTAGCCAAGCCATCGCCTCCCTCGACGAGCAATGTTAGCGGATATAGGGTCAGGCTGGAAAACAGCTAGCGGCGGTCAAACAAAAACTTGGCTTCACCAGTCAATGAAATCCACAACAGTTGGTCTAAGCCACGTAGGAAGGTGTAGACTTCCAGGCTGGGGTCCTCGGGACGGTAAAAATCTATGGCTGGAAACAATTGGTGACATGGCTCAAAATCGTTCTCAGTGGCGCAGATGCATCCACTCCTTGTGATTTATGATCTCTAATGAAACTGTTTTGTTTTTCTTTATTACTCTTCTTTCGTCTCACACCTCTGCTCACTGTTTCTATTATGCTTTTCTTGTACTTTCTTCTCTTGCTTCGCATGCTACACGGAGTGTGTCGACTTGAACAGCCGCACATTTGTGCAAAGTTCTATGTTGAAAACAGACAGACAGACAGTACTACCAATGTTAGAATCAAAAATATTTTTAAATATCCTTGAGAATCACAAATGGAGAATTTTTGCGTGAAAATCGGTGATATGGAACAGAATGTGGGATAAAATGCATTCAAAAAGTGAAATATTTCTTGTACTGACACTGGGAACATGGGTAGAAAGTGAGCAAAAACTGCGTTAAGTATGAAAAACCAGGTAACTAGTTAGTTGAAAACGTGGGGAAAATGTTGATATACATAAGAGGAAAGTGGGAGTTTTATGTTGCATTTTACCTGCTATCTGCCCACGTCTCATCAGATCCAAAGTGGCCACTCTCCCCATCTTTTACTCACTTTCTTTATGTGCATTTTCCGATTAGAGGACACATGTAAAGAGTAGTTGGCTTATAGGATCATCACCAAAGTTATCTCATCAACCAATATTATGGTGATCGTCATTGAAACAGCTCATAATAACAGTAAACAATTTAAGTAGTTTTGTAGATAGTGACTGTCAGTGGAATCCAGGACAGTGTACATTTCATCCTATTTGAGACTCGTCAGCTAGTGGACGCACCTGTATTCCACGGTGATTCAATGATTGTGTTCCAAATGAGGCTACAACTCAGTACTCATCGTTTAAAACAGCAAAGCGTTATCCACTGCACTACTTGGGTCATTAGTATCAGTTATTATTTAATTCAATCTTGATTTTCCTGTAGATTGATTGGACCGGAGTGTTCAGCTTATTTTAACAAGCTGGCTCCCAGTGTGGATGCTTCGACGATGTCTGAGGATTTCATTTGAAGTAATTCAGTGGATAGTGACTAGCGGTGGGATACAGCCGAACGCTAAGATCCAAATTAAACTAAATAGTGAACCCTTTGTTCAAAACAATGGTTTTATAAAGAAAATAAACCCAGTCGGAGAAACCTCTCGTTTATATGAATATAATGGGGAAAAACTTGAGATGCGTTGAGTTTAAAAATTTTTAAAAATGGGGTATTTTTTCAAATACCGAAGGTGAAATGGGAAAAAGTGGGTATTTCCTGTTGTATTATATCCACTTTTTATTTCTATCTCGTCTGATCAAAATTGGCCATTTCATCTAAGTTTTCCCCACTTTATTTGTGTGTGTGTTCTGCGTGGAAATTTGCAGTATCAATATCTTGCACCATATAAAAAATATAAATAGGTCAGTTACTAAATCTACAATTCACGCTAAGATATTCATAGAAAGTCATACTATTTATGTTTTTATATCTCATTGCACATCATCAACCAACATGGTATCTTCTCTGGAATTTATGAGTGACATGAAAAGCTTCTCGGCTCTCTGAGCTAAGATGATGTGTAGTATCTGTTCTTTGCAGTGTAATTTCTGCAACGATCTCTAAACTGCGACCAATGAAATCATGGTCCGGGGTTCGAGCCCACGCCGACGCACACCTGATATCTATGGTCGGCCTGCAAATTTCGGGCTACCGATATCCACGCTGAAAATTCCACACTTGTACCAAAAATACAGTGTAGAATTAAGCTGTAATCAAAAATAAATAAAAAATAAATGAATAAAATAAATAACTGGAAACGTTTTCAAAAAATGTGCAGTCGAAAATAATAGCATTTGACGATATCTTAGATTATTGATATTAGGTGGTTGGAGGTAATGGGAAGGAAGCCCCCACTTGAACTAGGCTTCTTTCTAGTTGGTGTTATGTTGCTGCTGCTGAGTGGTTAATAGTAGTTTTCCCCGTCGCCAAATTGTTATGTACTTGTCGCTAAATTATTGCTATGTACTGGTCGAGAATTTAATAGTTCTGACGCAAGAAAGACGAAAATCAGAAGACCACTAGATTTGCGATGATACCTCTATTTTCCAAACACAAGGAGAATGTAAAAGTGGTATCACACCAAAGTAGTAAGTAAGTCACACAAATTGTGAGGAAAATATATAAATGTGAAAAAAAAAAAATTTTTAAAAAAGGAATTTAAAGGGATCCATTTAAAAAAAATAAAGAAATTTTCAACAACACAAATAATATTTGAATATTTCCACCAACAACGGCTCAAAAAACACTTTTTTATAAAAAAAAAAGGGGAATCATTTTTAAAGGAAAGGTTAAAAAAGAAATGGCAAAAAAAGGGAGCAAACAAAAAGAGAGACCAACATACACACACACAAAAAAAATATTTTGTGGATACAAATTGGCGATCACCAGTCAGCAAGACATATCTACAACCGTGAGGGAACTAATGCGTTTCATTAGATTCAAACCCGCGTCATCCAGTGCTGCAGTCAGAGACGTTACCACTGAGCTATTCAGGCTCACGAGTGACCTCCTGTAGGACTGTATTGTATATTTTTGATTCCACACTAGTCACTAACTAGTGTAATGTGTCTAGTCCTATCTTCGGTGCAGTCGCGAGATCAGTGGTAATGTCTCTGACCCACTGCAGCACTAGGTAACGTGGATTCGAATCTCAGAAGGCGCATAAGTTCCTTCAGGTTTTCAGATACGCCTTGCTGACTAGTGAGTGTCAACTAGCTCAAAACCTAGGTTAAGCAAGGCTTCCTGTCGATTGCCTTCAACCATCTAATACTAACAGTTCACAGTGCACCGTGGTGGTGAGCTACTACCTAGCATGGTGGCCCACATTGCAAGCATGACTGATAGAATTCAGGACTAGACACATTACCCTAGTTACTGACTAGTTTGCAATCAAAAGTGTAATGTTTCTATTCCTTTATTTGGTACAGACTGTTCTCCATCATTCTTTACATCCTATGAATTGTTCTATATATGACATTAGTTTTCTTTCCTACTTCATATTGAACTGTGACCATAACCATAAACAATTTAGTTGCATTTCATATTATTATTATTATTTGTTATATTCACACCCATGATTCAATTCCCTCACCGGATATAACTTCTTAAAATCCGTAAACATATGATTGTACAGCTTCATAATGAATTCGTTGAAAACAGTCTCCTCACTGAATCACTTGTTTCGGTTTTGTGAATTCTGTCAGTCAAGTTTGGTCAGTGTTAATCTCTGTGACGCACTACAGCAATCGGTGGCGTCACCAGTTTAAATCTAATAAGGGAAACATGAATTCCTTCAGTGGTTGTAGATACGAATTGCTGACCAACTAGTGAGTGCCAAACAGCACGAAACCTAAGTCAGGTAAGGCTTCCTACTGATTGCTTTCAACCATCTAATATCAACAATTCAAAGTGTACAGTGATGATGAGCCATGCCATCTAGTAGCATGGTAGCCACATTGCAACCTTGACTGATGAATAGAATTCAGTCTTTACTGAACAAAGGATTAGACACATTACACTACTTACGAACTAATATGCAATCAAAGACATCTTAGAAAAAATTAAAACAAAAGCGAAAGGCAGATGAGGTTTCTTTTCTGACTTGAAATTCAAACAGCTCTCAAAGATTGTCTTGCTTATTATGAATTGTTAACACACATAGAATGTAGTAGATTGTATCATACCTTCATAAATCATAATTATGAAGTACTTAGAAGTTAACTGGTCAATGATGACTAGCAGTGGAATCCAGGATAACGCGCATTTCGTCCTACTTGGGACTCGTCAGCTAGTGGATACACCTGCATTCCGCAATGAGTTATGATTTTCCTACCAAGGCTTGAACCTAGTGCCTACAGTTTCAAATGCAAAAGCGTTATCCACAAGAAGCCAATATGTCGATCTGAGACCGAGCATTTCAGTCCAATTGGTAGACGGGAAAATCTAAAATGGATTTAAGTATGAAGATAGGACCTCAGGTGAACATATAGAAAACAGAGTTGATGAAGATTCCTGGGCAACATCAACAGCAAAAACAACAACAGACAACAATCAGTGTAAATGGGAGGAACCTGAAAGAAACAACCTCCTTTACCTACCGACCTGGGGGAGCATCATTTCAACTACAGGCGGACGGAAGTGACGAGGATATCAAGGCAAGGATCCGTAAGGCAAGACAAGCTTTCATTAATCTCAAGTCTGTATGGAGGTCAACAGTACTCAGCATGAAAATGAAAATAAGATCCGGATTTTCAACTCCAATGTGTAGTCAGTGCTACTGTAACAAGAGAAGACAAGGGCCGGCAACAGATCGTTTTATTACGGGAATCAGCACGTATTTATATACATTTCTTGTACATTATTATGGCTTATTCAAGTAGACAAACGCAGTCTTCTGATTGGTTGTTTTCGGGTTTCTCGGAAAGTGAGGCCATCTATCTGCGAATTTTATTTACCCATGTTAAGTCTGCTGTGACTGGTTGTTGAATCAGCCTTGTTCATATTTTCTCACGGCCAATATTAGCGACATAGACATTGACGTAAATTAATGCTTACCAATCGGCTAGCAGCCTGCTCTCACCACACTGCTATACGGATCAGAGACTTAGCCAGTGCGTCATAAAGAGCATCTCAAACAAACTTCAAACCTTCATTAACAGTTGTCTTCGCTCAGTACTCAAGATCAGATGGCCGGCCAGAAGAGATCAGCAACAGGGGTTTCTGGGAGCGAATCAATCAGGAACCGATTGTGAAACAAATAGGCAGGAAGAAATGATGATGTATTGGCTGGTCACACTCTGAGGCAACCATCAGGTGGTGACATCACTAGACAAGCCATTACTCGAGTGGAACCCGAAAGAGGAACGGCGAGTTGGTCGTCAGTGCAAGGGTGACTTGGATTAGGTCGTGTGAAGAGCAGATGAAAGCGTGTGGGCAGACTTGGAGCGGGGTGAAAACGTTGGCAGAAAACCGAACGCAGTAAAGACATGTGGCTGAAGCCTATGTTCCTCTGGGAATTAAAGCAAATAATAATATACTTACCTGTAAACGAACATATCTGTTCAGCATCGGAGACAAAAGACATATCATTCGATAAAAATATACATACATATTGTGAACATTCATCATTTTCTCTTTTATATCTATGAATCAGTTGATTACTATTATACAGAGCAAATAATCTTCGCTTTCCTATTACAAAAGTACATTTGATTTGATATTGATGAAATACTGAAATGGGTAATACTTCCACTTTCATTGATTGATTATAGTTGTGTATTGATCCATAAGTGAATTTATTAGATATTTTAAATCCAGGAAAAGCTAAATAATAAGGCATTTTAAGAAAAAAAAACTACCATAGTACATTTTAATGAATTTGAAAATAGCTCAAGTGAAAGATAAGCTACCTAGCTGTGCCCCTTCCATGTGTATCTATAAATTTAGTTGCTTCTGTGGAGAAAGCCATATAGGCCGAACAACTAGACAGCTTAACAAACGCATTAATGAGCATCTTCCTTCATGGTTCGCAAAAGGTCAAATAAAATCCAGAAGTTCTATTTTGGCTCATTTGGTTGATAGCGGTCACCAAGTGGACAAAAATAGTGCCTTCAAAGTTATCTATCGCATTCCATCGAGTCTTTCGAACGGAATCAGAACCCGTCTTTTACACTTAGCTGAAGCTATGGGAATTTGAGAGAACAATCCTAGTCTTTGTATACAAAAGAAATTTGTTCTACCTTTGTCTCTCCCTTGGCCTAGGTGAATTCTATTCAAAACCCTCCCACCCTCTCTTATCATCCCTCTCCTTCGTATTTTTATGATATTTATTTAAACTCTGATTATCGTTCCATTTGATTTGACCTAATTTTATTATTTATTGAATTGTCTACATATATGCATATACTAACTTTGTTATTCTTATCACCTATATAAGCCTTATTAACAATATTTTGTTATTATTATAATCATCGCTATTAACTTCGTTCAAAACATTTACCACATTATTATTACTATTATTATTATGTTATTTATTTGATCCACAAAATCACCGTCATTGGTTAAAATTTATATATATAAGTCTATGTAAATTAGAGTAAAGCCTGAAGAAGATCTAATTGAAAACAATATTGAATTTGAAAATAATACAAGAAACAGAAATTAGGTGTGTCTTTGATTTCTTTATATTCTCTGATTTGAATGGTTCAATAGCCAAGCCTTCTTAGCTTTTCTCAACAAAATCATTAACTCCATGCTTATTTCATCCTGAAACAATAATTCATTTAAAAGTCATGTATTAAAAAAAACAGGGAATACTGGACAGGTGTTTCATCAGACTAGTTTCGAACTCTTCAACAGTACCAATCCACTAGATTTCGAACTCAAGAACTTCCGTTTAAAAGGCGGGCTCATAGACTATTGAATCATTGAGACCCAGTCCAATAACCTGTGAGAAGTCGTAACTAGCGGATGCATCAACTCAGTTAAGAGATCATTTACTCGCTTATAATATTATTTATTTTGTTTTTTATTACAGCTTGATTCCACACTGTATTTTTGGAACAAGTATAGAATTTTCAGCATGGATATCGGTAGCCCAAATTTGCAGGCCGACCATAGATATTTATACTCAAATTTCTAACCGTTTCTTCCTTTGTTCCATTGAGTACTACGTAATTTACAACTTATAAATTAGTGATGAATTGAGCTATTAATCGCGACCGAAAGCTGCTACCTTGACGCGGTGGTCGGGCTTGAACACCGCAATGACCTAATCAAGCTATACTGGCTGAGACTTATGTCTCTTGAGGTTCTACCATGCCAGGCAGGTTGTTTGGATAGCGGTTAAACAAAAAGCAGCTACCCCATCCAATACCATGATTCAAACAAATTCACAAAATTTCATGCCGGATAGGCCGTGGCTCGGATTAACAACGACCACGCTTCCTGCTGTCGTGTCACAGGGCAGGAGTGATAAGTATGCTACTGAGGCACACCAAACAAAAGAGAACGAACAAAAACCAGCCGCGTGTGACCGACCTCAAGCAGTTGTCCCCTGGGCTCTGCGGTCACGCAACCAACTTCCACGGTGTGGGCAGCCGGGAAGTAACAAACGCCCTCACAATCCGAAATTAATCGCGGTCTTCCATTTGTCAATACTGGCTAGCAGTTGCGATATATTTATGTATATATTTCAGCGCAATATAATCAGTTGACCAAAAAATACGAAATTAACTCTAATAATGAATAGGACATATGATAAAACCTTATTATATCCATTTGAACTAGTAAAGCTTGAAAAATCACAAGTCATAGTTCGTCTACACGCTAAATAATCAGGTAACAAAATTGATTTTGTTAAATGTTGAAATAATCCAGAAAAAGCATTTCAGAAATCATAAAGAACGTCTAATATCAGAAGCACTTCATATCAAGTGGAATCCAAATTTTCTGAATAAGAATGATGGACTTAAAAAGCATTTGACGTGGGTACAATAGCCATCACCACCATGAAATGACAAACTCAACACGAATGTGATAAGTGATTTCAATATAGTAAACACACACTGCTTTTATAATTTTATACGCTTATCAAATCCAGCAATCCACACATGATTTTGTCATCTTCATACGAGTTTGATCACGGATTGATATCAGTTAAAGAACCATTGAAAACCAGAGTTGGAGTACTGACAGGTGTTTTACCAGCCTAGTTTGGAAATCATCGGCAGTACGCACCCACCGCCAAATTTCGAACCAAACCTTCCGGTTACAAGGCAAGTTCGTATACCATTCAGCCACTTGGACCCGATTTAGTGGCCAATTTGACAACGCAAAAATTATCTCATACTGAGGAAGGATGATTAAGTTGTTATATATAAGCTGAGTGGATTTTGTAAATTCTGGTTTAATAATATTTTGATGAAGGTATTAGTAGTATCATCAGATAATGAAACGTCAGTAAAAACGATATATTTTTGCTTTTCATTCATATACCTAATGCCGAAATTTTTCAAACTTATAAAAACAACTTGCTTTGGACATACATAACCTTCTTATTTCTCTAATCTTTGAACAACAAATCTTGGTCACGGAATCCTTCTTAGTTATTTTGACCTTTATCACATGAAGTATATCTATAAAACCTGTAAATATATTCATTAGAGACCTGCAGAAAGTAATTCGCAGTGGGAATTGTTTGCCGTCGACGCCTCTGACTACAGAAAATGAGGAAGCCAGTTCAAATCTCCAAGTTAATATGAATTCCTACACGGTGGCATATACGCTCTGTTGAAGAGTCCCAATGAAAGCGCGAAATCTAGGGCCAAGGACTTCTTCTTAATTATTTTCAGCTATCTAACACACCTCATATTTCCTAATTTCATTAGAATACTTGTATTACTGCGTGAAATAAACGGGTTTTCTTTTCTACCCCTGTTACAAATTAGTAAATCAACACTAAACACCATACTGATGTGTGTCAATGTGTTTTGACGTACTTTTATAAAACGAAAGAGAGTATAAATAAACGTTGTACTACTAATACTATTCAGTAGTATACACCTTTGGCTGTACTAAAGATATTAGTTCATAATATCGTTTAGCTACAAGTGGTATAGGTTGCATCAAGATATGAAGTCTCCGTAGTAGTGTAGTTGTTACTTTTGGGTGGGTTGAGTTAGGACATTAGCCTCAAACCCAACATTCCCAGATAGGTGCTATGTATAGTACTGCATCAACCAGAAATCAGACTTGGATTGCCCTGATGCCTGATGGGTAATATACCAATGAAACACTGACTCACACACACACAACTGTAAATGAACTTTGACACCTTATTCAATCGAACAACCACAAGAAAATAAGAAACTCAAGTTTACAGAAAACCAACCCATACAGATCAAATACTCAGTGACCAACGGCAACAACCCAATAAAACACGAAATGGGTTGCATAAAAAATTATTCAACAGAGCTAGAACTCATTGCATCACTCTTACTTTAAGGAAAATTAAAGAAAAATATCTCGTGGATGTTTCCAAAATCATGGATATCCAAGAAACTTCATCAAAAGACATATACCCCCAAGCCAAACAACCATGTCAAAGGCCTCCAAGGAGAACACAAAGAGAAAGTCTCAGAAATCAATGCAACCCTCTGCAATCCTTTACGAATTGATGTTACACTTCGCTCAGCTGGCTCTGTGTCAAACCAAATACTCAGTAGCGAGAGAGGATAGAAAATTGAAACGACTGTGAAAAACACTAGATGTCCAAAGTGGACGCCTTCTTCGTTTTCGCATCCATGATCTTAAACTAACCGTCATAAGACATGATATCTATTCCTTCATACCACTGCACATAGACAACCGCGGATATCAATTCGATTGGGACAATGTTCACATATTATACAGAGGAGACACCAAGAACGTCAGAGAATTTTTAGAAGCCTGGTATTCCAGAGAATCGGTACATAAGCAAAAAAATGTAATGCACAAAAAGTCAAACTTCAGGTTAAGGAAACAATCAATACTAATACAGGTAGAGTAGTAGGTGTGAAAAAAAAGATAAAAGTAACCAATCACGTTCAAGGTTACCAACTGGAAGAGATGACTAAAAGACCCGTGGAGAAATTGAAGTATTCTATTGAAGATGTTGCCTAGTAATTAGGGCAATACAAAGCTTTACAAGTAGACCACCAGCTCACAGAACAAAACTACATCAAAATCATCCACCTGGACAAAAATACCTTGTAGTGAAAAGAAAATTTCAAACATGCAATAACCAGTTGGTAGGTAAAAATTTCTCTAAAGAAAATGTTACTATTTAGACGACGTAATATTTTTGCTTACCAATAGTTTTGATGACAAAGCACTTTTTTATTACACCGGATAATGTTTTCAGCATGCAACAGTATAAACCAATTGTACAAGGATTTGAAGTATTGACTTTTATTCCTTTGAGCTTTCCTCGAATTGGTTGAAATTGTTTTGTTCCACTGATATATTTCATCCATGTCTGAGTAGTTTTCGTAATTAGCCGGGTATTAGTAGTAGTAGTATTACTACTGTAATTATGTAGATGATTATTTAGACTAGCTGTACATGTATAAACTGTAGTCATCATTTCATTTGACCAAACAATCATACGACTCGGCGTAATCTTTAATTCTGTCATAGCTAAAAACATAAAATTGAAAAAAGAAATAAGTAAGTCATTTTATTCCTGTGTGATTCAAGGGTTTTTCAAGAGTTAGTGTTTGTATGGATTTGATTTGAGTTTCAAGTTTGATCAGGGATCGATATCAGTTAGAGAATCCCCACTGGAAAACCAGTAGAAATAATTTGGACGCGTAGTTTGACTCCTAGTTTAGAAATAGGGAGTGAAGCGGTACAGCACCTTGACTGCTTCACTTATTTGGGAAGATAAGTCGGTCAGCCCCAACGGGTTGATCTCTGACGAAATCTCACCACGGATAGAGAGGGCTAGTTTCGCATATGCTAGTTTACGCCGTCTCTGGTGTAGACGTGATATCCGGCTGGCTATCGACCAAAGGGCGTGTGTACTGCTCATCAGTCCGCTCCGTCCTCCTTTATGGCTGTGAGACCTGGCCATTGGACAGGAAGACGAAAGATTAACTGTTTTTGATCATAGGTGCCTAGTCTCTACCTCCCGTGTAAAGTGGTATAATAAGGTGAGCAATATTGAGGTAAGGCATAGGTCCAGTGCTAGGTAAGTGGGAGAGGAAATCAATCGACGAGGTTGCCAAGTTACATCAACTGAGATGGCTAGGACATGTGTTACGTATGGCTAGTCATCGCCTTCCTCGGCAATAGGCAATGTTAGCTGACTTAGGGTCAGGATGGAAAAGAGCCAGTGGTGGTCAAACCAAAACATGGCACCAGTCAATGAAATCTACAACAGTTAGTCAAAGCCACGTAGGAATATGTAGACTTCTAGGCTGGTTGGGGTCCTCGGGACTGGAAAAACCAGTGGTTGGGAACAGTTGGTGATATGGCTCAAAATCGTTCTCAATGGCTGGCGCAGATGTATCCACTCCTTGTGACTAATTATTTCCAATGAAACTTTGTTGTTCTTCGTTATTACTATTCCTTTGTCTCACACCTCTGTTTACTGTCTGTATTATGCATTTCTTCTACATTCTTCTCTTTTTTGTGTGCTACATGGAGGGAGTGTGGTGACTTGAACTGCCCCACATTGGTGCAAAGTTCTATGTCGAAAACAGACGGACAGGCAAAAGAAATAATTAAACAGTCAATACAGGATGAATGGACACTCAAAATGCAATCGGAAAGCCAAAATTTTCCTCATTCAATCACTTAAGTTCTTTCTGGGTATTTCCCTTGTGATTCGAACTTTAACAGAGCAATTCTGGAGTGAATCAACTACCCTGTACTTTATATAATTCGACTATGTACTCATCCAATGATTAGTATAATGACAATTAATAATGATATTAAGTAATACAGAATTGTAGTGAGAGCTGTCTGCTAACCAAAATTTTAGACAGCAATTTACGTCAATGTTTACGTCCCAAATCTTGGTCATCAGAAAAAAATAAAGAAGAACAAAGACTAACTCAACAACCAATCACAGCAGACTTTGCGTGGGTGGATATGATTCTTAGATTTATGGTCTGACCTTCAAAGAAAGGGGCAGAAAGAAGTGGTAGAATAACCTTTAGCAGGAAAACAACCAATCAGAAGACATTACCTCTAGGTTAACAATAACGCTAATAATAATGTGCATAAAAATCTATAAATACCACTTGATTTTCTGAATAAACCATCTGTTGCCTGGCCCTTCTCTTCTGTCGTTACTGCGTAATACTATGAGACTTTGTCAAATACATTTCTTTCGAAAGAAACGGTTGCCCACTTAAATCACTGAACTACCTAAACTTTCTATCCATCATAAATGCATCGTTTTCATACTCCAATTCAAATTATTTTAATTACCTGATTACCACAAAGAGTTTCAATTGCTACTGGTGCACAATTTCAAATAAGTTACTACCTAATGCCAGGAGTTTTCCAGTGTGCAGGAAAGTGAGAAGACGTTGTGCCGTGGCGATTGGAGCTTATACTTTGGAGAGATCAGCATTGCTTCAGAGGATGTATTCTCGGTTATTCTATTATTTAAAGATTCTACCCACAAGGGATGCAAGTAGGAGACGAAGGATTATGGGTAGTTGTGGACCCAGTCAAAGAGGAGAGCAAAAAATAGAACTAAGTGTTGTTGAAACCTTAAGTTTTAAGTGAAACCCAAATGTTAAATACCTTGCAATGGAACTCGCTGAAAAATATGTCATTATTTTGCAGAATAAAGCTATTATTATTATTAATAATCTGGGATTACTTTAACGTTCTTTGATAATACACTTATTGAACTTACGTAGAACAGTTATATTCACATATTTTGGCGCAATCTCTGCATGATTCAATACAAAACATTTTGCTGTATATTTACCCACAGATAGTTTTGTGATACTATTATTAGTATTATTAGTAGCATTATGATTGTCCCTCATTGAAATCAACCAATTATTATGTACAATGTATGAAAGAGATTGATCCTTGTCTTGTGATGTGATCTCCCAGATAGGCGTATAATCTACAACTTGGTGAACATCTTTCGGATTGAATAGACAACCAATCTTCCATAATTGATTCACTTCAAAGTAATATTCAGTTTCATTTGGTGTAATTGATAATTTAATGTCATCTGAAATAATAATAATAATAATGAAGTCAAATATAAACAAAAATAAATACAAAATGAGAGTTGATGATATTAGTTAGTTGGAGGCAATCTGCCACAGGAAGCCTTGGACACCGCCTAGGTTTCGTGCTAGTTGACATTCACCAGTCAGAAATGCGTATCTGTAACCATGAAGGAATTCATATCCCTTCTGAAATTCGAACCCGCGTCACCCAGTGCCGCCTGGAGTCAAAGACGTTACCACTGAGCTATTTGGGCTAGCGATCGACCTCCTGTAGGACTGTAGTGGGTATTTTGATTGGACACTAGTAATTAGTGTGACTAGTCCAGTCCTTTCAAGATTGCAGATACGCCATACTGACGAGTGCCAACTAGCACGAAACCTAGGTGGTGTCCAAGACTTCCTGCCGCCGATTGCCTCCAACCATCTTGTATCGTCAAATCAATGTACACCGTGATGGCGAACTACCTAGAATGGTGGCCACATTGCAAACCTGACTGACCGATAGAATTCAGTCTGCACCAAAGAAAGGACTAGACATGTCACACTAGTTACTAGTGTCCAAACAAAGCAGAATGGGAGTTTTAATAGTAGAAATAACTTAGATATCTTCGATTCATAGTCACACGGGATATTAGACAAATAGTAAGTGATAGCTTTTGTACAAGTGACCTAGTTGCCTAATGAATAAGACCCTTGGCGCTTGAGGTAAAAAGGTGCTGAATTTGATTCTTAGTGAAAACACCCCCCACCGCCCATTGTGAATGCGTAGTACCGATGAAGAGTCCCAAACTATGACGCATCGGTGGCACAGTGGTTAGGATGCTCGCCCACCGCGCACATGGTGCGGGGTTCGATTTCCTGCCAACGCATATCTGATATCAATGGTTGGCCTGCAAAATCTGGGCTACCGATGTCGCATGCTCAAAATTTCATACTTGTACCAAAAACAGTGTGGAATCAAGCTGTAATCAAAAAGAAGAATGTATAACCTCTTCATCTCAATTGATTACATAACATTGTCATGCAACGCCTAGAAGATGGTAGTCTCCAGAAGTCAATTAACAGAATGCCTACATGGAATGGATAATACATACATTTTTATAACTTCTCTCCAAAGAGCTTTAATAGAACACTAGTCAAAGCCCTGTACTATAGAGCTAGCAGAATATGTTCTACAGACAAATTCAGCGTAAATTTCTGATTCTCAAAAGAGTATTGAAGAACAGTGGTTACCCTCAGATGTTCATTAACAAGTATGGAAGATATCAAGGCTCAAACATCAAACAAATTACAGTCAATAAAATACCTGTCTTTATTCAACTCGATTTTAAAGGTGAAAATATTGCAGCGATGGTTAACAGAAGACTGAGTAACTCACTAGCCAGAGCCTATTCTGCAGCTAGGTGATTCGGTTCCCGTCTATCCGCCAACATGCTCTTTGGTCCAGTCCAAATCGACAAACACCTTATCACGTTAACTCGAACTGTGTATACAAATTTACGTGTATCTGAGAGAATAGTTATACTGGGAGAACGGAAAGAAAAGCACAGCTTCGATTTTCTGAACATGTACCGAAAAGCCTATCATCAACTTCTCTCCTTTTTTCCTGACTGTGCAACTCAATAGCTATTAATTTCGCATGTTTGTATTTTTGACCTCCTTCATAAGTTGTTATGCAAGTGAAACTGCTGAAGATTGTTTATTAACATGTGTTTCTCTGTTAACGAAACTCTTGTGGACCTTGCAAGTATGACAAAATTCTTTGTACATTTACATAATACACTTTTAGGTTGTAAGCAGCTGATGAGAATCTGACGACCAAAATAAATGATGACCTCATATTATTATTCTGCACAAACATTTGTTGTTTTTGCTTTGTTTAAATTCATAAACGGGAATAAATGTATGAAGTAACTTGCGAAAAAATAGCTTGATTTTCATTTACTGATGTTATGTACTGGTGAGTGATTAGTAGAGTTTTCCCCGTCGCCAATTATTTTATGTACTTGTCGAGTAGTTATTAGTCTTGACGCGGAAAGAGGGAAATCAGAAGACCACCAGGTTTACGATGACACTTGTATTTTCCAGACAAAGAATATAAATGTCACACAAGAGTGTCAGTGAAATGGTACGTAGTGTACGAAACGTGGGAACAAGTATACACTATGAAAGTATATATGAAAATGACTAGTACACATGAGCCAATAAGTAGACAGTCTTAACATGATTGGTTGTAATGTCATGTGACAACAAGGTCATACATGTTTATTTAGTTAGTGGACAGACAAAAGCATATTGTCAGTTATATAATGGAATATCGATCCATATACACATAGCAAAATATAATAGACTGTCAAAAACAAAACACACATCATGTGGATACATATCAACTGATATTGTCAATAATGTTATCAGCGGGGACTCTGGTATATATGCTTCCGTAAATGAATGTGTTTAGATAAGAAGACACATATTGCCAATATGGAATCAAAGATAAACTGGCTATTAACTCAAAGTGTTGCATTTGCTGTTCGCATATTAAACAGAAGTTAACAAGGAGGAAGATAAACAGTACACATGAAGGACTTACTTTTATTTAAAACGCGGATAAATCAGCTCTCCCTTGATAGACTGTTTGTCCCACAACCTAAATTTCTCTAACTATTTAGTATACATTTAAATTTTGCTAGTATTAGAAACTCTCTATAGTTGGTTTGTAAGGGTTAGTTTTGTTTTCACGAATTGATCACAGATTGATTTCAGTTAGAGAACCATCGAAAACCAGCCAAGGAGTACTGGAAATCGGCAGTATACACCTACTGGGATTCAAACCCAGCACCTATCAGATACAAGGCAAGCTTCTATGCCATTCAGCCATCTGGGACCCGATCCAATGACCAGCTCATGAATTGTAACTTCTACCATCTCGTGATTTAGCGCGATCCAACCAATGTCATCAGTGGGACATCCATCCTTACACGTGATATCTGGATGGACCTCACCGGTTAGAATTTCCTTTTTAGCATTGTTTTATCAATGCGACTAAAACTGATGATTTAGAGAAATCTGATTTAAGTGATGGTTTTGTAGCTGTTTCACGAAACAGCTGTCCAGTACTCCCAGCTGGTTTTCCAATGGTTCTCTAACTAATGTCAGCTCATGATGAAATCCTGAAAATCTGATTACTTTCAAGTTTGACCACGAACCAATAAACAGTTAGAGAATCACTGAAGACCAGTGAGTACTGGAAAGCTGTCTCATCAGCCTATTTTGGGACTCATCGCCAGTACACAACCCCCTCACCCAACTGCCAGGTTCCGAACCCACAACCTTCCGGTTACAAAGTGAGCTCATTGACCATTCAGTAAACTGGCACCCAACCCCTCAATCGCCAGCCCGTGAATTCCAATTTCTACCACTTCACGATGTAGCCCGACTGGCACTAGCCAATGTCATCGTTGGCGAGTATTTGTCCTCACACTCGACCTGCTGTACCCTACTGCTTTATGACTTCTCATTAGAACCCAGGTAACTTATTTCTAATGAAAGAGGAACTATCTTCATCTACTTAAGACATCCTACTTATTATAGTCACAAGTAACAAAACAAAAAAACTTGATGAATCGGAATTACGAATTCACTTACTAACAATAATTCCATAGATTATTTTAGAAATATGAAATGTAGACTGGATTGTCATTGAACATTGCATTCGTGTAATTTTATTCAATGGCCAAACACCAACAGCAGAATTGCTTTTCATAGTAAATTGATATGCTTCACCATCCATATAGCTCATTTTGATGTCCACGCCATGTGTACTAAAATTTCTAGACTGACAGTGAATTACAGCTGATTGCATATTTTTAGCATAGAATAAATTTTTCTCGTTTACCTCAATGCTGTATAAATCTGTACAAAATAGTACATATGATAATAATTAAGTTAGTAGTGCATCTATAAAAGCTGTCGTTGATGTAAAGGGCAAGAAAAGATCATACTAGTACGAGTGTAACGGTATAAGATCAGAGAACAACTTGCTCTTTGGTGAAATCAAAAATCGACGGATATCCTTCTCATGTTAACTCCAGTTGTGTATAAAAATTTTCATGTATCTGCGGGAGCAGTTATATTGGAAGAACAGAAGGTAGAAGAGCATATCTACGATCTTTCTGAATGTGTACCAAAAAGCTTATGTCTAAAGGGAACAAATGCTTTGAACAGTGCCATCACCAGGCATCTTCTTGACACGGGTCATAAGGTGGACGTTGCAAGATCGTTCAAAATTATCAATAGGCAAAAGAGTTCAATTCTCCTCAATTTAGTTTGCTGAAGCCATCTCCTTTAAGCGCCTGAAACCCGATTTATGCGTTCAGAAAGATGCGGTTATCAGTCCTTCCTTGCCCTGGTAACTGGATATTTTCACTTCTTTTTCATCTGATTACGTCATGTCAAAAGTTTCTATCGTGTATGATAATTATTGTTGGGGATAGTGTTCAATATTATATATATATATATTCTTCTTTCTTTTTTCTTCACGTTCCCAGTGGAACATAGGGTTTCAAGCTAGTGGCTTGAAGTTTCTGTAGCAGTGTTTATTTCATAGGATGGGGTTGCTAGCCTCATGCCCAACCCTTCCTCTTTACCAGCATTAATTCTGACTTAGCGAGGTAAAGGAGTGCGTCGGCCGGGATTGAACCCTGGACCATATGCATGGTCGGTGAGCGTCCTAACCGCTATGCCACCGACGCATATATATATATATATATATATATATATATAATGACTTTGGCCTGTAAGCAGCTGATAAGAAGCCAACGAAATAACGATGATGGTACCATTTATCCTGCAAAAGCTGTTGTTCTTGCTAATGCACCTTTATTAGAAGAAACACATCATATTGGAATCCGAATGGGAAACGACAATTCGGTTGGCCGATGGTGACATTGAGGAGATCGTGTGAAGAGAAGATGAGAGACTATGGGCAATCGCAGGCCCAGCTGAAGAGGACGGCAGAAAACAGAACAAAAAGGAAACGTGCTGTTGAAACCCTGTGTTCAACTCAGTACCCTTGGGAACAGTAATATACATAATAATACATCTTATTTATGCATTTTTAACCACATTAAAATTCGACCAATAGATTATTCTGACTGGTCGATGATTGGCTTAGGATTAAAAAACGAGACTCAACTATGTCCAAAGAGGTTACTTCATGTCTACTTCGTAAATTAGATTCAAATTTCAGGAACGCGCACTTCCACCTCTGCAGTCATTGACTTTAAGTGTTGATTTCAGTTTTGGCCGCTTCCTATGAATCGGTATCTTTATACTACTTACAAATCGTGCCAGTAGTACAGTTTAAGGATCTGAACAACTAGTTTAGTGACTATAAACAATAAGTCAGTTTTGATATTATTTGACTGATAATGACTAGCAATGGAATCTAGGATAACAATTCCGTCTTGTGTGTGACCTACTTGTGCCTGTGTGTATGTTCTATGCCTAATCCTCAGTAGTGGTACTGACTGAAATCAATTAGTTAAATTGACATGTGGTGGCCAGGTAAAGTGACTCGCCATTGTAGTGTACTTCGAATGGATATTAGGCCAGTGAGCGTGAAACCTAGGTCCAAGACCTTCTATGGATTGCCTCTAATCACTTAACGTGTTTTTTGGTAGCCTACAACTGATTTCACAAAGAAAACCTAAATTTATTCAATGGTTGGGTAACGTCTGTTAATTTATGAAGATAATTCAACTTCATTGACTCCATAGTTATTCTGAAAGACAAAAATCAAGTCTAAGTTATTGCTAAATTAGAACTGAAAACTCATATGAAGGGTTGGTCAGATGTATCAACTTCGGATATGACATGTAGAACTTCATCACTTTAAACTGTCATGTTCCCCACCATCACAAAAACAACCAGTGACTGATGCATCAAATATAATGACAAGATACAGATTATTTTTCAAGACTATCACTTTGAATTCCGCATCAGGTGATCTGATTTGACCAAAACATTTAGCCTCAAGAGATGGCTCTACTGATCTAGATGCTCAATGGATAACGTTTCGACGTTTGAAGGAATGGGTGCTGGGTTGTACTGGATATACGAACACTTGTTAAGTGTGCAATTACATCCTGCTATTGTATCCCAAATAGGAAGAAGCGCGCACCATTGGTTCAGCTATAAGCCATCATCAATCAAACTGCATCAGATTGGAGAGCATACTGTCAAGTGACTACTTGTCACATTTTCGTAGCTGTTAATTTTGATGAACATTGAGTCGTGTGTCTGCTCCAACTAGTCACTATTCGGCAGGAGACAAGAAGGGTAGAGTAGCTTAATCATGTACTGGTTGGCAGACGACTGGAGAAATACCAGCAGAAGCATTATTGTACATTATACTGACGTTTTTATATACAGACTTTGCTAACAGTAACTTGTAATTCTAGGCAAAGTTAAACTTCAGGACCACTAACTACAACCAGTCAGCGAATGACCTCGAACGCACCAATCACATGAAGAAGGCATTTTTGTGTATGGAATATATTTATGAACATATTTATGAAATAATGCACAAAAACTGTTTATTTTTATTTTTTTCCTTCACGTTCCCAGTGGAACATAGGGCTTCAAGCTAGTGGCTTGAAGTTTCTGTAGCAGTGTTTATTTTTTTTACAGGATGGGGTTGCTAGCCTCATGCCCAACCTTCCATCTTTGCCAGTCCTAATACTGGCTTAGCGAGGTAAAGAAGTGCGTCTGTTAGCTGTATATCGAACCCCGGACCATATGGATGGTCGGTGAGCGTCCTAATAGCTGTGCAATAGCATAAAAGCTGTAGAAAAGTGTTACAGAGGATACCTTCCTCTCACATGTGATAAAAATAACCCTCAGTTTTAGGTTGGAGTATCAATAGAGTATAATTCTATTGTGGGTAAATTTTATTTTATGAAGTCTCATAGTGTTATACAGTAATATTTACTGAGCAATAAACTGTGCTGGAAATGTCATCAGTAATTATTACTGTATAACACTATGTGACTTTATCAAAATAAATTTTACCCACAAATTCTTTTATCAACAAAGTAGTTTAACCACATTCTACGCATTGAAATATTTAGATTTTCTGACTCTAGTCTCTCCTGAACCTAACCCTAACGCGAAAATATCCCTAAACTAACTACAATCTAACTCGAACCAACCCTAATATCGCCTTTATTAGGTTAATCTAACCCTAACTTGTCCTTGGCTTAAAGTGCAACTTGCCAGAAATCCCATTTATTGGCATAACACTTCGATGAGCGTATTTTATTGATGATGATAACATTATTTGCCAGGTTTCACTAACTTGCCTAGTGAGCGTCTCAAGGTCATTGTTGCGTTCGCACTCCATTGATGGTTGTTATTGGTGGTTAAAGTTTAACTTGGTCTAATTCTGTTTCATTATGGTTGGAAGAATAAACAATCGCATTACCCTACGAAAGACTTCGAAGTGATGCAAGGCTGTCTACTATCGCCAATGATCTTCCTGATTGCAGTAGATTGGATAATGCGACAGACAACGGGCAATGAGGAAACAGGCATAAAATAGACCCACACGAAAAACCTGGAGAATCTGGACTTCGCCGATGATATATGTCTGATTTCCCACAAACTGGAAGATATGTAAGTGAAAAGCAACAAGCTGGGAGAAGAAGCATCTAAGGAAGACAGGACTTCAGGTGAACACAGATAAAACAGAGGTGATGAAGATCCCGGGCCAACACCAACAGCAACAGACAACAATCAGCATAAATGGGAGGAACCTGAAAGAAACAACCTCCTTCACCTACCTACTTGGGAAACATCGTTTCAACTACAGGCGGAGCTGACGAGGACATGAAAGCCAGAATCGGAAAACTCAGACAAGCTTTCATCACTCTTAAGGCTGTGTGGAAGTCGGCAGCACTCAGCATCAAAATGAAAATAAGATCCGGATTTTCAACTCCAATGTGAAGTCAGTCAGTACGACTATACGGATCAGAGACTTGGCCACCGCGTCATAAAGAGCATCTCAAACAAACTACAGACCTTCATTAACAGTTGTCTCCTCTCAATACTCAAGATCAGATGGCCGGTCAGAAAAGATCAACAACAGGGATCTCTGGCAATGAGCGAACCAACCCTGCAGGAACCAATTGTGAAACAAATAGGCAGGAAGAAATGGAGATGGATCGGTGGCCATACTCCGAGGAAACAAACCATCAAGTGACATCACACGACATGCCATCACTCGAGTGGAACCGAAAGGAAAATGGCGAGTTGGTCGTCAGTGCAAGTGTGACTTGGAGGAGGTCATGTGAAGAGGAGATGAAAGCATTTAGGCAAACGTGGAGCGGTGTGAAAAATTTTGCAGAATACCAAAGGCAATGGAGACCCGCAGCTTAAACCCTATGTTCCTCTAGGAATTAAAGGATATAACAATAATAATTACCTACTGTTTTCTGTTATTCCGCTTTGGTTACCTTATGCAAATTATTCTGCATGTTAAACATAGTCTTCTGAAGCCAATGATAGGTTCAGGATCTTTGAAATCTGGACAACTGACAGCAGTAAATAAAATCATTTAAACTTTTTCTGAAAAGATCCTTGTACTCACCTTCAACTTTTATCATTCTATAGGCGTATAATAATGATTCTGTCTTATTCACAGTGCATAATAAAGCATACTGACCAATACTGAAAAAGCTGATTTTGATCTGATTTGAATGAATTCTCTCGACGGTCAACTCCTTCTCACTTAAAACTGTTGGATTATATAAGAATGGTAATTTATAAATATTAATCGTTAAATGAAGATTGTTTTGAATGCTGGTAGAAGTGTTACTATTAATACTATTATTATTAATATTGTTACTATTGGAACATTGAAAATTGACATTTGAACTACCCAATGGAATGATATCATAATTTGGTTCAATGGTCAATGTGTTCATTAAATCTGAAATAATAGAATAATAAAAATGAAAACATTTAATATTCAAGTGTTGGTTTGCAGGGATTTGATTTGATTCGTTACAGGATTTCATCATGAGCTGACATCAGTTAGAGAACCATTGTAAGACCTAGGGTACTAGACAGTTATTTCGTCAGCTTAGTCTAGAGCTCTTCATCAGTACACACCCACTGCACTAGGGTTCGAACCAAGGGCTCTCGGGTTACAAGCCGACCTCACTAATGACTGGCCGTATTCAGGCAGGTAGTTACCTGGGTTCTAGTGGAAAGTCGTTACCAGTGGGTCGGACATGAGAAAAAATACTCACTAGCAATGACACTGGCTAGTGATCGCACTGTATCGTGAATTGGTAGAAGTTAGAATTTATGGACTGGTCAGTGGATTGGGTCCCAGTGGCTGAATGGTCAACGAGTTCATCATGTAACCAGGAGGTCCTGGATTCGAACATCAGTAGGGTGGGTGCTTGGTACTATAGAGTCCGAGACTAGACAAAACAGCTGTATTAGGCTTGTTGAAATCAGATTGAAGCAATGTATTCCAAAGAAACAATAGAAACTGAGGGATAATTGGAGATTATTTGTCCCTAACATAGGATATTTCATCTATGCTTTTACTCACAATTCTATGAAAGGTAAGGTTCATAAATGAATGGTAACAGGCTAACATCATTACAAGACTAGTCTGTGTTGAATATCTTATGGAGATTTAGTCTGTCTAGATTTGAAATAACAAGGAGAGAAGAAGAAAAAGAAGAATACCAACGGTTCGATTTTCCAGCATCTTGCCAACTTTGAGCATAGGACACCTTTGTGTGATTGCTTCACAATGACCCACAATGTTCCTTGATATTGTACAAAATAAATATGAATATTCCACTCAAACATTAGGGACTTTAAGTGTAATCTATGTATTCAAAAGCAATGTTTGATGTTTAGTTTTATTATAGTTATTATTTTTCAAGGGTAAGTTTGTGAGGACTAGATTTGTTTTTTACGAGTTTCACCACGGATTGATATCGGTTAGAGAACCACTGAAATCCAGCACTGGAGTACTGGACGGCTGTTTTATTTTGGTTTCGGGAGTCATCACCAGTACTCTCCCACCGCACTCCCAGGGTTCGAGTAGAAGACCTTTAAGTATACTATTCAGCCACTGGGACCCGAAACAATGATCAGCCCATGAATTCTAACTTCTACCAATTCGTGATTTTAGTGCGACCACCAACCAATGTCATCGGCTGGAAATCCATCCTCAAACTTGACTCGATGGACTTCTCTGGTCACAACATCTCACTAGAACTCAAGGAAACTCCGTCCTGTAGCAAGTTACTAGCGAGCATCAAATTAACTTTCAACTCTTAAAAGTTCAGTCGATCACATCAACTGTCAAAGAGATCATATCAATTGGCGACAAATCCATAACACACACGTCAGAACAAACAATGAAATTAAGATTTTCAAACCAATGTTAAGTCAGTAAGTTCTCCTATATGTGTCAGAAACTTCGCCATCTCATCATGAAAAGCATTTCCAACAAGCCACAGCAAACTTTTAGCAACAGCCTTCTTCTCTGGCTCCATACTGAAGATCAAATGACTGGCCTGAAATAATTAGCAACAAGAATCTGTAGCAGTGAACTAATCAACTAAGCACCTATTTCTCAACAAATTGCAGAAGTGGAGGTGGACCAGACTCATGCCAGTGAGGAGGAGATCATTGAATAACACTTGGCTCAAAGCTAACCCTCCTATGGGACTCCAAAGGGGAGCGAAGAGGTGTGTGGGTATGAGATTGACATAGAGGAGATCGTGTGGGGAGATGAGAGATCACTGCCGATCGTGGGCCCGGCTAAAGAAGAAATCAGAAAATAGGACGAAGTGGAGATGTTTTGTTGAAGCTCTATGTTCCATTCAGAACACTGGCGAACACTGATAACAATAATAATTGATATGTTTGACTGGAAGCCACTCAAGTTAACCCGGTAGATAATATTAGCTTGATCGAAGTGATCTAAATACTGGACTGCTGTGTGCCTACTTTGACTTAGCTCACACAGATGAATTAATTCAAATCACATTATCTAAGTAGCAGAGATTACTGTTTGATTAGAGTAGCTTCAAACTACTTATTCCGATAAGTAGTATATATACGTCGTATTATTTGTTCTTTATATGTATCGCACAGTGAAACAGTATCATTATTTACTGGATGACGACGTCCTTCGAACACAATTTATTATTGTTCATAGTCATATCCCAATTATAATCACATGACTTCGAAACTTCAGTTCCATAGTTTTCTCTGTCCTCTCCTATTTGTCTTCGTAGTGGTAGTAGAATTTTCCAGATATCAGGGACAGGTGATGAATCATTTCTATTACACGTAGTCTCTTCAGTTGGTTCGTTAAAGAAAGCTTCTTTATCAATCTCTCCATCCGCCTTCTGACATAAGAATTCAAAACTGTCATCCTATCCCATCCAATTGTATCGTTGTGTGTAATTGCATGTAGCGAGTGGTGTAGCTGACCTATTCTCTAGATTTCTTATCTTATTTGGGTCAACCAATCTAGATTTCGCTGCTAGGTTTTTAAGCTCCGCTAGTCTGACTGACTGCCCCTGTTCTACTAGTTTGACCTATGTATTTGACCTGACACACAATCATTCCATCAGGGTATTAAATAAACTAAATTGTTTTGCATTAAAGGCTCCACAGGACTGATCGCTTAACTGGCAAAGCTTGTTTCTAATTGAGTTTATGGTTGGTTTGAATGCCAGCCACTATTATTCCTGCCTTGTTAAGAATTCTGCTTAAGGTTTCCGAGGTTCTACTACTACTCGGTACTACTTAGTTACCAAGGAAAATCTAAGACTGGAAGTGATACATATAAGAGAAGCCTTGAAACTTAATAATTACCCTGACAAATTAGTCAGGAAATATGCAGGGAAATGTAAAAATAAAAATAAAATAAATAATGATAGAAGTAATAGTGATAATAATATTAATGACGACATGCAAGTCAAATGCGCGCAAGGCAACACCAAGAATAAGGAATCTAAATCATCAGTAGTAATTGCATACAAGAAAGGAACCTCGGAAGCCACCTTACGCAGAATTCTTAACAAGGCAGGAATAATAGTGGCTGGCATTCAAACCAACCATAAACTCAATTAGAAACAAGCTTTGCCAGTTAAGCGATCAGTCCTGTGGAGCCTTTAATGCAAAACAATTTAGTTTATTTAATACCCTGATGGGATGATTGTGTGTCAGGTCAAATACATAGGTCAAACTAGTAGAACAGGGGCAGTCAGTCAGACTAGCGGAGCTTAAAAACCTAGCAGCGAAATCTAGATTGGTTGACCCAAATAAGATAAGAAATCTAGAGAATAGGTCAGCTACACCACTCGCTACATGCAATTACACACAACGATACAATTGGATGGGATAGGATGACAGTTTTGAATTCTTATGTCAGAAGGCGGATGGAGAGATTGATAACAGAAGCTTTCTTTAACGAACCAACTGAAGAGACTACGTGTAATAGAAATGATTCATCACCTGTCCCTGATATCTGGAAAATTCTACTACCACTACGAAGACAAATAGGAGAGGACAGAGAAAACTATAAAACTCAAGTTTTGAAGTCATGTGATTATAATTGGGGATATGATTATGAACAATAAATTTTGTTCGAAACGTCCTCCAGTAAATAATGATACTGTTTCACTCTGTGATATATCTAATAAACAAACTAATATGGAATTTCAAATCTTTGAATATTCCCATTTATAATAATAATATAATTTAATGGGGACGTGGCTAGCGAAGTCTTACATCTGAGATTATCGAGAGCGATAAAACGGACTTATACTGCTGCCACCCTCTGTTTGTCATTTTCCAGCCGACCAATTTTGATTGCTCAAGTGAAAGATAAGCTACCTAGCTGTGCCACTTCCATGTGTATCTATAAATTTAGTTGCTCCTGTGGAGAAAGCTATATAGGGTGAACAACTAGACAGCTTAACAAACGCATTAATGAGCATCTTCCTTCATGGTTCGGAAAAGGTCAAATAAAATCCATACGAAGTTCTATTTTGGCTCATTTGATTGCTGATAGCGGTCACCAAGTGGACAAAAATAGTGCCTTCAAAGTTATCTATTGCATTCCATCTAGTCTTTCGAAAGGAATCAGAACCCGTCTTTTACACTTAGCCGAAGCTGAGAGAATAATCCTAATCTTTGCATACAAAAGAAGTTTGTTCTACCTTTGTCTCTCCCTTGCTTAGCCTAGGTGAATTCTATTCAAAACACTCCCATCCTTTCTTATTTTCCATCTCCTTAGTACTTTTATGATATTTATTTAAACTCTGATTATCTGTCCACTTCACCTTTTAAGATTTGACCTAATTTAGTATACGATTGGTGGATGGTGGCTAGCAGTGGAATCCTGGACATGTCAACCTGAGACCGAGCACTTCGGTCCAATCCATCGACGGGAAAATCAAAAATTCAATTCAATAATTGACCTAATTTACTTATTTATTTATTGAATTGTCTACATATACACATATATACATATACTATCTTTGTTATTTTGTTATCATTATGATCATCGTTATTAATTTCGTTCAAAACATTTACCACATTATTATTATTATTATTTGATCCACAAAATCACCATCATTGTTTAAAATTTTTTATATATAAATCTATGTAAATTAGAGTAAAGCCTGAAGAAGATCTAATTGAAAACAACAATGTTGTTCCCTTATATATCTTGTTCTAATATGGAATTACTTACTACCACAGTGCCAAAGTTTTACACATATATTTATATACACCATCCTGAATATATACTCCAAAGAAACGCCAGAAAGACTTCCTTTACTTGAACCAATAAATAAATAATCACACATATAACACATAGCAATTATAGGTACACAAAAATGAGCAAACGCTGGAAGAAACGAGTATATATTTATCGGTTTACCAGAATAAGAATAATCAATTCTCCAGTATTTAGTTGTTTGAAATAATCCTGTACTAATTGTACACTGATAGATAAATTCCCCTTGTATATCATTGTCGATATTAAGTTGTAATAATGCCCCAGAAATGTAGAAGATTTCCTCTTCCCCTTTAATTAATTCAATAGTAATTGTTTTATTTATTAAATAGTCTTCATTGGGTGTATAACATTTGTATAATTTTGGTTCATTTTCAATTGGTATAAATTCAGGTTGTTGAGGATAACCTAAAGTAATTGAATAAATAATTTAAATTCAAATGTAATTAATTATATTTTTATAAATCTTTGAGAAACTGAAATAAGTAATTCCAAAGCCTAGTTCGGTGAAAACTGATCCGCACTTCATCGGAGAGATATTCACTCATTAAGACATGAGATAAAGATAGTACGGCGGCCTGTCTGAATGTTGGCCAGCTAAACTTCTAAATGTCAGAGAATTAACTCCACCTTCAAACACAAACGTGATCTACAAGAAGTGCTGTCGTTCACAAAACCCTTATGGCATAGAGGGTACTAAAATATATAGAGAATAAGTCAAACGTAAAATACATTGGTGTAGATTTTTCCTCTGAACTTTCTTGGTTAGTCATTTCATATCTTGTCGATTTCTAAGAAAATGTCCCGTCTAACCACCTTCAATATTAGGAAGTTAAGATAATCCGGAATAACTCAACTATTACTTTAACAATTTGTTAACTTTTGCATCTTACCTATTAAACTTTACTGATCCCCCCCTTATTCTTTCCTGAACTATTTCATATTGTGAAGAGTATTGAAGGTTGTCAGGATGACAAGTGGTATGCTCGTTACTATTGTAGTTCACAGACACCTGAACTCATATGAGAAATGTTCCAAATCCATATTGTCTGGCTCGCAACAATTCACTCTCTCCCTTCACAACTGTGCCTCGCCGCTTTCATCTCATCATCAGGTAGGACTAGAAGTCATTATGAAAGAGGATATGCTCGTACAACCAAGTACAGACTCTTCATTATACCCTGATTAGTCCGCCCTTGTTCTGTATGATCGAGATAATGTTAAGCATAAAACCTACAAATTGCTGTGTCATTAGTAGAATAATTAGCTCCCTTATTCTCTCCTGTTTGTAATCTATGGCGACATTATTTCAATTAGCATCTTATGATTCTAGGTATTAGTGTCAATCTTCTGAAAGCTGGAAAAGCAGCTGGACCAGATGGAGTCAGACAAGAGTGATTATTATCATCAGTGATATTACTAATTGTGGTGGACTGGATTATGCGTCAGACAGTGGGAAACAGGAAGACAAGGATATCCTGGACCGACGTGAAAAACCTAGAAGACCTTGATTTCGCGCGTGGATGATTTATGTTTGATGACACACAAAATCGTAGACTTACAAGCAAAAACCGACAAACTGGTCGAAGAAGCAGCCGGCGAGGACAGGACTCCACGTGAACATAGGCAAGACGGAGGTTATGAAAATAACCACCACCAACAAACAACAACAGCAGCAGCAACATCCAGCGCTAATCACCATCAACGGGAGGGATTTGAAAGAGGTTACTTCAATCATTCACTTATCTAGGGAGCATTGTCTCAACTACAGGAAGTCGGAACGGACGAGGATGTCAAATCGAGAGAGAATCGGGGGGGGGCGAGAAACACATTCATCAACCAAACAAACCAATCTGGAAGTCTTAATCACTCAGCATCAACAACAAAATTCAGTCGTATTTTCAATACAAACCAAGTCAGTCAGCTCTTCTATACGGTTCAGAAATTTGGCGGGCGGGTCACAAAGAATATTTCCAACAGCCTGTCGCAGACCTTTATCACCAACTGTCTTCGCTGGCTATATACTGAAGATCAGATGGCCGGGCCGGAAAGAATCACCAACAAGAAACTATGGGAACAAACAAAACAAGAACCAATCGCCAACCAACAAATATGCAGGAGAGAGTGGGGATGGATTGGACACTCGTGGCTGAGGAGGCCGCTGGGTGACATCGCGCGCGCGTCAGTCCATCGCTCGAATGGAACCCGAAAGGGAAGCGGCGAGTGGGACGTGAGTGTGAGGTTGACATGGAGGAGATCGTGTGAATATGAGTTGAAACAGTATGGACTAACATGGATGCAAGTGAAAAGTACAGCAGAAGATAGAAGCAAGTGGAGACGTGCAGTTGAAGCCCTATGTTCCACTTGGAACCCAAGGGAACAATAATTAGTATTATTATTATCACCGTCATTATTTCACACCTCCTGTACATTTTGGACTTTAGTGTCACTGCAAATACCAGGTCTAAGGCTTGCTGTTGATTACCTGCAACCATCTAGTATTACCAATTAAGAGTTCACCGTGACGGTGAGTCACGTAGTTCGGTGGACACATTGCAAACTTCACTGATAGAATTCAGTCTTTACCAAACAAGGGATTAGACACATTACATTAGTCACTTACTACAGTCCAATCAAAGAAATAAGAATTACTACATATTATTATTATTATTTTCCTCTTGAGTTCTGAGTAAAACATATGAGATTTCAGTAACATATCTCCACTTTATCCTATTTTCTGTGGTCCTGTTTAACTGGCTGCATAATTGCCCGTAGTCTCCCATCTCCTCCTCATCCTCTCTTCAAAAGATCTCCTTCACGTCACTCTCGGACCAACGCCCAACTTGTCATTTTCACCGTCCGGGTTCCAATCGAGGGATATCACTCGACAGTCTCCTAAGCGTGTGCTCAATCCTTCTCTGTCTTCTTCTACATATTTGTTGAGCAACATGTTCTTGGTTATTATTTAAAAAATTACGAAGACTTAAAGCCAACAAAATTAGGAAACACAGAAAGATTTTTTAAGGGCTCGACTTGCATATTTTGTGGATATTTTTATCTGCCTTAGGCATATTCTCCTTTCCAACCGTGAGTTCACTTCCGTTCCCTGTCTGACTATGAGTCTACCTGGTATACTTCAAATGTCAAGATTTGACAGAATAATTCTAAAATATTTGGGCGCCGAGTGAGAAGTAGACATTTGTAAAAAATTATATTTGTAGAATCTCAGCGAGATTGAAATGAGTAATTCCAACGTTTTCTACATTCGCCAATCTGTCCTAACTTCTTCAGGGAAATTAATCGAAATTAAGGATTTCATCATGAGCTGACATTAGTTAGAGAACCATTGGAAAACCAGCTGGGAGTACTGGATAGCTGTTTCATCCTAGTTTGGGACTCTTCAGCAGTACGCACCCACCACAGGAGTTCGAACCCAGGACCTTCCGGTTACAAGGCGAGCTCGTATACCATTAAGCCACTGGGACCCGATCCAATGGTCCTTGAATTCTAACTTCTGCCAATTCACGACATAGCGCGACCGCTAGCCAATGTCTTCGGCGAGTATTTGTCCTCACACCTGACCCGCTGCACCCTACTGGCCATGACTTCCTATTCAGGTAGGTAGTTACCTGTGTTCCAGTGGGAAGTCGTGACCAGTAGGGTGCAGCGGTCGGGTGTGAGGACAAATACTCGCCGAAGACATTGGCTAGCGGTCGCGCTATGTCGTGAATTGGCAGAAGTTAGAATTCAAGGACCATTGGATCGGGTCCCAGTGGCTTAATGGTATACGAGCTCGCCTTGTAACCGGAAGGTCCTGGGTTCGAACATCCTGTGGTGGGTGCGTACTGCTGAAGAGTCCCAAACTAGGACGAAACAGCTGTCCAGTACTCCCAGCTGTTTTCCAATGGTTCTCTAACTAATGTCAGCTCATGATGAAATCCTGAAACCAATCAAATCCCTACAAACCAACACTTGAATAATCGAAATTAACATAACAGCAGAGGTTTATATATAAAAGGAACATCTCTCTCTTTTTAAAAACTTTGTCCAATCATGAGTAGTCATAAAACGAGTATTAACAAGTATAATAAACAAAATTGTATGAGCTGTGATCAAAATTTGATCAAAAAATACAATGATAATAATTAAATTTTTTTCCTTCACGTTCCCTAGTGAAACATAGGGCTCAAGCTAGTGGCTTGAACTTTCTGTAGCAGTGTTTAGTTTTTACAGGATGTGGTTGCTAGCCACCTCATGCCCAACCTTTCCTCTTTTTTACCAGCATTATTTCTGGCTTAGCGAGTAAAGGAGTGAGCTGGCACTTCATTATATTTTTGATTGCACTTAAAAGTGAATAACTAACTAACTAACCTTTAACAATTATACTTTTTGTTTCACTTCTCCATTTCCCCAACTGACAATATGCATTCCAACGTCCACCGATAGGAAATTCTTTTACAGCATATAATGAATCTGTAAGTCTATTGAATGCTTGATATACTGGGAAGATGCTTGACTCAAGGATAATTAATTTGCTAGAATCATCTGACGCTACATACTGACCATTCGACGTTAACTTGTACTGACACTTTACAGAATCACCTGGATAGAGAATCTCATTAGTATCAAACTCAATAATGATTTCATTTCGTTTTGATACTGAAATTACAAATGAAATGATGAAAGAAATAATGAAAATTTTATTCCACAGCTAACTTACTACTGAAAGTATGTATATAATATTTAATAGGCGGATGGTGACTAGCAGTGGAATCCGGGATGAGCATTTCGTCCCATTTGGGACTCGTCACCTGGATGTACCTGCATTTCTCAGTGAGTGATGATGTTCCCACCGAGGTTCCCGAATAGGACGAAATGCGCATCCTGGATTCCACTGCTAGTCACCATCCACCAATCCAATACTAATTAAATGCCCAGACATCGTCGAAGCATCTGCGCAAGAAGCCGACATGTCAACCTGAGACCGAGCACTTTGGTCCAATCAATCGACGGGAAAACCAAACATTCAATTAAATATATGTATATAATAATTGCTATATGCATCAAACACCGCTAATATGATGCGATTAAAACTGGGAGACTAATTCCTAATACATACTACATGTACAGACAAAGACCTATTGGTAAAAAATGGTCCTATCTCTACAGTTTTCCTAAGATTCATAACTACCTTGCAGAAATCAAAGTTTTCGTAGTGTTGTTCATAAACATTGTAACCTTTTAAAGTGTATTGATCTATGGGTTTTATGTAATGCTCATTCCTTGACTGAAAGATGGAGTACCTAGACTAGCTAGCCAGTTCAACTGCGCTTGTGGAGCCAGTTATACTGTCGTTGCTAGGTTTTTCGTGCTCGCTCAAGAACATCTCCCAGTATAGCTAAGTAAAGGTGTAGTGAAAACTATTAACAGCGTCAGTGGCACAGTGGTTAGGACTCTTGCCGACCATGCACATGGTCCGAGGTTCGATCCCCTACCAACGCACACCTGATATCTATGGTTGGCCTGCAAAATTTGAGCTACCGATATCGCATGCTGAAAATTCCATACTTGTACAGAAAATACGGTGTGGAATCAAGCTAAAATAAAAAAAAAAAAAAACATCTGGTGCAAACCGGCCACAAAGCCAGCCAACATTAAAGAATCCTTCTCTGTCATCTCCAGGTACCGAATAAAATGCCAAAAACATCGAAGCACGCATGCTCCAAACAGCAGAGGCTATCACAGTTCTCGTGAAACAATCAGTGCTTTGTGTGCAAACAAAGCAAGTCCAGCGACTACTACTACCTGGCCGGCCAACAGTAGAGACTATAAATTCATGAATTTGTATTATTATCTTCCTAATTTTTCTGACATTCAGTTTATTGTTATGTTGTCGATGTTATTTAAACAACATTAATGTTGTTCATAACACTAATTCATTCACTACTATAATGTATATATGACTGTAGAGCCTGACGATGAAGTTATCAAAAAGAGTATTCTTTCTTCAGTATCGATTTTTTGTAAAATAACATCCATCATTATATCAGTCAAAACCGAAGTAAACTAAAATGTCTCTTAGCCACTGGAGTTTCACTAAGTGACGACTGAAGAACACTACTCTTAGCGTACCTATGAAGAATTTTCTACTCAAAGATAATGGAATTCTTCTCTTAAAGATATTGTAGGTTAAGTCTCCCTTGAAACCAAGGTTCATCTGTAGAATCCCAAAGGATAACATATCACATCTGACTACATTCATTTCCAGCGCATATTCTATCTATCCGTGACCAGCGAAGTCTACCTGGTCGGGAGTGAGGAGATATACTCGCCAGTGATGGCACATCGGCTGATGTCAGTCGCGGTAAAATCACAAAATGGTAGAAGTTCAAATTCATAGGTTGGCCACTGAATCGGATCCCAGTAGCTGAATGGTCAACGAGCTTCCTTGTCTTGTAATCAGCAGGTTCTGGATTCGAACCCTGGCAGTGGGTTGGATAAGTAGTGGTGATGAGTCCGGAACTTGAACTGACGAAACAGCTGTCCAACACTCCGTGGCTGGTTTTCAACGTTCTCTAACTGATATCAATCTGTGATCAAATCTGGAGAAAATCAAATCCCTACGAAAAAAACTCTTGAAAAACAGAAAAAAATGTCATTTCTGTCAAAATGTTACCTGAATAAATTGGGATCTGATAATTGATTGATTTGTTGTTAATGTAAAAACATTCCACGTAATATGGATTTTGATTAGGTGGATTAAAAACCTGAGAGAGAAAAAAAGAAATTTTGCAGCAAAATTAAAATTTTTTACAGATATATCTTTTTTTATATACTTTTTCAAAGTCTCATTACATGGACAAAATTAAAACCAGATGAAATAAATGATGACCATTGGGAGAAATGAATCCCTGAGTTGTTACACAATCAGTATCAGTGACTTATGTAATGGACAGATATTATGGATAATTCCTCCTCGACGGTCTGTTTAGAATGTTTATACTTTTGCAATTAATAGTGTTCTCTGAGCTGTTGGTTTAGTTGCAGAGCTTTCGTCGTCCTTCTGGACAACATCCCCTTCAGCGCAATTTTTAGCATAAAGTGAAATGATTTAAATTTCTTCATGAGTGATATAATTGTGTCTCCCGGTAACCATCTTTACACATGTGTCGACTATTTTCTGTTGACTTGGATTTTAAACTTTCTGGTCATATGATTTACTTTATATTAGTTGTTAGATTTGGTCTATACAAACATGTTTGTTAATCGTCGGTTGATTCACTTGAGTACCAAGCTTCTAAGAGTTCCCTTACTGCCCTTTTGGTGTTTCCTCTGTCTAAGATTTCGACATATAGACAATTATGGACATCAATTTGATTGGGATAATGTCGAAATCTTAGACAGAGGAAACACCAAAAGTACTGCCAGGGAATTCCTAGAAGCCTGGTACTCAAACGAAAATGCAGATAACAAACACGTTAATATAGACGAAATATACAAACTAATAAAAAGTAAATCATGTGACCAGAAAATTTAAAATCCAAGTCAATAGAAAATGTTCAATACATATGTAAAGATGGTTACCGGGAGACGCGATTATATCACTCATGAAGAAATTTAAATCATTTCACTTTATGCTAAATATTGCGCTGAAGGGGAATGTTGTCCAGAAGGACAAGGAAAGCTCCGCAACTAGACCAACCAGCAAACAATCCACCTAAGCTACAAATCTTCTCTATTGTTTCAAAATTTTTATACTTATTTACATGTTCCAATTAAATTTTTAATTATAAAACATTTTCCACCCACCTGACTGTCTATCATTAATCCGACATTTGCATATTACATGTTGATTTTTGACCTCTATTATATGCCTTTGTGAGTCGTTGGTATAGCGGTTAGGACGCTCGCCGACCATTCACATGGTCAGGGGTTCAATCCTCGGCCACAGACGCACTCCTTTACCTCGCTAAGCTAGAAATAATGCTGGTAAAGAGGAAAGGTTGGACATGAGGCTAGCAACCCCATCCTATGAAATAAATACTCCTACAGAAACTTCAAGCCACTAGCTTGAAACCCTATGTTCCACTGGGAACGTGAAGGAAAAAAATTGCATTTATCTTGCCTTGTTTAGTCTTTAATTGTAAACCTTCTCTTCGTGGTTGTGTACACTGACAATGTGTTTGCTGTTTAAAGATATGGTTTGTTTGTTTGTCTGTCTGTCTGTTTTCGTCACAGAACTTTGCACATATGTGCGGCAGTACGAGTCGCCACACTCCCTACTTGTAGCACAAAAAGCAAGAGAAGAAAGTAGAAGAAATGCATATTAGAGGAAGTAATCACAAGTGCGAGACAAAGAATAGTAATAACGAAGAACAATATAGTTTCATTGGAAATCATTAGTCACAAGGAGTGGATGCATCTGCGCCAGCCATTGAGAACGATTTTGAGGCATATCACCAATTGTTTCCAACCACTGGTTTTTACCGTCCCGATGACCCCAACCGTGAAGTCTACACCTTCCTACGTGGCCTAAACTATCTGTTGTAGATTTCACTGACTGGTGCATGTTTTGGTTTGACCTCCGCTAGCTCTTTTCCAGCCTAACCCTATGTCAGCTAACATGCCTATTGTCGAGGAAGGCGATGACTAGGAATACGTAACACATGTACTTACCATCTCAGTCGATGTAATTTCACAGCCTCGTCGATTGATTTTCCCTCCCGCCTACTTGGCACTCGATGCCTTACCTCAATATTGCTCACCTTATTATACCACTTCACACAGGAGATTGAGCGCAGGCACCTATGATCAAAGATAGCTAATCTTTTCATGTCTTCCACTCTCAATGGCCAGGCCTCACAGTCATAAAGGAGGACGGAGCGGACTGCTGAGCAGTACACCACCCTATGGTCGATAGCCAGCTGGATATCGCGTCTACGCCGGAGACAGTGTAAGCTGGCATATGCGAAACTAGCCCTCTGTATCCGTGCTGAGATTTCATCAGAGATCAACCCGCTGGCGCTGGCTGATGATACTTCCCAAATAAGTGAAGAGGTCAACGTGCTCTACCACTTCACTTCCTCTTTTTAAACTAGGCGTCGGTGTTGTCCAGTCCTGTAACATCATCTTGCATTTGGCGGAAGCGAATCGCATGCCAAACATTCGTAGATTGCAACTCAAGGTGTTCAGAAGACTATGCATTTTTTCGGCGTCTCACCTAGAAGGACTATATCGTCTGCATATTCTAAGTCAACGAGATTATACCCCGGTAACAAGCCAATGCATGAGTCGGTGAAATCACTTGCAGTTAAGTTCATTAGTACATCTATGATGAAATTGAATAGAAATTGGATAATGGGCATCCCTGATGGAAAGCACTAGTTGTCACCACTTCAGATGACAACTCACCGTAATCCCTCACCTGGCTGACTGCATGAGTTTGAGTAGAGTGGCTTAATCAGTGCAATGTTTGAGTGAATGAAGGTGATTCTGACCCCAGGACTGTCTACGGGAAGCGTTGATGTGAGGTTCCTGTGGACAGAGCTTTTGATAGATCCCTTTTTCGCTGGGATTATTCTCCTTCTCCCCCTCCTGTATTCGAAGGTACCTTTTATAGTTCAACTTTGGTTAGTCAGTTTTGTCTTACAGTGCTTGGTTTAGAAACCCACACTGCCTATATAACAGCTGCCTTATGGCACTGTTGAGCAAATTTTGAGTTTTGATGTTATTACTTTTTCATAGAACCACTAAGATATTGAATAATAATCGTATTTCCCCTGCTTTGGAAGTATTTCGTGAAAGTGTGTGCCTGAAAGACGTTTTTTCAGCTACAATACAATAGAACACAGAAATCGGTTCCCTGCGTTCAGACCATAACCTAAAAAATTTGGTCATTACAGCTTATGCATTAAAATAGCTCGATGCTCTCTCAGCTGATCTATAAAAGACCTTAGGTCAACCCATCACGAAATATGCCTATCTGTTATGTGGACTAGCAGTATGTAATTTACTGCTTCACTTCAAATCCCCATACATTAGCTGCTCAGCTAGGTCAATTCCTATCCTTCCTAATCCATACTGAAATAGAAAGAGATGATAAGGTTGTGAATTAATAGTGAGAGTGTTTCAGGTAGTCTTGGACTGGTAGACTACCATCAAGAAGTTCAATTAGTCGTAAATTAGTCCATGTACAGTACAAAGTTTACATTTGGTTCTTTAACACTTAATATTCCCATAAAGCGAAGAAACTTCTTGTGCGACTACAACTTTTTGATGCATAAAACTATATACTACTCATTGACTGAAATAAGTAGTTGTATGCCACTCATGTCAACCTCCAGTACTTGCTGCCTAGTCGGATCGAGATGACCTAAACATCGGGCAGCCGTTTGGCTCATTCGGAGCCAAGCTAATCAGCGGTCTACCGAGTTTGACTTATCTGGGAAGGCAGAATCAATTCAAACCACAAACGGCTTCTGGCTAGCTACGTGGGCGAACTGGTCAAATCAAATGAGTGGTATGTAACTCCTCGTCTCAGTCAGTCAGTACTAAATGGCTGTGCGCAAATATGCTTACTTTCTCGATCATGAATTGTGGTATCAAGCAGATCACATATTAGTGGTGATCTCAATAACTTGGTTTCCAAAGGAACCTACAGTGGTGAAATTTCATTACAAATTTGAGCTAGTTCAGCCAGTCAACCAAAAATCAATCGAGTATTTCTATCTACTGAAAATCTGTCGATAGAAAGCACAAAATAATTTAAATAATGCATAATGAATACCATATACCCAATTCCCAAATTGTTTCAAACTGTTAAATGTGAATTTGGTTTGGAAGTATTTACTCCAAGCCTATACTGTTTGTGATCGCACACTTTGTGCACAATAGGTGGCTGTCGTAGCCTACTCGCCTGTTAAATTACCCTCTGGTGTCCGAAACGATGGTTAGGGCGTTTGATACTGGGTAAGTAAGTATACCACCACTCCCTTGAGAGTGGGTACATCCAGCTGAAGAGTCCTAAATAGGACGATATGTAGGTTTTGGCTCCTAATACTAGGTAGCCACTTCCAAATAAGCATCTTTGAGCTTATTGACATTGTTTAATGAACAGGCTTTTGGTAGAAAGATTAGCATTTTCATCCTGTTGAAAGCTGTCTACTAGTGTGTTTTAAACTTGACGAGATCATTGTCAGATGATCGGATCAAATCTGTGTTTGTATGTTATTGAAATGAAATATAATTAATTGCTCTGGGAACTTGATTTTTCGTGCTCGAGAACATATTCCACTATAGCTAAGTGAAGGCTTAGTTAAAACCATTAACAGTTCGATATTGAACCATCTGGTACAAACCGACCACAAAGCCAGCCAGCGTGGAAGAATCCTTCTCTATAATCTACCGGGTGCCTAATAAATTCCCAAAGTCATCGAAGCATGGCAGGCTTCAAATAGCAGAGGCTATTACAATTCGCCTCAAACAACCAGTGCTCTGTGTTCAAAAGAAGCAACTACACGCCCTACTACTGCTCTGGCTGGCCTTCAGTAGAAACTTTTAACTCATGAATTGGTAATATTATATTTCCTAATTTTTCTAACATTCGGCTTATTTTACGTTGATGCTGTTGAGCTGTAATCTATCAATATTATTGATTCGATGTTATTTAAACAACATTAATGTTGTTCATTACAGAAATTCATTCATTCACTGTAATGTATATATAACTGTAGAGCCTGACGATAAACTTATCGACAAGAGTACTCTTTGCTCAGTATTCATTCCTATGGAAAAATTTTAATGGGCACTTTTAATCAATTACAGGTGCATTTATAACTTACTTCAGCAATACCTGGATGCAGTTGACGTAACCATAATTCTGATTTAACTCGCAAATACGGTTTAATTGTTTTAGCCAGCATTGAATTATTTGTCTCCAAATCACAAATAACTAAATGAATACGTTTCATTCTAACTAGTAATTTCTTCTTGAATGGAATCAGTGCTATAAATTATTCAAAAATTTAAATAAACAGAAAATAATTTTAATTTGTGTTTTGAAGAAGAAAAAAGTGAGTATCCAGGGTGAAAAATTATTAATTACTCAATGACTACTTGTTTGGGTTGTAAATAGTAATATTAATAGCTTTAGATATAGTAGCAATAAGAAAACGTAATTCGTCTGAATCGTGAATCTGATTACACACGTAATTGTCATAGGAATATATATGTGTGAAATTAATAGAGAGTTAAGAGGTGAGAAAATAAATTCAGGTCAAGTTCAAAGGTCATATTCAAGGTCAAAATAACAATGAAGATCATCACTAAACCAAATAAGAGAGGTAATAGAGGGGTGAGACTGGCTGTTAGTCGAAATTGGTGGACAGTAACTTACGTCAATGTTTATGTCCCCAATATTGGTCGTGAGAAAAATGAGGACAAAGGCCTTGCGTAGGCGGATACAGTTAACATATAGATGATCTGACATTCAAGAAACAGCCACAAAGAGATGCAAGGTTAACTTCCTGTGATAAACAACCAATCAGAAGACTGTGTTTTTCTGCTAACAATGACGTATAATATGTACATGAAAATCTATAAATATGTGTTGATTTCCTAATAAACAATCTGTTGCCTGACTCTTGTCTTCTGTTGTTACAACAGTACATCTGCCCTGGCTGGTATCAAAACAAAGTTCACTAAGGAGGGTTTAGTGTGTTGACGAATCCCTGCTTTGAACGCATATAGGTGGTTTAAACTTTCTAATTGCCAGCTAGAGCTTCCACAAACTTTAGGATATACCCTCCCCTAAACACCTTCCATAGATAGGTTTAAGAAACGTGTGGAAAACATCATTTTAATGCCTTGTCTCTTTAATAAGTTTCTCAATAGAGGAGCTAGGTTGTTTGTTCTCACCATAATGGGTTCTAGGGATTCTATTTGGTTCTGTAGCCATTTCTAAAGTTGTCACAGTGTAGTTACTATAAAATGAAATGATGATATACACTAAAATGGGTCATTTTCTTAGAAAATATCCAGGTGAAGTAAACACCCCACACTTCTTACTGGTAATCACCTTTGATATGAATTCCCTAACATTCCTCTGAGGAACCATAATCACTGTGATAAGTGGTGTCAGATATGAGAACAACTGCTCACGTATAACACTGGAAGATTGTTACTTTGTATAATAAAATATGAGAAATTATAGAATGTCAGTTATCGTCGTACAACTGTGATAAGAGTTAATCCTTCCATTGCAATGCTAGCAGCTGCTTGGCTCATTACCATACGATGTCGTGGATTGACAATATTGACTAGTTCCATGATATGATGGACTAGTAGTCATTTAGCAATGACCACCTCATGAAATAAGGATGCATCAAACAGGTTAAAACTTTATTAAATCTTTTCCATCTTGACTAACTAAAAGAAAACTACAGAAAATGTTTACCTTAGGTAAACATGTGGCGTGTGCTACTGACAAAATGTATCAGTAGCATATGAAGAGGCCTTTATCGTAGCACAAAAATATCAAATAACGGAGAGATACATTTAACGCGTCAAAGGGAGGAAATGAACCGGTGTTGTGCAAAAACAGGAAAGACACGAAAAGAAGACCAAGAAACACAATACGGAGGGCTGAATTAGCTCAACATGGAAGATCTGTGCAAATGACGGTTTTCATATAAGGTGTACATTATTTCCCGATATGTGCCTGTCAAATTGCAAAAATACACTCCGTTACAAAGTCTCCTGTCTTTTCCTGCTACATGACAATTTCAAAAAGACGAGACCTGGTAACGGAATATTTCTTTGGAAGTCGTTAAACACACAGAAGTAACCATATACGAGATCTTGTCTGTTGGGCTTCTGCAGACGAGTATATTACAGAAGCCTGGTACTCAAGCGAATCAACCAGCGATTAACAAACATGTTAATATAGACTAAATCTACCAAATAATAAAAAGTAAATCATGTGACAAAAAAATTCAAAATCCAAGTCAATAAAAAAATGATCAATACAGACGTAAATCGACTACCAGTCACGAAGATGGTTGCTGCCATGAGACACGATTCTATCATTCATGGATAATTTAAATCAGTTCATTTTATGCTAAAACATGCGCTGAAAATGTTCTCCAGAAGGACGACGAAAGCCCCACATGTAAACCAATCAGCTCAGAGAACACAACTAATTGACTAGTATATTTGATGGTATTAGATGGTTGGAGGCAATCGGCCACAGGAAGCCTTGAACACCACCTAGGTTTCGTACTAGCTGGCACTCACCAGTCAGCAAGGCGTATCTGCAACCTTGAAGGAACTCATGTTAATAAATGTGATTGTACAAGTTGACAAAATAAATTTTCCAAAAAGAACTCCTGGCTGAACTACTACCTGTCCCAGTTTTGTAAATGTTAGCATGTGAACTTTTCATGAAATAGTACTACCGCTATCCAATCCCATCAGTGAGTTCCTTCATTTTCACCTGAATAATTTGTCCCTCCTGCTGGGAATTAACTTACCACTAGGACTCGAAGAAAATCCATCTACCTGGAAATCACCAATGAATACAATAGATTTAATCCGTTAACTGATAACAATCCCCTTAGTTAATTCTGTAATTTTTTTTTAACTAAGGGGATTGTTATCCCCTGGACCGACGTGAAGAACCTAGAAGACCTGGATTTCGCGCTTGGATGATTTATGTTTGATGTCACACACAATCGAAGACTTACAAGCGAAAACCGACAAACTGGTCGAAGAAGCAGCAAAGACAGGACTCCAGGTAAACATAGACAAGACGGAGGTTATGAAAATAACCAACCAACAACAACAGCAGCAACATCCAGTGCCAATCACCATCAACGGGAGGGATTTGAAAGAGGTTACTTCATTCACTCACTTATCTAGGGAGCATTGTCTCAACTACAGGAAGTCGGAACGGACGAGGATGTCAAATCGAGCGAGAATCGGGAAGGCGAGAAACACATTCATCAACCTGAAATCAATCTGGAAATCTTCGTCACTCAGCATCACCAACAAAATTCGGATTTTCAATACAAACGTCAAGTCAGTCAGTTCTTCTATACGGATCAGAAACTTGGCGGGGGGTCACAAAGAATATTTCCAACAGCTGTTGCAGACCTTTATCACACAACTGTCTTCGCTCTATACTGAAGATCAGATGGCCGGAAAGAATCACCAACAAGGAATTATGGGAACAAACAAAGCAAGAACCAATCGCCCAACAAATATGCAGGAGAAAGTGGAGATGGATTGGACACTCGCTGAGGAGACCGCTGGGTGACATCGCGCGTCAAGCTCTCGAGTGGGACCCGAAAGAGAAGCAGCGAGTGGGACGTCCAAGGGTGACATGGAGGAGATCGTGTGAAGAGGAGTTGAAACAGCATGGACTAACATGGATGCAGGCGAAAAGTACAGCAGAAGACAGAAGCAAATGGAGACGTGCAGTTGAAGCCCTATGTTCCACTAGGAACCCAAGGGAGCAATAATAATAATGGTTAATTCTGTATGTCTATAACAGAGACTTACGCTTCTCTTCACAAGGTAGCAAATTTCCAGTATAAATATGAGAAGTTGAACAGGGTGTACCATTTAAGCAAGATGTATAGCGTATACCATTGATAAAAACTGGAGATACACATTGGCCATTAACTAAGTGCAAAATACAAGAAAAAGATTTAGAAATTATTTGGATAAGGTAATCAGCAGTAATAATAATAATACTATCAATAATATTTCATTATTCCATCTCATGAATAATAATAATAATATTTCGCTTTTATTCCAGAAACAGTACTTGTGGTACAGTGTGGAATTTTCAGCACATATCTACAATATTGCATCTAATTTCATCGTACATTTAAAAAGGAGTATTACAAAAAATGCATATAAAAAAACCAAAAGGAAACACAAAAATAACAAAAAAATGCAAATAAAAATACCAAGTAGAAAGGAAGATAAACACCAATAATGAAAAAATATTTCAGTATTGGGCAGTGGAAGCTATGAAGCTATGTGTATGCGTGGTGAACAGTAACAGCTATAATCATACAAGAAGGTATGAAATGATATTTAAGAATGTTTATCGCCAAGATGATAAGTTAATTTGATTTAACTACACTAAACAATCATAAAATAAACATTACAGGGTTTTTTATTTTTTATTGTCAGCACTAATGCGGTGTTTGTTGTGGTAGTGTGAGTAATCACGCATAATACAAAAATTTTAGGATGGTGATAACGGCGTTCACAACCAAGACTGTCAGTTTAATATTGCCGAAACAAAACTAATATTACATGATGGTTAATGACAGGACAATTTTGTAATACTCATAGTGATAATATAGTCGGACCCAGTAGTTACACAAAAGAAGGAATAGAATAAAGAATAAAAAAGTAAGCCAATGATAATAATTTTAAGTAGCTAAGTATGTTTAAGACGGTTGTTCACTATAGAGTACAAATAAGAGAGTATAAGGGGAAATAACAAGGGTCAAAATTATGTTATTAACAACAAAGCAAGTCATAAGTTTCATGCCTAACATTGTCTCTGTCACTTAGAACACGGGCCAAATACGGTATCGTTGAGTTCCTATACTTGGTTGTACGAGCATATATTATTTTGTACTGATTTCTGGTTCTACCTGATGAGATGCAAGGAGAGAATTGGGAATAGAGGGGGTGTTGGGGGTCAGAGAGTATGGTTTTAGACCATTTCTCAGATGTATTCAGATGCTTATCCACTATTGAAGAGTTAGGACTTCAGGAAATAATCTTAATTAAATGGATACTAGAGACTTAGGAGTACTAAACAGTTTACTTTTGGATAGCGCCTATAAATTCAGTAACTAAGTAGTTTTGCAAAGTGTATTACTAACGATATTCTCAGAGGAGAAAGCAGTGGTTAATCTAGACGTTTAACTCTTGAACATGAAGACAAACTCACTAGTTATTAAAAGTGATATTGCCTCACTGCTTTATAGTACAACACAAGCCCATAGCTTGTGTTAAAACTTTCCATACCTCATACGTCTTTCTCAGTTTCATCAATTTATTTAGGCGGAATATTTAATTCAAAACTATTGAAAAGTGATTTCAATTGTTGGTTTACCGGCATTTGGCTGGCTGACTATAGGATTTCATCATGAGCTGACATCAGTATGGGAACCACTGGAATACTTGAGAGTATCGAACAGCCAGCTATTTCTTCAGCCTAGTTTGGGAATCATTGGAAGTACGCATCCACCCCACTGCCAAGGCTCGAAAGCTCAAACTTCCGGTTACAAGGCAAGCACGTGCACCATTCAGATACTGGAACCCCACTCCTCAATGACCAGACCATGTATTCCAATTTCTGTCAGTTTACAATACAGCGCGACTGGCACTAGCCATTGGCATCGCTGGCGAGTATTTTTCCTTACACTGACCTGCTGTACCCCACTGGTCACGAATTGCTAATAAAACCCAGTCACTAGTGAGCATCAGATTAATATTCAGTTTTTAGTTTGCAGTGATTTGATTGGCTGCAGGATTTCGTGACTTAATGGTCCACGATGTCTCCTGGCAGCTAGAAGATCCTGCATCTAAATCCTGACAATGGGTCGGGTGCGTACTGCTGAAAAGTCCACATTAAGCTGATAGAATAGATATTCACTGCCCTAGTGCTGGTTTTCCAATGGTTCTCTAATCAAAAGCAGCTAATGATGAAATCCTGAAAGATGGTAGTCTGTAAAGAATCACTCAGCTAAATTTGAATATTCCATAGGAAAAATCATCGTAAACTTCTAGTCTGGAGATATCGTGGATGAGTACCCCTCTGCGGAGACCTTAAATTCCAGATTGTAATCACAATTTGATTATTAATGGATGAAAATGCAAAGAGACAGCTGCAGAAAGGTTAAAAGGTACTTTTGCGAAATATAAAAACAGAGAAGAACAATTTCTTCATAAGAAACTTAGTTTATAACAAAGAACTACACACAGATGTACACTAAGAGAATAGATAAATTAGCAAAAGTATATGCAACACTTGAAAGCTAGTTGGGTTATAATGAAAATTACTTTGACATTCCGTTTTAAAAATGACTGTTGAATAAATAGATGTATGTAATTTGGTATTTATAGACAGTTTACTGCCTATTATCAAGAACAAGTGCTTTAAACCTACTCTGAATGGAAAAGTTCAACAATAGCCTCCCAGGAGCCCAAACGCACGTGTGACCTTCAGCCGACCAATCATAAAACTGAGGAATGTTTGCTCAAAAAATGGTGTATATCGACAAGAAAACGCTTGAAAATGCACTAAACAGGTTATCTTTCTCTGACATGGCTTAAGCATACGTCCTAGTTATACTGAAGAGTATCAGTTGTTAAGTTAGACTAGTTTGTACATGTATTCACCGAGATGACTACAGATAAACTGTTTTTGTGAATCATTTTTCTCTTTCATCCTGCTTGCAGTCTTCCAAGAAAGCCCTCGGTTGAAATGTTATGCTTTTCAGCAAGAGGATTGACGACTGCTTACCAGGAAAATGTGGATAATAAAACAAATTAAAATAAATGACATCAGCTATAAATCTATACCTAATCGTAACCACAAGCTTAATCTTGACCCTAATCATAACCCTTATCCAAACTGTAATTCTAACCCTAATGCTAATTATAACTCTGATCCTAACCCTAACCCCAATACTTACCTTAGCCCTAATCCTAACCCTAACGAGCTATTAAAACATTGTCCAAACAGTACTTAAAAACGTGATCTGGGTGAAATCTGCCTCTAAGTTGATGAATAGCGCTGATATTTCAGCTATGATAATGAAGATGTCGTTAGCCAACAACTAGCATGAGTTCAAGGTCATTGGAGCGTTCACACTCCTGGGACGCTATTGTTGAACTTCGCCCTCTGCATTATACTTTTAGTCGTTCTTTGCGCTCCGAGTGGGATATAGCGTTTCAAGCTTCAATCTGTCTGTCTCTCTATCTGTCTGTTTATCTGTCTGTCTGTCTATCTGTCTGGATTCAACGTAGAACTTGGCACCGAAGTACAGCAGTTCGAGTTGCCAAGTTTCAAATAGCACACAAAGGTAGGCAAGAAGATGAGTGAAGAGAATCGACAGAGTTTGACAAGTATAAAAGTGAAATAGAATGGGTAATGGTAGACAGAAATATGAAAGACCACAGAGACTGAATACATCTGCGCCTATGACAATGATTTTGAGTCATGTCCCCTATTGTCTCCAACTATTGATTCCTAGAGTCCCGAGGCGAGGGCCCCAACCCGGAAGTCTCCTTCTCCCTACCTGACTCAGTTTAGCTGTCAAGGATTTCATGGATTGATGCCATGATTTTGTTTGGCCACCACTTACTCTTTTCCAACCTGCACCTATATCAGCTAGTAATTCCCGTCGTCGGGGGAGGCGATGGTTAGGCATGCGCTGCACGTGACCTAGCCATCTCAATCTATGTAACTTTATAGCCTCGTTGATTGATTTTCCCTCTTTGCCTGTCCAACACTCTACGCTTAACGTCAACATTACTTACTTTATTATACCACCTAACGTGAGAAGGAGATCGCAGATATCTGTGATCAAAAACAGTCAGCCTTTTCATGTCTTCAACTCCCAATGGCCATGTTTCAGATCCATGGAGAAGAATGGAGCAAACTGCTGAGCAATACTTACGTTACTTGGTTGATAGCCAGATGTTACGCCTATGCCAGAGATAGTATAAGTTAGCGAAAGCAGCTCGAACCTTTTGAATCCGTGTTGAGATTTCGTCGCCAATCAGTCCGTTGTTAGTGGGACAACTTTCTAAATAGGTGAATTGGTCAACATTTTCTATCACTTCACTCCCTATCACTAAGCCAGGAGTTGACGTAGTCCAGTCCTGTGGCAGCATCTTACATTTTACAGGGGCGAATCGCATGCCAAACATACGAAGCTTCAATATTAGAAGTTTGTGTAATATTGGTGTTGTTTTGTACATTGGTGGAGTTGATAGCCTTATGCCTAACCTTCAATTTTTTCCATGCTTTTATCAGTACAAGCAGGTTGGCTGGTAATCGAATTAAGACCATATGACTACTAGTTGGCGACGGATGAATGTCAGAGGTACTAAGTTTCCATAAAAACATAAGCAAAGTTTTTTAACTATGACTTTATACACACTTGACGTAATGCTGCCTTTACGCTGTCCTTTCGCTAAATGAGGAGTAACAGTGAAGTTATTAATTCGCATTAGCCTATTTAACCTTTGCTGATGGCTTCATTGTTGCAAGCAACAAAGGTCATTTAATGAGTTAATAAGATTCAGAGGTGGTCTGTCTTTAATCATTTTATAATAAATCACAATTCATTTTACCCTAAAATGCATAAAAGTCATTGCAAACTTACTTTGATTAAAATTCAAATGAAATACAAGTAAACAGAATAGTACTTCAACCAGAATTAACATGAAGCTTTAGTTAATAGCATATTTCTTTGTTGGCAACAGTTGGAGCTTCATATTATGATTATTTGAAATAATCTAAACTTCAACAAAACATAATTAGAACCGATGAAAAATTACAACCGTAACTGCTGGTAAAAAAAATTAATTTTTAAGGATCTTCAGTAGTGTAAGTATAAAATGTTACCAAAAGTTTGCCAATGTGTCAGTAAACAAATAAAACATGAGAAGCAAATTCATGCCGAAGAAGAAGTACATGCTTAAACTAGAATTTTCACTGAACCCCTCGAATATACCGAATCATGAAGGCGTTTTTTGAATGAATACATAGTTTATATTAGTTCCAGTTCCAGCCCAGAAAGGCAACATAAACAGTAATATATAACAATAATGACCAGTCAGGCCGTAGCTATGATCAGTATGATGGAAACTCAAGCAACTAATATGACCTCCCATCTTTCGTTATAAAAATAAGCAATTTACCGTAAAATGTGGTCAGGTCAACGATAAACAAGGATATAAGGTTACAGTAGGATTCATTAACTCTTTCCATTTCAGCCTTGGAAACACATTGCACAAGCTTATTCAAACAAAATCTTTGTTCTGATCAAATTAACTCGACAGGCGTTTGTTCCATCTGAACAGTATTACCTATTAAATACACACATCTTTGCCCTCTTCCTGTTGCTGTGAAACGAAATCGACCCAGTCGTCTAACTGCCTTTTTTAGTTAATTTCATCTGTAATTTTTGCAGCCACTAGCGAAAGACTGTCCTCCTCTTACCTTGCTTGTTTGAATGATACAACTTTCTCAAAGTTTTCTTTAACCAGTTCAATACCTTTAATATTGTCAGGTGCTCCGTAGATTATCGCTGTCGAAGTTTATTCTCTCTCAGTACCTGCAAGTTAACAAAGGTATGTAGAGGTAAGTAATTCCCTCAAAATTACTAGCCTACAGCACTAATCACTCATCATAGGATGTTGACGTTAATTGTTTAAGTCGATTCTTTAATTTGGAGGTAGACAACTGGGCATCCACGCTGTTTGACATGTTATCGTGTTAATTATGTTTGTTCGTGCTCGATTCCCAGCTAGTTAATTAGCCATCCTCACACTACGATTTTGATCCGAAAATCTATTTTATATTTTGGATAATCAACTTGGTGTGTCGATTTGCCTTTCGTACACGCAGAACAAGTACTGTAGGGGTTATGAGTATTAAAACACGCTTTAGTATACGTCATGGTTTTCGTGAACGTCAGCACTCCCCCATCTACTAAAAGAATATCAGTTTATTTAAAACTTATTGTATATCTAAAAGCCCTAAAACACACAGCTACTTACGAAAGATTAGCTCGACATTTAAACTAAATGACTTTCTAAAAATGTAGAACTGCTATCAGTACATAAGTTCCAATTATTTTGATCGACCCAAACGAAATAAATAAATTTTAAGGTAGATTCATTCGACAGACGACATTGTACGCTGGGTAACACTTGACAAGTGTTTTGTTTTTATCTGTGTATTCTAGCATTGTTCATTCACACTCATGACCATTTTCTTACAAAACAAGCAACTAGTGCTGTGAAATGACCAATGCATGGATGAACGCCTAGTCCGTACCTGACTTCGTTTAATTTCAATTCTCGATAAGGCTATGGTTTCACAGTAATGACATGCACAAAGCTAAAAATAAGCGAATCCACAGTGATACTGCAACTAATGTTATCTGATGAGCAAATGTTCTCTGTAATTAATACAAACGCAACACTTAAACCCCTGTATTCATTGCAGGGAGATACAAAATGTAATTTATTCACAAATGAAATCTTGGCACATCAGTGTATTGCAGCTGTTCAAGAGACAAGATTCCTGATACTTGAACTTGTATTGTAGAAGACCAAAAGAGGCAAACCAGGTCTCCTCATCTCCTCCTGCAGGCAAAGAGAAAATTCAGGAACCGATTACGGGCCTGGTTTGTCTACTTTTCACACTCTAACCGCATCTCAATGATTCATAGGGAATAGGAGAACAAAAGTCAAAAGATGAATTAAACTGCCATAGAAAATTGATTCTGTTCTCAGTTACTTATTTCTTGGAGCCAACTATCCTAAGAAGAGGTTTTCACGCACCCTATAAACTTTTTCACGAGGGTCCTCATGAAAGAGATAATATGTATGGATAATTCTCTTTGACACCTGTCCCTTGACTTCAATCTTTGCAAAAGGTGAGACCTCAGGATCTTAATGTTTAATCATGAAAAAGTGGTAGACATCCGTAGGCTCAACTGCTTTCCTCGAGGAAATGATCACTTGGGGTTTTACTATTTAAAACTAAATAAAGATGCTTTTAACATTCTAAAAAATACTAAATACTTTTATTTAAGCTGAAGGAAGCTAAAAATTTACCGGTAAAATAGAGACTGCAGGCGTCACACAAAGCTTGTGTAATTAGGCCTGTAGTCACGATAACAACATAAGATTTTAAAATTGAGTAGCTTGATTCAATATCCAATATTGTTCTGGATCCAATATCCAATATCGTTTTTAGGAGCTAGTATAAACCAATTTGATTTCTTTGTGCTCGTGTCCTAATTGTAAGGTATAGGTTCCTGATCTTCGAATAGCCTGTATGAACGTTACTGTTCTTAAATGCTTGATTCTGGATGTTTCTAAGTGATTATAAGACGGCATTTGTTGTAGGAAGGTGTAAAACAAACATTTTGAATGAGTTGTGAGGTAAATAAACAAAACAGGTTGTTTCTCAATAATACCAATGTACTGACGACAAGAATGACTCCCGCATAATACTCTCAGACCTTTCGTTTTTACATTGCCGCCTAGCTTTCTCTTAAATCTACCAGCAGATGGAGAGATAGTCACACAGGCCCGGAAGAATCTCAATATGGAGGGAGTTGGACCCCATCCTTTTTCAAGGCGCTTGAGTATTCAACTCTGCTACAGTCATCCGGGTGAGGACCGTAGTATATTTTACATACTTTTCTATTTAGGTCGTGCACTGTTCTTTAGGCCATTATCAACGTCCACGGTGGATCAGAGTATATGAAAAGGTTTTGGTCTCGACCATCATTCGTTCTGTACATAAGCCAAATAAACAATGCATGAACTGTCCTGGTCTTAGTACACTGTTCATCGGCTCCGAGCTTCCAGCAGGTTGACAACGCCAGAAAAATGATTTCTCAGGCCACGTTTTCTTTCGCGCTGGATTCTGTTTTTATTCAGCTGTTTCCTTGTACGGTCGTTTAGAAGTTTCCCTGTCACTCTGGATACTTTAGGAACTAAATCCAAACGCCTAAGATACTATAGATGTAAGATAAAGGATAGCGCACTTCCACTTTTTTGGTACATTTTTCTTATTCAGTGAATGTTGAGATCGCTTGCTTAGTAGGATAAATAGGGTCACTAGTCACCACCGGAGAATGAGTGGTCCTTTGTTGCCACACCCTGTAAGTTTCCGTGGGTGATGTTTTATCAACTCGTGAATCATAATTAGATTTGTAAATTCATGGAAGAAGGGTTTATCTCACGACTTAAATCGTGTTGCTCTCAGCAATTTCGCAGGATCCAGAACTTTTAGAAACAAGCATCATATCACTAGCAGAAACTTCATTATTTCTGTATCTGTCAGTATTAATGAGTGGCGACTAAAATTATCCAGCATGCTTAAGGTCATTGACGGAGTGAGACGCTCAAAGATCATTTTCGTCCATGTTAGTCGGCCATGTTGGATTGCTTTTCCGTAGCCGTTCGTTTACACATCGGTTTTCCCGTTTATCTTGCATTTATTCACAACTCATCTTGATGCGCACTGTTAAGAAATGCTGCGTTTCACCTCATTTTTGTCTCCTTTGCTGTTAAAATGACTAATTTCGTATGTTTCGGAAGTTTTTACCACCAGGGCAGTGTATTCACTTGATTACAATTGTTTCACACGTTGTTTACATGCCTAGTTGTAATGTTTTAGTTGTTTTTCAGCTATTAATGAAGTAGTTCTGCGTAGAAGCCTTGGAAAACACGCACGCTAACGTGTTTAGCTGACAAAAGCTGTTGTTTTTAGTCCATTTGCAGGTTGCCGTTATTATTTCTTGCTCAGCTGATTAATTAGTATGTAGAAATCTGGAAAAAACAATGTCTTTCACATGCATGTTTACAGCTTGCAGCAATCTATGAGTCAATCTGGTGAGGAGAATACGATCAGGTTTGATATTGGCAAGGTTTACGAAGAGCATATTAAACCTGGAGATTTCAGAACGTGATCTGAAGTTGAAAAAGCTTTGAAGCTTTTCGAGAAGCTTAGTATACCACCAGTGTATATTATCAGTTAAAGAGTTGGATATATTGTCAGAGAATCTAAATCAAACAAGGTTGAGTCACATGAGAAGTGTGAATCTGTTGTGCCTGTGTGTAGTTTTGGAACTGAAGGGAACTTGAAAGCAATGAGGAACCCCTGAATGGTAAGTGTTACCTATGTTTATTAATGCCTAATGTACTAGATTCAAATACATGAACTAAGACCGCCTGTAGCAAAGCCAGCGTTAACAGCCATTCAGTGTGTTGTAAAACCACTTCAAAAGCGAATAATATGGTGGTCTGGTGAGTATACAAATTATCCCAGTTAAAGGTAAGACTTTAATTAGCAAGAATGACGTTCCGGGTTGTGGTTTACAACAAGCTGAAGAGCTGATTATTATTCGGGGTGAAAATATTGGCTGAATACAGATTGCTTGCTTCATTTCAAATAATGAAATTCCTATTTTGTGGATGTTTGTGATTTCTCCGTGACTTTAAATACGGGTTCCCATTATCTTTAAGAAAACTAAATAAATCTTCCTAAAACCATTGATTTTATTTTTCTTGGCGAAACATCTGTTAATACTATTGGAAGATTAGGTAGCAAAGTAGGATTTTCTGTCATTGAGAACCGTAGTCGTCGTGTTTCGGATTAATATCGCGCTTGTAACTGTTATAACCCTATGGGTATATGTTTTCCGTCATGGTACATTTTGATATCTAGAAGCCATAAGCACACTGTCTTCAGTAAACTTATCCTCACTTTTTAAGTGACCGCGAATAGTGAGTCATTTGAGGTGATATGATGAATACCTCTAAACGCTTTCGCGGAGATTAAGATATATTCATTTTTTCGATTAGGAGACGATCCCTTTACCAAGAAGGTTCCCAGGATGTCCGCTTTTACTTTGAACCTCAAAGATAACGTTAATTTGCTCACTAATGTAGTAGATATGGGAGATTACCCTCAGCGGAAACCACTTTAAGGTAACTACGCAGCTTTAGGTAATGCGTCATAGAAGGAAGCAGCGTAGGCTAATTGTGTCCAAATATATTAAAAGTTGTATAACTGGTCAAATCGTAACTCTTACACAATAGTTAATGTTATAAATAATGAATGCACCGTACAAACGTTTACTTTGATCTGCATACCTAGCTCATGAGCAATATATGTGCATGTGGTATACATTTAAGGCTAATACGCTGTGTAATGAGTTCTGCGAAACACGGTTGTGTCATGATTAAAGCAACAAAAACAGGTCAAGTATGGGTAAGATGCACGAACTGACAAACTATAAGAGGATGGAATGAGTTATGCTTGAGCGCCTTAACTTCTTAATTTGAACAGTCAGATGAAATATTATTCCATTATAGATAAGATTTTATTTTGATAAATCGCACAGTGTTTACAGTTATATGAACTGATTCATATAACTGTAAACACTGTGCGATTTATCAAAATAAAATCTTATCTATAATGGAATTATACTCTACCACAGTGCCCAAGTTTTATACTTATATCAATAAGACGAAATATTATTTTATAAATCGCTAAGACATGGGAAGAACAGGTGTCAGGATAGTTGAAGATTGAACGATCAATTCATGGTTGTTTGCTCAAAACCAACTTCCCCAAATTTTGCGGGGGCATCAATACACCAGTCATCGTCTCATCGGTCGCTGTTCAGAAAGAAGTCAGGAGAAAACCGTCAGAAACCTTAGTTTTAAAGTTGGTTATATGTTGGTGTTAGAATAAATAATTCTCGAGTCGCAAAACTGGGTTCTGGTTTCTGCGTCCGTTCGTACTAAGTGATATATATCCACATAATATGTGTGTTTGTTTGACAGTTTGTTATATTTTGCTATGTATATATGGATCCATATTCCATTATAATTAACAATCATGTTAAGACTGTCTATTGATTCGTTCATTTTTGAACATTCGCTCATACACTTGTGTTCACATACTTGTTCGGACATTCAGACTATTTCACTCACACACTTGTGTGACATTGATTTTTCCTTGTGTTTGGAAAATACAAGTATCATCGTGAACCTGGTGGTTTTCTGATTTCCGCCTTCTCGCGTCAGGACTACTAAACTCTCGACCAGTACATAACAATAATTTGGCGACGGGGAAAACTATGGATCCTTCTAAATTGGAATTATTGTTTGAACGACAAATGAAATTGATGGAAATGTTCGTCAACCAACAGACTGGTCCAGCTTCACGTTCAAGCAATCCCAATCATACCATGCTACCATCTGTCGACGGCATTGTGAACAGTATTTCACAGTTCAATTATGACCCAGAGGCTAATGTCACTTTTGACACATGGTATCAACGTTATGAGGATTCACTCACTGTTGATCTCGCCTCACAAGACGATGCCTGGAAGGTGCGAGTGTTGCTACGTAAATTGGGTCCGGCAGAATATGAACGGTACTGCAACCTAATTTTACCCAAGAAACCACGTGACAAGTGTTTCGATGATACAATAAAGCTGCTGCGTGAACATTTTGGAGACCACTTCTCATTATTCAGTATACGTTATCGTTACCTCAAGCTGGCAATGAATGAAAATGATGATTTTCTTACTCACGTTGGCACAGTCAACCGAGAATGTGAGAGATTTCGACTCAGGTCCTTAACAGATGATCAGTTCAAAGCCTTGATTCTCATATGCAGTCTTCAATCTCCTCGTTTCACAGATATCCGAACTCGACTGCTCAATCAGCTAGGGCAAAATCCTAAGTTAACTCTACATGACATAGCTGATGAATATCAACGGCTGATTAAATTGTAGAAAGACACACACCTGGTCGAATCAACACCTTCGAGAAGCTCTGATATTCATGCATTACGAAAGAGCAAAAATCTCTCTTCATCATCCACTCCTGACCCACCTACTTCTAATGTTCCGCGTAAGCCTACACATACTCGTCCAACTTCACAAAATACTGCAAAGAAGACCCCACCATCACCATGCTGGCATTGTGGTACGTGGCATTTTGTAAAGTCCTGTCCATACAAAAATCATTGTTGCAGCAAGTGCAAAATCATCGGTCATAAAAAATGGATTTTGTCAGCCACCCAAAACCCAGATATCAATATCCAGCGGAAGGTCGACCTACTGTTGGTCCTAAATTTCCAAAAACGTCAATGAGTCTAGTCGCAACCTGTCAAGTCACAAAACCAGGTATGCGGAAATATATTGACCTTCAGATGAATGGTCATGATGCACGTCTGCAGCTAGATACCGCCTCTGATATCACTGTTATATCAGAGAAACTTTGGAATGATATTGGCAGACCACCTATCACAAATACTTCCCAGACTCTTGTCAGCGCCTGTGGTTGGCGGCTCAAACTAATTGATGAACTCAAATGTTCTGTTGCCTTCCACAATATCGAATTCACAGGAATTTGCTACGTCACCAAGAGTGATTTAAATCTTTTGGGTGATGATATTCTGAAACTGGTGAAGGACAGTGTCAACCAGGCGATGGGCAAATTCGCCAGCATTTTGCATTCTAAGGCAGATACTAAGGAACCAGTGAATATAAGGAAGGCATTTGTGGTGAAGTCTCAAGACACAACGAGAAAGGATGAGTGTATTGTTTGCCATAACATGCATCAATTGAGTGATTGTAATCGCTTTATCGCTATGTCACCCGTAGAAAGGTTAAAAATGGCAAAGCAGAAGCGGCTGTGTTTCAGTTGTTTAAAGATTGGGCATACAAAGTGGAATTGTAAGGCGACAAACAAAGGAAGTAGTGGTTTAACGGATATGCACCCACTTCTGAGGACAGTGAACGAACCTGGGAATTCGGTTAATTGTAATAGTATCTCTAGACCCCTTGACACCCCACAAGTTTTCTTAGGGGTATTACCGAAATCTTCAGTAGAGACTTATGCATTGTTGGATAATGGTTCAGACGTTACATTGATAGATGCTGAACTGGCTGGTTGCTTGGGTATTAAAGGCCCAAAGCAACCCTTGGTTGTAAATACTTTCAATTCTGCGAAAACAGTAGTATGTGAGCGAGTGTCATTTCAGTTAGAATCCTTGGCTACTGGGGAAACCGTGGAAGTGGATACTGCTTACACTACCTCCAGTATGAAACTTGGCGAAGCTATAGTACCTAGTCGTGAAACGGTTGTCGGTAAGCCACACCTGTGTGACATACCTCTTCCAACACTGCAAGATGGAAGAGTGAGAGTACTCATTGGATGTAGTGTGCCAGAAGCTCACAAGGTATTAGAAGAGAGATTCGGAGGTAGAGATGATCTGTTTGCGACGAAAACACCACTGGGATGGACAGTGAGAGGACCTATACCCATAGTCCACATATCATCATTAGTTGCAAACGATGGGGACAAACTAGAAACTATGATTAAAAATATGTATGACAAGGAGTTTTGTGACTGCGGTGTCCCAGAGAAGGGTCGTTCTGTAGAAGACTTAAAAGCAGTTAAAATAGCCGAGGAGTCTTGTAAATACGAAAACGGGCGTTTCAGCGTTGGCCTACCATGGAGATTCAAAGATAGACAGTTGGTTTGTAATAGGAAAGTTGCTCTTAAGAGACTAATGGGTTTACAGAAGAAATTCTGTCAGATGCAGAACTCTGGTCCAAATATAAGGATGTCGTCGATAAACATATAATGAAGGGTTACGTTGAAAGACTAGTTGATCAGAGTGAGCCAGGGAAGTGGTATTTGCCCCATCATCCCGTCTTTAACCCGAGGAAGCCAGGTAAACTCCGTGTGGTGTTTGATTGTTCTGCGAAACATGAAGGAGTCTCTTTAAATGATAATCTGTATAGTGGCCCAGATTGCGTGAGCTCATTAGTGGGACTGCTATTAAGATTCAGAAAGTTTACAGTTGCTGTCGCGGCGGATATTGAGGAAATGTTCCTACAGGTGAAGGTGCCAGAGAGTGACAGAGATCACTTGAGGTTTTTGTGGTTTGATGACGGTCCTTGTGGTAAGGTGTCAGAATATAGGATGACAGTGCATCCATTTGGTGCCACGTCCTCCCCGTTTTGTGCTAATTTTGCTCTACGAAAGGCAGTGTCCACATTTGGTTCTAATGATTTGCTGGACGTCATAGATTGTTGCTTCTACGTGGATGATTGTTTAGCCTCCTTCGATGATGATAAGTCTGCAGTTAGATTTGCAACAAGCATTACTGAAGTGTTAGCTAAGGCCGGCTTTCGTCTAACTAAGTGGGTCTCGAACAGCCTAGACGTTTTGAAGCATATAGATCCAGAAGACAGAGCACCTACCGTACGAGATTTGCCTGTTGATACTCTACCAGTTGAACGCACATTAGGTATGCGATGGGATGTGAACTCTGATACCTTTGGATTTAGTGTTGGTGATATTGATAAGCCAGTTACTCGGAGAGGTGTGCTCTCTGTGTTGTCGTCCGTGTTTGACCCACTTGGATTAGTAGCACCTTATCTACTTCCGGCTAGGAGGTTATTTCAAGAGACATGCAGGAAAGGGTTACAGTGGGATGAACCATTAAGTGAGAGGCAGAGAGAAGAGTGGAAGGGGTGGGTTAACAGTTTAAGAATGCTGAATCTACATTCCGTCTCACGTCCACTTAAGCCGTCGAGAAATCATGATATAATTGACTTCCATGTTTTTTCTGATGCCTCTGAGGTTGGATTTGGTGCAGCCGTATACATCAGAACCACCTTAAGGAATGATATAGATGTTAGCCTGGTGATGGGTAAATCTAGAGTTGCACCTCTAAAGACGGTTTCGATTCCGAGATTAGAACTTAATGCAGCCTTACTAGCTGCGCAGTTATTCACAACGGTGTGTAAAGAGTTGGATTACCCCAAGCATCCCGTAACGTTTTGGACTGATTCGATGTCTGTGATATATTATATACGCAACGAGTCAGCAAGATATGCATGTTTTGTAGCTAACAGAGTATCTCAAATTCGTGAACTAACAACTGTTGAGCAGTGGAGGTACGTACCGTCTGGAAAAAATCCAGCTGATCTAGCCTCGCGAGGAGTTATTGATATGAATGTGGTTAAAAATAAGTGGTGGAAAGGTCCAGAGTTCTTGCTAAGGGCTGATAGTATGTGGCCTCGTAGAGAAGATGAACCACCGATAAACGAGTGTGCCTTGGAGTTGAAGACAAGTGTCAGTTTAACATCTACTCAAGAAAGACATTCAGGTTTACATCCACTTTTTAAATATTATTCTTCTTGGTACAAACTACTGAAAGCTGTTGCGTGGTTGACACGATATGTTACGTATTTAAAGGTCATGCATCTTGCGGGATACGAAAATATGAATGTGGGGCCTTTGAGAGTCGAAGATATTAGAAATGCAGAGTTAGCGATTTTGAGGGCTGCTCAGTGGGAAGCGTGGGGTGAGATTGCCAAGGAGGATAGTCCCGATTTCGCAGATTTCAAGGTGCGGTTAGATAGATTATCTCCGATAGTTTCCGAAGGGATCGCTAGAGTTGGTGGACGTCTACAAATGTTAGAATCGTCATATGAGACCCGTCATCCGGCTTTATTACCTTGCTACCATCCAGTCACTGATCTCATTATAAGACACTACCATGTTCTTGAAGGTCATTTGGGTACTTCGCAAGTACTATCAAGTATTCGATGTAAGTTCTGGATAGTGAAGGGAGGTACCGCTGTCCGTAAAATAATTGATAAGTGCATGGAATGTAAACTCCGAAATGCTCGTCCAGTACAGCAGATGATGGCACCACTCCCAGCGTGGCAAGTTTCTGAAGGAATGCACCCTCAACCATGATGTACAGGAAACATCAGTTTGAGAATACAGACGTTAGTCCAAAAACGCGTATAGTGCCCTGTCATAATTCTCATGCATTCAGTAGGGGTCACATGCCAATTTCAGCACAATGCTCATCATGGCCTAGGAAGTACTCTAATCAGACACAGGGATCTAAGTCATATGCACACAACAACACGCCGATCACACATTTCGGTTATAACTATGCAGATTACACGACACTAGCCAATCCATATGACCAAAATTTTCTCCAGCGACAACTGGCAGAAACGCCTGGGATCATGCACATAGCACGCATGATATCAGACCAATTCCTTGCTGGTATAGCGAACACCTTACAACAGGGAAACTGCTTCTTCCCCGAAAGATAGCAAACATCTTATACACACCTAATACCAATAGTAATACCATAGATTATCATACTAGTATCTCCCATAGCACGCAATATCTAAACGACCAACTACTCACGAGTGACATTTCACAACCCATCCCTAACTATCAAATTAAAGAAACCGTCTCTAGTGATCAAAATGTTGTAATTAATGAATCCAATAACGACTGCACATATTCAGTTGATAACCATAGAGTATTTTATTATGATATTGCCCATACACTAAAACCACTTCGTCAAAGTCTATCCGTCATCCTCATAAATGCTAGATCAGTTCTTAACAAACATTTAGCATTATGTACGTTAGCCTCTATATGCAATCCGTCTCTGATCATGATCACTGAAGCCTGGTGCTCAAGTGACATTGTGGATGGTAGCTTATCAATTGATAAGTACAATCTTTTTCGAGGGGATAGGGAAACAGGTCGTGGGGGTGGAACACTCATATATGTTAAACAACCCATTTGTGCAACGCATTTTAGTCACCCTATTCTGTCACAACTTAATGATTCGGTGTGGGTCGAAACAAAAGTTCTCAGAAGTAAACCTATCCTTATAGGGTGCGTATACCGACCGCCATCATCCAACCGCGAATACGATAACGTACTCAGCAACATATTTAGTGTTGCATCCAATCTCCCCTTCAGTTATAATATAATTGGAGGTGACTTCAATTTGCCTGATATATCATGGCGTACACTTCGTGGACCCTCGAGGTATGATAATCTTCTTAATTCCATCATTACTGGAGGATGGACGCAACACATAAATGTACCCACTAGGTCCAATAACATTCTTGATCTTATATTCACGATCAACGTAGCACCATCTACAATTCATGTGGGACATGAATTCCCAGGTAGCGATCATAAAATAGTTGCATGTTCGTTTAACATTTCCCCAGAAACTATACACAGAAACGAAGTTAGTCGGACACCTATAAGACCATACACGCGGGTTGATTGGGACTTGTATCAGGACTTGATTAGATACTCTAATTGGGATTCCTACTTTACCAATGACTCCTTAGAGGAAGTCCTTAAAAACTTCTATGACAATATACAGTCGGTTAATGATGTCATAGCGCCTGTGAAACTGATTAAATTCAAAATCCCTCAAGGTGATTTTATTCCAATATCATTAAGAAGAAGTTTGCGGAAGCATTCATTAAGTTACTATAGACATGACGACTTATCGTCGTTAATCGCTATCAAATCAATCCTCATTAGAATCCATGAGTTAAAAAATCTAAGTCTTAGGAATAAAGAAACGCGGGCAATTCAGTCGCCACATAACACTGGAGAAATAGCCAAACTCTTCAAAAGTAGGTTAACTAACTCCAAATCAACAAATCCAAAAATAATACACCTAGGTGGCATTACTCACGAAAGTGCTGAGGATATATGTGAGGTGTTTAGCACGCACTTTGCCAAACTGTATACTCTAGAAAATGACCAGGATATATATTTCCCTCGTAAAACAGAAAAGTGTCTAAGCGATGTAGTCTTAAACGCCCAAGAAATCGATAAAGCTATCACAACTCTTAAGCTTACTAATACTCCCGGCCCAGATGGAATGTCTTCCGTCCTCTTAAAAAATGGTGGAAATGACATGAATCTACTTCTTCTCAAGATATTTTCAACTTCGATAAGGAGTGGAACATATCCAAATAGCTGGAAGAAATCCTACGTTGTACCCATTCACAAAACCGGACCTACAGCGGACATAGATAATTACCGCCCCATCAACATTACTTCCGTAGTTTCACGTGTGATGGAAAAGATTGTAAAGAAGCAAATTGTTCAGTATTTGCTCTCGAATGACTTAATATCCCCTTTCCAATACGGTTTCCTAAATAGAAGATCGTGCATTACGTGCCAGTTAGATTATTTCGACCACATTACTGAATGTGTAGACAAAGGTCGTTCGGCAGCAACATTATTTCTAGATGTTAGGAAAGCTTTTGATAAAGTCCCACATAAAAGACTCATACTGAAACTCCTATCTTATGGAATAAGTGGAAGGCTTCTTGAGTGGATAACTTCCTTTCTTACAGGAAGAGAACAGTTAGTTAAAGTCAACCATCACTTATCAACATCCAAACCGATAACCAGCGGCGTGATACAAGGTAGTGTTCTTGGCCCTACCCTATTCATTGTATTCATAAATGATATTGTCTCTATGATCAAGTATGGCAAGCCATACCTCTTTGCAGATGACCTCAAAGTTGTCTATGATTTTGACTATAATGATATGAATATTGTTAGTAAAATCCAAGAAGACCTAAATAGTCTATGTAATTGGAGTGAAAAGTGGCAGTTAACGTTCAATCCAGCTAAATCTGGGATAACATACTTCGGACGTTGGAAACCTAGCATGTGTCTATACATGTACGGTGACCTTGTCTCAAACACAAACACAGTCACAGATCTCGGGATAACATACTCAGATCTTACCTTTACTGAACATGCAAATAAGGTGGTATCTGATTGTAAACGTCTAACCGGCTTTGTGCTACGCAACTTTTACACTCCAGAAGCCAGATTAGCCATATATAAGATATGCATTCGCCCCAAACTTGAATACTGTGCCCACTTATACAGTAGCTTCAAGTCGGCAGACAGAAAAAAGGTTGAAAGTGTCCAAAGATTCCTTACGAAACGCATATTAGGCTATGGTCAGCAAATAGAATACCTTGACAGATGTATTCGACTGGACTTAGAGCCCTTATGGTTAAGGAGAGTGAAGTGCAATTTATTTCTCTTATTCAAAGTTATAAGAAAGCACTGTAACAGTAACTCGTCCATAACCTGGGCTAATCCTAAATCGTATGGACTACGCAACCACAACTACCTTCTCAAGGTTAACACCCATAAACTCAACACTAGAGCTAACTTCTTCACCATTAAATATTGCAAACTTTGGAACCAACTACCCTCTGAGATAAGATCCTGTGAAAGGCCTGACAGTTTCAAAAGGAGCCTAGAAAAACATATAAACATGTCCACCCTAGCCCGCCTCAAAGATCTCAACTGCTGGTAGAGTGGAGAGACAATGGCTTTTCAATATTTAACTACGGAAAGTACACTAGTCCCAATACCAATATAATAACACTTAGTAATTATGTAGGTTCAATACTTGAAATTCGATTGTCATTAAAATACTTAAAATGATTAAAATAGCTATGCGGCAAGTGTTCTCTTGCTTTACCATGCTTGTTTCCCTTATAACACTCAGTTATTGAGCCTAATGTATTCTTTGATAATACGAATTATGACACTGACTATGCTCTTATTATACATAGATTGATTTACTTTACGACTACCTGTAGTACTAACTACCCTTCTGTAGTATTGTTAAACAAATGCTGAAATTTTGTTGGTTCTGTTAATATCTTTTTATAATATGTTTAGACACGTTACTTTGCAATGTCAGATGTCTACTATATACAAGACTGTCATGATAATTTAGTACACTAAGTCCTGCCAACCGACCTTACCTTCAGTTCATACTACCTATATTGATCCCTAACTATATTGTTCTGCTGAATCTTGCTTCACTATTCACAAAACCTATTCTTTTTATTCTTTAAGGTTCTAACTTCTTGTAAAGTAATCTGTTCATTAGGACGCATGCATACATATATAATGTTCATAAAGATGTACGCGGAGACCTATTGGAAGCACTCATTAAGAAAGCTAGGGAGATGGAATATGAGGTACGAACATGTCTGGTACCAAGCAATTTATTTGCGGTAGCCATAATAATCATAGTCTCAGAGCTTAACATCAAAAAAGGAGGGAGGGTGGCGTTAGCTGATCAGTAGATATGGTGGGGGTCACTAAGGTGAATCGCCCCATTCTGCAGGAACAGCAATACACAAATTAAAGGCTCGAGATATTTCTGATTTTTATGAGGGCTTAGATCTTTATCTTGAAAAAGATAATAATGAACGCCTTGACAGATCATGCTTCTACCTCTAAATATATACTATTCTCCCAGCCTATTGTTGAGATGCGACCATGTGGGATGTGCACAGTTTTATGGGGCATCTTATAAACTAACTTGCTGTCCATTGACTGATCTTTAAATACCACTTCACAATGTCTTATCTCATTCATTTTCCAATAACGTCTTTACTTGATCCTCATTATATTCCATTAAACCTAACATTTTACAGCTCTTTATGACTTATTATATTCCTACTCTCTGAAGGGTACGGTTGTACATTAAATGCACAAAAAGGTATAAAACAAAAACAACTGGCACAACTGAGGATAAATGTATTAAAACCAAAATTGGACATCATGATAGTACGAGGTATATGTGTAGCATTATACATTGCAAATGAACGTTGTCAGCCTAGGGAGTTTTCTTTTTTTAATGCATTTATTAATGATACTTGCACTTACCTATTTCATTACAATTTAATGATTCACCTCAGCACTTTTACTTTTCTAAAACAGCTTTCAATCCCTTGTAAACGTTGTACTTACCTCAATATTGGTTGGTTATCGTATGCCGACAACCACGGGATGAAAACGAAACGAAGTCGATTTTCCCGCTCAACCTGGAGGACAATTGTACAATTCAATAACTATACAGCCTAGTTCAGACAATGTGTATTTATATATATATCAAATATTTAACTGTTGAAACATTATTAACTTGTAGACAATCTACGATTTGATATTATATCATACTTGATCGTGCCTGTAAAAATGGCATGCATTTTCATGTAAATTTATATGTTTATATGAGAATATACATTATTATTATTATTATTATCCATTCGAGTGCGTCGGAGTGGATTTGTTCGGACCTTTAGTGGTAAAGAGAGGCAGAACCCTATGTAAAAGATATGGCTGTTTGTTCACCTGTTTGAAAATGAGAGCTGTGCACATTGAGATGGTTCATACGTTAACTACTGATTCATTCGTGCTAGCATTACATAGATTTATAAATCGCCGGGGTGCACCGAAGATGATGTTCAGCGACAGAGGGACTAATTTTGTTGGCTGTCACGCCGAGCTTAAAGAGTACTTCGAAGGTCCCCAAACGAGAGTTCATGAAGAGTTACTGAAAAGGAACATCGAGTGGCACTTCAACCCACCACATGCCAGCCATAGAGGTGGGCTATGGGAAAGACTTATAGGAATTATCAAGCGTATTTTAAGCTCCATAATTAAAAACCAGAGTTTGAATGACGAAACGCTGGAGACATTTTTTTGTGAAGCTGAACGAATATTAAATGACCGGCCGTTATCACCTGTGAGGGACGACGTCAAGGATTTTGATGTGTTAACCCCAAATAAATTATTGTTATTGAGAGGCAACCCTGGCATAGAGGACTCAAGCGGGGAAGGAATACCTACGATTAAAAAATGGAAACAAGCCAGGCACATGAAAGATATATTTTGGAAAAGATGGTTAAAGGAGTATGTTCTAACACTGCAAACCAGGGACAAGTGGAAAAAGTTGTGCCGAAACTTAAAGGTTGGTGACATAGTATTAGTAGCAGATAAATGTGCCACAGGTAGGTGGCCTTTGGGAGTGGTAGTAAGGCTGATCTGTAGTGGTGATGGATTGGTGAGGACGGTTGAGGTGAGAACAAGTTGTGGCATGTTGGTGCGAGATATCAGAAAACTGTGTCTACTGGAAGGTGCTGAGAGTAGAGAGTCGGAGGATGAAACACTAGACGATTTTCCAACCTAAGGCGTCAACCTGAGAAGGGTTGTAGGCGTACTGCTATAGGTCCTACAATTCTTCAAAGGGTAGCGCATCAATAAGCAGCCCAACGTGCTTGGTGTGTGATTTTGTATATATGTTCATGTTTTATATACTGAATTGGCATCATCTTTCATCTGTCTGCTGGTAATTTTGTTTGTGTCTAGACTTCTTCCACTTGTATCATCAACCTGAGAAGGAATGTAGGCGTGCTGCTGTAAGTCCTACAGTTCTTCAAGGGTAGTTCGTCAAGGCAGAATCCACCACATTTGATGTGTTGATTGTACACATGTTTGTGTTAAATAATTGCGTGAATTCCAATTATTGTAATTGTTGGTTAGTCTTGATTGTGTCCGGACATTCCACAACTTACAATCGTCAACGTGAGAAGGGTTGTGGGCGTACTGGTGTAAGTCCTGCAATTCTTCAAAGGAATTCCATCGAGACACTATCTACGAGTTTGTGTGCACTGTTTGTATATATGTAAGGTGTGTCATCAATTGGTGTTTTTTGGATTCATTGTGTTTACTCGTTGTTTTCATACCTTGTTGTTATTGCGTAATTTTGTTAAATTTTTCGTCGTGATTACTTCTGAAGTTGTTTCTTGTCTTCCATATCCGTGAATGAATTGATTAATGTTAAAGACAGCAGATGGGTCGCATACACCGAGGAGGCTACTGCTGAGAATGAAATACATACGGAGATAATTGTTAGCCGCGGTCCCACACGCCGGGGAGCAAAAGTGTAAACGACTGAGGCTCGCATACGTCATCGTTACTGGAACTGAGGCACAAGCGATTGCAGTGATAATTGGTAGTGAGTAGATAAGAGGATGTGCGTAGACTATCATGAGGTGCTGCTATGGTCACGTTGCATTCTGCAAGAGTCATTCTAGCAAGTGGCGATTGTGTTGCAAGATGTCAAGTGGATGCCTTTAACTGGAAGGAGCAGGTCGTCATTGATGTGTGAGATTGTGCTGTGAGTATGCTTGTGGTGTGTTGGCCTTTCTGTTTGTTTTCCATTTCAGCTCTGTCCGTGTGACCCAGGTTCTCTCAATGGCATCCAAGTCAAGTGTATTGGTCGTGATGGAAAGAAGGGATGGATCCCTATTTTGCCGGGGAGTGTCAATGTAGTTGAAGATTGAACGATCAATTCATGGTTGTTTGCTCAAAACCAACTTCCCCAAATTTTGCGGGGGCATCAATACACCAGTCATCGTCTCATTGGTCGCTGTTCAGAAAGAAGTCAGGAGAAAACCGTCAGAAACCTTAGTTTTAAAGTTGGTTATATGTTGGTGTTAGAATAAATAATTCTCGAGTCGCAAAACTGGGTTCTGGTTTCTGCGTCCGTTCTTACTAAGCGTTTCTGAGAAGCTTCGAGGAACAGCGTTGGTCCCAGCGTAGCAAGGGATGGGCATTAACGGTTTACGAGACCTGGCTGACACCAGGATTGGTCAGAAGAAAGAATTAATCCAGGATACCTAACGTCAGACTTGATTTCTCTATCCCTATCATCCATTATACAACGGTAATGGGAATTCACAGCTTCATTTAACTTTCTTTTACATCTAAAACTGAAATCAACAGTCTGACATTTGGAAGGATTTAGTTTAAGACCGTTAGACGAAGACCATTTTCTAATTCCTGATAGAAAGCTGTTCATTTTAGTACCATCTAGCTAATAGTTGACAGACACTGAAACAGTTAGATCATCGGCATAACTAACAAAGTAGATATTCAAACATTGCAGTTATTTATCATAGAAATGATGGATATTAGATGACATCACATGATTCAACAGCATATCAAAAATAAATCAGAATTGTTTCTTAGCTCATCGCCAAGTAGACAGTCTATTCGATGATGCGACTGCGTATTAACTGATTAATGAATTAGCTATCAACTCCAATTTACTTGTACTACATACTTGCCGTTTAGCAGTATACAGTCTTGCAATTGGCTAAATAAGGCGACTTCAGCGTAACGAACATTACAAAATTATTATTCAACTTGCTAAATACTACTTAGTTTTTACAATCTACTGTTGTATAGAAACAGACGCGAAATCCTATGAATGATTAAAGTAACAGTCTCATAATACTATAGTAAATTTCCATTCCACTAAGCTTAACATGCATTAATCAGAATTCACATATTACGAAACCTCATAGTATAGTGACGCACTTAAGACGTTCAGGAGAAGTAGAAATTAAGAGTATATTAAACATTTTCTTAGTTTACAAGAGAAAATTTCGATGAAGGGTATTGGGCGTTGATAAGGCATATCCCCTATTTGAAGTGGCGCCTCTGGCTTAACCTTGACGGCATTTGCGTGGCTTCGTTGATTCGAGTTGGAGCTAGTCGTCGGCAGCCTGTAGACGGCCGTAGGACATTTGATCAGCTGATGGATATTGGCGTTATTTTTGGAAATGACGTCAAGGTTAGGTCATTTTTCGTTGTTTTACACACTTTTTTGCCTATATTCCAGCTAAAAGTTGATGAAATACGGCGTATTTAGCAGAAATAGGTAATGGTGGTGTCCTTATCCGGCCGTAGCTTACAGGCAGTTTGCAGTTTGTTGGAAAAACGTACTTTTCCGTTCAGAATACGTCGAATTACTTGAAGAAACATGTTATAATGATCTTTTCGTGAATTTTTTTTGCATTTTAATGGATTCCACATGGACATGATGAGGTGGGATAGCTCGTTTCGGTAATTACATCATTTACTTCCTTGTTTAATTTTCGTAATGCTTACAAGGCTGCTCCATATGTATTTCTTTAAGAAAAATCTACAGAAATACTTAGAAATTATATACGCAAAGTAATTCTTTTTTTATGGCATAAACTTGATGTTTACAGGCAGATGCAATATGGATTTTAGATTATGAAAAGTGTTGACTTACATAATTATATACAATTCAAGTAATTATTTCGTCATATTAAACATATTCAATGGTTAGTTATTGTGTTAACACTGATAACAATGTCTATATCTGTATATATCTTATGTCCTTTTTCAGATAATATCTACTTTCGGGAATTTCATGGATTTCGTTGATAAAGAAAAAGATACCCGCATTGTTGTCGATTTCGTCTTACATGTTAATTCATTAATAAATGTATTCCTCGTTATTCGTTTGCTTATTCTGCTTAATAATACTAATTTCTAGCTTTTGCGTAAGTTGTAAGGTACGGAGTTTATGACGTTAACTTAGAAATGCCAAGTAAAATAAGATATTCGGAGATGCTTATTGATAAAACGATAATGTAGCAACGTAATGAATTTACTTCGTCCACAGTTAAAAGAAAACATTGAGATTATAAGCGCTTAGAGTTATATATCGTCTTAGTAGGAACCTACTAACGGACTTTGGATTCATAGTCACTCAAGGTGAAAAGTAAATTTAGCTAATATAGTATGCTTGCGATTTCTACTTATTGTAATAAACGAAGACGGTAGTAATTGTAACTATATTAATCGACATGTGTAACTGAGTGCATCTACGGTTACTGTAATAATACTAAAAGAATGCCAAGGTTTCACGGAGACAGAGGCTAGTACGTTGACATCTATTCGTTGAACCGTTTCAACAACAATTTCCGCAAGTCAGAATGAAGATTTTTTATGGGAAAATTTATTTACAGTTATCTTTAAAAATATGTACGTATATCAGTCCGAGGCTGACGATGTAGATGCCTGATCATCCAACTGTCCACCAGCTTCAAGCAGATAATTGTATACGTAAAGAAACGCACTTCTACATATCCGAGGATGCGTCTGTTTAAGGTTTCTCATTTGATATATGATTCCTTGTATGAGCATCTCCACGTCCAGTTCCACCGCTGTTGTCGCCTGAGATTGGATAAGAGTGTGGTTGTAATATCGTAACCACCTAGTACTATGTCTAAATACATCTTTTACAAAATAATTGCCGGCTTATATGAACTTACCCAGACGTGAATATAGATGACATTTGGTATGAACAAGATGACGGCATGGCAAAAGCATATTTTTGTTTTGGAAACATGTGCAGCTGCAGTCATGTTTGTCCACAACGAAGTACCTTTCACCTTCTTTGAATATCACGTATGCTTCTGTGCTATCATTTACTTTCATTTCCGGATGCCTCCTGATGCTTTTGTAAAGTGAGTATGCCGCATAGCTTGTAAGCTGCCTCAAAATGCTGGAAAGGCCTTCGTCCACCTGAAAAATTTTCAAGTTGCGACTATTGGACTTACGTTAAAATTAGTGTAGTAATGCAGGTTTCGATTTCCTTCAATAGCCTTTCTTCTCCATGACTCTATGGAACACTTCCATATCTCACGAATGCTCAATTCTATCGGAAAGCACTTGCTTAGGTGTGTCTTCAGGTGCTTATGGCAGCATTCAACTCTGTTATTCGTTTTGTTGCCAAGACTGACAACATCTTTCATATAACAGCCTGCCCACATATCACGACAACTCCATAAGTTGTTATTTATGTAAGATACGGCTGCAGGAAACTCCAACCCCATTAAATTCATTAACTCCCTAAACCTAGAGAAGTGTTAACATAATCACTTAGTTACCTGCCGTTACTCGTTGTGTACACCATCTCTTTAAACATCTTTTTACAATTAGGATCACGGAACTTAAGGACGTTAGGTAAGTAGTAATGTCGCTTACTTTGTTATTGAAGGCCCGGATGACATGAAATGCACATAATATGATGGAGCAGGCAGGGAACTCATTACGAATTGCACGTTGCTCTGCAGCACTGTTGTCAATTACAAACGTGACAGTCTGCGATGTATCGCCCATAATATTCTTAAAGGACCGTAATACTGCTTCAACGTCAACAAGTCTTTCACGATGAGTTGTACTGTACATGACTGGACAACTTCTATTCATACCATCTGTAACGACCAGTTGATATAGAGGATGACTGCAAGAGATTCGTTTAACATTAAAATATTACCCCTCCCTATTCGTATTGTAGGTTGAATCCATGCCCACAACCTCTGGAAATTTTTTATATAAACTTATCACTTCCCTGGTTGCGAAACTAAACTTTTCCACACGTCGTCGACTGTCCAGCACGCACCATACGGAACCTGTGTCACGAATTTCACCGATCAGTGTGTCAATGTCTCGCATTCCTGTAGAGACTGTTAACGCAAGATGATAACCTACTAGGTTAGACTTTTTCCCGGAAATTCCGATAATCATCGTAGGTCATCAGCTTTCCAAACTCAACATCAATCATATTTATAACTTGAGCAGGGGGGCGTTTCTCTCTACAAGAGGTAATATTTTAGATTTTTCTTCTAAACTTAGTCTCCGAACTGTCGGCTCAACAGACAATAGCAGTTCTCTTGACAACGCATGGTTGTGTCGAGTATTGACAGGTTCGACCACTTTATATAGTCCAAATTCCAGCTTAAATCTGAAACTTGATGGACACCCTATGTACTTAGATCTTAAATATAAAGCTGAGGTACTTTACAGCACTCACTGTGATGTTCTCAGGTGCCTGCTTTCTGATCGTCGACGTCGACCAACATGACATGAAAACGAAACATACAAGTACTTGTAATCTGGATCAACCTCGTCATTTTCATCACGACGAACCCGGCAGTCACGTATTTTATACAAGCTGCCGGTCCGCTACAATTAATAATGACAAGCAGTTATTACAACTTGCATAAACTAATTACCTCTTGAAAACGACGTATACATTCTTCACACTCCTTCCAAGTCCTTAGAATTTGGTAGCGAACTAATTCATTAAATTCAGTGGTTAAATCAACTGATATTTCATTAGTTCCCTCTACCATGACTATATTCATTACCAATAATTACAAAGAACAATTCAGATCAACTTAAAAAGTAGAAACAAAACAAAACAGCCAACAATGTTTGCACATACCGCCACTCAGTCTTGTTAGGTGATATCAAACAGACCAATCACAAGCTAGAAAATCAATTGTTTATCTCACTCGCGGGCACTCAAAATTACGGCCGTCTACATGCTGCCCTAGTCGTCCAGCACACGCAGTAGACGCGATTTCGGTGCTTATTTCGCTCTTGTTGGATGAATTTATATGAAAATTATTGTTCGATATTGTTCTTGAGCATTTACGTATTGCTTGTGTGACAGGACGCTTAAATACATGGTTCATGCAGTGATTTTTGGCATGCCGAGTAAGCTTCGCGTACATTTCAACGACTGTCATTCGATAAATTTCTTTGCAGATTGGCGGAAACTTGTACTCGGTCTCAAATTTCCCTATCAGCATTTGTGCAGTACCTATTACTGCTGCAGGAACCAAGGAATATGGTTGATATCAAATTTTGCATCCTTCCGCACTTTTGTGTGGTGTTTTGATAGCTGAAAGTCAATGGAATGCATAGATACAAGCGAAAATTAGTGTTCACAAATGGGAAGAAACTGTAATATGTTTTACGATCACTTACAACATTCAGTGTTTTCTGCCAAAATTTTTAAATGAGTTAAATGCACACTGCAACATTTTAGTAACTTGGTGGATTTCAATACCATCCTCGTGATCAGGTACGTAAAGACATCTGACGTGTGCGTCACTTTGTCCTATTAGTGAGTTTGGTTTCATAAACTTCCGATTTTTGTTATTGTCCTGACGCCACATTATTCGCGCTTGTTCGAAGTTAATTCACAAAATTATTTTAAAACCACGTAGAAGTAGTGTCCGACATCTCTTAAAGCTATGGACGTAAGGTTTAGAAGTGGTTGCTGTATCCATTTAGGGAAGGCTCATCGATTTCTGCAAGTAAGGGCTACGCATCATATTCCTAAATGCCTCCAGAAGCAACAGAATCTTCAGAAGTTATTAATGGGGTCCCAGCTCCTCTATTTCGAAACATATTATAGGGACAGGTCATAAAACTGACGTTTGCACATTTTTTAAACCTATCTGTAAAACGTGTTTGGATTGCATCCTAAAGTTTGTGGAAGCCGAAGTGTGATTAGGAAGTTTAAACCACTTTTGTGAATTCCAAGACTATTCGTCATCACACGAAACCTTCTTTGTTAAACTTCGTTTTGATACTAGTCAGGGTAGATGTACTAGTACCTCTGATATTTGGTTTAGTGATCTTCATTGTTATTTTGACCTCCAATATGTGGTTTTAATTCCACCTAAATTTATTTTCTAGACTTTTAACTGTATTAATCTCATATGTATTCCTATAACAAGTCCATGCGTGACCAGATTGTCCAAAATGTGTTGCACAAATACAACACTACACGACTCAGACAAATTACGTCTTCTTATTACTTCGTCTAAATATTCACTTGTGTCAAAAATAGTGACTGATGTAATCGCACATCGATATAAACTTTCATTAATTCTTACTGTGCTATCTCGTTAATATTATATTGGTAGTTATATTCATGTATACATCCTGTGAACCCTTGTTTTCTTTTTTAGATAATCTGTAGTTCCAGTGACCTCGTGGGATTCGTTGCTGAAGAAAGTGGTTTCCAGTACCGTTGATTTTGTATTTTGTGTCGAATCACTAATAAATGTATTCTCTATACCTCAAATAGACATTCTACTTGTTAATAGTCACTACTAACTTTATAGAATGTTGTGAGCTACAGAGTTATGGGGTTAGGGTCATGTGTTGTATTGAGTAGCGCGTTTAGAAGATACGTCCGCCCCTGAGGAATATTGTCGTCAATATGGAGTACATTCTCGTGATAAATCTGTTAGCAGTAATTATTATCAGTACCTATATTTCGTATGGATGGTATATAACGAAACGTACTAATTCAGTAGTCAAAGGTTAGAACTATCCGTTAAAATTGAAACAGGTGCTCATGTAAGGGAAAACTGATTAATCGAAATTTGAAACATCACGTAAGTGATAAAGTTTATAGCATCGTTTACATGCGAATAGTTAAGGTTATTTATTTAGAAATGATGGTAACTCGTTGATGGTTTAAGGGATGTTTTGTTTGATAGGAAATAGATGGGACATTGTAACTGAAAAACAGTGTAACTGGATAAGCAACATCAGCTGGCCAGTATACACATATTTTGAAGTAAAACACGATCGGGTAAAGTATTTCGAAGACAGGAGTAGAGCAGTCTTCTGGAACTATTAATTTAGTGAGCAATTAAATTTGTCTTTGAATTAAGACTGAAAGTAAGCGGCATATTGGTAAGCTAAACGATTATCATTATTCGGTTTCGTTAGAATAAGTATCCGAGTACTGTTTCACTCATCATTCTGTCTTTTGAATAACTTAGTAACATGGCGTTTACTTTCGGATCCAAATTACTAAGTAAAGGTTAATATCCCTAAGATTAAATTGTCGCCAAAGTAAGTAAATATGTTCATTTCTAGAAAATACTAAGGTTTGGAGTTGTTTTTTACTACCACAACACCAGGTGACTCACCAATTAGTCACAAAGTAAAACTAGATCTGTCAAAGAGAGTCCGCTCCTGACTTCTAGGTTTCGTGAAGGTAGAACTATATACATAGGTTAATAGGATTAGACGCATGATGTCAATTCGAAACTAGGTAATTACGTTTCGCAGCTACAGAAAACACCACGTTACAATCTATTCCTTTAATCGTGTCAATCAATGTGACATCAATTAAGACTAGAGAAGGAACACCACTGGTTTTCACAAAATCCATTTGTGTTCCCTAATATAATGTACATTCCGTAATTATAGGCAAACTAGGAAACGCACCAAGTCATCACATATACGAACAATAATTAATTTAAAGGAATGCCTACTCGATATGGTCCAGAGTTCATGTGAAGTGACACATGCCTACATCTGAAAGTGCGTGTGTAAGGTATCGCATTTCGTCAGCCTTTCGTCTAAGTGACTCAATGGGTCGCCTCCATATTTAACAAATGCTCAGTCCATGAATTCTACTTGTACCTGTAAAACACAAAAAATACCCTGCTGGGATATGGTGCTGTGTTACACTAGAGTCCCTCAGTTTACAGGTAAATCACACTTAATATCAGTATTGCGGCTTTTAGT